CATCTTTTATTTATAAAACCACCTACCTAATTTAGAAAATCCTGTATATTCCAGAAATGTAGTGGAATTTCCCAGTGGGAAAGATCGCATTAGACTATTACTCAGATTCTCGTAGACGACGTCATTAACGCAGAGAAGCATCGTTATTAACGACATAACAACGATGGAAAGAGAATAAAATGTGTTTCTTGTCTTCCATAATAATAAGCACAATGATTACTTAAGATCATTTTTAATTTCTTTCATGACAGGAAGTTTTATTTTATTATTTAAATTTAAGTGACAAAAATTTCAATACAATTATTTCAATCAAAAAATTAAGCGTGAAAAAGAAGTTAAAGATTTTAATTATTTAGCAACAAGATTCGAGAAAGGTCAGTTATAAATCATTCCAGGATCGCATATCTAAAAATCACACCAAATTTTGTCTTCGTCATCATTTCCACTCTCGTCATGAAATCGAAGGCATTTGATATCGGAAAGATTTTCTTGACAGTTCTCAAAACTTGCTTTATGGATACGCAACGATTGCATATCTTGAGTGTTTTCACGTAAGGTTTTGCAGACATTGTCGTCGACTTTGATCACTGGTAAGTCCAAGTGTTGCAGTTTCATGTTCGTCAGCAACTCTACAATGTCGAAAGTTTCATCTATAATTCTAATTTTCATTGTGTCAACTTTCGGATTGTCAGTTGCAAATTTTTCCCAGTCATGAATAAAAGCCAAGCAATCAATGGTAATCGATTGTAAGCTTTGCGACTTAATCTGGCGTAAAGTTGGAGACAAGCCATAAAGTTCTAAATGCTTCAAACGAGTTAATGCATTCAAAACTATGTCCAAGCTCATCATGGTACTTGTTCTCAACTTTTCAACATTAGGAACGTGCTTGAAAAATTCTGTTAGAGCATCTTCTTTAATTTCTATCAGATGAAGGTGAGGAATATTGAGTATTTTAATATTTCGATTGATTTCAAGTCGCTTATATAGTGGCAGGTCACAAGGAAGTGCTCTATTAAAGAATGTCAATGAAACAAGTCTTTTGAATTTTGCAAAAATAAATTCAAACACGAAATCGGCCAATAAGCCAATAAGCCCCAACTTTTCAACCGTATCCGAATGAAATTCCAAAAACTTCAACAAATTATAGTGATTGAACGTTTCTATTTTATTAATGTCCGACAATAAGAGTTCCTTCAATTTAAACGGGATGTTTTCAGCAGGAATAGAAGTTTTGAAGAATTCAGAAAAAAAAATTCCAGAAATTGATACTAAATTAAGACATTTTAAATTCTTTTGATTAGTCAGAAAGTCCAAAAGAATCTTCATTTCTAGTTCTGTGTTATGATTCACTATTTCCAATGAATTTATTTGGGTTTCTTTGAAATACTTCATCAATTCAAAATCACTTTCATCTAACTTTAACGTTTCCAATTTTGGAAGATGAGGCAAATGATCTTCGGAAATGTTGTCTGCGAATCTACCTTTAGTGTTTGAATTATAAAAGCTGATTTCTTTCAACTTCGGCATGGTACTCAATATATCACAAAATATTTTGGAATCGTGAAATTTTCCACCTTCTATAACTAATTTCTGAATTTTGCAGCCATGGTTTTCAAAAAAGTTCATCAATCGAATGTTTTGCTTGTCAATGTATCCATCACACCGAATTGATATGAAATTTCTGTTACTTGTTAAGAGGACGTCAACCCATGGCTCTTCTTCAATTTCGTTGTCGAATTCCAACTTCAATTCCCATCTCATTTGGGAAGATATTTCATTCAATCTGGAAGCACAATTCAAGCAATCTTCCAGCAAATTGTTAAATTCTAGGGAAAAACATTTTAACCTACGTTTTGCATGTAAGTGCAGCAGCTTTTAGTGATTCAAGATTTAAAAAGCTTAGAATTTTTTCAATTATTTCCTCTGGTAGTTGCTGAATATTTAAATTCATATTTAATTTTTCCATTTTTTATTTACATTAAATTAGGGCAATTCTCCTATTACGAAATGAAACCTTTAGCGACATCTGTACGACAAAACTTTCTAAAAAGGATTCTAAATGTAGATGGCGTTACCATAGAATAATAAATATTACAAAATTTGACATCTTCTCAATTGTGTAGATGAACTGATGTTTTCCTTTCTGCTTCGGGTTCAGTCACATAAAAAAACTATTTCCTTTCAATTTTCTGTTTTCAACGACATGAAATCATCAGCTTTTACTAGACAACAAGAGGAAAACAAGACTTTGAAAAGAAGGAATTCCAGAGGGCAAAAAACTTTATCATTCGACCCATGCAAAATCATCACAATCCAATTTCTTCTTTAAAAGCCCTTGCCTAAGGACAAGAGTACAATTTTCGTCTCTGATTTATGTTCCATTTGCTTCCTGGTAAAATTTCTCTTACATTATTATTCTATTCCTTTATACTTGAAAATGATTTGGTTGTCTTCAGAGTTGGGCGATCTAATTTCGATCCTGGATCGGATCGCCCTTCCACGGAAAAATGCGATCCAATTTTGAAAATTTGGATCGCGAAAATGGATTGGTGATTAAAAATTTTTTTGGATAGCCCAACTCTGGTTGTCTTTTCTTTGGTCATTGCTTTGCAATTGAAGAAAGCAGCAAGAACAGAAAACCAAAGTTTCATAGATTTATTTATGAAAGGTTCAAGAAAGTAAAACGAGAGACATTTGACACTTTAATGCGCTTCAAAAGCTTTGCTTGGCTTATGACCGCTTCCTAGGTGGCACACAAAAGCAACTTTCAATGACAAGACTAACGCAGTTTTCAACTTTGCCACTGAACATGTCCATCGTAAAGCCTAATGAGCCTCAATATTGCATCACACCTTGAGGACATTTATCATTTTTTTCCTTCTTTCTCTTAAATTCCTACTTATTCTCACCTTCTGCATGAACGAACGCGTCTTTTTCGTTTCTCTTCTTCAGTTTCCTTTTTCATCTCTCGTACCCATTAAAGAGAACAATGGCTAATAATTCCTTTAGTTACTGAAGTAAAAGCGAGAAGAAAAATCAATTTCTTGTGACTTAATGGAAATTCCTTTAAAAGCGCACAAAAGGACAATAAATTAAGTTTCGCTTTTATGTTTTTACTGTTCTTTTCTCAACTCATTCCAGTGTTTCCGCACCCAATGCTTCAATCGAGAGTTAATGGGAAAACTTTTACTTTATGTGATGGCTATCAGAGGTCTAAGTGAAATAGTTTAAGAGAAGATATTCTTGTGGATTTATTTTTCATGTTTTTTTTTGTTTTGCTTTTCTTTTGTAACAAAAATTTTCACAATCATAGTCCTTGAAACAAGTAGATAAGTTAAGTTAGGTTTAAGCTAGCTAAAAGATAAAGAATACAATTTCTCATTTCGAAAATTTCTTTCTTATTTAGATCTAAAGAAAGAAAAGTTAAAAAAAAAGGAACATAAAGATAACAATGATTATAATATTTCTTGGTTTTGAATTTTCCATCACCTTAAGACACTTAAGAAAATATCTATCTAAGGAAGTCAAAAATCCCATCGAGATTATTAATTCGCTTCATAACAGTTCATTTATACACGAGCGTTTGTTTGTAACAAAAACATTCGCTTTATTCGGATCGTTTGTTTTGGAGCTGCTGTTCTTACTGTGAGAAGTATAGATTTCTATCAAGTTTCCGCAACATTAAAATTATGGCATTAACATTTCTCGTTTGCAGATTTTTCTTTCATTCGCTTTCTTTTCTTTTTCTTTTTTGTTTATTTAAGGTTCACCCTTGAACAACACAATAAAGAAAGAGCGTGGAATAAGAAATGAGATCGTCGCAAGAAGAGTACTTAGCTAGCATTCGCATCATCGAGCTGCTTAATCAGCACGCCTCCATCTAAATTGAAACCATAAGACTTAGAAGAAAATGTTGAAAAATTCAAATGACTTCAAGTGGAAGGAAAAGGCGAACGAAAAGATGTGTTCATTGAATAAAATAAATTATGTGTTAATTCACGCTAATTTATGGTTCGCGTTTTAATACTCAAATGTCCGCAATAAGGGGCGAGACTGAGCGTAAAAATAAAAAAATAAAATAAAATGGAAATTGAAAGTCATTGGATGGAAGCTTGGTAATTAATACTGAATTAATGGCTCGACACAATCGTCGTTATTTATCGTTTTGTTTTGTTTTCACTCGATAATGTTCACTACAGATGAGAAGGAATCTTTCAGTTAACTTAATATATTTTTAGCTTTAGCGAAAATCCTTCGCTCTTTTATTTTTTGACTGAAATGAAAATAAACGTGAAACGTCTGCACATCAATTGAAGTCGTAACATCAATATTCATGATGTTTATATGCAATTTTCTTTATCGAAAAATTATACAAGGTACTTATACTTATTCATTTGCTATGAAAAACGTTTGATTCTTCAAATGGTTCTTAAAACATAAAAATAAATATATGACTTTCGCGAAAATAGCATAAGTGGCTTTTCTCTAGCATGTTTCGTTTTATTTTTATTGTTTACATTTTCCATTCTTACGCTCAATTAACATTTCACAGAAAAGGTTCCGACTTCCTGCTGTCGGACAAATCTATTCATGAAATACAACAAAAGTTGGCTCCAATGGGAGTGAAAGGGGAAAAGTTGCATAAACTAATTTGAAAAACATAAATTATTATGTTTCCATAAACAAAAAAGAAATATCCGAGAGAGAACAACTGATTTTGTATAACTACTGAACGGGTAGGTATTAATAATTGTGTCATAAAAAATCTTGATTACTATTAAAATAAACATGAATAAAATCTGTGTGACACTCGAATATTTTTTGGTGGAAATAAAAATCTCCCCAGGAGACTGAAAGTACTTTAAATAAATCGTAAAAAAATATTTTCATGAATCTCACGAGCTTTTAAAACTGATTTGTGAGGTTTTCATAAAATTTATTGTTAAATGCTCCGCAGAGATTAAAGCATAAATCACAGATCCTGCTTTATCCTTTATTAACTTTTTTAAAAGAAGTAAAAGTTGCTTTAGAAGTGTTGATGAACTGGGATAAATTCATCTCGTAATAATATTACTACTATTTCGTCGTAAGCACGTGAACAGCTTGTTTGAACATTCGCCGTTGTTTCTCTCGGAAAGGCAACAACATTTATATTTTTGCAACATCATAATACAATGGATTTTATGCTTTTTAACAGATGAAGGAAACGAATTGTTCCCTCTCGTGTGACATTGCGATAATATCCCCTCGAAATGACGATATCTTAAATTTCCTTCGTTGTTTCAGTCAACGCAAATGTTTAATAAAATCATTCTCCATCTTATTTTGTTTTGGTATATTTTTTCTTACTTGGAAAATGTATATATTTATGACGACTTGTTACACACCATGATTTTGTTCTAAGAGGTAATAAAATTCTTTTTTTACGACTTTCTTTCATTCAGAAACTTTTCTTGTCGTGCTTTTGTGCGTTTCTCATATTTTTTTTATTCTCTTCGCAAAAGTATTCTTGTTTTTTCGTAAACGAGTTAATCTCTTGTGATTTCCACACCCCGCTTCACCTGCATGATATTTAAGTGAACGAAACTCTTAACAGTATAACTTTCAATGAGCTCCATTGGGCTGCCAGCTAAAAGTGTTCATGAGTGTATATCAAACTCAAACATAAAAGCAGAGTGTAATCTCTCTCTACTTGAAATTTAATCTCTCCCTGGTCATTTCCCAAAAAAGCTCCATTAAACACGGAGATTGACTCAATAGTGTGTTCCTTTTCAGAAAAATGGTTTTATGAAAAGCATCGCTGTTTGGTTGTTGCCTCTCCTAATTCGCTCGAGTTGTAACACAATATTAGGTTGGATGAAAAGGTTGAAAACTAAAATGATTTATCTTCTCAAATATTCGGTAACATTGCAAGCAAGAGTGAATTTTATTTTCATGAATTCTTCACACATGTAAGTTTATTTATGTATATAAAAGCAATTGATTCACCTCTAATCGATCATAAACTATCCTCACACTCATACACACTCAGTTGGTTAAATTTTAGTGTAGCACCATATGAAAATCAATTGATTGTAAATTGAATTTTATTTCCCAGAAGGTTTCAACAGAACAGAACCGTACCAGAGGCTACAATAATAAAATTGAAATTGAAAAGTTTAAGAAGAATTCTATTCAATGTGAAAACCTGTGCGTGACTAATTAGAAAGAACTAAAATTATATAAAAGTTTTAATCCTTTTAACAGCATTGGATGAATTGTAGATTATGTGTTATCTAATTATTATTGTATTAATCTGAACATGTGTGTGCATGTTTTATAACTAATTGTTCATCGGATCAAAGAATTATTAATAGAATATCTGGAAATAAAATTTACTTAATTTACATTCGAACCAACATCTAACGAAACAAGATTAAAATATTCTGTCAATTTCAAGCTCTGCATATGTCAAATGAAATTTAATTTCGTAACAATATGTTTCATAAGAATTTCGAAATGAATATTCATTTTCCCCTTTCAGAATTAAAGCATTACGTGCATTTTCATTAAACAATTCCTCAGTCTGAAATGTGAATTTTAATAACAATTCACTTGCCATTCGAAAAATTCATCTCTAAGGTTGTTGATAAATTTTCCTTTATTAGAAAATGAATTGTTTTCATTACGGTTCTGTGGTTATGAGACTGATTGGATTGAATATTTGATGGTTCTCTAACCCATTATGAATCTTTTACCATGATTCATTAATCAACTGTACCTTTGTTTCAAAACATTCTCTGAGAGAGGGGAAACTTGGGATCGAATAATAAAAAACCGATCGAACCCAAAATACTTTCTTATCTCAATTTTTGCATAGAATTCCTTTAAAGCTAGGATAATAAATTATTTACATCGGCACGGCAATGTATCCCTCTATCAACACGAAGCATATATTCCAGTGAATTATCGATTTCCCCAATGTCAACGACAGGAGAAACCGGTAAATAATTTTCCGCTTCCCCTTCACTTCAAACCGTAAATACATAACAATCTTCTTGACAAATTCCACGTCAGAGTTGTTGATGCTAAACTTTGTTGAGAAACAAATTTCTCGGTGAAAGCAAATAAAGAGAAGCGAAATAAAAAAAAAGTATATAAAACGAAGGATATCAAGAGAAACCATGATAAAATGTCATGTAAATTAAAGATTACATTCCTTAAAGTTTCACTGTTGATTCATGGTGGATACAAGCTGAGTTTTATTCAGATGCAGAATGAAATTAAGTGGAGCGACTTCCATGTTCATGCTATCTTCTCCGTGACTCACGGATAAATCTCAAATAAATCTTTTTCATTAACATTCCTTCAACAACTTAATTCATTATTCAAGGAATTTTTTCTCTCTTTTTTCCTCCCTTACAAGTTTCAAAACCCGTCGACGTCGTGCCAAGAGATGATTAATTGGTGACAATAAGCAAAAGTATATATTAGAGTTAAACCCTTTTTTCATCTTGTTAATGGTTTAAGGTTTTCCTTCCTTATATATGTGTGTGTGTTTGTGAAGTTATGTATATTTATATGAAATATACTTACCAATTAAATCAGCTTCATTTCACTTAATTACTTCAGTTCCAAGTGTTCAGCAAGTGGGAAAATGATTTCCTTCCTGTACTGGATGAGTACGAAAAGGCAGAAGACGACTTTTCCTTCTTTATATTTATCATTTTTATAAGTAAAGGAAGAAGTGATTCCAAGGGATCACTTCAAAAAATCACATTGTGATGCTTTGTTCATTGTTGAGAAGAACATTCGGAAAGTGAGAAAATTGTGTGGGATGTTCAAGGAAAACGAAAGCGTTTAATCTTGAAAGATGAAGGAATGAAGGTAATATCGCCAACGACATTCACAGACAAATTCATGCCGGCTCGACCTGTTTGATAAGCTTATTAATCAGGTTTTAATGAGATCATGTCAGGTATACTGTTCTTACCTTGCAGAACTATTCGTGAAAACTCTGAAAGCACATAAAAAAAGCACCCTCATCATCAATGGCTCGTTCCTAATTAAGATGACTTGAGTTAATCTTAAACGAAAGAAATATATCCCAACCAACTGTTCATTCCTCAACTTTCGTATTTCGTTCTTCGTGTTTTCTTAACTTTTCTCACAACTTTCTTTGAAGAAGCTCTTTAAGTAAGTTGAAAGTTTTCTCTTTTCATTTCCAAGCTATTAACACCAAATGAACAAACCACACATCAACGTACCATATCAAAACTTAATGATTACCGTCTAAAGTTCTTTCACGTTCATCATATACAATCGTATATGGATATGTCTGCATGCTTTCGTTGAAATTAGAATTCATCATGGAATTCTGTAACAACATTAAGTGAAGCGAAAATTTAAACTTAAAAGCTTTTCAATCACCGAAACTTCAGTACAAATCTTAGCCACGAACGATTCAACAAAGTGTCTCATTGCAAATAAAACCTTTCTCATTAGTTGATTTCTTCCTTCAAATCTATTTGCTCGGTAAAGAAAGCAGTGAAGCAGGTTTTGTGGTAATCAAACTAATTACGTAATGAAGAATTTAAAAACTAACGAGCTTTATTTGGTTTCGTGTTAGATGCTGAAAGTGATGTGAATGTTTGTAGTTGAGGAGTAATTGAAACCACAAATTAATGCTTCGACATACGAAGAAATGGAGGTGAACAAAATGAAATTTAATATTTTCTGTCGTGACGATTTAATCTCTGGTGAAATTTTTCATTCCCAACTCTTGAGGAATATTTCATGGTAATTCAGTTAATTCCTTAAGAATCTCGATTAGAACCGCAGGCGTGATTTTCATTACATGAAGTAATAGGCTTTTCCTTTTATGGCTTAAAAATATTCAGTAATTAAACGAAGTTACGTAAATTTTCTTTAAAAACGTGAAATTATGCTTCATTAGGCACGTGAAAGAGTTTACAAAGGAATGAAACTACTTAAACGAATTAACATTCATATTTTGTTACAAATTATCTTCATAATTATGCAAACTAAATAAATTATTGTTATTCTTATCGGCAAATATTTCTTTTTCATTATTCCATCTTGTTCAGTTCATAATTTCTGACATAAATTCTGAAAAATATGTGTGCAAGTAACGATCGTAAAGTTTTAATTATCAAATTATTATGCAACTTTGAAACAAAATAAGTTTTAATCATATTAACATTCAACTTTATGAATAATTTAATACAATTTTCTTCCCTTTATTCAAACACTAAGTCGATAATGACAAGCTTCTGAAGACTTTTAATGTTTCAATAATTTTATGCTTTTGAAGTTAATTAAATGAAGAGTTTAGACTTATTATAAATACCTACAACGCCTCAGTGGAAATTGTGTGACATTAGTAGATCTTCTTTATCAGCATACTTGTCATAAGAAAGCACAAATATATAAATACCATCAAAAGAATTTATTTAAATATAATAATTTCAATTTTCTAGAGACTTCCATAAAGTCTTTAGCAAAATCTATCTGCTTTCCTTCATTAAATTTTAACTTATTCATTCATCTATTTAGATATATCTCTTAACTTAAGAAGCTTTTACTTCACTCTTTGAACTAAAATTCATAATCTTACAAAATCTCTTTTCTTCCTCGTTTTCCTTCTGAGAAGAACTGAAATCGTTGCCAAATAATCTTCTTCAATAATTGACTATTAATGCCCTAACAACAAAATCAACTTCTGCTCACTCAATTCAAAGAAAAGCTGTTTCGTAAGTTTGAATTTATGAACAAAAGCAAGTGCTGTAAGTTTGAAAACTTTCTCAACTATCTACATTACAATCTCATTTAATAAATGACTAAACCATTGTATGTACACTTACGCTATATCACATGCCTTCATGTTGCGTAGTTTCGTCAACTTTTGCTTTTTAGTTTTTCCTTTCTTCAATCTTCTTTCATTAACACTCATCCATATGTGACAAGGCATCATTGTCGGTTAGATAAAAGGACGTGTCTTGAGTGACAGCACCACAACACCGGAAAAGTTTAGCCATCACGTACTGTTTGTAAGCTTTAATAGCTCAAAACTTGCAGAATCACTTCCCTTTCTACTTCTTTTGTTTGTGCTTGACATTTTTACGAATATTGATTTTAGTCATGCCATAGAAGACTAAATTTAAAACTTCCTTGCAACGACGAACAGATTCAGCAAAATTTTCACCCTTCAAATTAGTTTTTTGTTGACTTTTCCTGCTTTACATTTTAAAAACAAATTAAGAACTTTTCACTCAAATGCTAACACATCCAGAAAAGCGAAACTGATGTTAGTAAGTTGAAATAAAATAAAAAAAGGGAAAAGATTTAGTGCACATTTAGAGGGAGAAAAGAAGAAGAAGCGGTCGAGTGAGTTTTTAAGTTCGATCTTTTGATTTAGGTTACTACTGTCGTTTACACAACTTGAAGTTGTCGAATAAATTCAGTATGACTTAAGGAGAAAAATTTGTAAGACGTTATCGAAAAACCTCTCTTCCGTTAAAGGAAATTTCCAATAAAATATGTACGGTAAGTTTTAATATCCATTTCATGATTTCTTGTCAATGTAACCCAAATCATTCTATAAAATTTATATTTCTATTCAGCCTCTCAAAGGTCAGCGGGAGGAGGATAAAGCAAGTTCAAAGTGATACTCTCCTTGCAAAGGTACATGAATATATTTCCTAATGGTTGGGTCTAATGCTGGTAAAAGGAAATATCGATTTGAACTGCTGTATAAGCAAAGCTCGTTCTTCTTCTTCATTTTGCTAAATTTCTCTTTTTTTTTATTCCTTTTTAAGGTAAAATCACCTTAATCTGGAGATTGTGTAAAGTTGAGGATATGTTTGCACAGCTCAAATATTAATATTGCTACATATGGTGTGTAAATATATCATTGAGGATAAATAATATTGCGTCAATCGTTTCTATGGATGGGGTTTGACATCTTCATTAAAAGTAACAATAATGAAATTTTATGAATTCAAGATCTGAGAGAATTTGAAATGAACATTCGAAAAATAATCACAAATTTTGTGACCTTTTCATGTTTTCGGGATAAATTAGAAAACTAAATAATAATATTAGGTCTTATTCTCTAAAGTGACTGATATTTGCATGTTTTTATATTTTAATGGAACCCTTTTAAAAAATAATTATTTAAATGGACGAAAAAGTAAAAAAATATTTTTGATACTTTGACAAGTTTCAGAACAAATTTTTAAAAGCTTCTTAACGAAATCAAAGTTGATTCCTAAATAATAAATAGCAAAACGGAAATGGAAATGTTTCGAATGACAAAAGTTTATCAAAACCGTGATTTCAAATGTTTAATTTTTTATTGAAATATTGCTTCGAAAAGCTTAAAAGTTATTTTTAGCAAGGATGATTTTTTTTATCAATTTTGGCAGTGGAAATTGTCCTTCGTTAATTTCTACAAAACGAACCTTCATCTGAAAAAGGTCACAAATGCTGTGATATCTTTCAAAAGCTTTTATATTTTTTCCTCTTCAACTGCGAAAAGGAATAAATGTGAAAAATACATTTAAAATATCTAAACATTTCACCATATCATCCTTCCAAATGTGACAAGTGACGTCTCTTTGTTACTTTATATTCTTCAACCCTTCATTTGTAACCTTGCTGAGTAATTGTATCTTCATATGGCTGGAGAAAAGCATGCACATTGAATATGAAAGAAAAAAAGGCCTTCAATGTGCTCCCTTAATTCAATTTGCCTTCGAAAAATGGCAAATCTTCTCATTGCGATTACGGAAAAGGAAGAAAAAGAAAGAAAAAAAAATGTTCCAAGACTTGTTTCGAGAAAACAACTTCCAGGTATTCAGCTATGGGAAAAGAAACACTGCCCAAGCCCCAAATGATGATGAATACGGGGGTCACTACGATAAAATATAAACATAAAAAAGCCAAAAGCAATCGGAAGGCAAAAGTGCCAATCAAATAAATTTTTGCAAGTCCATTTTCATTATAACAAACAACATCTGTTTTATGGTTCTTGTTTCTTGCTTTCACTTCTCTTTTATTCTTTCATTCTTACTTCTCTATAAGTAGATATTCTACTTTCCTATCATGGCAAATAAAAAAGAAAAAAGGTAGCAAAATCAAGAAATTATGTTATCGCCCGTTGGTGAGTTAGTAGCTTATGTCTAGCGTATGCGTAAAAGGCTACAGCAGCATCCAAACGAATGAGAAGCAAACAAAAGGGAACATCCAATTGTTCCCCACAAATTCAATAATAAATCTTCTTTTACTTCTTTTGTCCTATCTATTCTCATTTCAAAGACTATCGAGTGACTTTTGTCGACCCTGATGCAAGGACAAATCTTACATATCTACATACATTCTTACTTAAATGGGTTATTAAACGATAGATAGACTCAGGTGAATTTGATTTCATGCCACGTGGCTCTTGTCTCTCTACTTTCATTTATTTTTTTCTATCTCATGAATACTGAAAGCTTTTCCTTGGAAAATCTTCTCTTCTAACTATCACGTCCTAGTCTCGGTCAAATACATTTTCACAAAATAAATTCTTATTTCTTCCGTTTGCTTTTTAGCTTATTTTCAACATACGATCTATAATGAATGATATCATCTGAAATCACGATGCCTACATCTGTCAAAAAATTGTCATCAATAATTTACTTGCTATTTGTGCTTTCCTGTGTGCTTTTTTTTCTTATTTCTCTTCTTATTCTTTTTCATCAAATGCTGTTGTATGAGAAGTACTCAAAAACGAATTTTTGCTTCCTTTCTTTGAAGACTCTTAAGTCCAGATGGTTCATAATCCAATTCTTTCGCTTCCTTTGTGAACAGATAAAAAACAGTTTTGTGCTGTTGCTGTGATATGCGATGATGCTTTATGAAGCGTATTGTTTATCACTCATAATTTCCTTCATACATTTTCAGCCAGGAAACACTCTTTTATACGCATCTCCACTCATCTAATAATGTGATATCGATTTGTCATGACAGTAGCGAGAATTGGAGGAAGAGAAGTGGAGATATTGTGAGTTCAGGGATATTCATGAACGATATTCACTCACGTTTTGTGCGAATGTGTTAAATTGGCAGATTTATTAGTCGCACATTCGCATCTAGGGAAAGATGTAAGAACTGTATAAATGGACTCATCAATACGACACTAAAACTCTCGAATCTCATAGTCACCCACTGACAATTTTCGTACGTCCACTGAAATGCGATGTTTCATATCAGGCACATGACAGCGTTATTATAGCGAATTAATTTTTTTCTTACTTTTTTTCTGGACAACATTCGCCCCATGTCTCCTAAGTGATTTTTTTTTTTCTTCCATTCTCAGATCGTGCCCGTGGTTCTCATGAGAAGCAGAGTTAAAGTTGAAAATGGAAAAACTTTTTCGACGCTGATGACTGATTGTGCTAGCAGTGATTTGAGGGAAAGCTTTTTATGAGACTTTCGGATGTTTTATGTTGTCTATTATGGAAGAAGAGTCAATAAACTACCTTGCAAAAAGGCTTTGTGGTGGAAGTATTTATAATGGATGACTACGATGATTCTATGTCGACATCTATGCATGTATGTATGTGAACTTAAAGTTCTATTTAGGAAAGTTTAAATAAAATTAGAAGCAGCTGAGTAATATATTAAAATTATTTTTTATAGCAATCATTAACAGCAGATTTCTAAAACGTCGTTAAACTACAAAAACTTTTTTAATAACGCAAGAAATATTCGTGGATTCTCTGCAAATATTTTTCTTTCTTTCATGATCACAAAATCCACATGTCATATTTTGTCATCATGTGAAACTTTTCTCATTAAACTGAGATAATAAGTGTTGAAGACTGCTAAGTCGCTGTGTGTCGTCACTTCACTATGAATCAGTAAAACTCTGCATGAGTGACAATCGTATAGTCAAGCAAATCATAGAAATTAAATTTCTACAGGGAGAAGGATAAAATTCTCCACCGTTTCAGTTATCTAAAACCTTGTTGTTTCAACCGTGTAAGAAAGCTTTAAGAAATGATGATATTTAGTGAAGAAAGAAGGAAAAAATTATTCTCATGGCGGAAGAAAAGAGAAGGAAATAAGAAGAATAAAGGAAAAAAGTTTCAGCGCCTCCACATAATCATAAAGAAATATCAGCAGCAGCCGGATAACTTGTCAGGCTCAACTCTCTTTGACAGTGAACGAATGAAAAAAAATTGTTGAAATTGACATAAAACAAAAGAAAATTAATTAATGAATTGGTCGGGTAGGGACGAACGGATGAGTGTTATGCGAAACGGAACGAAAGACTTTTCCTTTTGTTTTTTTTCATTCTTTCAACAGACATTCGTAAATCTTACTTTCGGACACAATATATGTCAATCGGAGTGGACAGAAGGAAAATGTAATTAATATCATTTCTCTTTTTATTTAATAAAACTCCATCTTTCCCTTTACTTAGTACAGCAGTTGTTGATGATTATAACAACATTTGACATCACATTAAGCGTGAAGATTTTCCTGAAAGTCCAGTGTTATGTGATTTAGAAATATGTTTTATGTTGGAACGAGTCTAATGGAATTTTAATGCTACTCAGTCTTTTGCGGATGACAACTGTTGTTGTGATGATAATGTTTATGAAATTTTTATTATTATCGTTGAATTTCTGATATCTCTCAGATATTTAACTAATTTTCTTCTGTTGGGTATGCGTTAAAGTTCAGATATTCATCAGACATGGCGCTTCCCATTCAGCATTATCTTATTATTAGATTACGATGTGTATGTATATTGAATAAAGTCGTGTTTATTGATGTAGTGGGAGGATGTCGTGTAAAATTTCTTATCGAATGTTTATCATGGTCATGAAGATGATTTTTTCTTCATCATTTTTTTGTCCTGTCTTGGATGGCTATTTAAAGGAAATCAACATTGAAGAAAGGACCTTCATCAATTCTCTTCCCCATCTTCTGTCTGTTTGAATATTTTCCGCTTGAAGTTGTTTTCATCATGATGGGTCTTGTCATAAATGGAACAAGAAGACAACGTTAAAATTGCCATCGTTACAAATTCATGTACAAAGAAGTCGTGTCGTTATCGTAAAACTTAGTTGACTTGCCATTAGCGATAATAAATTTACATGCATACCTTGAGTCAATATTAAGCTTTCATATTTGCTGAACTAAACGTTCTAATCTCTCAAAAGATGACTGCTAAACGATGACAAAAATTTTGATTCACGCACCTAACTAACAACTTTTTATCATCGTTGCCTAATGGTATGGAGAAGATTTTTATGGTAATAAAACGAAATTAACTTTTGCTGTAATCACAACTTGAAACATCTTTTTCTAAAATTATCTTGAACAATTTCTTCAATGTTCTTGGACGAGTTTCTATCTTCAGCCGGAAGATAATTTAAAGAAACTTCTCATTTTAATATGTATGTAAATTATCGTCAGATATTATTCATCTAAAGAATCATAAAAGGAAAAATTTATGTCGTTCTACATTTTCATATGAAATTTGCAATATTTCAACTTATGCTGCATCATTGCAAAGTGTTTTATCGTTACTCTCGAGAATCTTTTCACGTGAGCTCATATTTATTTCCTTTTCATAATTTCTTCAAGAATTCTCTCATGGCAAGTTATGCTCGAGGCGAAAATAAATATTTTCATGATGAAAGCAAAGTGAAACTGTATGTACGATCAACGTTGGAATCTCTTTTAGAATTTCAAACTCGCCTTGTGGTTTTAAAGGAATTCATTACTCACTCTGCGTGTTCTAACGAGAGAAGCTTTGAAACTGAGAAGAGAAGCCACTGGATACTAGCTTCGTTACATTCTATGATAAAAATCTGTGCAAGTTATGATAAAAATAAAGCAAACGTGCGTGACGGGCTTCGAGCTAGATCATAATTCATCTTAGCTGTACTTAAGTAATGATTGATATACTGGCATCTCTTACGATGTGTAACACATTTTTCAAGATGTTTTCATGTTTCCAACTTTTTCATACATCACAATTTCATGTTCCCAACATCGAAAGTATCGATTAAATAAGCGCCTTACATTCTTTTTTATTTACACGCTTCCCTCATGAAGAAATATTTGAGAAAATCTGAGGTAAAAAAAAGATTATCAGCAATTTTTCATGATCGACCATTTCTAATCCTAAAATTCCAGCGTCAATGAAATTTTATTTCAACATAGAAATGTGCTTGACTCACTCTTTTATGTTATATCATCATGTGTAAAGTATTAAGGTATGAATATTCGGTTTAGGATATTTTTCAATTCGCAATTTTTTTCTAAACTTGTCTGTTATTCTTAAATTGTTAACATTATCGATGGGTCGGATTATCGACCAAAAATGATCCCACAATACCTGGTTTTAGAATTTCTTTTAAGCTTACTAAAAATCCTGTTGAAATGTTACAATCTTTTTCATCAAATATGCAGTTTTTAATTATTGAAAAATACTTTCCTTAAGCACAACAATTTCCTTCCCTAAACACTACTTGATTTTTTATGTTCACATGAAAGTTTTATCAATCTTGTCTACAAGTTTCTGAATCTTTTCAATATCTACCTTCATCTATCCAAAACTCTAAACCTATGTAAGAGAAAGCTTAAGTTGTTTTCCTATTAGATTTCTCACTGAATAATTTATAGGTATTTTCCATTGGGATTAATTTTGTGACACGATGTCTTGAGAAATTCGCTAAAATTTAGCTCAATTTACTTTGGGTCGGAAATCATTAAGCTTACTTAGCTTATAAAACTTTAAAGCCTCATAAGTTGCGAACAACAGTGTAAAGTTCAAGTAGTATAATTGTCGCCTAGAGTAACAGAATATCTTTTAAAAACAACGGCAAAGAATAACGAACATTAAGATTCTTTCAGTATTGATTACGGTAGAACACCCACAAATGGATGTAATTATGGTAGCGACCAAGGAAAGAAAGCAGCAAAGGTAAGGACATCGATTGAAAGACATTTAGCACTTCCGACATTACCATTACAGTCACTTTCGTTTCCGCTTTTGTGTTGTTCGCTATTGTTGAATATAAATAGTCTCATTCGCAATGTTGTTTAGCCTTAATGAAGTTCAGAATACCAAAATAAAATAAACGAAAGGTGATCAAGCATTCTTCAATGTCGACCATTGTCAAAATATTCAAACATTCAGTTTTTGATAAAAATCATTTATGAACGAATCAAACATAAATATTTATTTGTAGACCGCACAATAATTATCTCAATAAATTAATAAAATGATGACTACGAATTAAGATTACCGACAGCGAATTAATTTCAAAACGAAAGAAGATTTAACATTTTTTTAATAAAATTGAAGAAATTCAAATCAATCAAAATTTTGTGAATTTCTTGAAATTCCATTCCTTTGTAATCCAAAATATTTAATATTAATTTGATTTTATATTCAGTCATCTGAGTTCAAGTGTGGATGAAACATCGTTGAAGAAGAAGATATTTTGAAATTTTGAGTTCAAAAAAATAATATAAAATGATATGGCAGAAAGTAAACCTAAAATAAGCAAGGATTTTCACATTTATGATGATGTGATGATACAAACAAAGACTCCTTCTTGTCATTGTAAATATCTTCAATGATTTGCAAATACCTTCTTTGCATAAAAAGAAAGAATTTCAGAATTTCCTATTGAACCTAAAGAATATAATTTAATCAAGGATCGAAAGCAATACTTCAAATATTCAATTTATTTTTTTTCTTTCTTATTTCATCGAGGAAATATTGATTACATCCATCGTATCAATCAAAACGCGGGCGTTTTTCAATCAGAACCGCGACGCTTCTCCAGGTGTAACCAAGGCTATTCATCTTCTTCATCTACAACTATAAATCATTCAATTCCACTGCGTGTTCAAAAATCCCTTGACACAATGGGAAAAAAGAGACTGAATTGTACAAGAGGATTGTGCATTGTTGAACGGTAAATGAAGGTCAAAGGAATAATAATGTTGGTTTTACTCAACTGTTCTCGCCCCAAATTTTGTGTATCTTCACAAAGGGACCATTTCATTCAAACGGAAAAAAGCTTCATACAAAAAGTCCATTAAAAATTATTCCTTTATACTTGAATTAGATACAAAAATAAAAAAGAAACTTTGTCTGTATGTATGTTCGTTGGGACTTCTGTAGACATTTATATAAGCGACACTTCGAGCCATTCGTCTTTTTGTATCATTGGGAAAACAGTAGCAAAGGATCCAAATTATATTTGATGCCCTTTCGTTTTTTCTGAGGCTTAAATTTAAATGCTGAAAGTTTAGTGACCGTCTAATTGGGCTTTTCACCTTATATATCAAAGTTTAGCCTTTGGAGAGTTGAAAGCAGATTATGAGCTTGACATTGTGAAATTCTTTCATAATCGGTTGAAGTGAAGCTTCGTTTCTTATCTTTTTTGTCCTCAATTTAAAATTCTGCCGCTTGACTTGAGAGTTATTCACTCGTCCAACTCCATTTAAGGCTCATTTCGATATATTGATGTGCGCTAACAAACATTGAAAGGTGAGCTTTTGATAGGAAAGCAGAGAGAAAAAGGTGAACAATAATGTAGAAAGATGTGAAATAAAATGAGGATCAGCAGTCGATGTTAAGTGCCACACAATTCTATTTTATTTAAAGAAAAAAATCGAAAATTAGGCCATGACCATATAAATCATTTCAAAGAGAAACGATTCCATAAATAATTTATTTTCAATATAATCTTACAATTTTGTTGGCTGGTATCAGTTAAGGTAAAGCTTTTAGAGGTTTAAATACTTTTAAGCATCCTCAAGCATCCATTACGGTTGACCGTGTCTCAAAATAAATAAAAAAATCAATTTTAATGAAGGAAATTTTTCCATTTCAGCTGCAATCTAGCACTTCAATTCAATTGCCTTTTTTGAACTTTCAGGCTTGATTTCTCTCAAAAATTATTCTGTATTCTTGTTGTCACATGAAGAAATTGTTTTGGTACAAATTTGTGAAAGATCTTCTGATTGTTCATGCATCATATTCAATTGTTTTTCATCGTGCGGTGTTACAAGATGAGACTGTTGAAAATTAATAATTTCTTCAAATGCTTATCTACATCTTATAACAAATCGAATAATTTGTTCACCTCATTATCACCATCGGGAGTTTTGACTTCTTTTGTTTTGATTGATTGAGTGTCATCGTGAATTCCTTTTTTTCCTTTTTACGGTTATTTTGGAAGGTTCTGAGATCGCTGTTGAATTCAATTTCGATGAATGAGTTGTTTTATTAGCTTTCGTAAGGTCCTCGGTAAATTTCCTGTTTGACTGACAAGCTGTACAAACAAATGAAATGTAAGTAATCAACACAACTAACCCAAGCTGTATGATCTTCTTCTCGTGTTCTTGCATACAGCGCAAACATCTTTTTCGTTGACCATGTTGAAATGTTGAAGAAATTTCTCTAACTTTCACTTGATCAACTCACTTTAATTCACCCTGATTTCTGTCGGCCTTGATCCGGTTCGATGTGACTAAAAAATGTTATGAAAAATTTCATCATGAAACTGATTTAGTAGACTGTATTGATGTTGTCACTTTGAAAGTGAGAGAGAGATGTCGTGAAAATGATGGAAGATGCATTTGTTGTAGATTATCTTTTCTTTATTTCGTTATAAAGTAATTCAATAAGCCAATACAAAAAGATTTCCGTTATAAAAAAAACGCCTAACAAATAAAATTCGTCTAAATATTTATCAATTGAAATAATTTTGTTTTTCTTGTTACCTCCCAAGACGTTTTAAGAATTCTCTGGTTTTTGCTTTTGAAGAGAATTATGCCATGATCATATAAATCCTTGTATAAATCATTTCGAAGAGAAACGATTCCATAAATAATTTATTTTCAATATAATCTTGCAATTCAGTTGACTTGTCTTCGTTAAGATAAAACTTTCAGAGGTTTAAATACTTTTAAGCATCCTCAAGCATCCATTATGGTTAACCGTGTCTCAAAATATATGAAGAATCAATTTTAATGAAGGAAATTTTTTTTTATTATTTAAATATTTATTTCTCATGAAANAATTTTAATGAAGGAAAGATTTTTTTATTAATCAAATATTTATTTTACATGAAAAGACGTCAGATATCCAAAAATTATTTTTATTTTGAAACAGATGAAGTTTAGTAAGTTTCGATATCACTTGACAGAAAAAAAAAATGTTTTTTATTAATCAAATATTTGTTTTTCACGCAAAAACATCAAATATACAAAAATTATTTTTATTTTGAAACAGATGAAGCTTAGTGAGTTAAATAATTTTTTTCCACACTTATTATGAAGAATGTTGAAAAGTGATCAATAGAATCGACACTAAATATAGATTTATATTTTTTTGAAGTCTCGGTTATTCATGGCTTTCAGGTAAATTCTTTATGTTTTGATAGCTTCTTTTCTGGCGTCTCCATAAGAGGCTCACCAATTGAATTCCTGGTGCTTCAACAAAAAGGTGGAAAACAGCGCTTATTATTGTACACATCATAACATCTCCCAATTGAATATGAAGTTTCCACCACTTTCCGTAAGAAATGTTTTGCTTTTGATTTATTTTAGTCAACAAAACGTATTGATAATGAACCAAATAAATACTCAAACACATTCTAGATAGTGGTTGCCATGAATAATGTGAGAGAAATGAACGAAAAATTCCACCAGATTTAAGACAATGACAAGCAAAAACAATCCAACAAATTGAACAAGACCACAGATCGTCTTTGATAACTTTGTAAATGCGATCAAGTGGCAAAATATTGGGTAATTTAAAATTGAAAAATGTGTCACAGAAGAAAAAAGTTGTCAAAATCCAAGCAATGGCAATCTTTACATTAGATGCTCTGAACTTAAGATCATTGCGATCGTAGATAATATATCCTGTCAAAATTCCTATCATATACTGTCCAAGACGATATTCTGTGGAAACATACAGACTAATATTATCATCTACCGATCTGCAATAAGTAAGTATGAAAGTTTAATAAAATATTTTCTCTTCGTTTAACAATTGAAACATTCTGAATTTTGATACTTACATGAACATTCTATAGTATTTGAATACTTGTAGCAACACGATTAACATTGGAAAGACAACGAAAGCTTTTGCTTTCAGTTTCCAAATGCAATAAACAATCAGTGGTGTTGAATAAAAAAGCTGAAAATCTGTAGATAGGTACCACGTGTAGGAAAGGCACTGAAAATAAAAATTGAAGTCACTGATTTGAAACAGGTACTTAGAAAATACAAAATTATCACTCACGTACTGTAAAGCTTTACAATAATTTTGAGTAAGAGTAAGATAAGGCAACCATCCTTTGCGGCATAGATTTGTCCTATAAATTAATCCACCAATCTCTGGACCTGATACAAGAAATTGAGGCAAATTGCTACTGAAGATGATAAGAAAAACTGCAATTGAAGGAAAGTAGCGCAAGTACCGGTTGATATAAATCTTGGCAGGATGGAAATTGTTCCTTTTTTGATTGTAAATATTTATAAAGAGATGTAAGAAGTTATAAGAAATTTAATTAAATGTCATTTTTTACTTACGAATTTAAATCTCTCAAGAGAGAAATCGTTACCAATATTGCAGAGCAGGCAAAGAATGTTATCACACCCTTTTGATATCGACCTATGAGCTTTTCCAATAAATAACTCCACCACTGAGAGTTCTCTTCGTAGGAATAAGCAAAACGTTGTGAGCGATGGCCAAACATTATCCAAAATGCAGATAATGCTTTCAGCGCATCAATACAACCAATAGCAGAATTAGATTCATTTCTCCTCATCAGACGTTCAAAGTTTGTTTTGATTGAAAATATTGATAATAACTTTGAGGGTTTTCCAAGTTTTTCAAATAATATTTGACAAAGCGTACTTCCTACATTTAAGAAAATAATCAGAAGGAGAACAGATCTGAAAATAAAAATAATCATCTCAAAATGAAAAACTTCCTAGAATTTCTTTAAAAGTTATGTTACAACGCGAAACCATCAAATGAGTTCATTGAAGGAGGTTCGATACATTCAAAACTCTTAATCGTTGCTATTTTGTTGACATCATATTGCTTAGAAAGTTCGTACAAATCCTTTGACGAGCAAGATTTTGGAACACAAATTCCCATTTTATAAGTTTTTCCTGGCGCCTTATCATCACTATTGAAAAATTTGAAGAGAATTTCACGTAAATCAATATCTCCAATAGTTTTATGTTCAGTATTATTATTCTTAATGTTTTGAGTTAAGAAAATAGCATTGCAGTATTTCCCAAAAATATCTTCATGTTCAAAATCATTGCACTGATCAAAAAGACCAACACCGGATCGGAAATTATGCAAATTCCCTGGTTGAAACGACCACGTGTCAAAAACTGATGGAAAAGAATTAAAAATAATTGATTGTGATAAAATTCTGTATTTAATTTTGATCATCTTTTACACTTTAACGCCCACGTATCTCCTTGTAAGAAAGAATTATGAATTTTTTTAAACTGACTTTCACAATCATTAAGTTTTGTGATATTCATGTCAATATTCGAAGTTTGATCTTATTAAGTTGAAAGTTCTACACACAATGAAATGTAATGAGAAACAACAAGTTGAATATTAACTATTTTTTGTCGAAATCACGTAAAAAGTATAGTATAATTAACACAGCACGAACATAACACTTTTATTACTTTTTACACTTTAAAAATTTACATTTAATGTACATTTCGATATCTCGACGGCTATCTCATAAATAACAATTATAAGAAACAAGAAACAAGATCACCCTTCGAATATTGACATAATATCATAATAATAATTATTACTGCAGATGACAGCTGTCGAGCTATCGAAAAAAAAAGTGTTTAGTCAATTTGAATATTACTTGTAATAGGAACATATGTTTTCACTAGAGTTCTTGTGAGTATGTGAAATTTGTGTACGAATACGCGCACACGAGAAATTAAACTTCATTTTAAGCTAGTACAAGATACTTCAGACTTTTTGGCGATTTGAACTTCCACCTGAATGCTTAAACAAGACTGAAAAAATCCGCTANAATTAATTTTAATGAAGGAAAGATTTTTTTATTAATCAAATATTTATTTTACATGAAAAGACGTCAGATATCCAAAAATTATTTTTATTTTGAAACAGATGAAGCTTAGTGAGTTAAATAATTTTTTTCCACACTTATTATGAAGAATGTTGAAAAGTGATCAATAGAATCGACACTAAATATAGATTTATATTTTTTTGAAGTCTCGGTTATTCATGGCTTTCAGGTAAATTCTTTATGTTTTGATAGCTTCTTTTCTGGCGTCTCCATAAGAGGCTCACCAATTGAATTCCTGGTGCTTCAACAAAAAGGTGGAAAACAGCGCTTATTATTGTACACATCATAACATCTCCCAATTGAATATGAAGTTTCCACCACTTTCCGTAAGAAATGTTTTGCTTTTGATTTATATTAGTCAACACAACGTATTGATAATGAACCAAATAAATACACAAACACATTCTAGATAGTGGTTGCCATGAATAATGTGAGAGAAATGAACGAAAAATTCCACCAGATTTAAGACAATGACAAGCAAAAACAATCCAACAAATTGAACAAGACCACAGATCGTCTTTGATAACTTTGTAAATGCGATCAAGTGGCAAAATATTGGGTAATTTAAAATTGAAAAATGTGTCACAGAAGAAAAAAGTTGTCAAAATCCAAGCAATGGCAATCTTTACATTAGATGCTCTGAACTTAAGATCATTGCGATCGTAGATAATATATCCTGTCAAAATTCCTATCATATACTGTCCAAGACGATATTCTGTATGTTCATACAGACTGTTACGATCATCTACCGATCTGCAAAAGTAAGTATGAAAATTCAATAAAATATTTTCTCGTCGTTTAACAATTGAAACATTCTGAATTTTGATACTTACATGAACATTCTATAGTATTTGAACACTTGTAGCAACACGATTAACATTGGAAAGACAACGAAAGCTTTTGCTTTCAGTTTCCAAATGCAATAAACAATCAGTGGTGTTGAATAAAAAAGCTGAAAATCTGTAGATAGATACCACGTGTAGGAAAGGCACTGAAAATAAAAATTCAAATCAGTGATTTGAAGCCGGAACAAGAAAGAAAATACAAAATTATCACTCACGTATTGAAAAGCTTTACAATAATTTTGAGTAAGAGTAAGATAAGGCAACCATCCTTCGCGGCATAGATTTGTCCTATAAATTAATCCTCCAATCTCTGGACCTGATACAAGAAATTGAGGCAAATTGCTACTGAAGATGATAAGAAAAACTGCAATTGAAGGAAAGTAGCGCAAGTACCGGTTGATATAAATCTTGGCAGGATGGAAATTGTTCCTTTTTTGATTGTAAATATTTATAAAGAGATGTAAGAAGTTATAAGAAATTTAATTAAATGTCATTTTTTACTNGAATCGACACTAAATATAGATTTATATTTTTTTGAAGTCTCGGTTATTCATGGCTTTCAGGTAAATTCTTTATGTTTTGATAGCTTCTTTTCTGGCGTCTCCATAAGAGGCTCACCAATTGAATTCCTGGTGCTTCAACAAAAAGGTGGAAAACAGCGCTTATTATTGTACACATCATAACATCTCCCAATTGAATATGAAGTTTCCACCACTTTCCGTAAGAAATGTTTTGCTTTTGATTTATATTAGTCAACACAACGTATTGATAATGAACCAAATAAATACACAAACACATTCTAGATAGTGGTTGCCATGAATAATGTGAGAGAAATGAACGAAAAATTCCACCAGATTTAAGACAATGACAAGCAAAAACAATCCAACAAATTGAACAAGACCACAGATCGTCTTTGATAACTTTGTAAATGCGATCAAGTGGCAAAATATTGGGTAATTTAAAATTGAAAAATGTGTCACAGAAGAAAAAAGTTGTCAAAATCCAAGCAATGGCAATCTTTACATTAGATGCTCTGAACTTAAGATCATTGCGATCGTAGATAATATATCCTGTCAAAATTCCTATCATATACTGTCCAAGACGATATTCTGTGGAAACATACAGACTAATATTATCATCTACCGATCTGCAATAAGTAAGTATGAAAGTTTAATAAAATATTTTCTCTTCGTTTAACAATTGAAACATTCTGAATGTTGATACTTACATGAACATCCTATAGTATTTGAACACTTGTAGCAAAACGATTAACATTGGAAAGACAACAAAAGATTTTGCTTTCAACTTCCAAATGCAATAAACAATCAGTGGTGTTGAATAAAAAAGCTGAAAATCTGTAGATAGGTACCACGTGTAGGAAAGGCACTGAAAATAAAAATTGAAGTCACTGATTTGAAACAGGTACTTAGAAAATACAAAATTATCACTCACGTACTGTAAAGCTTTACAATAATTTTGAGTAAGAGTAAGATAAGGCAACCATCCTTTGCGGCATAGATTTGTCCTATAAATTAATCCACCAATCTCTGGACCTGATACAAGAAATTGAGGCAAATTGCTACTGAAGATGATAAGAAGAACTGCAATTGAAGGAAAGTAGCGCAAGTACCGGTTGATATAAATCATGGCAGGATGAAAATTATTCCTATTTTTGATTGTAAATATTTAAAAGGAATGTAAGAAGTTGCAAGAAATTTAATTAAATGTCATTTTTTTACTTACGTATCTAAATCTCTCAAGAGTGAAATCGTTAACAATATTGCAGAACAAACGAAGAATGTTATCACACCCTTTTCATATCGATTCATGAGCTTTCCCAATAAATAACTCCACCACTGAGAGTTCTCTTCGTAGGAGAAAGCAAAACGTTGTGAGCGATGGCCAAACATTATCCAAAATGCAGATAATGCTTTCAGCGCATCAATACAACCAATAGCAGAATTAGATTCATTTCTCCTCATCAGACGTTCAAAGTTTGTTTTGATTGAAAATATTGATAATAACTTTGAGGGTTTTCCAAGTTTTTCAAATAGTATTTGACAAAGCGTACTTCCTACATTTAAGAAAATAATCAGAAGAAGAACAGATCTGAAAATAAAAATTATCATCTCAAATTAATAAACTTCCTAGAATTTCTTTAAAAGTTTAGTTACAATGCGAAACCATCAAATAAGTTCATTGTAGGAGGGTCGATACATNTGGAAACAGATGGAGCTTAATGAGTTAAATTAATGTTTTTTCCACACTCATCAAGAAGAATGCTGAAAAGCGATCAATAAGATAGAATTGACACTAAATTTGTTTAAAAACTTTTGAAGTCTCCGTTATTCATGGCTTTCAGGTAAATTCTTTATGTTTTGATAGCTTCTTTTCTGGCGTCTCCATAAGAGGCTCACCAATTGAATTCCTGGTGCTTCAACAAAAAGGTGGAAAACAGCGCTTATTATTGTACACATCATAACATCTCCCAATTGAATATGAAGTTTCCACCACTTTCCGTAAGAAATGTTTTGCTTTTGATTTATATTAGTCAACACAACGTATTGATAATGAACCAAATAAATACACAAACACATTCTAGATAGTGGTTGCCATGAATAATGTGAGAGAAATGAACGAAAAATTCCACCAGATTTAAGACAATGACAAGCAAAAACAATCCAACAAATTGAACAAGACCACAGATCGTCTTTGATAACTTTGTAAATGCGATCAAGTGGCAAAATATTGGGTAATTTAAAATTGAAAAATGTGTCACAGAAGAAAAAAGTTGTCAAAATCCAAGCAATGGCAATCTTTACATTAGATGCTCTGAACTTAAGATCATTGCGATCGTAGATAATATATCCTGTCAAAATTCCTATCATATACTGTCCAAGACGATATTCTGTGGAAACATACAGACTAATATTATCATCTACCGATCTGCAATAAGTAAGTATGAAAGTTTAATAAAATATTTTCTCTTCGTTTAACAATTGAAACATTCTGAATGTTGATACTTACATGAACATCCTATAGTATTTGAACACTTGTAGCAAAACGATTAACATTGGAAAGACAACAAAAGATTTTGCTTTCAACTTCCAAATGCAATAAACAATCAGTGGTGTTGAATAAAAAAGCTGAAAATCTGTAGATAGGTACCACGTGTAGGAAAGGCACTGAAAATAAAAATTGAAGTCACTGATTTGAAACAGGTACTTAGAAAATACGAATTTGTTACTTACGTACTCCCAAGTCTTAGCATAATTTTGAGTAAGAGTGAGATAAGGCAACCATCCTTCGCGGCATAGATTTCTCCTATGAATTAATTCACCAATCTCTGGACCTGATACAAGAAATTGAGGCAAATTGCTACTGAAGATGATAAGAAAAACTGCAATTGAAGGAAAGTAGCGCAAGTACCGGTTGATATAAATCTTGGCAGGATGGAAATTGTTCCTTTTTTGATTGTAAATATTTATAAAGAGATGTAAGAAGTTATAAGAAATTTAATTAAATGTCATTTTTTTCTTACGAATTTAAATCTCTCAAGAGTGAAATCGTTACCAATATTGCAGAACAGGCAAAGAATGTTATCACACCCTTTTGATATCGACCTATGAGCTTTTCCAATAAATAACTCCACCACTGAGAGTTCTCTTCGTAGGAGAAAGCAAAACGTTGTGAGCGATGGCCAAACATTATCCAAAATGCAGATAATGCTTTCAGTGCATCAATACAACCAATAGCGGAATTAGATTCATTTCTCCTCATCAGACGTTCAAAGTTTGTTTTGATTGAAAATATTGATAATAACTTTGAGGGTTTTCCAAGTTTTTCAAATAGTATTTGACAAAGCGTACTTCCTACATTTAAGAAAATAATCAGAAGAAGAACAGATCTGAAAATAAAAATTATCATCTCAAAATGCATAAACTTCCTAGAATTTCATTAAAAGTTATGTTANTTACTGCAGATGACAGCTGTCGAGCTATCGAAAAAAAAAAGTGTTTAGTCAATTTGAATATTACTTGTAATAGGAACATATGTTTTCACTAGAGTTCTTGTGAGTATGTGAAATTTGTGTACGAATACGCGCACACGAGAAATTAAACTTCATTTTAAGCTAGTACAAGATACTTCAGACTTTTTGGCGATTTGAACTTCCACCTGAATGCTTAAACAAGACTGAAAAAATCCGCTAAAATATGATGTAAAATATAGCTGTGCAGTATTAGGCATATATGCAAATAATATACATGTTCACTGGGACTTCTGTAGACATTTTTATAAGCGACACTTCGAGCCATTCGTCTTTTTGTATAATTGGGAAAACAGTAGCAAAGGATCCAAATTATATTTGATGTTCTTTCGTTTCTTCTGAGGCTTAAATTTAAATGCTGAAAGTTCAGTAACCGTCTAATTGGGCTTTTCACATCATATATCAAAGCTTAGCCTTTGGAGAGTTGAAAGCAGATTATGAGCTTGACATTGGGAAATTCTTTCATAATCGGTTGAAGTAAAGCTTCATTTCTTATTTTTTTTGTGCTCAATTTAAAATTCTGCCGCTTGACTTGAGAGTTATTCACTCGTCCAACTCCATTTAAGGCTCATTTCGATATATTGATGTGCGCTAACAAACATTGAAAGGTGAGCTTTTGATAGGAAAGCAGAGAGAAAAAGGTGAACAATAATGTAGAAAGATGTGAAATAAAATATGGATCAGCAGTCGATGTTAAGTGCTACACAATTCTATTTTATTTAAAGAAAAAAATCGAAAATTAGGCCATGACCATATAAATCATTTCAAAGAGAAACGATTCCATAAATAATTTATTTTCAATATAATCTTACAATTTTGTTGGCTTGTCTTCGTTTAGATAAAGCTTTCAGAGGTTTAAATACTTTTAAGCATCTTCAAGCATCTATTACGGTTAACCGTGTCTCAAAATAAATAAAGAATTAATTTTAATGAAGGAAAGATTTTTTTATTAATCAAATATTTATTTTACATGAAAAGACGTCAGATATCCAAAAATTATTTTTATTTTGAAACAGATGAAGCTTAGTGAGTTAAATAATTTTTTTCCACACTTATTATGAAGAATGTTGAAAAGTGATCAATAGAATCGACACTAAATATAGATTTATATTTTTTTGAAGTCTCGGTTATTCATGGCTTTCAGGTAAATTCTTTATGTTTTGATAGCTTCTTTTCTGGCGTCTCCATAAGAGGCTCACCAATTGAATTCCTGGTGCTTCAACAAAAAGGTGGAAAACAGCGCTTATTATTGTACACATCATAACATCTCCCAATTGAATATGAAGTTTCCACCACTTTCCGTAAGAAATGTTTTGCTTTTGATTTATATTAGTCAACACAACGTATTGATAATGAACCAAATAAATACACAAACACATTCTAGATAGTGGTTGCCATGAATAATGTGAGAGAAATGAACGAAAAATTCCACCAGATTTAAGACAATGACAAGCAAAAACAATCCAACAAATTGAACAAGACCACAGATCGTCGTTGATAGCTTTGTAAATGCGATCAAGTGGCAAAATGTTGGGTAATTTAAAATCGAAAAATGTGTCACAGAAGAAAAAAGTTGTCAAAACCCAAGCAATGGCAATCTTTACATTAGATGTTCTAAACTTAAGATCTTTCCGATCGTAGATAATATATCCTGTCAAAATTCCTATCATATACTGTCCAAGACGATATTCTGTGGAAACATACAGACTAATATTATCATCTACCGATCTGCAATAAGTAAGTATGAAAGTTTAATAAAATATTTTCTCTTCGTTTAACAATTGAAACATTCTGAATGTTGATACTTACATGAACATCCTATAGTATTTGAACACTTGTAGCAAAACGATTAACATTGGAAAGACAACAAAAGATTTTGCTTTCAACTTCCAAATGCAATAAACAATCAGTGGTGTTGAATAAAAAAGCTGAAAATCTGTAGATAGGTACCACGTGTAGGAAAGGCACTGAAAATAAAAATTGAAGTCACTGATTTGAAACAGGTACTTAGAAAATACGAATTTGTTACTTACGTACTCCCAAGTCTTAGCATAATTTTGAGTAAGAGTGAGATAAGGCAACCATCCTTCGCGGCATAGATTTCTCCTATGAATTAATTCACCAATCTCTGGACCTGATACAAGAAATTGAGGCAAATTGCTACTGAAGATGATAAGAAAAACTGCAATTGAAGGAAAGTAGCGCAAGTACCGGTTGATATAAATCATGGCAGGATGAAAATTATTCCTATTTTTGATTGTAAATATTTAAAAGGAATGTAAGAAGTTGCAAGAAATTTAATTAAATGTCATTTTTTTACTTACGTATCTAAATCTCTCAAGAGTGAAATCGTTAACAATATTGCAGAACAAACGAAGAATGTTATCACACCCTTTTCATATCGATTCATGAGCTTTCCCAATAAATAACTCCACCACTGAGAGTTCTCTTCGTAGGAGAAAGCAAAACGTTGTGAGCGATGGCCAAACATTATCCAAAATGCAGATAATGCTTTCAGCGCATCAATACAACCAATAGCAGAATTAGATTCATTTCTCCTCATCAGACGTTCAAAGTTTGTTTTGATTGAAAATATTGATAATAACTTTGAGGGTTTTCCAAGTTTTTCAAATAGTATTTGACAAAGCGTACTTCCTACATTTAAGAAAATAATCAGAAGAAGAACAGATCTGAAAATAAAAATTATCATCTCAAATTAATAAACTTCCTAGAATTTCTTTAAAAGTTTAGTTACAATGCGAAACCATCAAATAAGTTCATTGTAGGAGGGTCGATACATTCAAAACTCTTAATTGTTGCTATTTTGTTGACATCATATTGCTTAGAAAGTTCGTACAAATCCTTTGATGAACAAGATTTTGGAACACAAATTCCCATTTTATAAGTTTTGCCTGGTGCCCCATCATCACTATTGAAAAATTTGAAGAGAATTTCACGCAAAGTGACGTCTCCAATATTATTATATTCAGTATTATTATTCTTAATGTTTTGAGTTTTGAAAATAGCACCGCAATACTTCCCAAAAACATTCTTTAAACATATCTTCATGTTCAAAATCATTGCACTGATCAAAAAGACCAACACCAGATCGGAAATGATGCAAATTCCCTGGTTGAAACGACCACGTGTCAAAAACTGATGGAAAAGAATTAAAAATAATTGATTGTGATAAAATTCTGTATTTAATTTTGATCATCTTTTACACTTTAACGCCCACGTATCTCCTTGTAAGAAAGAATTATGAATTTTTTTAAACTGACTTTCACAATCATTAAGTTTTGTGATATTCATGTCAATATTCGAAGTTTGATCTTATTAAGTTGAAAGTTCTACACACAATGAAATGTAATGAGAAACAACAAGTTGAATATTAACTATTTTTTGTCGAAATCACGTAAAAAGTATAGTATAATTAACACAGCACGAACATAACACTTTTATTACTTTTTACACTTTAAAAATTTACATTTAATGTACATTTCGATATCTCGACGGCTATCTCATAAATAACAATTATAAGAAACAAGAAACAAGATCACCCTTCGAATATTGACATAATATCATAATAATAATTATTACTGCAGATGACAGCTGTCGAGCTATCGAAAAAAAAAGTGTTTAGTCAATTTGAATATTACTTGTAATAGGAACATATGTTTTCACTAGAGTTCTTGTGAGTATGTGAAATTTGTGTACGAATACGCGCACACGAGAAATTAAACTTCATTTTAAGCTAGTACAAGATACTTCAGACTTTTTGGCGATTTGAACTTCCACCTGAATGCTTAAACAAGACTGAAAAAATCCGCTAAAATATGATGTAAAATATAGCTGTGCAGTATTAGGCATATATGCAAATAATATACATGTTCACTGGGACTTCTGTAGACATTTTTATAAGCGACACTTCGAGCCATTCGTCTTTTTGTATAATTGGGAAAACAGTAGCAAAGGATCCAAATTATATTTGATGTTCTTTCGTTTCTTCTGAGGCTTAAATTTAAATGCTGAAAGTTCAGTAACCGTCTAATTGGGCTTTTCACCTCATATATCAAAGCTTAGCCTTTGGAGAGTTGAAAGCAGATTATGAGCTTGACATTGGGAAATTCTTTCATAATCGGTTGAAGTAAAGCTTCATTTCTTATTTTTTTTGTGCTCAATTTAAAATTCTGCCGCTTGACTTGAGAGTTATTCACTCGTCCAACTCCATTTAAGGCTCATTTCGATATATTGATGTGCGCTAACAAACATTGAAAGGTGAGCTTTTGATAGGAAAGCAGAGAGAAAAAGGTGAACAATAATGTAGAAAGATGTGAAATAAAATATGGATTAGCAGTCGATGTTAAGTGCTACACAATTTTATTTTATTTAAAGAAAAAAATCGAGAATTAGGCCATGACCATATAAATCATTTCAAAGAGAAACGATTCCATAAATAATTTATTTTCAATATAATCTTACAATTTTTTTGGCTTTTTTTTCGGTTAAGGTAAAGCTTTTAGAGGTTTAAATACTTTTAAGCATCCTCAAGCATTTATTGCGGTCATATGAGATTGGGAAATTGGAAAATTAGAAGTGAATCTTAAATTAACGAAAGAGAGAAACGAAAGAAAAGCGCCCTCATTATAAAGAGAAGGGATGGAATCCTAAAGAAGGCAATAGGTAGGAAAGAAAAAGGTTTGACGTGAGTGGCCAGGTAAATCACATCTCTATAACAAATTGAAACATCGCTGATAAAATTTAGGAAGCTCGATTGGAATTTCCTAAGTGATTTGGTTTGGTTGAATGAAGGTAATTGGGTCGAAATTCTCTTATCTTCTGACATAACAGCATCAATTGAAGTTGATTGAAGAAAGTAGACATGAATGGTTACCCTGACATTCCTCTAACTCAATTTAGAGTCTTTCTAGCATGAAATAAAATAATTATCGCAAGTCAGAAGAGGCAGCAAACAAATTAAATTTGAATTTTATCAACATCGTAAGCTGCAAGTTCTTCGAAAAAAAAATTAGATTATGATATAAAATTAAAAATGGGCTTCATATTATAAATTTTTGATGCTACATTATTTAATATTTTGTGAGAAAAAATGTTTCACTTAAACGAGTTTATTCTTATTAATAAAAAATAAATTGAAAAGAACATTCGAAAGGGATTTGAAAAAAAAAGTTTTAAGGGATTTTGTTGCTTCTTTTCATAATAAAAAATACTTCATTTCAATTTAATTAATACTATCTACCAAGGGTTTCATAGTGTCGTAAAAAGTATCATACAGCTTAAAAATAATATTTTTAATATTTAATATTGAATTCTACGTATTCAGAAATATTGAAAATGCTTTTGAACCATTTTCGAAATCTCAACGTTTCTTTTTCCTATTCGCTGAATTTTCTCCTCTTGTAGAATGAGAAAAATTTCCAACGAAAATATCTTCTAGAAGGGGACGATATAGATATTCGAAATATATATCTTTGGAATATATCAAGTTTCACAGCCAAAAGAGCAAGAAAATTCTGTTAACGCTAATGTTCGAAATCTTTAGAAAACAACGGAAGTCAATTTTATTTCTTGAACGCTTCTACCATTGAAGAAAGTCTTGGGATTAAAATAAATTTATCAATTTTAATCATAAATTGTAATAGCATAAAAGTCAATGAAAATAACGCTGTATTATATAGCGAGTAATGAGCCAGAAGACGGCAAGAAACATTCAATTTCCATCAATGCCGGGGGACATTTTCAAGCCGCTTTTCTCATAATCAAAGATAACGAAGAAAAATAATCATCTGATAAAAACTCGAAATTCTTTCAGCTAATATAAAAGCTCCAAGTTTTATTTAATACCAAAGAAAACTCAGCCATTTCGCTTTTATTTCTATCCATTTTCAAAGTTTTAAATTTTTTCTTCCGATTCGATTCTTCCAAAATTGATTACAAATTAATTATCTCGATAGCTTAAAATATTTTTTTTCTTTATTTAATCTAAACTTCTGTGACCGCTTTTAAAAACACTTTTTGGGAATAATAATATTGATGAAAAGTTTTATAATGAGCCTAAATTATAGTATCGCATTATTCAAAGCATGGTGAAGGTCAAAGAAAGACCTGATAACGTTTTCTTTGAGCTCTTGATTCGATTTATTTAATAACAGTATGGGACGTAGAGGTCTACTCATGAATACCTCCATCATAAACTTCACCTTGCGTTAAAAGGAGAAAGCCATGGCGAGAGTAATTTCTGTTTTCCATGCCAAAGAAAAATATTGATCAATTTTTGCGATAAGCCGAAGCAATCGCCGTAGGAAGAAAATGTGGAGAAAAGTCCAAGGTTAAATGGAAAATGAAAGTCATTAGGGAGAGAGAGCTTTGAAAGGCAAGTCAGACGACTTTTATTACAAGATATTAAAGGTGGGAATTTGTTGTAGGAGATTATCATCAATTGACTTCGTGAAATGAAAGCATTTTGCTAGGGATGTTGATCATTTGGGTCGATTCATGTGTCAAGTTTCACAAGGCTTGTGTTCGTTCAAGTAAAAGAAAGGAAAGAAACAAAGAATGTTCCATGAAGTTTTTATTTACTGACTTACTTCTATGCGTGATTTATTCCAAGAAATAGAAAATATTTCTAAAATTTATGTCATTTTATGATTTTTTCACTCAACTTAAGTTTTAAATGTTATTTACCTAATGAAAAGCTCTCAAAGTAAGCGGAAATTGAAACCAGAGACATCCTCGTTTTAATTTATTTCCGTGATGTCGAATTTTATTTTAGAACATTTCTGTTTACATTTCGAGACAACAATCTAATATTTACTCATCTCAATTTTCAAACTCCAATCAAACAAGACAAGACAATACGAATTGCGGCTATTGTCTATCGAATGGAAGTTTAACAGTTACGAATGTTTCCACTCGAACTTGGGGAATTTTCTTTTTACAAATTGAAGTCGATAAAATAAATAGATAACATTAAGTTGAGAGCTTTTGAACAGAGAACTCTTTTTTCATGAAGATTCATGTGAATGATTTCAAAATGTGATTGGTGTTTAACTCGAAAACGCTGCAAGCGTACATTTCAATTCGTTCTCATTATGCAAGAAATGATTTGCGCAAAAATAAGAAGAAATATTTCCATTTTTATAGTTGATTCCTTTGAATAAATACGATGAAATTGAATAAATCCAATTTGCAAGGATCAATAGTATTGCATCATATCATAGTTGAGTGAAGCTTCCCATATTATTGAGAGAAGACATTCGATGAAATCAGAGTCTGATTTCTTTTCATTTTGTTACAGTTTTCGCTTGCGAGAGAACATTAACGAACTTAGAGAAAGAATTTAACGACATTTTTATGACACTGCCAGCTTCTACTTGAGAAATTGACAGGAAATTTTACTTTTCAACTGAGATAGGATAATTGAATCTAAAACAATTTTTCATTCTTACAAACGAAATCAGTAATTTTGAGGGACATAAAATTCTCTAATAGAGACGATGACATCGTCAAAGCTCAGAACTTAAAGCAGTTGAGTTCATTAGATATTGAAGGAAATTTTTATCGCATTCCTTTTTTATTCTTCAAAGTTTTTACAGTATGAATGTCCAGGTCTGTTGGTTGTGGTGGTCGTTGCAATTTGTTCGAACTATAAACTAGTTTTTCTCTTCACATAAATCGAGTCAAACACTTTTTACGAATCATTCTCGTCACATTTCTTCTGTTGATCCTTTTCTAACCACACATGAATGAACAAATTTTCTGTGTGAAAACCTTGTCAGTTGGAAAATGGTTTATGTCGTAGATGTTTTCCAGTCTCAACTTTAGTTTTTCCTTTCGCTCCCATAAGTTTGAAAGGCGAGTTTTAAAAGGAAAAATTTTTTACTCTCATACTTTTTTTATGATTTGACCGACAATATTAATTATTCCTTCTTATCTTTTGTTGGCCAGCTGGTTCTTTCCTCAAAAGATTTATTTTTTCCCTTTCAATTTCACTCATGACATTCAACATTGATTAAATGTATTTTTAACTGACTTTGCTTGCCAAATAGCGCAACAAGCTTTGGCAAACTTGAAAATTTTCTCATCCTTGAAATTTAATATTATTCAAGAGAAATAAAATGATTTCTGAGGTCTGATAAAAAATAAAAAGCAAACATTTTTGCATGTAAATTTGCACGTTGAAAAGCTTCCGCTATAAAAACTGCTGCGTTTTTAACTGGAGTAAGAATTTATAGCATTGTTTAAAGTATGTATGTATGCTTTACGACCATTTTTGCTTCTCCAATCTTAAGCAGATTTATGACATTCCGATAATAACGGCAGAAACATAAAATTTCAATTTAAAATTAAATATCATTTGATGGCAATCCTTGTTACAACCTACACATAGCTGTAGCTACCGATATAAATCATTATTAAAATGAATAAAAAAAAGTTTAAGAAAAAAAAACTGTAGAGAAGCTGAAAGCTGAAAGGAAAGAAGAGAACTTGATGTCTTCGAGTTCATATGAATTTTCTATTTTTATCTCCTTTTTGCACATTAAGCAGATCGAATCGGAATAAATCAAAATGAAGCGAAAGCGGCTGCCTTGTTCTGCTATCAAATATTGATATTGCGATCGAACTGATAAAAAAAAACGAAATCAGATGAAAAAATGAATTTATTGAGACAAACGAAATGACTTTTTCTGTGTTCTTCAGATTAACTCATCTCATATAAATGATAATTTAAGAAACGGCAAAAAATATCTGAAACATTCATTCTCGATTGCATTTTTTATCTAAAGAAATCTCTGAAACACGCTACAAGGATCTCATCAAGTTATCTATCCATCCCTATCGATCTGTTCTTCAAATCGAATCAACTTTTGAGTAAATTGACTTTTGCGGTTCATCACATATGCTTCATTATAAATTGGATTCATGAATGATTGAAAGTGTTTTTTTTTTGGGGACAGAGGAAACTTTTGATTATTTTTTTTAAAGTCCATGAAACTTTTGAACTTCCGAATACCAGAAAAATTCATTTCTTTACTAATGGCCACGACTTTTTCCTTTCACGAGGAAGATCAAAGGAAATATTTTGTTTCCTTGAAAAAAGTTTTCAAACTTCTTCTTGCTCGTTAAAAATTTTATATTTTGTTTTACAATTCGATCATCATAAAATTATGTTTTGCTTTATTAAATATTATCACATTGTAAAACGTCACAGTGGTTCGACCTACATGGGGAACAGAAAGCAAGTTCAACTGATGTCATCAATTTGTTTCCGATGAAGAATGTTTTATCACAGCAGCGAATTTCAGATTCAATGAACAAATCATTTCAATGTCTATGTATTTGCGAACAACAAATGTTCTCGTCTGTCATATGACTAATATCTTCCAATTAAAACCAATTAAAGCATTCAAAAGTCATAAAATATGAATCAATGATATCAGTGTGAACGCTTTATAAATATTATTCACAACCAAATTAATTGCTTTTCGCTCCAAGTCACATCTCTCACATCACAGTGGAAAATAATGTTGAAGGGAAAATGCTTTCCCCTGCGCATATTTCACCATTTTCGAAAAGCTGCGTAAGGGGAAATCATTTCCTTGCTTCCCCTCTCCGTACAATGGAACAACATAGGAATTCACACACGGACGGATGGTTCGAAAGAAAAAAAAGAATATTCTGAGTTTCAGTTTCGAGTTTGAATTTGTCGAATGAAGTCGGGAAACTCTAAATGCTGAGCATTTACAGAATAATGTTTAGTTATCTTTGATACATCAAACAGATCAGTCAACATGTGGATATCATTTGTATTGTGTACGGGATGATAATTAATAAAAAAATATTTTAGTGAAGTCTTTAAGATTTAATCAAAAATGATGATGAAAGAAATCATTCAATAAGAAAGATAAAAAATAGAAACGCTCAAATGAAGTTGTCACTAAAAAGGTCCGAGCGAAAATGGAAATTAATGTTTATTTTTTACAATCGTTTGTGCTGAGCTTTCACTGAACATTTTTTTTTCCTTTTTGACCTGAAGAATTGAAAGCAAGAAAATAATAAAAATAACGACATGAGACAACATAAATCAAACTGAACGAATATTTTAATGGCCAAGTATCTTTGATTCTACCCTTTGCCTTTGCTATTCTGCTACTGTGTAAATAAAATCGATGGAGTCGCTAAAGAAGCGACAAACCGAACTGTTTTGAAAGGAGTAAAATCTGTGTAAAAATGTTATTTTACTTTCATAAAACTTTCTTGTTTTCAAACATAAAACTTTTGCATTGCTTCGCGTGAAATTATGCAATGGTTTCGTAGACAGACAAGGGAACGAACGAAAAATGAGAAAAAAAAGATTAAAGTTATATTTTCATGAAAGTTTTACACGACATGATGAGAACTGTTTGTGGAGGAAATTTCTCTGCCTTTCTGTTTTTCTTTTTCTGAGAATGTTCAAAGCAAAAAGAAAAAATATTGCAAAAACTTTCAAATTAGTTTTTCGTTGCTTACGAAGCATATTAATGTAATAAAAGCTAAAGATAGCAACTGAAGTAATTTTAAATTTTCAACTGTGCAGTGTTATTATTACCACTTGTGAAATGATAATGAACGAAGAAAATTGTAGTTTCGCTAACAAGTTGCGTGAATAAATAAACTTGTTGCACGATATGCCAACAGCGTTTCACTAAAGCTAAAGCAAGAAAAAAGCTCAGTAAAAAAAGTTGAAACGAATTTTAAGACAAAAAAAAAGGAATGAAATTATTTGCTGAAAAGAAAAGGAATAAATTACGAATTTGAAAATCAATTTCCTGAAGCTGTGAGAGTGAAGAAAATGAGAAAAAGGAAAATAAAATTCCTACTCATCGATTCATTTCCAAATGAATTACAGAAAATTTAGTCTTTTTTTCCACCTAAACTCACTCAAACAGTTGAAACGGCATTGAAATTGGGAGAAGGTTCGAAGAATGCTGTGTTGTGAATGGGAAGGCTCACATTTTCTAATTCAGTGAGAAAGAAAGGAAAAAAGGTTTTTTCGAAGTGCCTACATAACGCAACATACCATTCATGTGAAGGTATACCTAGGTAGCAACACGACACGAAGTGTAGATATTTTTAAAACTAGAAAATTACTCGCTGGAAATAATGTGAAGCAATTTAAGAAAGAATTTATCGCTGCTTACAGGTGACAAAGTTACGAGAAAATGATTAAAATGCTTTAGAAATTGGTGCTCGTGTAACAGAAAAGTGAAGAAAAGTTTCTTTTTCATATGATTCTTGAATGTATTTATGTGTTTCGCAAACATACATCAGAAAAAGTTTACTGCCTGAAAACTTTCGTAAAGAAAATCAAATAGGAATTCTTTTTTTGATTTTGTGTAATTTTGTACAAATGCTTAATGTAAAAGGGTCGAAAATATGTGAAAATTTAAATAGATAAAGCCAAAATTCTTTCCCATTTGAATGTCTAGTTCTTGTTGCGGTTCACATCAAGGCCATTGAATGATGTTGATAACCTTCCCAAGAACCAGCAGACTTCTTCTTTCATCTCATGAGACCATGAAACCCTTCTTGATAAAGTAGAAAAATAGAAATTATCATCATGCAGAGAGATATTTCAATGTGTTAAATATATTAGATCGTTTAGAGAATTGAGGAAAAGGAAAAAAAAATCAATAATTTACGATATATACGGACAGATTTTTTTGTCATTTTTCTTTCCCATATCATCCCCATTAAACTAAACTTTGATGGGTTTTATCAAACATAATTCTTCTACGTCTCTTCTTCGTATATTTTGGTTCGAATTTACTCTTCTTGTCAAAATGGTCTATCATCTATATATAAAAGCAAACATGAAGAGAGAAGCTTTGGGTTAATATTAGATCTTCTAATGATTTCAGTTGAATAATCAAACACGAAGTTAAAGTGAAATTTAAAGCTCGAAAGCTTGTTCATCATTGTTTTTCTCCATAATTTTTGGGGTGAAATTATTTTGATGATGATCTAAAGAGTTTATTGTTTTATTTTTTGCTGATAAAAAGCCAAGGCTGTCGTAACAAACCAAGAAATTAGAACAAATAATGCGACATAAAAAACCCCTAAAATGATAAATTGAATGTCTTTGAGTGAAGGAAAACTTTTTTTCTTTCGTCATCATTTCACGAGTTGAGTGAATGAAGTTGAGAGTTTGAAAGAATGACTTAAACTCATCTCTCTTAATAGAAAGTTTCTCGATAAATAAGAAGCAGAACCTACAAGGATCAAAGTGATTTGTCTTTTTCGAGCCTGAGGTTTCTTTTAGCGTCAAAGTTTACATTTGGGATTTATCCGGAACACATAAACAGATCGTAATAGATTATATTTTATAGCTCTCCTTAATTGTGGATTGATTACAAAAAAGAAAAATGATTTTTTCTCGCCTTATTCCAATTACATAAACAATAACAAGAAAAGAAATATGAAAGAAGCTTTTTCATCCAATTTAAAATTGTGTACTTGGCAGTAAGTTGAAACTTCAATAAAAGCGACTTTCCCTCGTGATTGCATGACATTATAAATTTCCAGCATTTCCGTCTTTGAAATGTTAAGATAACGAATCATATTCAAGGAATTCTTTTTATTTTTACTTGTCGTGTTTTTATACAAGAAAAAAAGCTCAAATATCGATCTTAAACCCTTTTCGTGCGAGAATGTCTCGATTCTCGATGTTCTAAGCTTTTCTTTTATATTATCTGATAAGAGTCATAAATATGGTTCGTTCAAATAAACTTTCTTTTCTTAATTTTCCAAGTTTTCTTTTTTTCCCTCTCTCGTGTTGATTTGTTTTTTCCTCTTCCTATCTACAAATACTCTGATTTTTTGATCTGCCTTCACGCTTCTGAAATTTTATGGAAAACAAACAATAAACGCACGAACAGTTGAAGCTTCTCTTGTGAATTGAAAGTTGGGAGAAAGTTATAACAGATTAGGTTATAGATTTTCTTTTGTTTCGTGTTTCCTCACTAATCTACTGAATCTAAGCTTCAATGTAAATAAACAATGAAAGATATTTGAGAGGAAAGCTCATTTAGAAATGACAGAAATTAATTGATTTATTCGTATTCAACTTCAACAAGATTTATTCAAGCATCTAACCCTTTAAGATGAAGCAAACTGACATACAACCTCGAAGCGATCCAGAATGAACGAAGTGTAAATGTTTACTTTTGACTTTTCTCAACATAAAAAAGCTTTTTAATTCCCTTGAAAGATGCTATGAAAGAATTTATTGCCTTTTTTTTGACGAGGCACTCAAAAAATGAAAACTTTTTCTTGCTTCTACATACTTTTTCGTTGCTCAATATTTTAAAGCGGAGATAATATTGAACTTCTTCAGAACAAGATAGAAGGGAGGAATAATAATAAGAAGATGTAGCAGAAAGAAGTTATGCACGATGGAATTGATTAAAAGCGATGTAACGTGACTGAGTAAAATGTTCGCACCTGGAAAATTAAAAGTTAACATGAGGAAATTTATGCTTTGAATTTATGATGATAGGGAGACATAAAAAAGTTGTTAAAAGCTTCTTAAAAAAGCTTTTTCCTAAAACTCATGTCTCATGATAAAGTTTGTCACAATTAACGCATTAACCCAAATAAAACATACAAAATTTGTACTTTTTGCAGCAATTTCACGAAATGTACAGAGATGGATGAATAAGTAGAATCATTTGAATCACATAAAATTTTATTAGCTCTGAAGAAAAGTACAAAACCATGCAGAAAATAAAATGCAAAATAAAACATTTTTTTTTTCTCCCCTTGTCGTTCGTTTTCATGTCGTCTTATTCACCACGAACATGCTCTATGGTAGGATGTCATAAACGAGCATAAAATTCAAGTTCTCGCATTTCCATTTAAAGTCACATTCCTCAGAGTTGTGTCTGACAACGATAAGTTTATGCTTTCGATTGTCATGGTGTGGGGGAATTCGCAAGGCAGAAAAGTATCATCATAAATATCAACATTCAACTCATTTGAATTTGTTTTCAAATTATTCATTTCCACTCCCCAACCTTCGTTTCCACACGGCGTCGTTGTCGAGTGCAAATTGAAGTTTATAGATTGATAAATAAAAAAAAGCGAAAGGAAAAAAGCTTTTACGGAAAGCTTTGTTGATTTTCGGTTTATAAAAAAAAACGAATAAAATGAAAAATAAATTCATCGATGAAATCCAGCGCCCAAAAAGCTGTCACTTGTAATTACGTGCTTTGTTTGAAAAGATTCTCGACAGATAAGCAAAATGAAATAACACAGCGAACAAAGAATCTGTTAAAAACAAACTGTGATAATAAAGCTTTCTGTTTTGTTTTCATTCCCTTCATCTTTCAGCCAATGTTGCTGTTGATTAATGCTTCATGTGTGTGAATAAAATGTGATATTAGAGAAAAGATGAAACAATTCAAGGATAGATAAATTATTAAGCGAAGAAAACATAAATAAGTGTATAAGAAAACAACCAGCCTGCACGAAAACAAAAATTCAGAAAATATAGAAACGCTCGTAAGGTCGAGCAGTTGAAAAGGAATAAGTGGGGAGAGCGAGAGAAAGAAGTGATGGCTAGAAACAACACAATCAATTTTAATTCTACGGTTGATTACTTCAAGTTGTATAATGCTGAAAATAGCACTTTATCATCTGCCCCAATGACAAAAGCGAACTCGTTTCTTGTCAACACAACCACCGACCCCGCAACAGCATCTACACCACAATTCTCTTCTTCAACATCAACATCAACGCCTTCATCACACTTAGCATCGCCAGGTCCATCTAGCAGTATTCCATTAGTAACCGCCACTACATTAACGATAACATCTACGATAATAAATAATTATACTACTAGTCAAAATTATTACAATTACAATAACACTAATCATAGCCATAATTCAAATATAAATAGTTTTAATCAATCAACGTTATATCAGTTTAAAGGTTTTAGTAATAATTCCAGTAGTGATGATAATAATATAAATAATAATAATAGTTTAAGTAATAATATAAATGATAGTGCCAAAATATCCTACGAGAGCGGAAGTAATTTTATGTTATTGTTGGAAGATTTTGGTGAATACTTTTATAACTACAACGGCAGTGATTTTAATTCAAGCGTCAGCATCTATCAAGCGAATTGTTCGCTATCAAATTCAACATGCGAGGATGTGAATACGCGTAAGTGTCTTAATTATACTCCCGATGTTATCTTTACGTTTCGTAGGTATTAAAATATTCATTAATGTCTATTGATCTAAGGTTTCATGAAATAATAATGTTTTTTTCATGTAATTATAAGAACGACTTTAATAAGTTTGAAGAGTTTGTTATTCGAGAAGTAAATTATTAGAAATATTCTCTTGTGGTTTATGGTTTTGCTTTTAATATTTATTCAACAGAAATGAAATGTAATTTGTTCTTGAAAGACAAGTCAAACGAAAAGAAAAACACACAAAAACCAAATCTAGAAAATTTTCTTGCTTTTCCCACATGAAATTATAGTTAATTGGATTGAGAGTCTCTATAGTAATGATAATAATTAATTCGAGTCGTAAGAATTAGGTTAAATAATTACCGAAGATTAATATTATTAATGACTAATAATTTTGTTTCTTTTCTTATTTCATCTATACAGCCAATTACAATTATTGGGCGCTGATACTTGTAATATTTCCATTTCTAACACTCTTTGGCAACGTGCTAGTCATCTTAGCAGTTCTTCGTGAGCGAACGTTGCAAACAGTAACAAATTACTTCATAGTATCATTAGCTATTGCCGATTTACTAGTAGCAGTGGTCGTTATGCCCTTCGGAGTGTATATATTGGTAAGAACTTGCTTTATATATAAAATCATAAAAAATTAGCATTATGCTTAACTTTCTCCAACAATTTTTGACTTAAACTTCCATTATGGGAGAAAAAGAAAGAACCAAAGGGGAATAAAAGAAATCAAAAATTCAAATGACGTTTCAGTAATCCATTTTATAAAAAGCAAAAAAAGAAAACAGCGACGACCTTTCCAACATTCAATAAAAATAAATTTCAAACTGATATGAAACCCAAGCGTATTTTTATGTTGGAATGAGAATGAGATTTCAGATCTATAAAGCTCGTAGCTATTAAGGAAAATGTATTTATTCTCATCCCGAAAATATGTGCCTGAAATATGCTGAAGAGATTGTTCATCTATCACGTCACGGCCATAAAGAGAAAGAGATAGAAATTGTAGTTTTTCAGCGTTAGCTGTATTGGGAATTATTGTAGAGTTAGGACACTAATGAGTATTTAAATAACAATACGACTTATTGGTATCCTTCGTGATACTAAAGAGAACGCAAATGACTCCTTAGGCGTATTTAACTTCATGTTATACATTTCCAAACTCACGTTTAATGATTTTATCCCGCTCTCAAATCAGAAATGAAACTTTAAGGTTTATTTTTTTAGGTACTATAATTGGGACAGCAGAAAAAAAGAAAAAAAGCTTCAATGTAATATATTTTTATTAAACATTACAATAACAGTTTGTTTTGATAGATTCCCTTTCCGAGTTCACAAAACTTCTTTAATATGGAGAGGTTTTATTTGAAGCATTTCTTTTCTTTGATAGACATAAGACGATCAACCAAAAGCATTTGTGTTGTCGTAATTTTTATGACTTCTTCTCTGCACAATGAAGTCTCGTCCTATTTGAGTTTAGCGATGAAATTGTTGACAATATGTTTGCTTGAGCTTTTGGCTTATTCTAAAGCTTATTTTGAAAACGCCTAGAAATATTTCTAAAAATAAATATTTGAGATTTAATAAACATGTGAAATGTTTTTTTTTTTTTGTAAAGATGAAGCACTAGAATTTTATAACTTATGACATCGGGTGTGGGTGTACATATATGCGCATTGGTGTGGGTGCGGATTAAGGAAAATAAATTCAATTGAGAATAACTTCTGTACTCGTACGGAATTGAAATATTCAGCACGCAATGATTTTTCACTTCTACTTTTATCCTAACGAATCTCAGCGAAGACATCAATTTCTTGAGATAATTTTATGGTTTTCTTCACATTATCTCAGACACGTCCTTGTGCTTCTATTGATTGAATCTTCCCTCTTATCAATGCCATTCTGGTGGAAACTTTACACGTTTAAAGTATGTCACATAACAACACACAATGTTTGTCGCACTTTGTCTTCGTTCCACGCTACCGCACCGAACAATATGAATGTATGTAAATTTTTAAGCTCTCCAAATTTACATAAACATATTCACATCCTTTAATGCTTTTTATCTCTTCCAAATATATGCGATGTGAAGAGTAGAATTTTGATAGATTTTGACAAAAAAAGAATAAAGAAGAAAGAAAAAGAATAACAATCTTGAAAGGAAAATCCTCGCTAAGTAAACGAAAGAAGGAAAGTTTACGTCCTTTCATTTCATTTTATGTCAGTAGCAAAAGCTGGAAAAAGCTTTGGTTTTCCCAGCTTTATTTGTGTGCAGCAGTGGAGAAAAAAAAACTACACGCATCATCTTTCTCCATCGCCTTTTTCTCTCACTGCGAAAAAAAAGGGCACACAGGATTTTGAAGATTAGAAACGTGACGTGGTTCAACATGATGCTGTAATAAAAGCCACATATACACACAAACACGCACACGCATAATCAAATTTATATATGGGCTGGGAGACGTTGAGGAATTGAGCATTAAACATTTTACTCGTGCACGTAAATGTGATAGCTTTGAAACATAAATTAGCTAGATTTTTAAACCGTCCATGGATGAAGAAGGAGCGATTTTGTATTCAGACAACGAATTGCTTATGTTCACTTGATATTACTTGGTCCCCAAACAGAGCCAACTGGTGTTTCTGACATGGAAATCTGTTTAAGTTGCCAACAAAAAGAAAGAAAAAAAAGTCTGAGATTTCCGACAATAAATTTTGATTGCGCACAAATTTTCAGATTTCTAGATTTCCTACCGATTTTCTTCGCCTTTTCTTATTACTCATTTCAATTTATCAAAACAACATTCCGTTGACTGTAATTGTTAATTTATAAGATTTTTATCGACAATTTATGCAATTAAACTTGGGCTTTATATTATTATATCGGTCTCAGTTAGAAAATTAATCAACTTTGGAAACTGTACACGAATAAAACTCAGATTCGTGAATGAAAAGGCTTATTTAATAACGTCATTAGGTGGAAACATTAATACATAATATTTATTTAAAAAGCTTTCCGTGTTGTCAGAAACGAGTCATGATTCCTTTTACGACATGTTGTTGGGAAAACCCTAAAAGAAAAATAAAGTGTTAAAGTCATTATCAATTATATAATCAGATTGTGATTAGGATGTTTTTTATTTACATGAAATTAATATTGAATTTATTTAGCATACACAAAAAACGAAAATAAAAGCTCGTTGTCAAATTGAATGACATTCAAATTTATTTATGTAAAGTGTTATTCATTGAATTGCTACGCTGAAGACACCCGCTACATCCTTCATATCGTTGTTGTTATTTATCTTCATACTTCTTCATACATGTGCTGTATATGGTGATGCCATGAACTGACATTTTAATATGAAAATCTGCTTCATGTAATGAGCAAATTTGTATGCGAAAAGTCAAGAATACCATGAAAAAAATTAGCAATAAAAATCTGATCTTGGATGGTAAACGAGTTGAAAATAAAAGAGAAAATTATTGTTCGTAATGTCTTTCGTGAATTATTAGGCAAGCGAGAGTTGAACTCAAAGTAAAATGTTAAAATAAAAAACATTCTCACGAGTAAAAAGATGAATATCAAACTGAAAAAAGTGAAAAATAAATTTTTTCAGCATTTTTAGAATCATTAGAAATGAATTCCACGTGGAAAAGTCAAAAAAGAAATTCAACATGCTTTGTATACACAAATGGCTTCCTTAATTTATTCCATGAGCTGTAGCTATGAAACTTCCTCCGAAAATGGTTTTATGATGATTGAAAATCTGAGAAAAAAAAAATTCCCTGTACTCCTTCAACAAACAATTTATGTTCTCGAATTCCAAGTTATGTCAAGTCATGTTTGAGTAATATTGCGAAAATAAATTCCCATACAATATTAAACAACAATTACATTAACTGAAACGATTCTTCGGTTTCCTTTTTTCTGAACTTCGAGCTTTTATGTGGTTTGAGTGGATAGACGTTCTTCAGACCCTCAGAAAGGTTAAAGAATCCCCGATGACTTGCTGCTTGTTGTTTGGTGGAAGCAGGTTTCATGAAAGGATCATTTTAAAAATTGATAACACATTTGTTTCTTCCTTTCACACTTTTGTTGGAACTCAAGTTGTTAGAGAGCTTACATAAGTGATGGAAAGGAATGTAATCGCCATTTGTTAAAGCAATCGATGACTTGATGAAAATATCTGTCTTGAATCTGAATAAATTTTCTTCCTCGATTTGTGCTTTTTGTGGTAAAGTATGTTGCCAGAGAAAAACCTTTTTTTTGGTGCTTGAGAATTCGACCTTTACTTGAACTTTTCTTGTGAATAATTCTTACGTTAGTCCAAAAATCTTTCCTCATCTAACCTTGACATTCTTTCTTTACGCATAATAATGTAAGAAAAAGGAAAAAAATAAAAAAGAAAACTGAACTCATAATAATTCCATTCACTTTGCTCCATTAATCTTAAAGTTCGTTGCTATGTTTTAATTTTCTCCGAGGTAATTAGATTTAGAAACGTGAATGGGATGAGAAAATATCTGAAAAAAAGAAAAGGAAGAAATTCTCTCGTTTTTGTAATTTAACACACGCAAGGTTTCGTGAAACTTGTTGAAACTTCTAAAGCTAACATAAGTTGCCACTCTAGACAAAAAAAAACGAGTTTTTGCTTTGAATTTCATGCCATAAAATTCCAATTGCTTTTTATGACAGATTCGTAATTAAACTTTGATGGGAACGGAAATCGACTATAGACAGTTGAAAGTTTAAAAGTCTAATTTCATTTAATTTGTTTGAAATGTTAAACATATCAATTTGTTGGAAATGATTTTGAAATTATTTGCTTAAGCAAGCTTAAAAGCACATTTCGATTCGAATAAAATTTTTATTGGCAGCAGTAAATATTCGCTGAATCCAGTCCGTATCACCTACACCTTCAACGATAAAAAGAAATGAAAGAAGCTTTAAAAGCTTTCTTCGTAAATCTGCTGGAGCAAGCAATCTCGTGTTGAGAATTGCGAATCTCTTCCGCAAATCTTATTACTTCTGCAGGCTTTCTCACATCACATCAAGTTTATCAGGAGTTTACTTATGATGCTCACATCTTGTCATTCAAGTAATGATGTGATCGAGAAGACAAAGACACACGTAGATGGAAGAAAAATCATGCCAAGAAGATTGTCATTCATCGTAGAAAATTACACATTCGAAAGATTAATGATGATGGGCAATTTAAAAGGAAGTTGGGATTGAAGATCAAGATGGTGATAATTTTTTGGGTTGAGTTAACTTTTCTTTCTTGTTCTTGAACAGAGAAAGCTCTCAATCTCGTTAAAACTTTTCTACTCAAATGAACCCTTAAAAAGCAAATAAAATCTTAAACATGTACATTTTGTGGGCGTTGAAAATAATCTTGAAATGTTCCGTCTGCAATCTACACTTGGTGTTTGTTTGTATATTTCCTACATTTCTTTTGGTTATTTGAATATTGTTCAATATTAAGTTTCCGTTCATGATTCTCCTTCAGCCTTTATTTGAATATCAAGTCAAGTAAGCCGTAAACAAGACAACATCGTCGGAAGTATAAACATTAAGGAAGAAAGATAAAGTCACTTTATTGACGATGCTACAAGGTTCAACTGTTGAAGACTTCAAAAATAAAAAGATTTCCGCTAACATTGTGCCCCATTTCCGTTTCACTGAACTCCTTCAACTTTTATAAACAATTACTTATGAATCATATAGCATATTGACATCAATAATTCTGTTCCATTTGCCCTGAAACTGAGCATTTGATGTTGCTGTTGTTTTTCAGTTGATGTTCTTTTACTCTCGATGCTCGAAGCAAAACCGTCGCCCATAAATATTATATCAAAAAACATAAAAACACATCCCTTCAATCAACTCCCACGAGGATAAATGACATTGAAAGAAGAGACGATGAGTAAAAGGAGTCCAATAAAAAGCAAACACATAAACGATTAATTCACAATATATTGATCTTTATTATGTTCAATCCAATCTCTTTCATTTTATGAGCTTTTTGAAGCTTGTTCTGCTCGTTCATCCAACCGTTAACGTATGTAAAAGAAATTTTCGAATTCGTTTGTTAGCGATGACTGCATCAACGTTCCCTTTTCTTTTTCTTTTCTTCCCTCTTTGCAATTTCAACTTAATTGAATCGGACGTTTGTTACGAACAAGAAATTTCGTGATTTAGTCTCCTTCACTTAGATATCATTATGCTTGTCAACAGAGTTTCGAAGCTTCAAGTTTTCCTTTCTCATTTTGTGATTTTTTTTTCTTTCTCTTAAATTTCTTTTCTTCAATCTCGATTCTCGATCAAACCGAGCTGAAATATATTCAAGCAAACGCTTGTTGGTTCAAAAAGCTCTCAACACGATGCACTGCATAAATTATCTATGTCGAAAGGAAAATATATAAAATTTCACATATAACGTCACGTAGTTTTTGATAACCTCTTCAAAATAATATATTCCATTAGCAAGGGTTCTACTAATGTTCTTACTTATTGAATGAATTTCATCTTTAATTCACTTAAAGTTGTTTATTCTGTACGATATGACAATGTGACTGGGTAAGTTAAAATTTTGAATTTTGAGCAAACAATTTGAAATTATTGTGCAACGAATAACACCTTGTAGGTGTAGATATCACGTTTTCATTTCATCAATCAATTCCCATCACACAATCCTCCCTCAAATGTGATGAATTTTTTTAATTTTATACTCCACCAAATCTCATTTGAATTCATTTCTGCTTTAAAAGCATTTCTGCTCGTTTAATTTGATTGGAAAGCTCATCTCAACATCTCAATGTCTGTCACTGATAAGAAAAGTCAACCGAATTGGAAGCAAATTAGCTCTCTTTATGTTTGACACGAAGTCTCAATCGAAGTCAAATATAAATAATTTTTTTTCTCTTCTTCCTTTTTTTTGTTCCGGTGTTGACTTCCGTTTCTATGCACCCCTCAATGGAACGGTAATATAAAGAAGGGGGATGCCGTTAAATTTGATTGCGTGCCATGAACATTTGATGATCTTTTTGGATTCAAAGCATTACTTTTTTTTATTTTTCTTTCCACCATACCATTCGATGTTCGTTTTCGATAAGAGACGCCGACGTTGTCGTTGTCATCGTCGTTTCTTTTGAAGCCGCATTTTGCCTCTTGAATTTCTTCGTATTGGGACCCATCAAAAGTCTTGAATTAAATTAAATTTTTTTGGCAAATTTTTTTTTGTCTTGAAGGAAACTCAAGAAAATAACGAAAAACGTGGAATAAGTTACTTGATACCTGTCAGTCTTCCTTCTCAGTCAGATATTTACTTTGAAAGCGAACGATATTACAGACGGTGTCGTGTGTGCGAACAAATGTTTTTTTATTGCGACGGAATTGTAATTAAGAAGTCATGAAAAGAATCTTTTCATGTGAGCTTGCTTGCGATAAGAAATGAACGTTTACTATGAGGTTGACCAGGGTTAACGAGACAAGAAGTATTTTTATTATTTTCCCACAAAAAAAAAGAAAAGAAAGAAAAATTCGTTATTCCTTTTCATTACGTGATTAAGTTGTTTGTGACATTTCGTAATCAAAAACTCTTCAATGAAGATATTGCCCTTGGAAACTTGTTAGCCGAGACTTCCGAAAAATTGAGCTAATTGAAATTCATAGATAATAACAGACAATAAGGAGGGGAAATGTTTTCATTGTTATGAAGTTGCGAACCAAATACCTACTTATTTTATTTTTTTGTGTCTATACTTATAATGTAGGGCTGTTGTGACAGAAATTCAATCTTAACACGGAATGTTATGAAGGTCAGTGAAAATCAATGAAAAGGTGAGAAAAAGCGTGGCAAGCGACAACTTGTGGATTTCAAATCCTTTTACAGCCAAGAAGATTCATGAAACTCTGAGATTTCTTTTAAACGATAAGATTAGGTATGAAATGTTTTAAACGTCTCAGAAGATGGTTAATGGAAATATAATTTCCATAACAAGAGAAAGGAAAAAAAATTCTTCTTCAAGCAAACAACAAAGGAATTCGTCGCTTTCCTCTTTCAGTTTTTATTTCTCCATTATTTTAGCTAAAAGTTGTAGAAAAACTTTCAGTAAAGGAGAACAAAAAAAATACAAACACAAAGGTAGAAGCAAAAAATTCTCCAGATTTTGTTTCCTTTTTATTTAAGTTAAGTAAAAGTCAAAGTATGAAAAATTAAAATGAAATTTCTCTTTAGACTGACTTGTCGTTAACCACCGTTGCGCAAAGTTTTGGAACGCGTTCACTTTCTCATAACTTTTCGTCATCATAAAGCGAGCTCGCGACAGATGTGAAATTCTTCGTAAAAGCTTCTCTCTCTCCTAACCACCCTCGTAGAGACGCAGCAGCTTCGTCTAAGTGATTAAAATGAGAAATTATGTGAAACATAATGTGAAAGTTTTCGTAGTCGCTGTTGAAAGGATGGAAGAATATTATTCAACTGACGTAAAATAAAACTTGAATGTTTATGATTTAGATTTTATTTCACTTAAATTTTTTAGCGTAACTACTTAGCAGCAAATGATCGCACATTTAAATAATACATGAGTGAAGCAATCTACATGAATGTTATCTATTATCATGCTAAATGGAATAAGATGAGAAATATAATTCTTTCATTTCTTTCACGCTATGGCATGATGTTGTGGCATGTCGAGCGAGATATGAGATGTAAATTTTCAATATTGCTCGTTCACCATATTTCTGTACTCGTAGGGCTTCTTAGTACCTGAGAGATTGTTCACATAAACGATGTAGTAAGCTACTTATCATGAGAATTTAAAAGGTTGACGTTGTTCGAATGCTGAGTTATTTGGGATCATTGATACATGACCCCTGCTATGCTGTCTGCCTTTTGATCCGTCTCATGGCACTTGATATGTTAAATAGGATTTTATGAAAGCCACGTGTCGTAAGCTTCGTCATCATTCTCTCTAGCATCAACCTCACATAGGCCTAGCTTAATGGAAAGACAGAAAAGCTGTTAAAATAATCAAAAAACTTTCCGCATCATATAAAATATTATGAAGACCTTCTTTGGGTAGTCAAACGGTGACTATCGTCCCATGAATCATCATAAAGCCAAATGAAAAGCCAAGTCGTTTTCACTCTGATGAATGATTCCTTTTTTCCGACAATATCTTCATTCTTTTTAATTGCGTTGTCATTTATAAGACCTCGTCATAAATTCTCTCCGAAAAAAAAAAGAAAAAGCAAACCTTCTGCAAATAAGTCACGAAGCAAAAATGTTTTAAAAATGAACATAAAGAAAAACATGAGATTAAAAAGTTTACATCATTTATCAAAAATTATGGGCACACGATTTCTCGCCCTAAACACCGCAGTAGAATTCTTTATAACATTGCAAAATGATAGAAATTAATTTATGATGTGCTTGCTTTTCCTCTCATTTCCAAACGGTACTGTTTTCCGCCCCACCCACTCACATTTTCGGCATTAAACTTTCAGTTTTACTTTTTTTTTTCAAAAAAAAAGGAAAAAGACAAAAAGGAAACAAATGAAAAACAGAAACGAAAATTTCTTTCAGACGATGTCATAGTTGCCTGGGGAAATAAATTTAAGAAAGTGAAGCAAGAGCGCTATAAAGCTTCCAGCCAAGCATCTCATAGTCGCTTCTTAACTTCTTTTTTTTCCTCAACGATAACGAAAAAAATTATAAATTCTTTTTTATTACTGCCAAAACTTGGAGAGAAAATGTTGAAGTGTTCAGCTATTAATCATTTTGTCTTCTTACTTTCCTTCATTGCAGGTAAATGGTGCTTGGTCTCTACCAAATGTAGTATGTGATTTTTATATAGCAATGGATGTGATTTGTTCAACATCATCAATATTTAATTTAGTCGCGATATCTATCGACAGGTAAGTGTTTAAACGCTGACAACTTAATTTATTTGTGATTTATGATAACTGTCTGTTTTGTTATTTTTAACGTTGTTCTTTGTTGAGTATTTTCCTTTTATTTATTTGGAAATTTTTCACAATCTCTCGCTCTATTAATCAGTACAAAACAAACGATCAACCGTTGTGAGATTGAGTCTCACATTTTCACATATATGAACAATAAAATAAATCTGATATAGGTAGTCACAATCACAAGCTGGTGAAGTCATTGTTTACACTTCCACTTTGAATTCTTACCCGCATCTACATAAATCATTTTTATTGATAATTTTATGCGGATGGGGGAAAAAGGGTAGCTTTGGGTTTCATATTAAAGTTATCAACTCAATTGCTAAGTGAGACTTAAACCGCACCCAAGAACAAAACAAAATGCTCAAAAACAATCATAATCATTCTTACATGTCCTAAAGATTTCTTTCACATAAAAATATGCGAGTGAGCGATTAAATGAAAGTGTCACTTAAGAAGAAATGTTTATTTTAAATCATTATAAACGATTACTTTAGGTTGAATTTCTCAATAACATAAATTGCTAAAAAGAACTTTTGCCAGATTTCCCAACCAGTTCACAAAAATTTATGCGATTTCGTTTAATTTGACTCCCAAACAATTGTTGGCTGAGATTTTAGACAAAGATTTCTTCGTCTTAGAAAGACAAAATGTTAAAGTTCGTGATTTTTATTTGTGGAAACTTGGGCGTCAACTTGTGGGAAGCAAATGAATTTTTTTTGTAAAATTTGTGGGTTTACAAAAAATTTACTAATTTGATTAAATAAAAAGCGAAAAATTATTTTTTCATGATTATCTCAATTCTTCAATCATTATTTTTATTCAAAGAGTTTTTTCATGTTCATTGAGTCTCATAAGCCTAATTATTTCATTCTTTATTCCATTCCCGACCTATGCAGACAAACGCTTCCATATTCAATTTCTCGTTTAATAAAATATTTCTTTTCCACGTCGTAGAGCAATGAAAAGCTTTTATCATTTACGTTAAATGTGTTTATTGTCATTTTCATACGCGCTCACATCTCACATCTACCTAACGATTCCATAAACATCAACTTCTCTTCGTTTCACTTATGTTTTCGACGCAAAAGCTTCCCTTTTGTAATATTTCAAGTGTATCACATTTTAGCGTGTGCCATTATTTATTAGGGCGTTACCATCATAATATTCTTCACATTATTGTATTTTTTTTCTCCACTTCTTCAGCTACATGTTTAAGCACATAACTTGACTCCGCTGTTAAGTTATCTTACATTTTTAAAGTACAACCAGCTCAGTCAAAGTGTATTCATACGAATTGAAAACGTTCTCTCAAATTACTTTCCTTTTCCGTAAAATGCGTGTGTTTATACTATAAAGATTAATGAAAATGTCAACAGCACATCATCGCCTGAAGATATTGCTCTGTTTATTTAAGTTGTACCATAGAAGAAAAATCTTAGCACGCCGAGAAAAGACGGAAGGAAACCTTATTAAAGTAACTTAAAGTAGATTTGAAGGTTTTATATTTAAAAGCGATTAAAAATTGAGTTTATCGGGTTTACAGCAAATACCTGGGGGGTTTGGCAGCTATAATTAAGCTCGTTTTCATGAAGAACTAAAGCTTCATCGTTAAATTTTAGAACATTGCTTTGAGAGAATGACAAGAAAAACATCCGTGTAATGTTGTCTTAGGGAAGTAAAAGACTGTCATGGTTTTTTATGTCTCCATTAATATGAAAATCAAAACATGTTATCAACATCAGATTTATCCAGTATCATAGTTTTCCTTTCCTTAAAATGGATTGAGGATAACGCAAAGAAGATTTGTGGGTTCCTTTTATAAGCTTTAAAATCTCAGTTCTTCCAAAAAACTAATGTAGAACAATATTATGTAAATTTTGACAGCGAGAATCAGAGATCTGTTGTTGAAGGTTCTTATGACTTCAACTTGGTTGTAGTTTGGAAATGGCAAAGCCTCTTTTAGTGTTCAAGAAATTATGCAAAAATATGCAAGCACTGAAAACATTCTGCTTCTCTCAACTGTCAGACCTCAGACGATTTTAAAATTATATTGAACATATTCAGTTGGATTCTATTAGCAGACCTTTTCAACGTCAATGGCAAATTCTTCTCGAAAATATTTGTGTTGAAGCTACGGGTCAGAAGCTTTTACATTTCCGAATTCAAGAGGAAAATGGAATAAAACGAGTCACTCTAAAATACCAAAGTCATAATAGCCTACACTTTGTTTAACGTTCTCCATTATCCAACTTTTGATGAGTTCGGGAAGCTTTGTGTTTGATGTTTGGCAATACTTGAGTAATCAGCACTTACCATTAGTGTTAGAATTTAATGTTAACCTAACCCTTACCCTTAGTCGATTCTTGCTCCATCAGAAAAAAATTCCCGCAATAAAATTTATCGACTTGAACGTAAATTGAAACATTAGGAAGCGATTTTTTGATATGCTACTCAGTGAAATATTATCGGTTATTTATGATGAATAATAAAAAAAGAAGGAAAGAAAGAATGAATAAAAATTAGAATTTCAAATTCAAATTTATTCAACTCACCCTTAAAGCTCGTTGAGCTGATAACAACGCCACTAAGATTCACTTAAATTAATACCATTAATATGTAATTTATTTCAATTTAAATTTTATTCATTACACCGACGACCGCTTCACTGAACTCATTAAATTTTATTTTTTTTCACTTACAGATACATTGCCGTAACACAACCAATTAAATATGCAAAGCATAAAAACAGTCGAAGAGTTTGCTTAACGATTCTTCTAGTGTGGGCAATATCAGCCGCAATAGGATCACCAATTGTACTTGGTCTCAACAACACTCCTGATCGTTTACCGGATTTATGCTTGTTTTATAACAGTGATTTTATAGTATATTCATCGTTAAGTAGTTTTTATATACCATGCATCATCATGGTATTTTTATACTGGAATATATTTAAGGTAAGTTCAGCTTCCAATCTCATTTTACTTCCACCCTCTTTTGATTACATAATTTATTGTTTTGCTGTCGGAAGTTTATCGTACATAAACTGAACTCCCCTTAGTTCACATTTAATTTGTCTTAATTACCACTAAATCATGCGTGAAAATTGTTCTAAATAGTGATTGTTTAACTCACTGTTAGTATGGAAGAAGTTTCAAAACACTTTATTTTCTAAAGAAAGGAAACTAAACTTTATAATGTGTATGAGATATGATACAGAAAAGTGATGAAATATGTTCATTCTGATATATGAAAACATAACAAAAGTTTTTCCAGTTAAGTAGCAAACTTTCACAGTTCGTTTATTATAAATAAATATGATCAGAATAAATATAAATTTCATTGGCAAGCTTTTTGGTCTTTGCTACCTGCTCTGTTAAATTTAAAGTGAAAATTCTGCTGAGGGTTTAAACAAAAAGGTTCCCAAAGAAGTCGAAAGAAAACAATGAGCGAAAATAAGAGGTAAAAAGTTTTGTTTGAAATTTTAACTGAGTTGGAATAATTTAGCAAACTTTAAAATGCATTAAGAGGGTAAAAAGAGAAAGTTTCAAACTCAGTTTGCAACGTGAATTAAATAACAAATTTAATAAGAATATATTGCAAGAAAGTTTCGCGTAAAATGCAGTAAAGGATCTTTGGAGATTCTTAGATGAAGAAATATTCATCTGCAGACTATTCAGATTATCCGAGGTAAGAAATCATTTGATGATCAAAAGCATTAGGAGTCTGCATAGTTGACGAGAGCACAAAAGTCTACACAAAGAATTTTATAGTGAAATGAAAATGGAAGAATTTGAAAATTTATACAAATTTATACAAATTATTTCCATCGTGTTCAAACAACATCGACGACATTTTGACAAGACAACGAATGTCAGGATAAACATTTCACGAATTTTCTTGAGCTTGTCTCAAGCACTTCTTGACTTTATTTCTTGTTTTTTTCTTCTTCGTACTCATTCATGACCCAATTTCCTCCTTTCTTCATAATCTCCATCAATTAATTAATTAAATTCTTGGAAATGAGTTTTTCATGGAAATTTCTCAACATTCATCATTGTTGAAACAAAATCCTTAACACATTAGGAATTAATTACACTTGAACTTGCTTTGCTTTATAAGACATTGCAGCATTTTCCTTCAACTTAAAGATATATGTTGCTTATTTATATTATTAAATCTGTCGAATAAGAACATCAATCATCGGTTTTTTAAGTCGAGAATAGACCGCAGAAGAAAGGTTTCTGCAAAGGAAAATTTAATACACTTTGCATACATTAGTTTATGGTGGTTGATTGCTGAAGAAGAGATCTTTTACGACTCGTTTTACTGCTCGTTTGAGGCTTAAAGCTTTTCTTTATTCTTCCTTCACAAATCCAACGATATAAAAATGTTGTTTATTTTGTGGTCTTATGGGAAGGGGTTAAGGCGGGCTTCACTTTATTAAATTTTTTCCCTTTTTTTCCTCCCCTTTCAAATTCAACCCAACATTCGGTTTCGAACATGAAAATGAACTGCTGTTGTATTTTTGTTAAATATTCATAGATAGATCTGACTTTCAAGTTCTGTTCCAGGCAAATTTAATTAAAAACAGTTGAATCGACTGTAATGCTATAAAGGTGAGAACGAGCCCGTTTTCTATCCTGTCAGCGATCATTGTTTCCTAAATTTATTCTAATTGGCAATAAGTTTTATGTAGCAATTTTCGTAGCTAAAACTTTTTCATCATGCAGTTTCCAAACTTTGTCGTCTTTTGTCAAACAAACGATAAGAAAAAAAAAACTCAAGATGAAGGTAAAGTTGTCACATGAATGTTTACATATTTACTCGATAAATATGTAAAACTTGACTTTGGAAACCATCGAAACTTTCGCCTGTTGTAAACTGAAACATATTAAATAATAAAGTTGATAAGATCCCAATATAAAACAAATATCAATACTATAAAATTTTAATAGGGCTTTTGTTTAAATTTTGAACATTTTTCATCCTTATTGCGCAGCAAGAATTAATTCATTCGAGTCTGAAATGGAAACGCTTTCATTCAAATATTTACCTTTATAATATTTTTGTTGTAAGTAACAAAAGTTGTTAGCTTTAGTAAAATAAGCAAAATACAAAAGACATTCCTAGAATTGTTAATTTTATTTCTCAGATAAAATCATATTTTGTTAATGTTAAGAATACTTCAAAAGGTTCGTTTTTTCAACTACAGAACAACTCAAAAACATTTTGATTAATTTACTAACTTAACTCGTTAGCATCTGGTATATTTTTTTAATCAATCTTAATATAAATTTAATCAATTGATTTTCTCAGAGAAGTTTGATAATCAAATTATTCTGATTAAGGGACGTCTTGATAGATAAAAAAAGAATCTCGTGGTATTTTCGCGCAGAAATAAAACTTTGTTGTTGTTATTATACAGTATGAGGATTTCTTTCACGTAGTAACAAGTTTAACATAAAATATCTTGAGAAGCAACAATATTGATTCAAGTTCATGTAACATAAAACAACATTGAATAAGCATTCATGCATTCCCATAAGACGACTACAAACATAAATATGATTTTTATACAAATCTAAATAGACAGAACAGGGTTGATTACGAACAGCCTTCGTTCGTGTCGGTAGTGAAAGAAAATGTATAAATATTAAGCTCCGTATTTCCTTTCCTTTTGAAGGCATTTAGCTATGGTTACACACGTATGTTGGCACATATCTCTGACACATATCAATGTTTCCACGGTTTCAAATTATGCCTTTGTATCGAAATAAATATTTTGGAATTGACATTGAAAGAATACGTGAGAACTTGATATGATGAGAATGAATATGTTTACCCTCTTCAAAAGAATTTCAACAGAAATGATAAGAAGAACAATGAAATAAGTGCTTAAAGCTTCCGTTTGTGGTATCTATAGAAACCAACCAGTAAAAAAACGGAACCCCTTTAAATCAATTTTCAAACAAGCTTTAAGCAATCCTTGCATTTAAAATCGGCAGAATGAACCCTCAAATACTTAAATGGCTCTAACATATTACATCGATAACTTTTGTATCATCACATTTCCTTGAACAGCTGAATTGATTGCCAATACAAGATGAAAAATAAGAAGACGATCATCGAGGCCTCTGAAATTGAATTTAAATTCCATTTCCCCAACAATAAACAACTTTTTTCGTTTTTTTTTTCTCTTTGCTCCTTCGTGTCAAATATCTTATGCTAGAATAAAATGAAATCTCTAAGCAGAGACGCTTCTGCGATATTCACAACATTTTATTATGATGATTTATGCAATAAGATTTACTTCATGTTACCGTGATGAGGGAATGGTTGAAGGAGAAAGATATTGCGAGTTTTATTTATAAATACAACGGAAGTTCTTCTGTACACGTTCACTCTGCTTACGCATTTTATGCTTTAGCTTTCCATCGTCTCCTGTTTCACAAATAAAATTCCAGTCATATCAGTGATTTATTCTTAACAACGGTACTAAAACTTTCTTTCTTCCTCTTCATAGGCACTTAGGACACGAGCAAAGAAGCAGCGAGCAGCTAGAAAACATAATATATCTGATTTAACAGCTGGTGGTAGTATAATTGAAAATATTGCACAAACAAAAAGATTAGCGGAAACAACAATGGACGGAAGCAGTAAAAGTTCCAAAATTATACCCGAAGAAGAAAGACCAACAAATACAGGATCAGGCTCGAATGAAGATGAGGATGAGAATGCTGGGTGAGTAAATATTCGATCGCTTTTAAAAATTATATTGGAAAAAAAGGAAATGAATCGACTATTTATATTTGTTTAGAGAAGAAGTTCAAATATGCCAAAAGCGCCTAAAAGTTTACATAATGTATGTATTTTATTATTCATAACTCATATGTCACTCCAACATTGTAAATAAACCTCCTGCTTGGTAAACAGTAAAGGATCTTCCTACATCTTGTCCCTGACTTCCTTCTTTTGATTGCTAAGAATTTAAAATGTAGAAAATGACAATTCCTTAAAAGCTCCCACTCAGTACTTAATAGAACTTCCATTTCGAAAGTTCATAAAGACAATTTAATTTTCCATTCACATTAACTCAATTGTAAATCACAGTGGAGAAAATGTTTTTAACAAAGAGGAGAAGAAAAAAAATGCAAAAAGCTTTTTATGCTTTCTAGCTTTGTAAAGAAGGCTTTGAGTGTGAAAGCAGCTAATAAAAAAAGATGTTGCAATTGCATTAAAGAGTCGGAAATTCTTTACGGGTGATAAATAAGCTATCGCAATGAACATCCATCACCTGCATCCGCAAGCAGTAAATTTCAATTTCGACGTTTATTAAATTTCACCATTTTGGTTGAAGCTTTCATTCGTCTAAAAATGCTTCATTAATAGGAAAAAAACAGAAATAAGGAAAAGGTTCGCTCCTCCCTTGGTTGACTAAAATTTGAACTTATTGTGAGTTTTATCACATTTGTGTGAAGTTGTCACCATCGTAGTTCTCCAACAATAAATTTAGTTCGTTGTAATAGTAATAGAATGGACAGGAATCACTTTATAATTTATCGTTTTTCATTTCTCTTTGTCTCATTTTATGTCCCTCGCCTATATTTGCCACAAACACGCGAAAAAAAAATGAACACCAATTCTAGGTCACCCGACGCAGACGACTGTCATGTTATAGTTAACGATAAATCAACCGAATTTATGCTGGCTACTGTAGTCGAAGAAACAAGCAAGTAAGTACTCAATGTCAAGTTACACCCACACTAAAGTGCTCAATCTTACTAAGCTCTGAGATGAATGTTTATGACATAAAATTTAACTTTAAAAATATCCTCGAAATTAATTTCCGTCATAATTTTCATCACGTTCAGTTTGTTTTCGATAAGCTTTCATTATTTCATTGTTTTTTCTCTCCCACTGTGGAAGTGTGATGGCACAAATAACAACAACAACAACAGCACAATCAGATCCGAATGGAAATCACGATTCTGGATACGCACCGTCAAATATTGAAGATATATTAGCAGCTAATGTCACCCCGCCTGCCAGTCCTAATCAGGCAACTATTTTCGTTAATCGAAATGTCCATTACAAGACAAAAAATGGCTCAACGTCAACAACGCCAACGGCAAACACAACAAAGCATCTCACACCAAACGCATCACCAAAGAAAGAACCGTTTAGGTAATTAAGCTGAATAGCCCAATTGACGATTAGATTTCATTTAGTTTATACATATCTCCTTCTCTCTTTCTTTCTCTGTCTCTCTCTTTGTTTTCTTTGTCCGCTTTTTTTTCGAATCCCATTCAAACAATCAAAAAAAAACTGTCATCATAATCATTTTAGTGTCGCACTGAAACCATTATCGGTGGTACGTCACAATGTACAGCAAGCACTTTCATTAACACGAAACGATTCCACATTGTCAGCAAATTCTCGCGAAAGCTCAAGAAAAGATAACAAGAATGTTCAAGCATCGAGGTAAAAAGGAAGAAGAAGAAAAATTATTTTGGATTTTCTGTTTTTCTTATCCTGTGTGTTGTTGAATGAAGCAATTAATTATTTTCCTTCTACTCACCTTAAAAAACCGTCACCGGGAAATTAAATCTCTATAAAGATTAACAAACGCTTCATGAATAATGCTTTGTTTTTTATGTTTATTCTTGTAATTCTTCTTTTTTTATCGAGCATGTGCTGACCGCTTGCTTTTTCTTTCTGTTGTTGCTTCTGCTAACATTTCTTTACATCATTCATGTAATTGAATTAGACTAGAAGGTTATTTCTTTTTCTTTCTTATATGCTGAGTGTTTGATATGATCACATTTGTTTCTTTTTGTTGTTGACCTTCTCAAATGATGCTTCATTGCTTGCAATCTTCCTGTCTGAATAATTTTCATCATTGTGGGTGAAAACAATTTTCATCTCACAATTCATTTTGTGTCTTGTACATTATGAAACATAAATTCTGAAAATTGATCATAGATGAAGATAAATGTAGAAAACTAAGTTTAAATGTCAAGCAAAGTCATTGCTAGATTTATTTTCTACACATATCTACATTCAATATATCTCGATCATTGCAGTATGTTTCATAAAATGAAATCAGGTCGTTTAGTAATTCAACTATCTCATCCACATGCAATATAAATTTGTCATTTCACTGGTTAAGCTTTTTAAGAGCTTTCGAGCTAAAGATACGATGGCAACTGATCGTGAAAATCTGTGTCTTGTTTCCTAAGAAATGACATTAAATTTAACAATGTAGCTTTATTTATTGCATCCCGATGAGACATAAAAACTTGTTGCACTTCCCCCTTTCTCCCTAGTCGACTCTATTTTTCTATTCGCTCGGTCATGCTGTTTGTATTCGTATTTCTCTTCCCAAAGCATGGAAGGGAATTGAGGATACAAAAAAACCAGAATTCCCACAAGATGTTCAAAGCAGCAGAGAGAGAGAGAAAGAGCGGGAAACGCGAATGAAAAAAGGAAAATGCGAAACAAAAGGAAATTTATTACTCTGGAGATGTCTCCATTATAATTTCCCCCGTCTTCATTTTTTCAAGAAAAAATTTGTTACTTAAAGTTGTAAATAATTCAATTTCAGTAAGCTTAATGTTTTCGACATCAGAAATTCGAATGTTTCATGACTCAAAAACTGCATTCATTCGTGATAAACATCTTTTTTCTCATGTTTCATTCTTTAAAAATATTTAAACAATTGAACAAAAACAACTTTATAGAACAAATAAAAAATTACTGTAATTAAATTTTATTGCTAAACGAGTCGGAGTGGAGTGAAAGTAGCATTAAAATATATTTTTCACTGAACAACGACGAAGACTTTTGTTTTTACGATGGAAAATTGAAATACTTTGTTGACGATTCTCTTCCTTATTTAGTGAACTTTAAAGAAATTTGTCTTTCTGGAATTGCAGAGAAAAAGCAAGTGTAAACTAATAGTTTAATGACTTAAAAAATGAAGTCATAAAGTGCGCCTTCTGTTTCTGTCAGCTGGAAAATTTAAAATTTAAGGGAGAATTAAAAATAAATACAAAACTGTTTTGATGTTTTAAAAAAACTTTCCAGGTGACTGAGATAATATCAAAAACTATATAAATAATTAAAAATTTAATGCTTTAATTGAAAGCTGTGAAAAGTTTACACTTTGGTAAGTTGTGCCTTACCATTAATGATTTCTCTCTCGAAACAACAACCAAAATTTATATTCCCATGTATGAGGTTTGGTAAACGATACTTTGGCACAACATGTTTTAGCATCATTGACACTATAGATGGTCAAATGTTCAGCGGATGTATGATAACTCAATTAAGAAAATTGTGAAAACATGAAACTGATAAAAGCTGTGATGCATGTTTGTGTTGATTACACTTTGGGGAGCTTTCCCATAACCACTTGATTGTTCTAGTCATTCACGTGAAAGATGTAGATATAAATAATGCTAAATTCCATTAAATTAAGCAACTTACAGAAAAGTAAACATCAACGTGTTTCAACAATAAATAATTTAGTTCAGGAATTCCTTCACCGAAAGATTAAATCTCTCAATCTTCTTACGTTTTCTAAAGAATTCCTTCTTCTTGTTGTCTCGTCGCTATGTTGTTTATTATGAACAATACTTTAAAACCTTTGGCATTATATTTAACACTTTCATTGTGATTCAAGTTGTTTATTTTTAGGAAATAATATCCGCGACCTTTTAAAACAATTTTTCAGCATTAGTCATGTGTAAATAAAGTATCTAAAAGCTGTTTAAAGTCTGTCAGGATTTAATTTAATGTTGATTCGTGCATGTGAATTGAGTTTCTTTATTTAATTTCTATGTAACTCAGTTGATTTGAAAGAAATTTTCTTGTTATTCTGTTCTCATTTAACTCAATTTTGTATCACAACATTTCACATAAAAACGACGACAAATTTCGTACGCAAATCCCCAATTTGTATTTATGAACACAATGTTATCAACATTTTTTTCATAAACGTGAAAATGTTTTCATTTTTTCTTCCTTTCTCCTTTCCTTGGGTCGACTCGACATTGTTTGCAGTGTTCAACAACGAAAAAAAAATAAAATTTTCATATTTTTCTTTTTCTCATCAAACATCATAAATCTTTATAACCTGTTCAAGTGTAAATTGGGCTTCTGCTCGTTGAATGGCCCTCCCTTTCGTTTTGCACTCGCACTTTCTTATTTATTTAAGCGTTTTATACTTTGGGATTGGAGGAAAGAAAGCTGAAGAATTTCCAATCTAATAAAATCCAAATAATCAAATTTTCTCCCTCTTTTCTTCTCCTTTATGCCGCTGTTATCACACAAATGTAGGTTCACAATTTACAAAGTAAATAAAGCATCAAAGAAGAAGCGAGAAAAATCTTCGGCAAAGAAGGAGCGAAAGGCAACAAAGACGCTTGCTATTGTGTTGGGTAAGAAGAAGATAACAAGAATCGTATCATTTGACTTTACATCGCATTTTCTCAACATTTTTCGACCACTTTGCACATTTTTAAAGGTGTACGGATGTTTGTTTATCTGAATAATTCATTTCTTAAAAGCATTTAAAGCTTTAACCTTATCAGAAAAAATTTCTTTCCTTTCTTTTGTGTGTAATTCTTATTATTTTCATTTCCAATGAAACTCGTACCTTTCATAAATTTGATTTCCCTGGTTGATTTGAAGAATTATACTGACTCGTTCTTACGTTCATTCCTTCTTTCATTTATCCACCAACCACCGTCAAAACTCGCCTCTATAGTCTATAGAGCTAAATTGAATTTCCCTATAAAAGCAATTTGTAATGGTATTGTAAAAATGATCCGAGGCAGGCAAAGAATAATGATTTGCCATTGTACGACGATAGATGAAGAGAAAGAAGGAGTATCGCCTTCTTGTAATTTTCTCGACTTATATTTACATTTTTTCTCTCATGTTCTTTTTCTCTTACTTTTACATGCCGATAACGAAGGCACAAGCACAGAAATTTACGACTACATGAACTATGCGAGAAATGCTTTCAAGCTCTCGTTTGAGTTAATGTAACTTTTAATAGACTTTTTACTGCCGCACCAATGAATGAATGAGTTTTGCTTTAAGGTCTTTTTTGCTTTATTCTCGTTTCTGGGTAGTTAAATTTTTGTTTTTTAGATGATGGAAATAAATTCAATTCTTCTTCAAAGAGATTCTTTAGGGAAATTCACTAGAAAGTCATAAAAGTTGTCGTTTTGAAATTAAAAAACTTTTTAATTCCGGACGACATGACGCCATCGATTCTCAATGTAAATCTTGAAATGATTTTCATCCAATGGCTTCATGAGATGAATGATTAAATTTACTGCAATGCTGCATACATGAATGACACTGATAGTTTCATGTTTCATTGAAGAACTTTTTTTCTACTCTCTCTCTAACTTGACAGGCGTCTTCCTGATTTGTTGGGTTCCATTTTTCACTTGCAACATCATGGATGCGATGTGTACAAAACTGAATTACGACTGTCAACCCGGGGTAACTGCTTTTATCCTCACAACATGGCTAGGGTAAGAACATCCACCATTCAGTGTAACTTTTCTGGCTTTTTTTAATTTCGTAACATCTCAATTCGCAGGTATATGAATAGCTTTGTGAATCCCGTCATTTATACGATTTTCAATCCCGAGTTTCGAAAGGCATTCAAAAAAATTATGCACATCGGATAATGCAGCAAATTAATTGCACCGTCTCGTCTACAACTACGAAAGTGAGCTTTATAGCTAGTTGAGCTTTGTAAAAATAGAAATAGAAATTGAAATAGTAAACCAAGAAAAGGTTAGAAATTAAATTGTTAGAAATTTAATGAGTTTAAGCACCAACTAAACGTGTTGTTAATTGAAAAGAAAAAAGAATCTTCCTCTCGTTATCAGCTCATTAAATCTTTCCAAGTGTGTTTTTTTATTTCAAAGTTTCTCGTTTCTTGCTATGAAGAAGCAAGAAGTGAAAAAGAGAGGAATTAAGCTCAAAACTTAGTTGAACTTTTTGAAAGCTTTATAAGGAAAATCATTCGCATAAAATTAAGAAAGTTTACTCTTTGTACAAACATAAATCAAAAGGAAAATCATGTGTAACTGTAAATTTAGTAAAATTCGTGCCAAGAAGGAAATTGTTGGGAAATTATTTATATTCGATATAAATTATTGACTCTGTTGGATAATTTGTTTTGATTTTATTCTAGAATATCTACATTAAAAAGACATTAACATGTTGTTTCGTCTCGTTGCCTTCTTTAATAATTCTTTCTGAAGATGAAAAAGAAGTAAAATTTCTTTAACAACAATAGTTAAAGTGAAATCTAAATGAAATTCGGAAATGAAAGCTTTTTATGACATCACCACACTTAAATTGCTAACAAACCACAACGTTTATTTGAACGACATTGGACAAACAAACATTTAAAAGGACTTTCATCATCATCATCATCAGATAAAAGGACTTTGAAAAGCCGATTAAAACATTTAAAGGAGATTACTTAAATATATCTTGAATCTACATTATGATCATCAAAGCTTTTCTATGATGAGACTTAATTGATTAAGTTTGCAACTATCTGATATGAATGAGGATACTTACTCGTAACATTCATTTAAACATCACATGCAAGATAAACACTTATCCAAATTAATTCCTTTATCTTTAGTGCTTCTTCACATAATCTTAGTGCTTTCTCCAAGCCCTCAAAGGCATTAAAATTAATCGGTCTACAACCAAAACACTCATCAAACTGACAAATTCTAGATAAGTAAAGATATAATATGATTTCCTTTAACCCATCGTTATGCAACCAGTGCGTGAAAAAAGGAAACAAAAAAAAAGTAAAAATCAATAAAATCATTTTCATTTTGAGCACCATTACGTTGCTCTTTCCTTCTGCTTTCATATTTTCACCAACAGAAGACCTAATGGAAAATAGCTTCGGGGTTAAAAGAGAAGAAAGAAAATGATAGTTAATTTCTTAATACATCATGCATGATAAAATAATTACATCATAACTCAGCATAAGACATTATTATTTTCATTTAATACCAGCATGATTGATTGGTTGTGATTATTAGTTGTGGGATGGGAAAGAAACAGCAGATCGGGCTGAGACAGACAATAATATTCAATGAAATATTTATGGTTGAGATTATTGTTTTTCTATTGATTTCCCTCCCAAATGTTTACGGAGGATGAGTAAACGAATTGTGACGAAGCAGTTAGATATATCAGTCTTCCTAAATATGATGCGGGCATAAGAAGATTCTCTTGAAGTTCAATTTCCCTAATCTTACTGTTGAACTCTGGCTTACTTTTTCTTCCCCATCACCGCCTTCGGCTTTAAGCGTGGAAGTCTCGCGGGCTTATTCGATGTTAAAGTGGTGAATGTCTCAAGTGAAAATAATCATCATTATACATTCATCATAATACAGCTGCGAGCGGTAATAAAACCAAAAAAGAAAGAAAGAAAAAGCTCTTTTCACTTTTCAATGACGTCGCAATTTTCCACGCTAAGCTACATATACATGAAAATTTCATTTTCATTTCTCTCATTCTCGATTTTCCTTTGCCCTAACATTTATTCATTTAACAGTCCATAACTAACCTTACACAATTTTATATCTTCAACTTGAACAGAACGAGAAAAAGGGAAAAAATCCGCTAGAAATCATACTTTAGGGGTAACAACATAAATACTGAAATATAAACGACATTATACTGAACATATCACGTTAAAGTACCAAAGAAAGAATGAAAACAAGTAATGTAAACTGAGTTTCACAAAAACTGGATGTGAAATTTCAAATTTTCTCTCCGAGTCATATCAAGCACTAACAAAGATGATAACATTTCATAAATAAATTAACGACAATGAATTCTTTTTGTCGTGGTTTCATTTTTCTTTTTAATTTATATTCAGTTTGCATTAAATTTTCTTTGTGGAAAACAATATTTTCATTTCAAGTTTGCAAATGTAAGTTGATGGCGGATCAGAATGAAAGAGATAGAAATTTAATAATTAAATCCAAGAAGAAAAAAGAAAATAAAATTTATATTCGCATGAAATGATGAAATGAAAGCAAACTTGAGCCCCTCGTAAGACATTGAGTTTTATAGCCCTTCAAAGAACATTTCGCGTCTTTGAGAATTCACTTTTTGATTTTCATCTAATATTTTTTTATTTTTCAATTTGTTTTCGTTAATAGCATCAGTTGAATGCGAGATTGAATGTAAATAATTATACTTCATTTTATGAGCTTTGCTCCATTTCATTTTTCGATTTAAAGAAGAAGAAAAAAAATAAAAAATTTTCGAAAAGGAAATATGTTTAAGTGTTGATATAAGAGAAGAAATGACAAAGTGATGTACTCAATTTCGTAAATATCAATTTAAAATGTAAATCAAAAGCAATTTTCTTTGCGCAATTCGGTGCCGTACTTTGAATGGCAAATAAACTCATGTCAAAATAAAGATGAATTTTTTTTCATCATTTCGTGCTCACTTAACTATCACTAAAATGAAACAATTTTTCTTTCATTTCTTCCTTCTTTGCCATTTGATGGAAAAAGTGCAGAAGAAACGCTTCCGATTATGTAGAAGATTGTGAGAAGAAAGGAAATCTGCAGATTTTCTTCTGAGTAATCGAGAAACAAGGGAAGAGTTGAAAACTTTTAACAACAGTAGAAAATTGGAAAACATTTTCTCTAACTCTCAGTCCAATAAAAGGTATCTAATGCTCCAGCTATCACATATTTAGTTTCTCGAATAAAAACCAGCTACATTCTTCACAGACAATCCCAAGCTAATACATCCAATAATAAATTCTACTCCAATTTTCATCGTAAAACTCTTCTCAGCGTTTTTCCTTCTGCACTTCTCTATAGATATCGATGGGAAGCCAGAAAAACAATTGCGAAAACGTTGCATGAAGCTTTTATAACAAACAGAAATTCTGCAAGTATTCGCTTAAAATGTTTCAATTTAAACTATCATGTCTTGAAGACACAAAAATTTATATAAGACAGAAGAAGAAGAAGAATTAGCAAAGAAATCTTTCATTTTATTCTCTATTTTCTCTCTAGAAAAATTTATATAAAATGAATTTAACTTAAATTCACTTCGATTCGTTTTAGATTCGAGTGATGAGAGATTACAATGTGAAAGAATTTTGTGGATATATTTATGTAATTAAGAAATGTATTGGAAATACTTAAAACTTTATCTACACCACATGTAATCATCAGAAGAATGAAATATCTGTGAGCATGTATCGTTTATGCTTTCAAATCATAACATAATAAAAATCACAAAAATTTCATTCGATTTGTTTATTGTTAATATTTATTCTGATGCTCAATACTTGAAATTTAATTTGATATAGTTGAAACATGAAATCTATTTCTTCTCGATTGGCTGCATTCACTAAAATAGAAACTTGTATATAAATAAATATTTACAAGCCCATTGGGCATCGCCATTTTTATCAAAGATGAGTTTTTCAATAAACCGTAAAACTTTATGTTGTTGCATCATAATTCGATTGAGTGAATCCCCCAAACACTTTACTATCATTTGCGGAAGAATTTATAGCAAAGAATCGAAACATGCTCTAGTTTCGGTTTAAAAATGAAACGATTCAGTGATCTGGGAACAAGCAATTCGAATTTTAATCAAGTTAAAAACAAATCTCCTTAAGCTTTATTTAAGTGACAAACATTCTGAGTTCACAAAGTCTTTAGTATTGTTTTTAAAAATTAAACAAAGAGAGTTGAAAAATCTCCTGATACGCTTATTAAAACTATAGAATAAAATATTCTTCTCTACTTAAGAAGTCTTGTAAAGAAAAGAAACATGAGATTAAAATAGTTGTACATTAAATGATATTAAAAAAGAAATCTCTGAAGCGACTTTAAGATTAACTCGAAATCTCATCCATTCTTTTGATAAAAGAGAAAAGTGGAAAAAGAAGGATTCTTAAGACGAGAACGAAGGTCCATTTGCTTGTCTACGTCAAACCACAATATATTTAGCTCTTGTCTTGAAAAGAAAGGAAATCCTTCATCACGTTAAGACGTAAACAAATTGTGAAATCAGCACGAGTTCTAAAAAGAGCAGAAAAGAAAATATTTCAAAACAGAAAGTGAGAAAAACAAAATCTTGAAGCGAGACGATTAGAAAAAGAAGAAGACGATCTTTTGAAAGTAAAGATTCTTTCAATTTAGAGAACAACAAGCGCTTGTCTTAAAATTTCGTTCGATGTCGCACAATGAAGTGCAACATAAAAGCGTTCAATTGTAAATCGCTTGAATTGTATATAAAATGCAACACTCTGAATATGAACAAGCAATGGAAACAAGAATTGTTGTCATGAGCGGTTGGCTTGTGCTGAAATAATAAAATAATAAAAATAAAAATAATATTTATCAAATAAAGCTTCACATAAAGCAGCCACCAAAACGGAGCTCGTGTGGCGAGATAACTAATGGCAAACATTTTCCAGCACGGGTTTCAATGCAGCAGCAAAAAGTGGTGGGCAATGACAGAGTGGGAAAGAGAAATAGAGAAGAATCTAAATTGCAATTTGCAAATGAAACAAAAAGTAAATTTTCCTATTTTTCATGGAAAAAACGAGAAGACAAAATATTTATTTGGCAAATGTTTTAGAAAGCTCGCTCGCTCTCTCTCCCTCTCTGTTTTGTATTCAACGCTGCAAGTCAGACAGGCATTCAGTAAATAATAATAATAATAAAAATAATAATTAAAAATAATTTCCAATAAGTTTTATGCATAATTGTAAAATTAATTAATTTAGAAAGATGCAAAATAATCTGATAGGGAAATGAGAACAAATAAAAAGTGAGACATTGAAAAAGAATTTATCGAAACAGAAAAAGATTTTTTTATTGATGCTTGTTGTATTCAATATAAATTTGTAGAAATTGAATTTTTTGTTGACTTGACGATTGATGATTCTAGGTAGCCTTCAGCAAATCTAAATGTTTCAATATTTTTTGCTACTAAACGAAAGGAATCTATTGGTACTTGAAACTTATCCCAAACTTTTCTTCCTTTCAGAATCTTTCAACTCTGATGAACAAATTAAATTCTGCTGCCTTGAAATATGAGATGAAGAAACTGGTCAAAAGATTTTTTCTGTTCCTTTCCAATTCACTTGAGAATTGTCTTTTAATTACATTAAAAATTGGATCTTTTAATGTGATTAAGTATGGAAGTTGATTCAGCTTCTTTCGACTCTCATTGTCGTCTCTCTAGGGCAGCTTTAAGTGGCATTGTTGAAAGATAATGTATTGGAATGCTCCATGAAGCTGAATCACTCGATGGAAACGCGATAAATGAAAGTTATTTGAATTTCTGACTGGAATTTATTTTCTTTTTCATTTACCTATTACCATTTCTCTCTTCACTTCAATCTTGAATTAAATTCTTGACCGTTTTATGAAGCGTTGAAAATGAATTCTGAAAATTTTTCATCTTATCGCAAACTTGTAAATTCATCGATAAAATTTTCTTCGAGAATAAAAGAAAAAGTTTATAAACATCGTGGCACGAAGACTTCTGAAGTTTTTGAGTTAAAAAATTATTCGTCTTAAGATCTTTATTGAATTCTTTCTCGGGTACATTCAAAACAGAGTTTTTTAATTTTCTTTATATTTACTTTACGTTAAATTTTCAATACTTTTCAATTATACCAAAAACCATCTCAGGGATGAAGTAAAAATCCAACCTGTAACTTTCAACTTGAATGCTTACGTAAATTATAATTTTTCTGTAGCCTGAGGGAAGATTGTCGGAGTTGAGATGAAGCTGCTTGAGACCGCACAACCAAATTTTAATTTCTCAAGCAAGAATGAAAAAAGGAAAAAAGGGAACGGTCCCGTTTTGGTTTCTCTCATGCTTTTGGGTAACAATGTAATTAAAGAAAATTTCTCATATTGTTTGCTTCTGAAATTATATTTTTTTCTTCTTTCAAAGAAAGAGAAAAGGTATTCATGCGATTATTGCAAGCTACTACGAGAGTACTGCTGTAGGTTCTGTTTTTTCTTCTCAAAAAAAAAAGGCAAAAGCAAATGTGAACTTTTTACTCGTTATTTTAACTTTTTTAATAAATAATTGCGGGTTTTGTTTTAAGAATAAAAATTTCATGTTCGAGTACTTTTATGCTTTTGGTAAATGTGTGCTATTCGACATTGTCTAGAACTTACATTCATGGAAAAGAAACTTTATGTGGAATTGTCGTTATCGAAGGGATTAAAGCTGAAACTGCTGTCGGTGTTGAGAATTGAATTCTGTTTATGTTCGCATAAGGAATGTTACTACCTTGCGAAGAATAAAAGTTTGGTGCAATACGAAGTGGAACAGCTGCATATTGAAATTGTTTGTTATAATCTCCATTGTAGACGGGTGTCGGCTGTTGATGATAATATACTTGTTGCGGTGGATGTGTTGCTGCTATCAGTGGTGATGCAGATGGCTTTCCTTCGTTTAAATGGGAGATTTGTGTAAAACTCACGGAACCATGATTATCATGTTCAATTTGAGATGTTGATGATGGTTGCGTAGGTGGAATTATAGATTGAAAAGCTAAAGGCTTAGATGCCACAATACGATGAGATGTCGATGACGAAATGGGAAATTGTTTCAACTGATTATTGTAATTTTGAGGTTGAAATGATGTTTGCACATGGTAAAACTGTGGTTGTTGATGGTAGATTGGAAATTTATGAAGTTGTTGGCCAGGATAAAATGAGTTTGCAGGTGCTTGGTAACTGTTAGAGAAACTGGCAATCGGTGCAGTGTGAATCACTGGATTTATTGGTTGAATTGGGTTGTATGTGAATTGATGGAATGGAACTTGTTGAGTATGAAATTGTCCACCATATGTAACTGGATGGGAAGTGAAAATATTCGCTCCATTGACGTAAGAATTTGGTTGAACAAATAATCCCGGTAATGGAAGTTGATAGACTTGTGGTTTATAAGATGATGTCACAAATGGATTATAATGTTGAGAAGCTTTTGAATAAATCTGTTCAATAGAATCAATGAAATTAGAATTGATTTTGAAATCTTTATTATTATGCAAGTTTAATTGATTGATAATAAAGTGCGTGAAATTGAAACACGCCATTTGAAGTATTTCAAAGACTTCGACAGCGTTAATTACTGTAATTTGTATCCAATTAAATTTGTTTCACTCAACAACGAACAAATCAAAAGGTTGCGTGACTTGCTTCAATCCAAACAGCATTTCGCTGTTTCTTTCTCTATAATTTCTTTTTTCTTCTCTTTCTCTGAGTTATTGCCTTTTCCCTTCTTTTGTTTTCCCTTTTTGCGTTCCGATATATTTCTTATTGTTCTTAAGATTCTCTATTCATCGTATCGTAAGTCTTCATGCGGCGTTAATGTCTCACGATAATGCTCCAGTGATTATTATTTTGAACGAAAATCTCATTTGCTTCACTACGTAGATCTTATTGTGAATATATAGTGACTGAACATTTAGGAAAATTGGAAAATTGAAAATTCTTCCATGTTGTTATTGGAAACTCAAAGTGAAGACTTGAAAGTAAGTGAAAATATCGCATTTTTATCACAATAAAAGAAATGCTACCTAGAAACCTGATAACACGCTTTGAATTCACAAGATTAGATATTTTATGATTTTATTTGAGCTTCACAGCATTTAACATTAAGAAGAGATTTCCTCAAGCATCTTTATCGGAGCTTTTCTTTTTTAAATTTATAGTTTAAGCCTTAAAGCCTATTATTGTTCATAGTTAAAAACTTAATCGTTGGTTTTTCTGTTCAATTACTTGTCAAATTACCCATCAAAAACTCTTGATTAAAAAACTTTTTCGTATAACAATGTTGAGATAGCTGTAAAGAAATTAAATGAAGCTTTGTGTCTGAGTTTGAAGCAACATTGATGTTTGCTCGATACATTCACTTTAATTCAATTTTACTTTGAAACGACATTGAGTATCATCAACAACAACAACAGTGAAATTATTTTGTTATTTGCTTTTATCGAAGGATGTTTTTGCTCTTTTAAAACCATTTTATTTCAGAGTTGAGATAAAAAAATGTTTGCAATAAATTAGAAGACAAAAGGAAACAACTTGGAAATATTGACTTTAATGTCAGACATTTAATTGATTGCTGCTTGAGGATCAATAACCGACCACCACAGAAGCAACAAAAGTCTGACGAAGTTCGTCATGAGGGTAAAATTAAAACAAATAAAATCCTTTTTATCGAAATACTGTAAAGTTTCAGGATGGAGAACACACAACAATGCAATGGCCATTGAGAGTCTCAACCATTACACTTGTTGTGCTTCATTTCCGCATCTAAACGGCAAAGAAGAGAAGGAAAAAAATATCAAAAAACGGAAAAGAATTTTTGCTGAAAGGAAGTTCGTGGTGAGAATTTATGTGGTAAAGTTCGAAACTGAAAAGATTTCTTGAATGTCCCGAAAGCAAAGAATTTTTAGAAGCTTTCAAAAGGTTGGACATTTTGTGATGTCAAAGTTGTCAAACTCTTCACAATATGTTTCAACATCATCAACAAATAAAAATAGAAAAATGTTCTTTTCTATTCTCATGAATGATTGACATAAATTCTTGATAATTTCAAGCAATTTGTTGAAATTTCAGCTTTGGTTGTGCTTATGAAACTTTTCTAAGTACAAAACAAACATAAAATGTACTCAATTTCAGACTTCTTTTCAAAACAGAAAATGAAAAGTTTCGTGCTTGTAATTATCATGTAAATCAAATAAATTAATATAACATGAATTATTCGAGTAAAGTTCGTTAGCATACTTTTCCCCTCTCTCGTTTTCAACTTCAAGATCATTTCCTTCCGTAAATAATTTCACAACAACATTTAAATACATAGAGCCGCGTGCTCCTTATTGAAAGTCAAGAAGAGAGAAATTTTTAAGAATAATTAATGCGTTTCACTGCAAAATGAACAGAATTTTAAAACAAAAAGTTCATGACGAAAGTTTTTGTTTCTACAAACTTTTCTGATCCGCCACGGTTCAAAAATGGAAATTAATAAATCATTTGAATAACGTGAAGGCTTAACAACGCCATGATATTTCAATGAATTGTTCTTTTCTTTGGTTTGATTAAGTCATTTAGACTTTTATCATAATAATCACGAGTTACGACAAAAAGATCTTCAAAACTAAACGACGTGAAAGAAAATTCCAAGATATTTAGAATTATCACAAAGGTTTTTGGAAATCAACAAAAAGGCAAGCAAGATTAAATCGAGTGATGCTTCAGTGAGTCTTAAGTTCATATTCACTCTCTTTCCGATATCTTAAAGCCCCCTTTAAATGTCTTTAAAAAGGTTAGCTCAAAAATATATTATTAGAAATACTCACGTTTGAAACTGACGGCGTAAACAACGGAGGATTGGCAGATGAATAACTTCCTGTTATAGGTTTATAAGAAGATAAGCTTGAAGCACTTGATGATCCTACGATAATAGATAATATTTATAGAAAATATATTTAAATCGAAAAATTAAAGAATTTACCATAAGACGCTAAACGTTTGTTTTGTTGTTTGTTATTTTGTGATGACGTCAACTGAGATTGATTTTCACTTGATCTCGTTTCTTCAGCATTTGAGACAGCGAATGCGAGAAAAAAACCAATAACAGCAAATTTCTATTATCAAAAAAAAAAGAATAAAGATAGAAATAAGTCATAAGACAATATCTTCTAGTCAGCTCTGTGTGTCTAGAGATGAGTTTATTCATGGATAAATTTCCATTTGGAAACTGGACGAAAGAAGATAAGCCACATAAAGACGAGGTGTGGAATCGAAATATAATCTGTGAATGAATTTGAGCGCAAAGCTTTCTGTATGGAATATGAAATGTGAAATTCACAGACCAAAGCTTTGGAAACTTGAAATTAAATAAGATATGAAATTTTAAATTCAAAAGCTTCTTCATGTTTTTCTTTCATTGATAAAAATTTATATAAAAGTTCAATGAATCGGTAAATAATAAAAAAAAAATCTATCAACTTATAAGTTAAAGTATGATGAGATTAAAACTTCTGCTTGATTCCGATGCTTCAATATGAGAGAAGTTTGAAAAAAAGGAAATTGAAGGAAGCCGAGAAAACTCATAATTATGGAAATATTGAAAGTTTGAATTTATAGAGAGATTCAAGATGTGGAATCATTTTCAATAAATTATTTAACTTTATATTTATTAAGGTCTACTTCAGTACATTAGCAAGCTAGTCTGCATATACTGATCCACGTTCTAACATAATCCTGTTTATAAAATCATTTAATGCTTCAGAAAATATTTCAAGCTTCTATTTTTAATGAACTTTTTTTTCAAAAGGTTTCAATGTTAATTCTCATTGAAAAACAATTCATTATTTATGTATTTGAAAAAAGTAAACCAAAAATGCTTTTCATCCTAAGTATGCTTTTTAACCATCTACATTCATTCATGTTTGTACTTTCCGTGGAATTTAAATTACTTATGAAGTAATATTCACACAACATCCGATCTGCCACATCCCAGCTAACCCTGAAGTCGAAAGTAAAGATTAAAAAACGGAAAAAAAGTCAGAGCCCAGCGAGAAGATGAAGAGCTAAAAGATAATTGAAGGATTGAAAAATAATGTTCGACTTCTATTCATTGTGCTTTTCTATATGCACAAATGTGCTATAAAGTCTTATCCTCGCTCATTCTTCTTTTTTTAAAGCTCATCATCATTATCCTAATCATAATAATAATGGAATTGTTCGGAAGGAAAGCACAACAGAAAGTTTTCTTTTTTTTCTTGCCTTTCAGCTTTCCTCTCATTCAATGTCAGTCCTAAGAGACGTCGAGAAAAGCGGGACAAGGGGGGAAAAAATGGAAATATGTACAATGAAAAGCCGCTACCGACGATGAAATGGATTTGGGCAGGCACTAAACATAAAAAATAATCCGATTCCATCCTTTTCTTTCTACTTTTGCATTCCGCAATGAAAATAAGGAGAACGAGAGCGGAAAAAAAGTTGCGGCATTGTTGAAAAGAATAAAAACAGCAAAAAAAAGGAAAAGAAGAGAAATGATGTAGAATTTGAGCAGCCGCTCAACATGTTATAATATTTTTGATGTAAAGGGCTTAATCAGATTCATGTTTTCTTTCGAGAATGAAAGAAAAAAAAAAGATTAAATTTCATTGAAAAATTCCATTTTTCCTTGACATTGACCTCTCAAAGCAGTAACAAATTTATTAAAAAGCTCAAAAGAAAAGCTTTTCTTTTGTTCCTTAAGAAAAATTATATAAATCAGCTGTTTTTATGAAAGCTTTCTGAATTAATGTTTATTCACTTTATGCCCTCATCTATTATTTATTCGCACTGACATTCAAATTGTTTCAAACGATGAAGCACGAGAGATGTTCATATTTTCTTCTTTAAGAATTCTTTTTTAATAATGATGAATTTTTATATAAGCACGTATAATCAAATAAAAGTTGATGTGCTTAAGCGCTTCTGTAGAGAAGTGTCAAAGAATGAGCCACAGCAGCTCAAGAACAAGAATTCAACGAACTCAGATTCGAGATTAAATTGTTTTTTATCATGAGAATATTTACTTCATAAATTTTCTTTTTCACGATTTCTTAACCCCCGCTCGTATATTATTGCATTAAACTTCCTCAGCCTCCTTCCTTCTATGTTAACGTTAAGCCGCATTTATTCCGCATTAATTTTCATGAATTTTATCTCACATTCCTAAGTAACACTTTTAGCATTAATTCGTTTTTAATGCTACGCGCTAACAAAAAAGAGCAAACTCGCGAACACAACAAACATGTACATGAATGAATCCTAGCAGAAAATCTCTAAAATCTGTCTCATTAATGACAAGACGGCTTTCAGATTGCCAACTTTCTTTGAATTAACATACAAACGACGCCTTACATACCATTAAGCTCATATCTTCAAATTATGTCGGATTTCTGCTTTCGGGGATTTTTTTTTATCACTAAGTAGTCTTATAGTCTTGGGGCAGCACTTAATCACATCAATTTGTAAGACAAATAAAACGAGTGGATTGCTAATTGCTAATCTGACAGCTTCTCTTTCACCCTCTCGACTTCACTCTTTTATGTTTGCTTTTATTTTCTTTCTTTCAATTTCAAACTTTTGTCTGTCTCTTTATAAATCTATATGGTGGAAAAATGCTAAAAATAAATAGAAAATTCAAGAAATCAATTTCACAATTCAAGTATCTTATTTGCTTATTTTTTTTCTTCTTTTTCACGATGTGGAAACAATTGGAAAATTTTCTTCTCTTGCTTATTTTTTTATTTTTATCGTATTTACTTCTTAGTATCACAAAACAATGCGGCGGACTTTGCTTGCTTTTTTTTTCTGTGCTTTCGAACGAAATCTAATAACTGAAAGTGAAACTCCAACAACGCTTTAATTTTATAACATTCCAACCATCCATCCCTCCAGTGCACCTTCTTTTTTTATTCTCCATCTACTGGTACGCTTCATGAGAGTTAACTTTTCTTTCATTTCAATGATAACATGAATAGCAACGAACGGCGAGGAGAGATGGAATGTTAGATGAGTTTTCTCTCGCGCGGAAGTTAATAAACGCAACACTCATTTATCTTTATTGACGCCCCCACGCCATCGTGTAATCAATGTTATGTATGTCAACAAAATGAAACATGCTTACAATTATGGAATAATGGTGATTAGAAGGCTTTAAGCAAAAGCGCGTTGTGCTCGCTACGATAATGATCATGGGAATTTATTTCCTTTCGTTATGTTATGTTGATAGATATCGTGGAAAAGCATGACACAAATACTACGTGTAAGGCTTAATAAATAGCTTAGGTTTTACAGCTAATTTAACCAATGGAGTTTAAGAGTTAAACAAAACAGCTTTCTGCATGTTTACATTGCGTTCTTTAAAATTTACAAACTCTCCTAATTGATTCCATTGTATAGATAATCTCAAATTGTTATGTTAATGGACGTCTAGAAAATCAATTGAATTATAAGGAAAAAGGTTTGAAATGGAAACAATAATAAAAAGGGTTGAATAGCAACGCATTCAATGGTTCCATGACAATAGAATAACCTTGACCAAAGCATCATCTAGATATTTTAATACACGACACAAACTCGGATGGACATAAAAGAGATTTTTCGGAAGCTTTTTCGTCGAGTTTCGTCTGAACTGTCTGTCAATTTGTAGCTCCTGAATCGAATCTTTCATTCTAAATTGAATTATGTTCATCGAAAAAAATAGAAGAATTCTTTTGACACTGCAGTGCTGCTTTCATTCTATTTTTATTTTGAAAGTTTCGAACAAAAAAAGTGTTGAAAAGCTCTCGAATAGATAAAAAAATTTATGAGGTCAGGAAAAGAAAGCGACATTTTTTTCTTTCCATTTATCTAGAGGTAAATTTATTGCAAATAACTGCAGGTGCAACTCTAAGGTATGACTCCATACAGGAAGTGGACAGTCCAGACCAGAAACATGTTGTTGCTGTTGACGATATGATGGTGGAAGGAGAAACAAAACGGAATACCATAAATGAATTATCTAATTTTTCATTCCAACTTTTTTTTTCTCTGTTTTTAACCCATTTGTTACAAACAATACCTTCAATACAAAGCATTCAATTTGTTGCTGTGTAGTTCGCAATTAACCAAGAACAATTAAATTCCTTGTAGAGACGTTTTATCCATTGGGTGTTTGCCTGCCAATTATTCACTCCAACTCAACTTCCCTTCTTCGCTGTTTAAGCACTCTGTTTAAATCCTGCAAGTAGAATTTACGCCCATAAAATTTTAAACTAAAACGAAACACTTAAAATTTTCAACAGACATAATTCAGATAAAAATTTGGTTCGCCCATAAAATGTTGTAATGTAATAAAATAAGAAAAGAGTAATTCGTATTTAACAATCTCAAGTTTAAACAAAAAAAAGCAAACAAACAGAATCGTAAATCTCTAGTTAATGGCTGCGTTGAGTTCATAACATTTTTAAAAGTTTACCAAACTTTGTAGTTTCAATCTTTATGATTCAAAACTTACAAATTTAAGATGAAATGAGATTTTCAATAAAATGCTGAATCGAACAAAAAAACTTTTTTTTTTACTTAAATTACACGCGAAGAATTTAATTCAAAATTCGTGTCTCCAAAAAACAAGATAAGCAAAACTCAGAAAGCAATAAATAATGTTCCATCGCTGTGAAATGATTAATTAAACAATCAGATCTTTTTTCACGAAACGTTTTTCAGTGATATTAATCTCGTTAGCTCTGCTCGCTACAATCTAAAACCCTCACTTTGAAAGGTGAACGTAATTCTTGTGCTCGCTCCCTTAACGCCTACCAAGCACATCTGTAGCTTTTAAATAATCGAGTTCAATTAAATGTTATATTACTGTGGTTTACTCTTGTTAAATTTTGAGACACATCAAATAATTAGCTTGAAAAGCTTAAGAATCTGCATGAACATTTCAAGAGCGAACAATAACCAAAAGCTTGAAAAATTTTAACACGAAGTTATTAAAAGTTTTCAAATTATATTTAATTCAACAATTGGTATGTTAAATGCTTATATGGATGAAAAAAAGGGGCAAAGAAAATAAGCATACGAAACAATAATTACATCTAGCTGCAGGTGATGTTCTTCATCAAATTGATTGCACAGATGTGAGCTCAATTACCAATTACACTGTGCTTCGATCAAGAATTTATAATGACTTGAAAGTATCGTTCCTCCATGTACATTCTCATAATAAAAAACACCAAAAAAGAAAATTTTCGAAACTCGTTTCAAAACCATTAATCAGCAGGAACAGCAAAAAAAATTGTACAAATAAATATCTGGTCGGGTTGGAATTGTCTCCTATCTTCTCCCCATCTTTTTTCTCCAGCGACCTTGACAAATCATGGAGAATTCCCCTGTGGCGAGTGTAACATTACAGGGATATTATATTAACTAAAAAATATGAATGTAATGTGTTCGGAAACAAAACAAATGCTGAGAATGATGTGAAGGTCTTTTTCCTTTGAGATTATTTTACATGTATCTACAATTTCATATACTTAAAAGGGTTAAAATTGGAAATGTTAACATTGATCATAACTAAGCATAATGACTTGATAATAACCAACACACACATAAATGCGGAACCAAATGATTTATTTTAATTAAGTTTCATTGTATATGTTATGGCATCGATAAGTATACCTAAAGAATCAATCGGTAAGTGTATAATTTAATTCACCAGCTTACATCGATAGACATGAATGTAATCAATTTCATATGAAACTTTAATTGCTTATTTACAAGTTATGAGGGAAAGTTAAACATCGACCGAAAATTCTCATGCATAAATTTCCTCCATATCAACGTCAAACATCATGTTGTTGAAAATGTTTTTAAAGTAATTATGGCATAGAAGATAGAAATGACACGAGCGAACTTACGAAATTGATAGCATTAACATATATCAAAAATGACAACATGGATAACCCTGTGTAGGACGGGTATGATGATGATGAAATATCTTAATGAATGTTAAAACGTTTACAAAGTAGAACAAGATTCTTGTGGGGACAAGAACATGGGGAATTTAATTAAGGAATTTAAACTTTCTTGGGCATTAAAACTTCAAGTAATACAGTAATGAAGTGTCACAAACAATTTCCGCTTTAACAACTTCATAAACGTTGCTTTTCTATAACTTGACATTTATTTAATGTGTTTTTCATTCAATCATGCATTGACGAGTGTGCTTTTATCTTTATAGATAGTTAAATGGGAAATACAGTTTGTGTAAGCACTAGGTTGTGTTCATGTATGTAAATTCATGTTTCATAGAACGAGGATAACTATTCACATAACATTCGGACTGCAGTGAAAACAATAACTACGAACAAAGCTTAGCAAGTGATGGAAAATCTGTTGTACAATAAAACTTGAAAACGAATGAATTGAAATTTTTTTTGAATCTGGTTTTCAGGATATTAGACTTTTGTAATTTTATTTGCTACTCTTTCAAAGTAAATTTTATGTTATGCATCGTCAGGTTTCTTTGTTTAAAATGTTTAGATAATGGAAACACAAGTGTTCAGAAAATGTTGTATCAGTTTGTACTGAGATTAGAATACAATGTTTAATACAATAACAATGAATCATTTTTATGGCAATCATAAATGAAGAAGATGGGGAAACAACACTGATTATGGGAAGGCAAATTTCAACAAACGATATTAGAATGAATGTCCTTAAAGCATCACTGCCTTTTGATGTCCAAAAAGTAAATGGAATTCTTATATGAAACAAGTAAAAATAAAGATGAATAGAATCAATAAATATACAAAGATAGCTTCGAAGCTTCCATAAAACATTACGTAAAATACATTTTCATACATCTCGCAATATCTGAGACAATTGCTTCAAAACAAATTAACTTCGCACCTTGAATATTAATTTAGGAAAGGTTTAATGTATCTCACCTTCTCATTGTCTGTTTCCGTACCTATAAAGGATCTGTAATAAGAAGGAAAATTAATTAAATACAACATCTTGTGAATAACATACGTAATGTTTATATTTGAACGGTTTTCTGAAGAAATTTAGGATAATGAGAAAGCAAATGGAAAAGGATACGTCTGAAGAGTTTATCCTTCTTTTAAATTTGTTTTCTCTCAATCTAATTTATTTATTTAAACAAAACCTGTTTACAAATATATTAATTATCTGAATATCCGAAATTAATTAATAAATATTTTCCATTTATTCAGCAACAAGTCGCTCATTGCATTTAATACTTCAAAAGGCAAACTAAACCCTTTTTTCGACCGAATTTAATGAATCAGCTTGATTAACGATATTTTCTAGCAAATTGGACAAAAGCCAGCCAATTATTGACTTCAAAGTTAAAAAAATGGCCTCAAATTGAAAATTTTTATGGGTCGCAGCGGGTTAATGAAAAATTGTTTACAATTCATAACATCCACGCCATAAAATTTAATAAAACATGGAAGCATTTTTTGTAATGAAATGTTTAAAATAAATTCTTTCACATCAGAACAAAACACAAAATTTAATATAAATTTATTATAGTTATCAGAAAACAGATGCAACTCAGTTGTTTGCAATCTCGTTATTCTTCGAATGTCAATTTTTACGTACATATTTTTGAATGCCATGAGGTAATTAAATTTGAAGCGAATTTTTTTTTCTGTTTTTTTCATTTTTATAACTTTTCCCATCATTTGTTGGAAACTTTAAAAACTTTTGAACATTATGAATATTGAGAGCAAATGAAAATACTTTTCTGTTTTTGATTTAAAATGCAATTCTCGGTTAACGTTAAGTGTTGTTCAAATGTTGTTTTAATCACTGCAAATGATGCTTCCATGCAATTTCTATAGACTCCACTACGATATTTGAGTTGAATGAACTTTGTATGATGAGCAGAATGTAAAAGACTTTCATCCCGTAACTTACAAAAAGGAAATTTAATATCAAGAGAATTGAATAAATGATCAGTCGAGAGTAAAATTCATCATTGTCAGCATAAATTGGACAATACCGCAGAATGTTCCCTTTGAACGATGTGCAGACTGCTGTTTAATGATATCTAAATGAAGGAAATTTTATGTGCATATTAAACCATTATTTATTCACTAAATTTTTATGCCCGTTAACCGAACATAAAATTTATTGACATCGTTAAACGAGCAAGAAAATTTTTAAATCCCTTCCACTAAAATTTGGGTATCATCTCGCTTCTTTCATAATGAACACATAAAAAACTTTTCATTTTCAATTAAGATTTTCTCTTTTTATTTATATGCAATGAAGGCTTGCAAGGGCGTATGGAAAAAATTGTTTGTGAAATGAGAAGTGAGAAATTTATTGATTCAAATAATTAATTACTTAAAGGACAATGTTTTAATTAATGATTTAAATTAAAATTTCAAACATTTCAATAAATAATTATAATTTAACTTTTCATGTGTAAATCATCAAATAAATTTGAATCGAATACACGCATTGAGAATCAGTGAACTACATTTTATTCACTCGTTATCAAAAGTAGATGAAACATTAAATTATTCATTATAAGAGCAGAAAAAAAATCATGCCGTCGTGAATTCATGCAATTGGTAATGAAGAGAAACTGCAGCTATTTTGCATTAAATGTAGTTGAATGTCATGCATCGTTTTGCTTGAAAAGCGAGTGTAGTTTATAATTAATCGATTGGAAACCAAATTATTAAACGTTTCAAACACGATTCATATAATCAAAGGTAACAAAAGATATGAAGGAATTCAAAATTTTGGGTCGTTTCATATTCGTATCATCACATGTAATGAAAGTTAATACAGTGAACTCTCGTTATAATTAACTCTCGTTATAATTTTTCTTTCGTTATAATTTTTCTCTCGTTATAATTACCTTTTTCTCGGTCCCTTCAGAGTTAATTATAACGAGAGTTCACTGTATTTAAAAAATGTTTAATTTGTAAATTCAAAACGAAAACATAAACGGATCTAATGTCAAAGAGAGTTCATTCGTTATGTAATTCCACCTCTCTTTATGTGCTTAAAAGATTAAATTTTTAATTCCAAATGCACTATGAGTAACTATTAAATTGTAACGTAGATGATGTGCTAACAAGTTTTCAACATTATTTTGCAAGGCAAATTAGCTACCTACGTTACTTGTAAATCTCTCTTGACATATTTACGCTCTTTTAAAGTTTCACTAAATAAAAAAGAAGCCAAGCAAACAAACAAACAGTAAAAAATTATTTGCAACTGTTTTGAAATCATCCATCACATTCTCCTGACTCACATGTCATAAAAGAAAATCATTATAATTGATGATGTAAGTCACTTAAAGAGAAAAGAGAATGTCTTCTGGATTCTGTGATCACTTATTCATATTCTATGAGACAATTTTATGTACCTTACTTAACAAAGCTTTACCATTCATAAACAGACGTTTTTTGTCGAATTCGTCATGAATGCAAATAAAAAGAAGAAAGACCTTAGGGAGCGATTCTAGAAGCTCAATGTCAAACGTTGTCAAAGTGATGTCAGTGTTGCCATAAGAGTCAAAATCTTTTTTTTAAAGCATAAGCTGTCCATTGTCATGTTCTTATTAAAAAAAAGAGTCTATCGCACCTTTTTTGTCATGAAAAAGGGGCAGTAAAGGATTTCAGCAACTTGTTCACCATCTTCAAGAATTAATTATTTTTAACATAGCAACGCCGTTAGAAACAGGAGGCAGCGTAATAAAAAAAAAAGAGAATTTGGTAATAAAAAGTATATCTTTTGAGGTGTTGCAAGTAATGAAATGCAAATAAGGTAAAAAAACTTAAAAGAAAGAAGTAAAATTTGCATAGTAAAGCAGCACTCTAGGGTTAAAATGAAGTCATCCGAAAAAGCTTGAAATGATACAATGAAGGTTGAATCGTTGCGCTTGAAAGTCTGCATCTTTCATGATTTATAAGATAGTGTAATAAGCTTTTTTTAACGACGAAATAAAGAAACTGTAACTTATAGAAATAAATCATGCAACGATGACTGCACAATAATTTTTTCTAATTTTATTCATTGAAACCACACCGACGGCACTAATTATTAATATACTTATAACACAAATTCAACGTTCTATTCAATGCCTGGAACGTTTGTTTCCTTGCTAAACTTTATCGTTAGTTTGCAGCAGAGAATTTTCCTTCAGCACAAATGTGCGGAAAATCTCATTAACGATGATAAGTAAGCTCGAAAATAATTACCATCGATTGCCTTTACTACTATACGAGCATAAAAGAAAGAAATTGAAGAATGAAGGATAAAGAGATGAGGAAAATCTTAGCAACAGGGAACGAAGGATGAAAATGTCAATTATAATTTTCCAATGAGGCAAACACAACATGAAAATGCTTATCCACACGTAATCAAGTTCGATTTTTGCGATTACTTAGACAAGATAAAGTGAAGATGAGAATGGCGATTCAGTGAGTTTCATCTTAAGGAGAAGAGAAGATTCTTTCTTCCAGAACATAAAATTTTAATTGAATTTGACACTTTCCGTTGGGTTTGCTTACTGGGTGAGAGTTGAGAGAAAAGAGGCGGAAAACCCAAATTAAAATCTGCAAAGTCACCCATCGTCGTCTAACTTGACTAGCTTTTCATCGATGAATGAAGAAAAGAAATTAAATTTAGATTCAATTTACATTAAATTATTGATTCGCTTTCTTTTCTCGCTCCCTTGACTTTATATTAGAATGTGCCTCGAATGAATCATGAGAAGCGATGAATAAAGACGACAAATATTTTTCAATTTTCATTTTTTTTATCTTTTTCAAAAATCCATTTGACAAAATCATTCATAGTCAATCTGACGAGATTACCATATTTTTACAAATTAGCTGAAGCATTAAACATAATTGAAATCGACAGTGTTGGCAACATCGGTGCAGAACATGACTAATGTGTTAGAAGAAATCGAGAATTGATTGATGGCTATAGAAAGAGAAGAGCAGCGAAGAATTTTTGAAACAGATTGAAGACTATTCTCTAGATAAAACGTTGAAGTTTCTCGTGTAACTTCTGCTGTAATGATTTTTAAATACTTAAAGTTAAAACAGTTTTCATGTTTATGATCTCAACAAATAGAAAAACTAATTTAAGTTTCAACTTCAAACTGGAAACTGTGAATGCATTAATTCAGTTTGTATTTATGAAAGTTGTATCCCTGAGAGACTTCACTGGTTATTATTTTATTTCAATTATGAAGACATCTCTGGAGACACAATATTAACAAGCAAAGGTACTAAGATAATGCATTTCTCAGGTCTCATAATATCTCGGAACTTCTAACATACCCAAAGCTCTAAACCCAATAAATAAACTCGCAAAATCTTCGTTCAATCTTAAGAATATATCACGGTACCCTCCATTTACCATCATCGATATTCTGCTTACTTTTCGTTCCGTAAAATGGCCCATTGACATGACTTTACTTGCCGTCTTCTAGTGCCATGTAATAAAAGTGGTTGTCGCAAACATAAAAGCGGAATTTACGACACAATTAAAATGACTTTGCTTTTATTGACTTCCCGTCAGCATTGAATCATCATTCAGTAAGTGGATGGTTGACTTTTCTCTTTCTTCGTGTAAGAAACTTAAAGCAAGTCGTAATAATCAACAACCATCGACTCGATTTTATTTATCACTAAAGAATGCGTAAGTTACATAACATGTTACATGTTTTATGTTACTTTTTATTCAACAACATGCATTTAGTGAAACCTTCAATCTGAGCAAAACTTGCACTTATGTTCGCGCTAATTATTTTTATGTAAATTTCATTTATTTTTCTCACGCTCATATTGCGTTTCATGCATCAACCGTCGACACGGAAAGTCAAGGTAACCTGAGATTAAAAATAATTAATATAATTATAAAGAAAAAATTAAAAGTAATAAAAATGCGTTAAGATTTTTTTTTCAATAAATTAATAAATAAAAGTGAAAAATTTTATTTGCTAATTCCAGTCGCAGACAATTTAAACAAATTTCATTCGAAAACCAATTTTCTGTGGTCGTTCGGAATGTTTCGGATTTTGTGGTTCATTGCACGTGTCTAAAAGATGCCTCCTTGATAGCCTGGTTGTACATATCCTGGCTGCTGATATCCTGGCTGCTGATATCCTAGCTGTTGATATCCACCGCCAAAACCTAAACCATTTAACGATCCGGGATATCCATTAAATCCTCCATAAGCTCCTGCACAAAAACATTAATTTGCTTAAAATTCATCTTTTAATTTCTGTGTTATGAACATTAATTACCGCCATAAGGTCCAACTGTTCCTATTCCACCCAATGGGTATGTGTTGACAGGCACTGAGTTCTGTCTTTGGAATGAATAGGCGCCTGGGTAACTGCCACGATATGGATAACTTCCAATGGGTTGATTGTAACCTTGGTAGCCAGTTTGGAATCCACCAGCGAAGTTTGACGCTCCATAGCCGTAATTCACTCCATCGTAACCTAAACCATGTTGATGAATTAAATTTAATTGGTGTTTTGTGGCCTTATGCATCGGAACGTTAATTTAAAACATTGAAGTCATCAATTTAAATATCATGAGCTTACCGTATTCAGCGCCTGGTGTGTAGGCGCCAACTCTGTTGACACCACGTGCATACGATGGACCTAAATAACTGTAACCCTCAACTCCTGATCCCAAATTTAATGCGATTCCTCGTTTCTCCTTACGCTCATCAAATTTAGCGGCTCGTGACTCTTCTTCTAACGTCTCCTGACATTGTACGAAGGCTACTAACAATGCGGTTATGGCCTTTTTTAGAGCGACAAGCGAATGAAAAAAGAAATTAAGTCATAAAAATTAAAATTTATGTCATTTCATGCTCGGATACATGTTTATTTTCTTTTTGTTTCTGTTTTGATGTCGAGAGTAAAGTGTAATAATATTGGCTTTCATTATCGCAGCTTTTTTTTCATTTTTAATGTTTCGTGTTCTCCCTCATGCTTAGCTTAACCCTCAACCTCAGTGATTCTTGGTACTTATTTGCTGTTAAGCGTCATTCACGGTTTATAGTTTGGAAAGCTAATGTTATTTGAAATTGGAAATGGCAAACAATACAACAAAGGTTGAGTGAGAGAAGCTGACTGAACAAATATATTTACAACAAGAGAACGTGCATGAAGGTTAAGGATACACATGCTGAACAATACTTTTCCATTTGCATAATATTACGGATGAAAAACGAACGAGAAAAGTTATTAAGGGCGCGGAAAATTGTTAGAATTATTCACTCAATGAACTTATGATTGTATCAAGTATTTCCCTCCACCCCTGGTGTTTCAAATCACATTGTGTAAGTTAAACAAACGTTGACTTGATGTTTGCTAATGCTTTATGAATCCACGGAAACTTTTGACGAGACCACAATCCCAATAATTAAATGTAAATGCGATAACAGTGGAGCATTGTTCTTTCGAAGCGCTCATTTAAGCTTAATCTAGTTCTTGTTCGTTTCTCTTAATGTAATGTTAAGTGTGGTGGAAAGAAACAAGTTCACTGTTGTCATTAGCTTTTCATCGCTGTTGATTTCACCCAAAGGCACACTTTGATATCTCACCAAAAATTTTATCATTTCGTCCTCGGAAGTTAAAATGGTTCACTAAAAAATGATTATTCTTCTCACTGTTGTTTGCTTTTAAGCTTTCGGAACTCGAGAACTTTTTTTTGGTTCTTTCTATGATTGATGCACGAAGCGTGGATAACGTTTGAGTAAAATATCGCTTTGACACTAAATTTAAATACCCAAAATGATACTCTTTTTATACACGAACAGAGATTAGTGTGCGGGTGTTGTCTAAAGGGAAAAAACGAAATTTTTACTGCAAACAATAAGATAATGAATTTTCTTGTTTTTCTTTCTTTCTCTCTCTGCCTTAAAGCAATTGACCAGTGTGGTGTTAGACAGAAAAAGCGATTAAACAAACAACTTATAGCACACCGCAGACCATTGTTGAATCTCTATCGTGGATTTGCCCAGAGTTGCGGTACAAACTGAGCGTGAAAATTACGAAAACTTCTTTTTTCTGTTCAACTTTTTGAATCCCTGTTAAGAAAACATGTAAACAAATGATATGAGTGACATTAACTAATTGTTACAAACTTTGCATATCAACTCAGTTGCACAATTCATCGTTGAAGTTGATCAACACATTGAAGTTTTTAAGACAATTCATTATTTTATGATGTTAGGTGAGGAAAAAGCTTTGAGTAATTTGACGTGAAAAGTCCCTCTTAAGAGTTGTTGTTTGACTTCAATTCCTGAGCTCAGTTTTTCTTTCTCCATTGAGTGAAAATTTCCTGGCAATTCTAACTAATGCATTTTTAAAAAGAAAACCTGGGACCACCAAGTGAAACATTTTTACAACATAAGTTCATAAAACTTTTTACATAAGCAAATGCATGCAAGTTTTATGTTAATAACAGAAGCAGATGAAATTTGTTTTAATTTACCCATCACTCACATTACTCATATATGAAACTTTTATTTTCTCGTTGAGCTTATTTCGAAGGTATGAGCGTGAAGTTAATTTATTCCATATTGTGTGAGTGTGATGGATTCTTAATTCTTTACTAAGAGAATAAAAGGAAAAGAAAAGATTTGTATTGTTGAAATAATTTTTGTTCTGCTAAGTCAGAGGAAAACTGAAACGAAGAAGGAATGTGAGAGTTTATAGCTATGCTAATTAACATAAGTACAAAAGATGATTTCACCAAGAGAAACTTATTCAATTTGCAAATCTCATGCTCACACGTATCATATTTTATTGTCGTTTTCTATTGTTTAAATATCTTAGAATTATTTTTGTGAGTATTTAAGAGTTGAGTGACATGCCTTGAAAGGCAGATGATTCATATTTTGTATTCATTATGTAGATAAATTTAAGAAAATGGTGCAAATTGCTAGTAACAAATTTAAATGTTTGGATCATATGCTTTTAGAATGTAGCGAGACATCAACAAAGTTTACATAACTGTGAAATCAAACAAGACTCATTCATATGAACAACATAATAAGTTTGGTAAATATTTAATTATCAGACAGCTATAATCAGACATTTACTGCGTCAAAATGTAGATAGTAAAATAAATATTGGATTTTCAATCATTTATCAATTAAGTCTTGTGCTTAGATATAAAATTATGTATCTTCTGAATCAGATATTTTTATACATTAAGAGCTTTGACCTGACTAGAAGATTTGTTTTAACTTAATTTTCGAGATTTTTTTATTAAACGTAAACAAAGCTGGACGAAAGTTAAACAAAACTGTGTGGAAGTACAATGGGATCTCGAGACTCAAATATTCCTTTTATGAATGAGAGAAAAAACAGTCATCTTGGTATCTGTTCAGGATTTATTTGAAAATTATTTCCCTTTTCAAAAAACTTGAGTTTTTCTTTCATCTGCACTCAACGTTGAGTTCCTCGAACCAAAACATTTTTACATATTTCTTCATAAATTTTATTTAAGTTTTAAAAGCTTTATCTACAATGAACTTAAACATAAGAAACTCAGTCAAAGCAAGAAATGAACAAAAGTTCAGAAACTTTTCTTGTTTATTTAAAAAATGATTTATTTTTGAATTTACTTCTGTTAATTATTATTATTATTTTGAAAGTATGTGCTTAAATAAATTTATGTTTAACAAAATATTTGTTTCCGACATTTTAAATTACTTTCAATAAATCATCGCATTATTTTTCGTTTGTACATTTTTTGATCTCACAACATGTGTCATTACATTAAAAACTCGTAATTAATTCATTTGAATGAATCAATATATAAATGATAACACTTCAGACGCAAGTCAGCGAAAGATTAATAATTTATTTGTTTGTATAATTGGCATGATTACCTCAATAAATCTCTTGCAAAGTAGCCGATGTATAAAATCAATTCATCATTATAAGACACAATGTGAGGAATTATGTTTATTATCATCCACTCGGAAATGTGAAAATAATTATGATACAATCGATACATCTTACGCTGCAATACTTTACTTTTGTTCGGCTTGTGTAAATGTACCACCACATGCGGAGAGTTGACAATGACATGACTTCATAAAAGCAACAAAAGCTTACAATGGGACGGAAATTATTAGTTGTGGTAAGACTCCCTTAAAGTTAGTAAAATGTAATTCTGAGAGATTTTTGTGGTTTATTTATGTCAGAAATATTATTTATAATTATTTATAATTAGCCTTTGGGTTGATGACGACACTAAGGATTAAAATATTTCTTCTTATGCTTCAAATGGATTAAATAGTGAAAATATTTCGAATTCTAATTTAGGATAAACTTTGAATGATTCACACTGATAGAAGCATCATAAATAATTCATACCATAAATCATTAATAAACGGCCTAAACCAATCATGCGAATAATTTATTGAAAATTGAATAGAGATTTAAGTTTATTCTTCCGATAAACATAGCTTTGGGTCTTGAACTTCAAAATTAATTATGTCTTAATCTCATTGAGTGATAACAAGCTTTAGGGTAATTTTAGGGGCCATAAATAACTCTGAGATTCAGAAGTCAATGAAGAGTTTAAAGGACGTTAATTTATATCAGAAGCATGCTCCCACGTGAATGTTATAATTAACAAAATATTTCACAAAAAATTATTTGAATATTTCTCCATTAATTTTGATATTTTCAAAGTATTTATTAAAACATTTCATACCTACTAATAATAACAAATTAACAAGAAATTAATTAATACAACAAGTGCTAATGGAATAAATAGCATCTATTAATAGTTATTAACAACAGTAACAGTGAGAAAGAATTTTCTTATTTGCAAACAATTGCTTTAATGGCGGTTGGCGTGTTGATATTTCCGAGACGAAAATAAAATGTTTTGCTCCTTTTATTGAGATTAAATTTTTATGTAGATGAAAGAAACAAGTATTTTCGTTCGATTTAAGTATAACAATAAGAAATATTTACAACTGAAACAAAATTTCGTTCCTTCCAAATTGTCACATCTGCTTGTTTTACATTGGTCGTTTAAACTTGATTTTATGACCTGCTACAGGATTTTTCAGCTTCTTTGTATCTTGATTTAAATATTACAGCTTCTGCTTTTAAATGTTATTTTAACATGACCTGGCAATTTTCATTTTGATTCATAACCTGAACTTTCCCATGCATATTGTTATCAAAAAGATTAGATTGCAACCAGACTGGCCATATTAAAGATACAAAGTTTTAAGAAAGTGAGAAAGGCTTACAACAGCTAATTGAAAACATTTGTGAGGTTTATTTATGCATATTAAAGCACTGAACATGATAACTTTGTAAAAGTTTTAACAAATTAAATATTTATTCTCTTTGAAAGTTTTAATTTTTTATAAAATTAAGTACTATTATTTATTCAAAAGCTTTTCATTTTGTGAATCCCCCAATCACCGCTCTTCAATATTAACTTTTAAGTCTTGGCAAACCTTCATTGTTATGTCTGCTCTAAATGTTAATTCATCATATTTGAGATCAGTTGACACTTTATAGTTCCTAAGGAACTTTACTAAAATTGTTTTTACAGCAAGCATCGCATAATGTTTACCGATGCAGTCTCGGGATCCACCTGAGAATGGTAGAAAACTGTAAGGATGTCTTTTATTTTCGTTTTCACTTGAGAATCGATCAGGATTAAATTCTTCGGCATCGTCACCCCAAATCTCTTTTTTTCGATGTAAATTAAAGAAATGTATTATTAGTGTGACTCCTTTTGGAACAATCACTTCATCAAGTTCTAAATCTTCTAACGTTTCACGTCCAATTAGTGGCACTGGCGGCAGAAGTCGCATCGATTCTTTTATCACATTTTCAAGATATTTCATCTTCATAAGAGTTGAATGATCAAGTATTGAATGTTTATTTGGTAGGGCTTTTTCAATTTCTTCAAATAGCTTGTTCTGTACATCGTCATGCATTGCTAGCAATAGCAAAGTAAAAGCTGTTTGCAATGCTGTTGTTTCATATCCAGCAACAACGAATGTGTAAATGTGATCATGAATTTCTTCATCAGAAAATTTTCCTTCATTGAAAATCAGCTGATCAATAAAATTTTTCTTTGGAACTAATGTCGGATCTCCCATCTCTTCATCATGCTGTTTAAACGGCGTTGATGGTCCACACATATTTTTGTTTGGAGGTTCAACAAGCTCTCTCCGTTCCTTCAAAACTTGGTCAAGGTAATAATAACAACGTTTGCGATATTTCTTCTCGCGGTAATAATTCCGAGTGAATCGATAAATTCTTTCAATATAAAAAACAGGTTCACGACATCGATGTGAAATTATTTTGATCAATCTTAAAATAAAAATAAAATTATTGAATTCAGTTTAATTACGAGTAATAAATAAACTTACTCTTCAACAGATTTTAACATATCGTCACTAATATGAACTTCAGCTGCACTCAACCCGAAAGATGATGACAGAACCATCGTTAATGCACAACGTGATGTAATTTCAAAGAGATTTACGTTGTTTTTCTCTTCAAGTGCATTTATATTTGAAATCATTTGATCAGCACTGTCGATGAAAATTGGAATGAAGTTTTTGACGGTGTCCAAATGAAAAGAAGATTCAAGAAGTTTCCTATGCACTTGCCATGATTCATCTGAAGAAAATCAAGTTTTATGTCTTATTAAATGCTTATGAAAAACATTTTTTTAGTTATATTTACGCTTTGCAGCAAGTAATCCTTTGTCGAGCCTGAGAAACTTATACAAAAATGATTTCTCTAGACATTTGGGTGAATTTAAAACCATCTCAATTAGCTTTGGTTCATTTACAAAAATAAACAATAATGGCCCCATCCAAAATCTAATCAAAACATTTTGCTGATATTTTTCCAATACCCCTGACACTGTTTTGAATCGACCTGAGGAAAGAAAAGGCGAGATGACGATGATGTAAACGAAGGAAAGTCATGATGAAGGTCGTGTTAACATTTATTGAGAAGCTTCCCTTGTTCATTTTTCTTCAAAAATTTATGAGAACTTCCAATAACAGCATAAGATTTTGGTCCCGGAATCTTGTCAGCAAAGTCGTACAACTCTTTATCCCGAAAGAAGTAATATTTAATGAAACAGATGATTAAAATGATTGAACAAATCAATAGAAACATGTCTGGTAGGCTTTTAAATTCAACACAAACTAAACATTAATTTTGCTTGGTTTATTTTTTGTTTCTCAATCACTCTGCGAGACTAAGAAAATGTTGTTGATCAAGTTTTTTTTTCTTTCTCACTAAGTTTTGCTATTATGCAAGTAGTTGTTAGTCTCGGAGAATTGCCTCATCGATTCGGTGACTCTCGCTCTCAGAACTAAGTTGGAAAGAATAAACAAGAAAGAAGTTTCTGTCAGTAAAATGTTGTTTAAGCAAGTAAAAGTGCAAATATGATAAAAAGAAAGAAAGAAAAACGAAAACATTGTGCAATGATGCAATATCAAGTTTTGAGTCATTTCGACAAGTATTTTCTCTTTCATTTGAGACACCATGTGGAACTAACAATGTGGGTCAGATCAAAAAAGGGAACATATATTGGTGAGTAGCAGAGCGAAAAGCTTTATCGCATCGCACGAGAGCATTTGGAATGTTTTAGCAATTAAATTCCGACATTGAATTTTATATTCCCTTAAAACGATTTTTATTTAATCACTCATTGGAGAATTTTTGCTGTACTAAAGGTCAAGATCCCCAAAACGTAAATAATCGTTACTGTGTCAACATCGTTGCGTCGCGTGCATTTTAATTAACTATTCTTTTTCACTATTAAAATCACATTGATATTCATAGCGACTTCCAGAGATAAAAGGTAAGAAGTGTAAAATAAGTTCATAAAATTCACTTTTATTACAACATAAATAATTCCGATTTGCTGAGAAAATTTAAATGTTTAAAGTGTTCGAACAAACGGAACAAAGTAAATGAAAGTGAAAGAAGTTGTTAATTACATCAGAGTACAATGACAAACTTTTTAAAAAATGAATTCAATGAACTTGACTCGAGTTTGGAAGATAAAAATTAACATAAATTTCGACTTGTCAGCTCTGACAAAATTATTTTAAATTTCCATTACAAAAGAAGTTTTCACTTTTTTCTTCATTATTTACAAATAGATATTGCTAACACTAAGCGAATGGAATTCGCGCATGGTTTATGTATGAATCGCTTCACTAAGTCTTGCCAGCCGACCAAACTCTTATCTCATGCAAAATCTTTAATTCTTTTTTATCGTTATGAATCATAAAGTCGATAGAAATGTTATGTTGCAAGATAAAGTTGGAAATATCTAAAATTTATTTCTTATGTATAGATGTTTGCAATTAAACCTTATCAACTTTATTAAAATTTACATATCTGTTTGACTATCATGCATATTAACATGTTATGTCTAATTTTACAGAAAATTTAGAGTGGCTTAAAAGACCTTTTTTAAATTTTTATACACTTTTTATTACACAAGACTCGTAAACAAAAGTTAAACGAAAAAATATGACGAATTTCAGACTTCTCTCTGTAAGAGTTAATTCACAACTGGTGAGGAAAACAAAACGAGAAAACTTTTTTTCTCTCTTATGATCACGTTTCTTTCAGGTAGATAAGTGTTTGTTGGTGTTTTGGTTTGAATATGACTCACAAGACATGACTTTGAGCTTTTCGAAGTCTTTAAACTTTTTGTTAAGATAAAATTCAACGACCAAAAACAAGATATTTGTGTTTTGTCATGATTTAAGCTGATGTAAGATGATGTTTTATCATTTAGTATTAAATTAAGTTTTACACAATCACTTCAACTTCGTTGGTGTCTTCATTATTTACTTTGAGGTGCTAATTATTAACAAAACTTGTTGCCGAATTCATTTTTCTTAACTCTTTTTTATTTCCAAAAATAAAATAACTAAAATTAAGTGTATGAGTATGAAGGAATTCAAAATATTGCACATTGTCTGTAAAATCAAATACTTATCTTTTTAGTGACTTAAGAAATAATATCAAAATTAAAGCTTTACGCTTCATTTAATTATACGTTGATTGTAGGTAGAAATGTTTGGTTATTGTCTTTAATATCTTTTCTTACTTCTTTTCTAGGAAGACTGTTGTCACATAAAACGTAGCACTAAAATTAATTAAATTAATATTTTCGAAAGTAATTTCATGATAGACATTCTTACTGCATGGTAACTTGTTATTAATCCAACAATTCCTCCAGCTAAAACATCCCACCAATGATGACGATGATCGAAAACTCTTGAAATTGATCCATAGAAAGCCAGACAAATCAACAAAGTTTGAATGAATGGGATTATCACAATAGAAGAGCTTTGCAGCTTTCTTTGGATGTACCAAATGATGAAGAAGCAGCTATAAACACATGTAGCTGCATGACCACTAAAGAAACTCATCGATGCATCTATTTTTCTTATCTTCCCAACTTCTGTATTTGTACACTCGAAACTATCTACAAAGGTTCCCAGCGTGCAATTATACATTTTATCAGGTTTGCAAGTCTCGAAAAAATGTGGCCGATGTGATCTTGTAAAGAATTTTGCGGCCACCACTACAAGGTGCATCAACAACATGTCAGCAAAAAAACGATGACAGAGAAATGCCACAATTTTCCAGCTCTGTTTCAAACTAAACTTGATAGTTCTGGAATTCGCGTAAATGGAACTAAATTCCCAAACAAAAAGCTTAAAAGAAAAATACAAAACTTTGTTGTGAATTCATGGCGGTAAAATTAAAATTTCGTCATTGATATCATACGATAAGGAAAGGAGAAAATCCCCAGAATACTAGCAAGGCATTTGAAATTGTGTCTGGTCTTGGTGTTAATGATAAGCTCGAATCCCCGCAGATAAATCCACGATGCACGTGTTGTGATAAGAAATACAGCGTGATGAATGTTAAAATAACTACAAAGATATTTTCAATTTTTCGAAAGTGCTTCAACTTCATGAATATTTTACCAAAAATGAATTTTAGAATATAATAAATTGACGGAAGCAACTTCATATTTTTATAATAATTTATTTCAATTTGTACCACTTTATGAAATGAGTTCTGAACTGCGACTAAACGTTACTTCAATTTGAGAAAAGTATTTTATCATAAGTTTTGATAAGAATGATAAGAAGCTTCCATAAATTAAAGCCGCTGATAAAATTTAAATCCAATGTTAACTTAATTAGTCATTGTCTTGCCATTCTACTCCTTACTATGTACTTGTGTATGATACAACTTGCACCATATTTTGTTAAGCATTATTTACAAAGATCTTAAAGGTTGTAAAACCAACAGTAAACTGTGCTAAACATTAAACTGTTTGTCCAATAAGTAAGATAGCAAAATAAATGAGATAAGAAAAGAGATTTATTCTTTTGATTTTTGAACAATGTTGGGTAATAAAACTTGAGGTTATTGACAGTTGATTGCAAGTTTTCTAAAGCATAAAACCAGCTATCATTGGACGTAAACGTCCATTTGTGTGTAGAAAATAAGAAGTTTTAGGTTTAAGAAAGCAGGAAGATTTAAATCATCATCATTCTCTCTTTCTTATTCTTCTCTTATCAGTGCTCTCAGAAATGACATTTCACCGAGATGATTTCATTTTCATACTTATGACACATCAGTAATATATTGAACGAACGTCTTGTTAGTTTTATTTCAACAAAATGCGGTCGATAGTCAAATTTCATATGATTTGTCTTGTCTTTTACTCATTATTTCAATTATACCAAGTTTGTTCCTCTTATGCAATGGTTTTCATTATCTACGATGACTATTACGATACTAAAATGAATTTAAAGTTCCTAACTGGATTTCATATAATTGTTTTTACAGTATCATCAATTTCTCTTATTATTGGTGTTGTGAAATCGAATATAAAATTTATTCTATTTGCAATAATATTTATGTGTTATAAAATTGGATTTATATTATATCACTTTAAATACTCTTATGAAATAACATTGGGTTGTGATAACAGACAAGGTGAATGTGATCCACAACGAATACTTAAGTTCTTTATTCATGTGATTATATTGCGTGAGTTCATAAACTGATGTTTAATTTCCATTCATTTAATAATCTCAGATTTTTGATCTTAATTTTCAGTTCATGTTGCCATGTCAACTGTGCAAGCTTTTATTCTTGTGATGATTTTTAAATCTGATAAAGCAAAAGAAGATGAAGAATTGGGTCGGTCAGAAACATACAGAATGAACAATCAGCAGTGATTTATGACGTTTATGATTTTATGTTCATATTTATCAGAACAACTTACATACTTTAAGCTTTTAGAAAATTTTTATCTTCTGTATAATAATAATGAGACAAAGGAACAAATAAAAGCAAAACATTAATTAAAACCTACCTAGAAGAACTAATTAAAATTATAATATCTGCATATCGTTCCTATTGTTTACCTATAAACAAAAGAAATTCATAAATCATATATGTTTTTGTAACGGTCAAATTAAAGTTGAATTTTGATTCTATTTGGTGCATACGCCTTAATTTATTTGCCGATCTTAAACAATAACAAAAAGTAAAAAAGTTTTTAAATTATAATGCCGCATTTTCTAAATAGAGAAGGAAGAACAACATGCTGGGAACATAGAGATAATTACTGGGCTTGTTTGGATAAATATGCACCTGAGTTCAATAGAAACAATGCGGATGAAAAAGAACCAAAGGAATGTGTTCAACTAAGAAAACTATTTGAAACGGGATGTCCTTCCCAATGGTAACTATTTAAGAATTAAACTAAAATCTGGATGTCATTCTAATATTGACAACATTTCTGTTAAATGTTTTCTAGGATAACCCATTTTGATAGAAAACGCACTTACGAGCAGTTTAAAAGGCGAATGGAAAAAGGTTTTGATCCACTAAAGGAAGATGAAAAGAAATAATCATATTCAAATCAAATGGGTTTTTATTATTTAAATAAATGTAATAAACTTAGATAATTATTAGAATTCTACATAATTTCTTGATCTTCCATTTCTTTTGTATCCACTTCTATACTGACTATGTGTTTCTTAGGAACAATTACCGAGCCTAAAAATCGCTCTTCTTCGTCTCTGAATTCAGAACAAATGCCCAGAATGATGTTTGCATCTCTATCAGTACACAAAAATACTCCAATGAGAATTCTATTGTCTGTCATCTTGATTCGGAAGTTTTTACTGAGCCAACTTCTTAATTTCCTTCTTTCTATAGAATCCTGCACAAAAAAAATGTAAGCATTGTTAGTTTTCGTTTTAATAATGAATATAAATACACACCTTAACTGGCAATCCAGAAGGATTGGATTCTGCAGGTTTGAATACTTCAGCACATGGAGGGTTTTCTTCGGGAACCATTTTTAATAAGTTTTTTTTTAAATTTTCACAAATTTACACAAAAAATATTTGGAGGTGAAAAGCTCTCAAGAATTCCCCACAGGGAGGTGAAAAGCTCAATTCAATATTTTTTAATTTCTGGAAAGTTAAGTCATGTGAACTGAAATAGAATAAGAATAAATAAATTAAAATAATTTTCTTCTGATTAAGTATTCTGAACATTCCATTAAAATGGATCCTTTCGATAAAATTCCCGAGGACATTCACGATGAAGTATTAAAGTATTTTAAAGCTGAAGATATGATTGAAGTTTTATCATTAGTGTCCAAGGCCTGGTATTCAGCAGTTGCTTCTTCCAATATATGTATGAGAAAAATCAAATTAAATTTACGTTCAAAGAGGAAGAATGATTTCACTGAAAGAATTGAAACACTCAATTGGATGAGTAGAAAAGATGGAAGAAGCTTTCAACATCTACAAATCAACTGTTTACTAGATGAAGGAATATCTCAAGAAGTGTGGAGTTTTCTCCACTCAAGAGCTGAATCGATTGAGACCATTAATATCAGAAGCATGAAATTCGAGAGCGATTTCATTGTTACGAACATAAAACTGCCTAAACTTGAAGAACTAAAAATGATGTTTGTACCACGTGATGCAATGAATTGTCTTATGACGTCGACATCTTCTTTGAAAACAATGATTTTGAGAAACGAATTTCCACTCTGTTACGATGGAGTTGATTACACACCAAGTGAAACTACAATTAAAAGTGTGCAGTATTGCATTTCAGCAAATACGAAACTAGAAGATTTAGAAATTCAAGGACGACCGAATTTCTTTGGTTTCTTTCATAAGGACCTATCAGAGTATGTCAGCTTTAATTTGAGTAAACTTGTTCTAAAAGTCGAAATGTCAGTAGAGAAAATTTCTACAGAATGTGAAAGTAATATAATTAAGTTTATGAAGCGACAAGCCAATTCTCTCGAGCATTTCTACATTGACTCTTGTGGCACAAATATCATCCAATTTGCTTTCAATTCCATGCCAGTATTAAATTTTCTTCGCTTTGACATTGAACTTCGAGAGCCTAATAAGTTTAACATTAAAGAACTTAATATTGAGCCAAACGAAAAAATCAAATATCTTGAACTTCCATACATCGTTTTATTTGATGAAGTTAAAGATTTCCTCGATCTAGTACCAAATGTCGAAGAAATATTAATCGGACACATCAATCCAAGAGTCATCGAGTATACAGCTAATAATTTACAAAAATTGAAGTCCATTGTTTATCGTTACGATGATTCCGCAGGTGGTTGTGACAAAGTTTATGCCGATATGAAGATCCAAAATCATGAAATGAATCAAAATATTACATTATCATTATATAACGATTTTCTATGAAAATTCAACAAACATTCAATAATAAATAAAAATTCCTTAGACATTTATTTATTAGAAGTTCAAATAATTTTTTTTGTTGAGCTAATCGGCTCATTGATATCATTTTACAATTCCTTATAGTAAAAATTTGAGTTATTTCAATAATTTATGATTCTTAATTTGTTCAATTCAAGTGAATAAGATACTTATTGGAATTTTCATCCAAAAATTATCAGAAAAATCGTCAAACTTGCAAAGAGAAAGATTGTAATGTTTAACAACAAGAACCTTTCCAGTCAAAAAGCTTAATAAGAATATCAGTCGCAACTCTTTTGCGAGCTTCTTTTTTAGAACGTCCTTGACCAACGAAACTTTTTCCATCAACAGTTGCACCAACTGAATGCTGAATATTTGGTGTTATTCCAACACTACCTAAGTCGGAATATTGAGTGCCTGGTCGCATAATTGACAGCAACATAACAGGATGCATTGAAATATTATTTGCTGGCAGTTCTGTCTTAATCTTTGGAGCTTTTGGTACTCCAGGTTTTACTTCACCTGTTGGTGAGACTACCAAAGCTGAATCGGTTGGTGACTGGAAGAGTAAAAAAAATTAAATTGAGAATTTAAATTTAATTCAATATTCGTACGTTGACTTTTGGTAAAGGAATTTCATATCCTTCAGCTTCCCATTCGGCAAATAATTTATGCAAAGCATAACTTGCTAGCTGCAGCATTGGAACGTCGTCTCCTTTGTCTTCATCCATAGGGACGTCATCTTCAGAAGAAGGAATAGTGATTTCCTGATTTTTAATTTGATGGAATTTTTTGATGATCAAATCACGTAAAGCTTGTTCCGAGGCAGCATTCTTAGCTTGCATTTTATTGCTTCCAAGCCCAGTGTACTTAACATTGTTGATTGTTATTTCTGCTTCAAATTTATTACCTTGTGCAGGTAAAACAACACTTTCATTGATACTTTGACCGTGTAGTTCGTTCAAAGCAGCAATGGCATTGCGTGGTGTAAGAATACGGAACAGTTTTCTGTTCTGACGAACACGCTTTTCTTTTCCTATATGAAAAGAAATTGAATTTAGAAATTTTCAGACGAATTATTCAAATACTTTACTTACCAGAAACCTTCTTTTTGAAGTTGATCTTGCGCAGCTTTAGAAGATCTTCTTCAGACATTGGTCTGACATTACTTGAATCTTCGTCCATCTTTATGGGAATATTGGACGTAGAAGTCGATGGACCATCCTCATGCTTTAATGATGGTTTAGAAGGTTCCAAAGTCACCGGTTGAGGCTGTTGCTGTTGAGTTACTGTCTGTGTAACTGGCGATACTTCTTCCTTTTTTCACGTAAGTTTGATATGGAATTGAGAGCACAAAATCATTTTGACTTAAACATTCAATTCCATCAACCTTAGTGTTATTCAAAAAGTTACCAAAGTTGGAGATAGATCCGATTAAGGATTTCAATATCGAACTAAGCAGGAGCAATCATGCAAATAGTTTAACAATGAGGAATTTCGTAAAGTTTCGAGAATTTAATCCCCAAAGCTTGTCGAAACTCTTCCAAAGCGATTTTCTTGATTTGTTCATGATTAATTCGACATTTTAAATGTTTGCTGTTTTTAAATTAATAAATTTAATTTTCATTACAGAGAATGGATTTGATGAAATTTTCTCAAATTAACATCCTTATGTTAGAAACCAATATGGAGGAAGTTAATTAAAGAAAGACATCGATCGGAAAGAAAATTGAAAAGGGTTTCTCTGTAATTAATTAATTACAGTTATTATTTAAAAACTTAAAAACAATAAATCGCTCTTTACTCTTTCTTCTTAAGAATTCATCTGTCGAAGGGAAAATACATAAAAATCAATATTTTTTTTTCTTTTTTAGAGTATTTTGAAAATTACATTTAGAATAAAAAACTATCATTTTTAAGATGTAATCTTACCTTTGTAAAGATTGGAGTTGGTGTTGGTAATGCCACCATTGGACTTTGTGCTGGAAAAGCAGCTGATGATCTTGTTTGACGAATTTGATTTGAATTCATTTCCGGATGAAGTGTTTCTTTGTGTACAAAGTTATTTGAGATGTTATGGTAGTTGTTTCTAGAAATAAATAATTTTAAAGTTATTAACACAAATATTCTTTTATTTTTGTTCTATACCGGTGCATATTTCAATTACTTTTTAGTTTCAAAATTTAGAAATTGAAATAAGAGAAAATTTGAGTGAAAACGTAGTTTTGCCCTTTGAAATTTCACAAAACGCGCAGTTTTGCCCTTTAAAAATAAAATGCGATTCGCATTTTTTTGTATACAAAAAATTGAAGTCAAAAGCTCATATAATCACATCAGTGAAAATAAAATTATATTATAAAGTGAAACATCATTGATTTTAATTAAATTAAGTTCTAACAAAATTGTGAAGACTTAGTCATGTAAGTAATATCACCATTATATAAATTTCATACACAAAAGCTAAGTTTTAAAGCAAGTGAAAAAATAAAAATCGACTTCAATATGGAAATCAATTGACACGTTTAACAACTTTTTCACCTCATTGTTTCTTTGATCAAAATAGAATTAATGAAAAGTAGTAATATTTTTTAATATAACATAAAATTGACTTCAATTTTGTTCTACAGTGAAAATTTCAATATCATAAAATATTTTTAATAAATATCTGAAACAATTGCGTAGATTTTTATGAACAAAAGCGTTAAGTAAGATCAAAGGTCCTTCTACAGAATATCAGAAATTTCAATTTTTAGTTATAAATTACAACATATATCGATGTGATTTCAAGGATGTACAGTTATAGTTACATCTAAAATTTAATGACGTTCGAATTGTGACACGAGTGTTGGCTAAAAACCTTATTAAAAGTTACATCGATTGCTTAAATGTCAAAGCATAATTAACTTGATCCTAAAACAAAGTAAACTTAATGCAGCGGAATACAAAATGATTTCCTTTTTTTCGATTGACCACGTGGAATTCATGAAGTAAAAAATGCAAAATTTCCATTCAGCTTCTAAACTTGTTTATTAAAATTATTACCTTCACTCAATCATTTTCTTACTTACACTTGTAAACCGAGGCTTTTGTTCCCTTTTTGTTCATAAACAAGTCGCAAAATGACTTTTCATTTATCGTGTTTACGCTTGATTCTTTCAGTACATTCAGGGCTGATTTAGTAACGTTTTGTCTGAAATGCGTCTTATTAACTTATCACAACTTCATGGAAGCTGAAATGATGAAGCATTTTTGCTTTTTTCTTTTTTGGCATCGATCGACATGATGAAAATGCCTATGTATGCTCGAACGTTAGACAGGTGTATAAGCTTGTATACAATGATCTTATAACTTTCTTACTCACGCTAAAAAAAACAGCAAAGAAGCAAGAAGCAAGAGAAAGTACCAACACAAAATCATGTGCGAAAAAAATCTCAAACGAATCAATGGAAACATTTTCTCGATCTCGATTTGATATGAAACACGAACAAAAACTAAATAAATAAGAATGTTGCTTTATGGTAAAATGTTTAATTTGGATCGCAATTCCATAAATGCAAATTTATTTCAATTCCCATAGAGACGTCGACCTTGACGTCGCCCATATCAGAACGAGGGAAAAAGTGAGGTAAACGAACTCGAAAGTCGAGAACCTGATAAATTCCGGACTGCCAACAGTGATCAACAGTGATATTGATTTTGCAACTCCAACATGAGTTAGTTATTACGAAATTCTCTTAAAATCTTCTTTGAAATTTTATATGTTTGATGGGTAAAAGGAAATGAATAAATCAAAACTCCTGTCATTAACCTTTGACTTACAAGTGTTGGTTAAGGCGATCATACCCAAAAATAATTCTTATTTAAAATTCATTATTAGCTATTCTTCTTTGTTTAACTGAAATTTCATGCTTCTGAATATCTTGTCTCAAAAAAGAAATGCTTCTTTTCTTCTTCTTCATGTCTGATCAATCACTTACTACACCGTGCATTGCTAATTGGAAAATTCTTGGAATGAACAGTAAACGGAAATTTCGAAATAAATTTATTCAAATGGCCAGTCATTTTTAACGTGAAGAAAGGTTTAATGTCGTAAAGAATATACGGAAATAAGTTTCTATTTATTTCATTTGTTTAGCTTGATATAAATTTTTTGAAAGATCTTCAAACTTATCCTCAACCCACAATTTACATGATGTAAATATTTTTTCCTTGATTCGTGTGTAATGCATTAATGTCTCTTAAAACGACAATATTAATAAACTGCAATCATTGATGTGTTATTTGCACGAACCGGTTAAACCCCAAAGCAAGCATAAAAATTAATTTGCTTCAATGAAGTTGCGTACATGTAAATAAGTAAATAAATAAAAATCGAAATTACTCATCTAAAAAAGCAAGCTAACAAATCAAACAGATAATAACTTTATTTATTTCATGATTTTATGTTCGTCCTCAGACTGTTTTTTCTTCTTATTTCTCATCTCAATTTTGACGGCAAGTTTATCAAACAAAGTTCTAATTGTAAAGAAGTAGATGAGTTCGAAACCAGTCACAAGTGAAAAACCAAGAAACAAGCCAAGAATTCCACCAAAATTAGCAAGCACACTCAACCAGTTTTGGTACATATTCTTACGGTAATGTGTTGCAATTAAATCATTGAAAAAGACGTGAACAAGTGACTCATCGGTAAGATTCGTGTCTTTGAAGAAACTCAATGAATTATATGAGAAATCGCGATTAAGTGTTCCGGTCGAGATCTCAGATGGATAAGTAAAGAAAGTGCAATCTGGCAAGCAGTGACATTTGTCTCGCATAAGTCGTGATGCTTCTGATGAATCGTTTTTGAACTGAAATGTCGAACCTGCGTAACGATCTTTATTTTTTCTAACACATTGTAAATCTGTCATTTTGCATTTCGTGTATGAGCCGTTGCTTGGAAAATTGAAAGGAACACAACCACACAGATCATTAATCATTGCACTTCGACATTCGGCCATGCAATTAACATACGAATATTGTCGAAAAGTGTCCATTCCACGTTCATTGTATTGGAAACAGTTGCGAATATCTGGCGGTAGATCGTACACATCTTCTGTTGAGTAGGTGGACTCTGTTTGAATGAAATTTTAATTTGATTCTTTTTTGAATGTACACGAGTGACATTGAAATAGCTTATTTTGTATTACCTGGCTTTACGCTCAAAAACGCCTCCGTTTTTGCTGCTACAAGTTTTACGACAGAGTTAGGATCAGCATAATCATAAGCATTGTGAATCATTATCTGAGAATCAAGTTCATAAGTAGGCATTAAGAATGGCATGACTATGATTTACCCGAAAGCCATCTGCTGCAATTTCCGTTCCAAAATAATCAGTTTTGAAAGACTTCAATAGAATGGTAAGACCAGTTTGGTAACCACACGCTGTCACTCTCCGAGCTCTTTGTGGAATACTTGATAACATCTTCGGATCGTAGTTAGATTTTGGAAAAGCGTAATTATTGAAGCTACAGCAAGTTCCTTCAGATGAGTTTACAGCTTGAAACAGACCATCGCATCGTTGAAGTGAACCCTTCCATGAACATCTTTCAAGAATGTCGCTACATTTTGGTGATAAACGTTCTAACAAATAATTGATGTTCTCGTTGTTCATTTCCATAATCTGCCAGAAGAATAATTCTTAGAAATTTAATTTAAATTGATATTTGATCTACTCACATCACTGACTTCACGATATTCTTCTAATGAAGCATTTCCAGAACCGCGAAAATGGAGCAGCAATCTTAGCTTGTATGCCAATTCTTCATCAGTTATGTTGTATGGTTTTCTCCTTAATAAATTATACAAAAGATATTTCGCTTTAGAAATTCACCTTCTGATGATCAAATTAATTCTAATCATAAATTTATTGTTTTACATTTTGCTAGCAATCTCCAAAGCTGCAAGTTTTGATATTTTATTCATGCTACAAATAGTAACTGCTGGAAATGGTAAATTGTAAGTCGGATAGTTAGTACTTTCAATGACAGTTGTTGTTGGAGTCTCGGATGTCCAATTCCATGAAATCCACAGCAAAACTACAGCAATAATAAGTGCGAGAATGCTTAGAATGATCCAAAGCCATCTTTCAAAGGGACGATATTCATCATTAATTGTATGAATGTAACCATGAAGACTTGTCACATTACAAAAATGCGTGATGCGTTCACTAATCCATTCTTTCAGAAGATCCTTTTGCGTTTTTTTACGAACAGCGAAATTATCAATTGCATGTTTAGTCTTAACACTGTTTAAAACCTTTGTCGAGGTGTCTTTAAACATTTTGCTTATAAATTTCTCCCGAAATATTTATGATAAAATGCAACCGTTTCGAATGAGTTCCAAAATACTTTTGAAAGGATATTTTCTTTGCTTTTCAATGTAAATATTAATCAATAGGATAATATGAGACATTTAATACTTAATTAGTGGTAAATCATTGACAATTATTAATACAAGAAAGTAATTTGCGTTTCATTACCCGAATGACAGAAAACTTTTTGAGCTTTCATATCACATATCAAAAAACTAATAATAAACCAACATAAATGTGTAATTTCTTCCATTCCTAATTCATAAGGTAAAATCAAACAAATATTGAAGCTAATAATTCGACAAATTCGTTGTTGAGCTTTAGCTTGTTTAAGATTAGAAATATCTCATCGAATATCGAGGGATACTTGGTCAAGAATTATTAATGAAACTTTTTTATGATTGCCACAAAGCATTAAAGGTACTGCCTCTAACAGAATGGGGAAGTGGTTAAAAATAATTGCTGCTGTGTCATGTATGCACTAAGCAAATCTTTAAAGATTTTAGTAAAAAAAGAGCCGACGTTATAATAATGCATAGAAATTAAATGTGCAAAAGTTATGATATGTAAATCGTAAAACGACACAAACATAAAACTAGAGATGAAAATAATGTTGCCAATGTAAGCTCGGGTCAGTGATCTGAAGATAAAACAAAAAAGAAATGAGGAAATGCAGTTTTGAGTTGTTGTTGCATAAAATTTTCTAAATGAGAAATTAAAATGTGAATCATTTCATTAAGAATTTAACTACACTGTAATGGAAATTCCAAAAATAAATACTAAAATGAGAGATCTGAACTCTTAGAATGCTCTTCGAGTTCAAATAAATAATGGTACATTCAGAAAAGAAACAAAATAGACTTCAACAAATACATGGTTAGTTATCAAGAGTTCCAGAATATCTCGTTTGAGTTCAGTGACAAGCTGTGCAAACAAGATAGAAAATATGAAATTCGAGTCTGTTGACTGTGTCTTGATATCAGAACATTTACGTATGATCATCATATAAAGAGGCGATGAACGGTGCTCGAGTCTGATCGTACATTTCTTCATGCACTTTTATCACAACAAGTGGAACGAGTTTGAAAAATCTTATGACCAAATATTGTGATAAGAAATTTCCATGTGACTCTCTCACTAAAGAAGAATTTGGTTTCGTATTGTTGGTCGGCAATTTTACGATAAGATAAGAATTTATGGGAAGCCTTGAAAGAACACATTGTTGACGATCACATATCTTTCCATTTTCACGCTAACCGAATTCCTTAGTAATGCCAAATAGAGAAGAAAAAAACAAAATAAATTCATGGACATTTTATGATAAACAATCGCATCACAACTACAACTTTGAAATATTTTTATTTACACTTCAAGAATTGAATGTAGATTTGTGCGTTTCTCATCATGAGAGAAACCACAGAAAAACTTTTTCTGATTTGATTTGGCATAAAAACAAGAAAAATTAAATTATTTAATTTAATTCTGCAGCAATGATAGACGGCAAACTGTGTTAATTCTATGTTTGAATATTTTTTGATTATATTTAATGTTGTTATGCTTCGAAAAGCGTAAGTGATGGTATTTGCTATATAATTGTCTAACCATCATCATATGGATCAATGGCAGGTCAAACATATCAACACAATTCATTATTCGTTGAATGTAAACAAAGTCATGAAAGCAAATCGAGCGATTACACGCGAGATTGAGATAGCATTGTCGAATCGTTAAAAGAAAACTTTATGCGAGTGAATGAATGTTTAAAATATCAGAAGCGGACATCTGTTGCAAGCGCTGATTGTTTTTTTTTTTCGATTTAAGGTCATCATTAGACGTCGAAAATCAACAAAAAAATTAATCAAATGATTGATAAGCTCTCTATAAAAACAGTTTTTGGTTTGTGTGCAGTTGAAAAAAACTCTCAGGAGAGTTGAAAATCTCTTCAAGCATACGAAGGAATAAATTAAATTAAAGCTTAATTAAAAGATGCAATTTGCAAAGCCAAAATATTAATTGATCAAAGTTCTGCTGTTCTAGCATACTCATCATGAAGTGTTCGTAACATGCTAACGTAATATATAAAAATATTTGTACGAAGAAGGAGAATGCAGTATTAAAAGCAGCTGAATCGCCATTTCGCGTTTATTTCCGATGTTCACCTTTCAGTCATTAACACAAAGCATGATAACGTGTAAAGATAGAAGCCAAGTCGCAGATTGTGACTGTTGCTAGGGTCTGTAGTGTTCAACATTTTGCAAATCTCCGTCATGAGGCGCCTACGCAAACAGTGTTTGATGAATTATGGTTGCAGTGAGGGAAAATTCTGCTAAATTTGCTTTCCTTCGAATACTCGCCGTACATTTGTTTAAAAACTTTATTTCACTCTTCTCTAATTTACGATGGCTTCCACCAGTTTTTCTTTTTTTTCCTTCTTTTTATCTTTCTTATGTAACTTACTTTTCACAAACTTTCCTACTTTGATCCCAAAAGAATAAATTTTTGAAGGTAAGTTTAGATATTTCTTTCCGGTTTAAATGTTTCTTTGTTTGACAATACGATCGACAGATAAAAGACATGAGACATCAAACATTCATCTCGTTTGAAATGTATTTCAAATATCTTACGATTTGATGAAGAAAGTATCTACCGGTTTCTTAATTTCATCTTTTTGATTTTGAAGTCATTATTAGATAATCGTAAACAGTCGTGATTTCAGTTTGTATCCAACTTAGATAGCCGAATCCTCGATGATGTGCTAAACATTTTATTATGCTCGAAAGCACCTTACTGACAATAAAAAGCTCTTCGCACTTCTTTGATATTAGATAATCAAAAAAAAATTACCTTCACATGTTAAATGGAATTTTCATTAAACTTTTTCCAAAAGGTTTTATCAACTTTGATATTTCGAAAAATCGCAGTTTCAAACAAAAAACATTTAAAAAAATTATTTAAATTTTCCTTTTGAAATCAACCACGAACATTTTATAAAAATGCGACGTGTGTCTACGTGAAAATGTATTTCAAGGTTCGAAAATCATTTTCCTCGCTCGACGTGTTTTATTTTCTATTTCGTAACGGTAATAATTTTCATTCGAGTTTCCATTTCTGTGTAAACATTTCTCTGCGGCATATTTCACATTTGAATGTTTTTATATTCTACAATAATAATTTTGCTTATTTTTTCTGTTTGGTTCTCCCTTGCATAACAATTTCCCTAATAGCCTGAAATTCCGATAGTGGTATTGGTAATAAGAAGACGACTGAGAGAGAAAGTAATAGACGATTGAACACTCGGTTTAAATAGAACAATTCACAATCTTGAGTTGAGAAAGCTTCATTTTTGTTGTCATAGCGACGAGAGACATTTTTATTACTATGAAAAACTTTCGTGATGCACTCCCTTAGATTGCAGTGATTCTACTATTGTATTGATGTTGAGTCAAGGCTTCTATTTATTACTGAACAATGATTTTTTTAACAAGCTACTGTATTCACATGACATAAGCTGAAGGCCGCCAATCTTTTTTATTTCATCATTGTTACTGGAAAAAGCGAATGAAACTTTTTCACGTGTTTTCGTATCGGTTTCGCGTAAACTAACATTTTTTTCTTTACACTTGCACTCGTCAATCTTATCAATCGCATGAGTTTACAATTTACGCTCAGATGAAGTTATTGTGTTTTTTGCACTCAGTCCCAATGTTTCTTTTTTTAATTGCTTCGTTCATTTATGGTGTGGCGCTAATCTTATCGACTCTAAACAGAGCTCTAGGTCACACGTTAATCTTGTTATCGAAGCAACCTTTTTGTTTTATTTACAACTAGACATTATAAAATAACACAAGCAAAACTGAAATCGTTTTTGTTATTGAAAGTGGGAAAATTAGTCACTTCCTTAACACCAATCAACGTCATCAACTGATCTTCTGCTTCTAAAAAACTAGCTTGGTTTTATTAACACTTTTATTCCCGAAATAAAAAAACAGAATATATGTTAAATCAACTAACTATTGTGTCGTTATGAAAATTCTTTCTCAAGGCTATCAGTCAATTAGACGATTGTCAATCAGCAAACAAACAAACAAACAAATCTTAAAAGATCGATTGACGTTTCGTGATGAAAAGAAAAACTTCAAATTGTAGATTTTTCGCTGGCAACGATTGCATAAGAAAAATTGGTTCACGAGGTCATCATGCGTAACGACGTTTACCAATGAGACGAGCCTCCGTCTTGAAATATTAACTACTCTCAGCCCACGCCCCGGAAGCTGACCTTAAATTTAATATTCTTCATTTTTCACACTATTGGTGTTACTGAGTTGATTCAAAGCTTTAATACAGCTACGAAAACATTTTTTTACAAATTCAGCGCCTGCATTGTGTATGTGTACGCTTAATTAGTGATACCATAAATTCCAATTATAAACATCCCTCAGAATTGTGTTTTACTTTTATCTCGCGATATTTGATTTTTGTTTTTTAACTTAAACAGATCAGCCTTTCATGTTAATGAGTTAATGACTTTAACACCATATTCATGTTTTGAAAGAGTAATATCGGGAATGAATGATAACAGAAAATGAAAGGCGATACTTGTATTCATGTATTCGTGGAGACTGAGAGCCACGTTGAATAATAGCAAACGATTAAGTGTTAATAAAATTGAAGCTTAGCTGTTGTTTACGTGTCAATTCTCGCACAAACATTTGTTTTTATACCTCGCTAGGCATTCAAAAAGAAGTAATCAACGCTTACGGGCGACATATCCAAAAATAAAATAATAACAAAATGAAAAAAAGGTTTAATATGTAGAATTTAAACATTCAACATTTGAAATCGTTGAAAGCAGTCGCCACATCTATGAACGAATCGTTAAAATAGTCTGAATTAATTGAGATAATAAATACAAATTCTATAACATGGCCATTAAGAAAGAAAGAAGAAAAAGAAACTTTTTTTATTTTGTTTGGTGACTTTTCTTAAGTTTGGTCGCTTTATATCGTTAAATATTTATATGATGTGTGTATGTGTGTGTTTATCATGCAAATGTTTGGTGGTGTATGGAGGCCGAGAATTGATAACTTTTAATACAACAGATCAAGAAAGCTATTTACACCACATATTATCAGAGACTATGCATGTGATTAAAGTCTGGTTCCTCTCTTAAACGCTGTTTTCTCTCATCAACCTCTCCACACTACACACCAAGCTACACATTGATAGTTTTCTGATGAATAAATTCGAGCGAGAAGCAATTTTTATTCTGTAATTAACTCGAAAAATAAACTTTTTTTCAATGTAGATGGGAGTTGCTTTGAAATTGTTGTTTCTTCTCTCACTCTCAGAGGCCGTGCCTGTAATATATTTTTTTTTGTTTTCACGTGAAATATGTTAGGAGATAGTATTTTACAGTTTGTGGTTGAATGTGCACGACATAAACTCGCATTTCTTGCGAAATAAAGTTTTCTTTTTAATAAAAAATTACATTTGATTCAATTTTATTAAAAGAAAAGTTTAACTAACGGAGGTTTAAAACGAGGAAATTCATTGAAAGTGTAGAAAACTGAAAAAGAATTATTTTGGTGACGTTACGATTGCCATTCAAGATTTTATTAAGCGTGTGCATAAACGGCACATCATGCACTTTTCGAGGCAAGGTTGAATCTATCGGTGCTTGTGACGTGTAACTTTACACAATTGTTTATTGATATTATAAGGTATAGAGCAACGAGAAAAAAATAATAAAAAAGACTATTTGCATACGCAAATCGCATTCAGACTCGCAAAAAAGAAAATTCCACGTTGCATAATTTGAAAAGTGTTCAAAGTATTTTGTTTTTTGTTTGCCTTTTTACTGTCGATAATTAGTTGCAGTTTGGCATTCAATTCGCTTTTCCGTATTGAATTCACGAGAAGAAAAATATAAAAGCAAAAAAAATTTAATTTGTGGAGCACGTCAGCCATCGCCACCATATCGAAGTCGATCATGATGTTTCTGTGAGTTAAAAAACTATTTGCTAACATTTTTTATTTGTCGTAAAAATATTTTAACGGGTCGCTTAAGCGAGCAGCAACAAATCTGAAACGAAATCAAATCTGGCAATTAATTGACTTGATGTTTGGCCCCTGCCACGACGTTGTGAAAGAAAGAAGAAAAAAAAATAAAGTCCAAAATGTTGCATTCTTAAATAAATTGAAGATGAATGGCTCATGTCGTATGTTTGTGGAACGAGACGACAGAAGCGCGTCTTAGTTGGAAAATTTCAAATTCCCAGATCTGATGGCAGAGAAGCAAAAATAAAATTTACTTTCGTTGCTGCTTTTTTTCAATCCCCGTTCATATTATAAAATGTTATAATTCCACCCACATTGCTTAATGCTCTTTTTTTTCTCTACTCTTGGACGATGATAAATATTGAGCGTTGCGTCTCGCGACTTTCCCAGTTATTTCTGAAGTTGAATAGTCAATGAAGAACATCCACATAAGTTAAATCTAAAATTAGCGGCTTTTGTCTTCGAAGTGTCAACGCTGACTAAAATGCTAAATTTCTGTAATTCGAGCATCAAGCGACACCCAATGACATCATCAAAGAACGCTCTCAATGATCATTTTTCAAAGAATAATAATAAAAATAGTAAAAACAAAACTAAGCCGAAGTTTGACAAATTATGCGCTGAAGATTTGCGTTGGAGAAATGTTTGTTGCCACACCAAGAGCGAGAAAAATGTCATTAAATCTGACACGTTAAATTTCTAAGACATTTTTAAAAGAAGAAAAGGGAAAACTGAATTCAATCTTTTTGTTTTTCTTATTTTACAAAAAAGATAGAAAAAAGAAATAACAAAATTGAATATTTTGGGAAAAGCATCTTTCGTTTAAAAAGGTGCACGTGATTATCACATCATTGAGCATACGCGAGAAGAAAACTTTACGACAGTTTAAATAATTTCGTTTCGTTTTTTCCATTCAATGCTTTAAAATCTCTCGGAAAGTTTCCAAGAGATTCTTTTTGTCTTCTGTTTGTTTAAAAGCAACGAGAAGCTATTAAAAAACCGGCGCAAAGCAATTAAAACTTGCCTACCTGCCGCACACTCGTCTTGCCATCACATCGCATTAAATTTACTGTTTTACATTCTTCATTATTTTATTTGGTGACTATGCGAGAGACGACGTTATTATTTGCATTTGCCATAACATGGTCACCCAGAACACCGACATGGCATGTAAAGCGAGCAGAATGAAGTGAAACATTTCCTCGTTGCAATCAAAAATAGACAAGAAGTAAAAAGTTAGGAAAATTAAAATGTTTTTAAGGGTCCATTTAATGTGAATGTGTTCATACAACGATGATTGATCCAAACAACTGTCCCACATCATCAATCGACTGCACCTTCTCAGAAATGATTCATTCTATACTCGAACATTTCGAGTCACGTCTTTTCATGCTGATTCACATTTCTCATCTTTCATGCGATCTTTCGAGTGGATGCTAAGAAAATTACACGGAAACCAACGCATTTTCCCAAGCGATTTTCTTTCTGCTTTCGGCTAACGGCAGCAAACTAGCAAGCAAACAAGGCAACAACAGAAAAAAAAATTATATACAAAAAAGAAAACAATAAATTTACTTGCCAAAGAATTTCATCATCAGTGTGTTGCCTTGTTTGACGACGGTGCGCGTTGTCATCGAAAAAAAATTAGCTTATTTGTTAATCAAATCAGAATGTACATCTAATAAATAAGTGTCAAGTAAGGGATTAAACGAACAGGAGAGTTTCATAAATGCTTAAGATTTCAGATCACACATTTCAACTCAAAACATTATTAATGATCAACAGAAATTTAACTATCTAAAATAGATGCTGTTCTTGTGATAATTGACGCATGAAATTTGAATTGATTTTAATTTCAATTGAACTTCCGGTTGCTTTGAGACCGATTACGATCATTCGACTTTTCCCTCGTTGTGAATATGAACATAAAAAAACGCGCTTTGAAATAGAAAAAGATAAATTTCAGGCCTCGCATACAATTCACATGACGTAGACGTATATATGTGAAGACCTGAAAATATAAAGCATTTGACAACAAACTTAAATTCATGCCTGCGATAGTAGTGAAAAAAAAAACTGTGATAATAAAGTGTCGCTTGACGTAACAACGACCCGATAATCAATTTCTCAATGAGAATTTCCGGTGTGACACTTGGAGTTGAGGGTTCGGTGAGGTCATAAACAGTCGAGACGATGCATAAAAGAAATCCTTTTTCCCTGTTTATTGAAATTTAATATTCATGAGTCAAATGAATGAACTCTAAAATTTTATTTAAATCGAAAAGCAAGAAGAATTATTTTTGACGTATTATAAAATATGACAAATATCGTCATCAAAAGCTTCGCTCTCTCTTTTTTTTTATATTCATTCAAGTTGACTGTTCGTTCAGTATGTGATTGATAACACAAGCACTTTTCATATTTACTCAAAGTAATTCGAGACAAACTAAGTTTTTAAGAATCATTGACATTTGTGTGATTGAAAGTGTGTTGTGCACTTTGGACGGTGGCATAAATGCAAAATGAAGTTTCTATACCGTCGCATGCACACATTCACACATACAAACATAATCACGAAATGAGTCTTCATTAGCATGGTTTTATCAAGGCACTTGCTGAAATATTTTAATTTATTAACAGACAATAAACTTCCACAACGAACGTTACAAGCATAAAAAAAACTTGTCGTTGAAATGCAAAAGAATTTCTTTCATTCCGTTTCGCAAACAGAAGCAGCACAAGCTATATAGTCATCGCATTAAAAAAAAGTGCACAACACGAAAACTTGTAACAAAATATTTCTTTCTCTCGATTTTTCTGTTTACAAACAAGTTTATTTGTGAGTCTTCATAAACAACTCGACGTCATTTCGCATCAATACTTAATGAGTTTATTGTTTTTCTTTCTCTTCCTTCTTCTTCTTTTTCTCCCCTTTCTCGTTCTTGTCTCGTTCAATTTTAGTATTTTACTACATCAGTAAGCTTTATGATCGGTAATTTTCATTTTCTGATGACCACTAAAGGCAGCTAATAAAAGCCACAGGAAAACCGTTTGGTGATAATGAAATTGAGAAGCTGACGTTGTTGTTTATTTTTGATAGGAAGCCACAATAGCGATTTTGTGTGAAATAGTTTCAAATTAAGAAACTCGTTTTGAGAACGAGCAGAGATGTTAATGAGAAGTGGAAGCCTGGGAAAGGTTTGTCGCGTAATCATTTATTGATACAAAGTTTCTTGCGATAACTTGATAATGGCGTCTTCACCAACGTCGTCTGAGCAATAAGTATGAGAAGCGTCAACTACTTACTGCTTCAATGTGACGCATGTTCCCTGTGAAATAACAGTTGATATCACTCGTTAGTGACTTATCACATGACACATTTTGCTGAGATTATTTTTGGAGTTGAAAAAGAAAACTAAAAATATTTTGCGACAGAAAAAATATGTCGTTGCGTTGTTAAAGCAGAAAATTCTAAATTTATGACGATTTTATTTGTGTTTTCAACGAATTTGCATTGACACGAAAATTAAATCTAAAGAAGAAAAAAAGAATCGAAAACTGTTTGAACTAAATTGAATTATTTTTACACTCGTTTATTGACATTTCACGAGTTAAATGATTTCTCAGATATAACTACGTAGATGTCGGCAATTTATATTTACCACATAAGCAGACATTAAAGTTTAAAATATTTTCCAATCTCCTTAAGGGTTAATTAATATTTAAGTTATTCAAATTGCATTGAACGTTGCGATGTCAAGCTCATTCCAATGATTTAAAAACATTTTCAAAGGGATGATTATGGTTGAAAGAAATAATTAAGCATATTAAGTCTGTTTATCGTCTCCTTTTAACCTCTGTCAATTACCTCTTTTATGACCGGTTTTCCTTGATTTTCATATTCGGAGAACACCAAAACAGGTCATCCTACTTGGCTTGCCCTTTTTACCTTCACAGCATGACTTCTTTCATTAATGTCGTCAAATATTGTATTAATTAAAAATAGACAAGGAACAAACATATTTTACAAAGACAGAAGGGAAAATATTTCAGCTTAGAATTTATTTAAATGAAGATGCGCGTCTTCAATCATTTCTTTTCTGTCGCCTCGATGATTGAGATGTTCATGCAAGCCAAGTCTGGTCTATATAATTTAAGCAAAAGAAAATTAATTTAGTGCATTTGGCTTTCGATGCTCTTTGAATTTCATCTGGCTGATGTGTTGCAAAGAAAGTCAATTGAGCGTTTAATTTCTTCTTACACTTACAAGAAGGAAAAAAGAAAGATTAATTAATGTTCTTACAGAAAAATTTGACAAATTATAAGTTATGAAATTTGCATATCTCGGAGAAGCGTAGGTAATTTAAAACGTGATTTAACTCGCAAATTACTCTCTTAAGAGTCTATGTAAAGTTCAACAAGTTTCATTTATCTGCTGTCCAAGCGCAAAGAGTGAAATCTTTCGAGAACAAGCGGAATTCTAGTTCTGTCTTCAAATAAAATGCACATTTCATGAATCGAGTATGTAGCAACAAAGTTGCATGCATTTTTAACAACATTTGTCATTAGTTGAGCTAATGAAAATAAATAGTTGCATTGCTTTCCTCTCATCTATAAATAATTTATTTCTTTTGTGATACGTGAGTGCGGCGAAAGCTAGAGCAATGCTTGTACTTGATATTATGCAGACATTAAGTGGATGAGCCGCTGTCCCGTTTTAAGAAGCAGTTTAGGTCTGATCAATGACCTCGCGTAACATTTTGAGTAACGAAAAATGCGAATTGCGGAGATTTCAGACATTTTCTTGTTTCGTTCAGTCTTTTCGATGTTTGTTTTTCTGGCATATTTTATATCCCCCTGTAACCGTTTATTTAATAGATTTTGAGGTTCTTCTGTTTTTATAAATAGCTATCGATTTGATATCTCGCTATTCATTTCAATTCGCAGTTCTATTTTGTTTTTTTGACATTTTACTTCTGTGTCTAAATCGCATTCAATACGAGAAACTTGTGAAGAGTGAAAGTCACTTCTGGTATCATAAGCAGATATTTGTGTATAAAAATTTGACTACAGTATTGAAAGCGGAACTGTTTATGATCAATCCAATTATTTGTAATGTGATTTTAAACTTGTAAATAAAGAGATAAAGATTTATTGGATCAATCCGCAATAAAAGTCACGTTACGTGAAACTATGTCACTTTTAAATAATAAATATTGGCCAATGTGCATGAATAATAAGATGAATAAACTTTCCTACATCGTCAGACAACAACAACAGCTACTACTTTAATGAAATGTAGTTCATAAGTAAAAGGAATTACAATTAAAATATAAAAAAGAAAATTCAAGCGAAATCTCGCACAATGTTTACTTGTGTGCGGACTGCCACAGGCTTGAAATTTGTTTTGTGCACAGCACATCTTTAAGTTTAAAGCATGCAAATACCATTCGAGATTATAATAGAATCATTATAACCTACTTTAGGGTTTTTCTTCTGGTATGCTACTAGGTAGGAGTGAAGTTGAATAAATAGAAATGAATTTCAACTTAAAATAAGATAACAAGACACGATGCAACACACAATCACGAGTCCACATGGTTGTTGTTAAATCAAATAAATATCTCATATTGTGTAACACTTTATCAATTGAAGGGAAATGATAATGAGAAGTTGACTACTTGTTTAAAGTGGATGAACCTCAATTGTGCGTTGATTAACTTTAATTATTTAAAATCTTGTTTGGAATGTCTCAAACTTGAGTTGATGTTATTTTTCTATTAAATGTGATGATGGTAAACACAAACATTTCAAAGAATAATAATTGATCGTTTTCTTTGAAACTTTACTTTAAAATAAATAAAATTTCGAGTTGCAAAACAACAAAACGAATAAAATGGAGCAAGTTGAAAACAACAAAGTTATGAATAGAAAACATAAATACAGCTAACCAAATGCTTATACTTGTTCATTGAAAATATTTATAGGCGTCATCATGCATAAAGTGTATTTAAAAACCTTTTATTTAGCGGCTCGTCAATCACTTATTCTTCTTTTTTTCTCATTTGCGTCCTTTACTAAAAATTATGCCGCAATGCTTCTTCTTTTCTTTTCCTTATATTTGAAATTCAATTGCATGACAGTGAAATGCTTCTTGCTTGTAATTTTGTGGTTTTGTATCGATAGAGTAACCATGCAAACGTTCCAATGTACATAAATTGACGGAGTGGAAATTAATACAATATCGACGTGTTTGAAGTCAAGTAGTCAACTTATTTTTCTTCAATCTCCATGCTTGGTCATATTTTCCCTGTCTCAAATCAATACAAGTATAACCTTGTTGTATTCCGCTGAAACAAACAGAAACTATGCAACTATGCTTTTTATTCTCAGAGAGCTTTTTTCCATTGAGCTTTCCATTTGGTGAGAAAAGCTGTCAAACAGCATGAGAGTAGCGTCTTAACATTAATTTTTTTGTTGATGTAAACGCCGTTGCCATGTACGGATGAAACAGAAAGAACTTTACACATTTACGCTCACTCTCTTAGTTGAATTCTCTATATCTTGTGTAACTTTTAGTTTCAATCACACCACAAAATAAAAAACACCAAAATCAAGAATAGCGCTTAGATTGAGTAAAAGAAGAAAAAAACTGAATAAACAATAAAATTCTTTGAGAAATCAAACGGCAAATGAAGCAGAAAAAATTATGAGAAAAGAAATCTTGAAGTTTGAGTTTAATTTGCTAAGCAAATGAAATTCAGTTGTGTGTTGAGAATATTTGCCATAGCATCAGCAAGTTAAATATTACTCGTAAAAATTTTATCTAACATTAAGAGTGAATAAAAGTCGTCTTCGATTACGCAGCCCTCGACGGTGGTGATGCAATTTCGTTTTGCGATACAGTTCTATAATTAAAATGTGAGTTTATAAACGCGTTGTCGTTGACGGCGTCCTATGTGTAAACATTTATTCGTGTTTGTGTCTTCCGAGTGGGTCGATTCAGCCATTTAATGATTACCAAATTTAGATCTCAACATTCAATACAAGTTCAAGCATCGAAGTGTATTCAACGAATTTGTTGCCATAAACGACGAAAACATTTTTCCTTTCAATTTTTTTTTATTCAATTTGCAAAAACGAAAAAAGAAGAAAAAGAAAAACTTTTACTAGGAAACCTTTACGTCATAAGTTTGTATTAATCGAGTTTGCTTTCATGTTTGCGGAGAAGACTTCGCTAGTAACTAATACGGCACTGATAGGACAACAGTACGACATCACGAGGTTGTCCCTCTAATCGATTATAAAAATAAAAGCGCCGCCGTCGTCTGCCATTGATTGCCGATTTTGTTTTATATTCTTGATGAATTGCCATAAAAACTTTCAATAAAGTAAGCTTATTGAATGATTTGTTAATCATTTCCCGTGGGACGGTTGTGGGTTCATTTATTCTCCACTAAAGTTCAAACAAAAGCAAGTGCAAAATCCTTTGAAAATAAAATTTCGACCGGTGCTGAAAGGTCGTTTTTGAACAGAATTGAAGACTTCATTTCTTCTTTTCACTTTATAATTCTTATCGCCCCCGCGTCCTAGCCTTGAAATTTTTCGCTATACTTTAAATACATGCGAAAAGACATTTTTCTCATCGCGTTGATAAAAGATTCTCATGACCATCAAATTTGCTTATTTCTTTTTTTTCGTTCTGCGACATGATAATAAATTAAATAAAATAATCTCATAGCGTCGTGGTTTAGGGAATCAAAGCAAATATCCGAGAGTTGGGGAAGGAGGGAGAGATAGAGTGAGTGAGAGAGAGAAAGAAGCAAGCTCAAACATAAGCAATGTACACCGAAAGATTCGTGGAAAGATGTTGCGAAAATCTCGCAAAACCTGAACTGAGAGATAACAACAAATTCAGTAGACATGGTCAGTGTTTCTCGACGCGGTCTTATTCTTTCAAAGAAGCGAGACGAGTTGAGCACAACGAGTAAAATAGTTCATAATATTTGTAGCAAAAATTGTGTGTATGTGTGCTCTTTTTATTTTATTTTTCTATTCTACGTCGCTCCCAAATAAATTAAATAATCGAGCCTGGCGAGAGCTCTGATAATAAAAATAAAGAAAAAACACGAAACACGAGCAAATTTTTTGAATTGAAAAAGAAGAGTTCAAAAAAAATTAATTACGAATAAAAGCGTTCGTTCTTCTTTTTCATTCATCACACATATCATTTTATTGTTAGCTTATCGCAACCTTGGAAATGAGAATATTTTGTCAAACAAAAAAATGCTGTTAGAGGGATTCTGGTTATCAGCGTTGACGACGAATCTTTTTAAAAGGAAAAAAAAAGACGAGAAGAATTTTTCGTAGAATACTCAAACATCGACAAATTTGCTATTGCCGCAATGTCAGTCAAAAAATTTACGCGTCAGATTCATTTACACTCAAAGCGATATTTTTTTTCTTTGACGTTATCAGCATGACCATGGAATCGGCTATTGCTTCCATACGGTGTCCAAGGTTTCTCATTAAGCTCTTCAAATAAAAAGCTAATCTAATTTTTGTTTCGTACGCAACATCAGGCGCCTTCTATGAACTTTAAACAGTATGTAACGTGATACTTTCTGTTGCCACACTTTTCTATAAGTGTCATTTAAAATTAAATGAAAAATAAAAGAAAGAGAAGAATTGCGTTGAAGAAAACGAAAACGAATTTTTTGCCGGTAGCTTAATTGAGAAAACAAGAGGAGAAAAAAAAGCCGCAAAGAATTCAAAACTTTACTATTCTCCACATTGGCTAATATATTTCAGTTGTTTATTTTCAAAGTATCTCAAGATATTGTCGATGTTTAAAATAAAACTTGAGAGGATGAATTAAATCGAATGACAAAAGGAAAAGAATGTCTATAAATATCTAAAAATCACTTTCTCGTCGTCGTATGATTTGAAGATGAATTCAAGCGTAAGAGATAAAACATCTTCCGTGATATTGAGTTGGCGATAAGGCAATGCGTCGACACAAAAAACCATATGGCGTCAATGTAAGCCAAAACTTTCCAGATCCCATTTTATTTGAGTGTAATCGATGATTCCTCGACTATTTACACTTAGGAAAAACATTAAATTATTTGAGAACTTTTAAATATTTAGAACAAGAGAAAATTTGAGCTTTTGCCACTGCGCTTTGTTTCGTAATTGATTCAGTTGCTATGGCTTTTCGTGCTTTGCCTTATACGTCAACTTGTGTCATAATTATGTTCCCAACTTATTCATCGAGTTGGAAAATTTTGAGTTTCACATCGAAAATATGTCGTTTGTTATGGGACGTTAAGCCCATGATCATTAAATATGGGGGAAATCTATCTTCCCTCCACCTACGCTCTGTTCAAGCAAAAATATGTATAAAAACAAAACTGATGCTCAAACAAACATGATTTGAAAACAAATTGAGCACAATCATGTGCATGAATAATTCGAAGAAAAGGTTTTAATTAAAATATCCCAGAATGTCGATTAGTTTGTCTGGCATATTGCGTTCGGTTAGGTTTCTAACAGTTATAATTAAAAACAGCATTGAATAATAATTAACATGTTTAATAAATACAAACGCTTGAAGAAGCAAATTCTTGGGAAACAAAATTTCTCGTGACTGTGGCAATGATATGAATACAATGATAGAGAAAGAGAGAGAGATAGAGAATTAGAGAGACGAAAAAAAGAAAAATCAATTGTAAATAATGAAAATTTCCTTGAGAGTATGAGAATTGTTTTTCCGACAATTTTATTCATGTGACGCAATCTTTTACTAATAATCCAATGCCGCCTAACGATTATTAATTTTAAGCATCATTTGAATGTGCATTTCTCAAACGAGTGGGTGTGTGTTGACTGTTCATTCAAGCTTCATTGAGCCGGTTGGCCTGCTTATAAATAATATTTTTGTTTTTCAAATGTCTCTCTTAATTTTCCTCTCTTGCGACGATGTAATTGATTGATAATCAGCTACATACACACACATGAAAAAAAGTTAGAAGTTATCGTTACTACATCGCGCAAACGGAATATTAACTATTTTATCTTCGGTATCTTTCCTCATGTTGCATAAAGCTATTTTCAGCTTAGCATGAAAATTGCCGAGTAACCAGAGAGAAAGAGACAGCGTGGAAAACTTCACTTAGATACTCTCTCAGTCTCTCAAAATAAAATTCTCTCTTGCACGTTGTCTAGCGTTTGAAAAATAAGAAAAAGAAGAAAAAAATAACTTAAAACTCTTTTCCCAATTCCGTCGACGTGTATGCAATGACATTCAAGTGAGTATGCTAGACACATCAACAAGCCAATTTTCTCATCTTAAAAGCGTAGTGTAAATAAGCTTGTAAATAAGAAAGGAAAAAAAAGTTTTTAATAATTCTGCTGCTCCGATTTCCAAAAGTCGTGAATGAAATCGAACTGTTAGATTTGCTGTTGATGAACAATTCAAGTTTCATTCATTAACGGAACATCGTAGACATTGCGGTACATCGGTAATCGCCTCGCCACAATCGTGAAAGAGAAAATTTATTTTGCTTCTTATGTGTTTTCTTCTTTTGATTGGAATGTGAAGACTCTTAGTCTTGAAGACTGGAATGAAAAAGATTAAACAAAGTGTTATTAGAAATCATCTTAATTCTCGTAAGTGAATCAAAAAAGAAAATTGTGTTGGACAGGAGAAAAAAAGTGAAATTTAGATGAAACAAGCCCATCAAGTGTAGGAAGAGAAAAGTTCTCATGACAATATTAAAGAAAGAAAAATCAATGCTTTAGTCGCTCTCGATTTTCTCGCCCTCGCATGCACATTCGACAGAGCTTTTCGTTAAGATTTAAACATGAAGATTCTAATTTATGGTGAAGTCTTTTGACGCTCTTCTCTCTCTCACTGCTAAAACACTTCTTCTTTTGAAGTAGTCAAATAATTTTCACTCGCCTTGAGCCTGTTTACAACAACTTTTAGCCTCAATGACCCAGTTTTTCCTTCTCTCCCAACAACATCAAGAAGCAACCTAAAAAATCTAAGTGATGAAAAATGAGATTCTTCGCTTTTTTGTGATTCTCGACGTGTTACATGTCCATGTTTACTTTTCACCAAGTACATTTAGTGTGTCGCAGTGATTTTCTTTCTTATTTTATTTTTTCCTATCTCGAATTACTCACAGTTTACTCTTTGAGATGTCGCTGTTGAGGTCGCATCCCAACAGAAGTTTTAAACATCGTCAACATTACTGTAAAAAATATTTTTTGTGTTTAAAGACATAAATATCAAAACAAGATAGAAAGATATTTAGATAAATAAATAGATATATGAGAGAAAGAAGAACATTCAAATGCGAAATCAGAAAATTTGTGTTGTCTCTTTAAAGTGTTTGATAATTAATGAGTCAATGTTGGTGTTGATGCGATGGGATATTTCTGGTCAGAAACAGAGTAAACAAAACAAGAACGATTATAAAGTTTGTCAGACAAGAGTCAATTTGTCAATTATCTGAGATCATTTTGTGATGACTGATGTCTCGTCTTAATAATTGTTGAGGTAGTGACGATCCCACAATATTTTCATTTATCTATGTGCGTGACTTTGTCTATGTGTGTTCGATGTGGTGGGTAGGGAAGAAGCAGAAAATGAAACAAAAAGAAGAAAATCGCATTACAACATTTTCTTTTTGTTTTCTTTTTTTCTTTAAAAAAGTGAGAGAGAAGAAGAAATAAGCCGAATGCTAAGCAATGTTTTAAGCTCATGCCTTTTTGAAAATTAGGCCATTTCCGACTACGTTTCATTTTTCATAGAAAAAAAAAGCGGAAAGAATTTTCGTATCGAACGAGGTGTGTTCGTTGTTGAGTGTTGTCTTCTTCATCTCTAATAGCCTTAAGCGACAGATCTCGTATTGCTTTGTAAATTGTCATTGTTCGGAAGAGTTTTATTATGAAAAGTTTATTCAACATTATTTGTTTGCTTCTGAAGGTATTAAAAGTTTGATCGAGCCTTGCATGATGGTCCCATTGGGAGAACTCCACCTTTCAATGACTCCCTGATATTTGTTTAGTTTGGGTTTGATGGAGAAATTTTGTTTTTCATTTCAAGTCGCTATGGGTAACTGACGGTGGAGTTTCCTTATTCTGGTTTCATATTTCGATGGCTCACAATAGCTTTCCTTTAATTTTTTATATGAAAGCATACATTCGAGCATATTTCTTTCTATTTTTATGCTCGCATATTTTTCCTTTACCTACACTTCATTTTTTCTTTTAAGCATTTCTTTTGTACTCAAATCAATAATTTTAATCGGCTCTTGTACATCCTTGAAAACTTCCGAAGAGTCGCTTAAAAAATTCTTTAATTTTATGAAGTTAAATTGGAAAAGGAGTAAAATAAAATTGTTGGATTTCATTCTTCATCTAAATATTAAAATAGGAAAAAAATGTAATAAAATATTCAAGGTCGTCGTGCGATAAATCGCGTAAATAAAGCAACGGTTGATTGTTTGAACTTTGATGACTTGCTAATTTACTCTTTCTTATTCGTTTACTTATAGAATGTCTCAAGATCGTCCATCATCGCGCGATGGCACCAGCAAAATCATGAGTCATGTTCTGATGCAAACATCGCCAATTCAGTACGCTACTGCTGCTACGAGTAACAACATCAACAACAATAATAACAACATCAACAACAACAACCTGATTCTCAATAAAAATAACTTTTTGACAATTGAAACATCCAACAACATTTCAAACACATTGATTCATAACAAAAACAGTTGCAGTGCAATGTTAGCAAGTTCATCAGCAACAAACTCTATTCTAACGCCGTCTGTGAATTATATAAGTAAGGAAACGATCAATTGCATTTAATTTGATTTCATGCGATTGAGCGAACAATTTTTTATTATTTTTTATCGCTTTCCTAGCAACGACAACAAATGTTGATGGCCAGAATGAGGTCAACGGAAGTCAGATTGTATTGCTTGCTAATGAGAACTTGGAGCCATCGGATAATGAACAGACGCCAGACACTGTTGATCGGAAAGTTACGAATGGAGCAACAGATGAAGAATTAACGCCCCTGCATTGGCTTCACGATAAAAATTTATTGAAAGGTAATTATTAAATGAATTTTATATTATAACAGTATGATTGTCACTTGCATTTATTCTTTTAACCCCAGGAATTAATTTATCATGTCCCAAAGTGCAATCACCGTCCGAAACGAATGAAAGAAACGCTGGTGGACGTACAAGCACCGCTGGTGATTCAATTGATGATTCGGGAGTTTCAGAAGATAACAATTCTATCGTGAATTCTTCAAGTGAACATGTAAGCTTTAAATTGATGCTTATTATAATAGGAAGTTAATTAAACTATTCAATTTTAAATAAACGTAATCAACAGAATGGACATTCAACATCACCATCATCACCTAAACCATTAAACTACACAACAACTGATAACAATAGTAGCAACTTGTTAATTAATTCGTTAAGTTCCGTCAAAAGTTTGGAAAAAAATAGTCAAAATAGTTTAAGTAACACAACAGCCGTCGTTACATCGACGACATCAAATGATATCAATATGAAATCGGCAGCGGGTCTTAGCAATAATAGTCTTAACAATAGTCTTAGTTCATTGGATCATTATCAGAGTAGCAATTTAAGCTCGGAAGAGTCGATTAATCAAATCATTAAAACACCTCAAACACCTCATCAACATTTTCATAAGAAATATCTGAGGGAGACGTTGAAGCAGCAAGATGAAGAAAAGAAACAACAACAGCAAGAACAAATGCATATTCAAAATGCTCACATGAGCTCTTACATCATAACAAAGAATCAGTCTGAAGGTCGCTACATCTACGCTGATGAACGCGACATAATCGCTAATTATAATAACAATAATAACAACAACAACATCCAAAGCAATTACGAGAAGAGTCATGAATATGATTTATCACAAAAGATCATCGACTATGCTACACCAAAGTCAACTTCTTACTCTTCGGGATCATCAATCGCAAGCTCATCATCATCATCGCCTTCGCCAAAACAAAAGCAACATCCAAATAATATTCCATATGATCCGTTGGTGCATACAGCGAGTAAGCCACCATACAGTTTCAGGTGAGTTTCCTACAAGAAGTTCTTCAAGGACGAAATTTATTAACTTTTGACATCTCTTTAGTTCCTTAATCTTCATGGCTATTGAAGATTCACTTCAAAAGGCGTTGCCAGTGAAGGAAATTTACGCTTGGATCATTCAACATTTTCCTTACTTCAAAACGGCACCAACTGGGTGGAAAAACAGTGTTAGACATAATTTATCACTCAACAAATGCTTTCAAAAAGTTGAAAAAGCAGCTGTAAGTTTACGGAAATTTCATTTAATGAATGAATTTCTTATTATTGTTTTTCCTAAAAAATATTCTTTCAATAAAGTCACCAAATGTTGTTCCATTACAGAATCTCGGCAAAGGTTCTTTGTGGATGGTTGAACCTCAATATCGTCCTAACTTAATTCAAGCTTTGACACGATCACCATTTCATCCTTGTTCAACATGGGAGAAGCATGCAAAGAATCTTATCAAAACACCAAGTGAAAGTCCGGGATCAAAGGTAAAAACAGATTTAACTGTTTAATGAATCATAAATTTCATAATTCTTATTTAACAATTATAGCAAAGTAACGGATCTGCACGTCTTCCAAATCCGGAACATTTTCCATTTTTATCACGTCGATTAGCAGCCGCAATGGAAAGTTATGACGAAGAGGGTCAAAGTCGCGCAAGTACTCCATCAACAAATTACGAAGTCCCCCAAAATTATAGCACAAACGGAATGGTGATTTATCAAAACAATAACTCAATCATCATTAACGGAAATATTCATAATTCAGAGCTGATGAGCCGCGAGTTAAATGCTGAGACGATTGATGATGTCAATGCAGCAACCGCTATGTTGGCATTGAAACATGGACCGAAAATATTCACTGAAGGAATTCCGTTTGCACACCCGCCAATTATAACAACGTCGCCGAGTGAAGATCACACATATTCTGCATTTACCGGTGGCAAGAATGGAACTGACAATAATAGTAATGGAACGTCGTCAGATGCTGCCTATGAAAGTAGTGAAGAAAGGTGAGTCTGGAAGTCACATAAATGTTTTCATTTCGAGATTTTATTTTCTTTCTTAATTTTTCACGATAGTCCCAACGTTGTTTATCAATTCAGTCAACCTTTAAATGAGAAAGAGATGGAAGAACAGCGACGTCAAGCTGAAGGTGTAGATGCTTTGTTGAATCTTGCTGGTTATAATACGAGTACAACTCTTCTTCTTAAACGACCAGCATCGGTGGATGAGCCTCAACAATTTGAGAAGAAACAATATTTCTATACAACAGAAATTGCGCCGTCAAATCAATATCATTCAAATGACTACTACACAAATGAACCACCGACAAAGAAGACTAAATCAAGAATATTGCGCAATAAATTAAAGAAAAAGCCGTGGTATCGATAGTTGACATGTCGTTGGTTTGAAAGACTTTTAATGGGACATTATTGCGGATAGCTAACAGAAATGGAAAGTTTAGAGAAATAAAAAAAAATTAAAGTTTTTAATGCCTTCGCTTAGAAATTTGCTTGTGTTTAAAAACCTCCGAAGGAAGAGAAAGATTAGAATGATTGTTGGAGTAACAAGTGACATAAAACAATGGATAAGCGATAAAATACCGATGAATGATGATAAAAACAATTCCCAAATAAAATTTTGTTTAGCTCGATTACTAAAACGAGAAACGAAGCGTGTTGAGCTTTAAAACATGAAAAGGAAGAAAAAAAACTTTTAGATAATCCTAATTTTTTGATTGCATTTTTGTAAAATGATGTAAGTTTTAAGTCGCTAAAGTTTGAATTAAAAAATAGCAAAATTATCTTTAAAGTTTTCTTTTTTAGAATAATTTCTATCGATGCGCTATTGCATTAATGTTAACTCTTGTTTGAGACATTAGTCAATCAACTATTATTTGTCCTTACAAAGCTAATGAACTGTAGTTTATTCCCTCGTTATGTTAATTAGATAAAAGGAAAAAAATGGAAAATGCATAAGAAAATATTTTAAATTAAATTTTCTAGGGGAAATTATATTGATTTATAGTGCCAATGTGTTAACTCAATTCGTTATTCTTTTGACTTTGATGATCGTCCTTAATTTGAAGAAAGAAAATTTTTTGTTGCTTTGATTTTTAAAAAATCATTTCTAAATTCTATTGAATGAACTGAAACTTTGTGAACTTTCCTGTCTCCGCCTTAATGAATGGAAAGAAAACGATCTAGTTTCGGAGTACAAAATTATACTAAAAGAACATTTTCGATCGCAATGAAAAATAAATTAGATATTTATCATAATGAAACAAAAAAGAAATTTTCGCTATAATTTCTTTAAATAGAATTTTCTGACTTTAATGATTAAACCACATTTAACATTTTGTGTCATATTTCCGCGTAAATAAATTATTTGGAGAAAATGAAATCAAAAAGCGAGAAATGTGGAAGAAAATGAAACTTTTTTCAAAATTAAACTGATGATCATGTCACAAAGAAAGAAAAAATTAAATAAATAATATTAAAAAGAAATGAGAAAAGAGACGAAACACGTTAGTCAGTCATAATAAATGAGAATAAATTATGTAATTTAACGGAATGATTTTTTTCTTAAGCTATGAAAATGAAATAACATGATAGAGTGCCTGTAATCTTTTAATTGATTTAAAACATAATGTGCATAAATTGTGCATTTCCTTTAGATTTCACTTCTTTTTTTGTTTCTTGAAAATGAAAATAAAATCAGATTGATATTCAATTAAAATTAAAAGAGAAAATGTTTACTCATTTTTTTAGAAATCTTTCATTATTTGGTACTTTCAGGTATTGCTATTTTCACTTCAGGTAAATAATGATGTACAAAAAAGTTGTATGTTGAAATAAAAAGTTTATTTAGATCATTTAGGTATTTGCATATCTACATGCAGGTGTGAAAGGTAGGCAGTGCTTGAATTATAATAAGAGTTAGATAATAAATGACTCAATCTTTTGTTATGTAACTTCCTTAAGGATAATTAATTTCGTCCTATATCGAACTCGAATAGGAGCACAAGTTGTTGCCATCCATGCCTATTGCTGTTGTTCATTTCTAGCTTCCAAAAATTATTTCTAATATTTTCCGATCTATTTCATTCTTACATTCTCTTTTCGTTATTAAAAAAAAATGTTTAATTACACATTCAAAACTAGAAAAGCAAAAAGGAATTTTTTTCATTAGAATTGATTTATGCACGTAACAAAGTTTTCATGAGCTACAAATTCTGACAAAAAAATGTTGTAAAAATTGAAACCACCTATGTATTGAGTGAATTGTCTTTTTCAAGTGTGTTTGATTTGATGATGCTTTGGAAGTTCTAAAGAACTTTCTCGGAGATCTACTAATAGACATAAACAGATCTACTCGCTACTCAGTAGATTATTAGAACTTCAATTGATCGAATTTTTCTCATTCCTTGAATTATTAATTTCAATGAACTTCTATATAAATCTATTAAAAATATATAAATCACATAACTTCTAAGTTTATACAATGAACGTTGTACAAAATAAGAAAAAAACAGTTGGGAAACCACGTAAGTTTAAGATTTTCAGTTGATTACACAAATTTATTTTCAAATAGGTTATATTTTGAACTTTTTCTTATTAATTACCTCATTTTACTGCTCAGTAGTACCTAGATGTTTTCCAATTAATTCAATATTTGATTTCTTTCACTTTGTAAGGATATCGTCAGAGATTAAATTTCGAAGTCGTTGAAGAACAAGTTAATCCAGAGCGTATCGTAAATGAGAAGATTCAAAGGTAAGAAGTTTAATTAAATCTTACAAAGAATTATAAATAAAATTTCCTTCATAGCGATATTACAAGAGATGTGTTTGGTAACACTACAACTTTTAATTCTTCTTCGGATTCGCAAGTTATTCTTGTTTTGACTGAAGGTCGCGGTCATGCGAGTGGAGAAGTTGGAATCGCAGCGATAGACATCAATTCACCAACTTTAATCTTATGCCAACTAAGTGATAATGTTCATTATTCTGACACTTTAAACAAAATCCAAATTTTGAATCCAATGAAGATTCTTCTTCCTGACACAATTTTTGAAACTATGCCAATACCAAAACTTATTAAGCTGGTCAAGGAATCTTTCAGTCACATCGCAATGGTTCCCGTTCAACGAAAATATTTTAATGACAAGCAAGGATTGGAACAAATCACGACATATTGCAGTAGAAAATCAACAAACATCCTTCAAGTCATTGCTCGAAAATATTATTGTCTGTCATCAGCTGCTGCTTTACTTAGCTACATAAAGAATGTCAACATGTTATCGTTCGGAAAAAATTGTTTGAAAGTGGAATATCAGACAAAGCAAGGAGGTATGATGATTGATGCTCCAACATCAACTCGCCTTGAGCTTCTTTATTCGTTGAGCGCTGAAAGAAATGCAATCAAGAAATTTTCACTTTTCGCAATTTTAAATCGTTGTCAGACTCGAATTGGTCAACGACATTTAAGAGCGAACATACTCGAGCCAAGTTGCAACATTGATTTTATAAAAAATCGCCAAGAGCAGATTAAAGTTTTGATGGAAAACAAAGAAAGTTTATCAGCTTTACAAGAGTGTTTGGAAAACTTTCGAAGCGTCGATCAACTTATGAAAATTTCTTTGATTGTACCAGCTGATGACTGCGAGAAGGCTATCGAGAAAAATATCCAAATTACTTTATTATTAAAACATTCTTTGGAATCCATCAAGCATCTGTCTGAAGTTCTCCTTAACACGGTAAGTGAATCATTTGAGGAAGATCGCCAGCTACTCTCGGTCGGTATTTATCAAGAAATTCTCGATAAAATAAACGAAAAAGTTCAACCAGACATTCACAAAAATCGCTTAGCACAAAAGCATTTTCAACATCTCTTCGCTGTTCGAGGTTTTGTTAACGAAACTATCGACTTTTTGCGAAAACTTTATACTGAAGCAACTGATAAGATTCGAGATTACGTTTCAGAATTGACAGAGCAATGTCAATTGCCAATTAAACTCATTCATTCGACGAAACTCGGTCATCATTTGTATTTGAAGAATCCCGACAATCATCCGTTGCCTACTGAATTTCAAGTAATTCATCACAAAGGATCGAATGTATACATGACAACATCCCAGTTGATTGTTCTTAATGATACTACTCAAACAATAAGTTTTGATATTATTCGTGTAAGCAACACAATTTTATGCGATATGCTTATAAATATTGCACAAGAAATTGATGCAATTCATCATCTAATTGGTGTTGTCATTGATCTTGACATTGTACAGTCGTTAACACAAGCTTCAACTCAAGATGGTTATTGTTGCCCTTCTTTTGAGAGAGTCATGCGAATTGAAGATGGATATCATCCGATGTTAGAAAGAGCGAGAAACAAAGATGATGTTGTCATGAATAATGTTGTAAGTTTATCTAAATTTTGTTTATTAGAAATTCGAATTTCTGAAGTTTTTAACGGTTTTTCTTAAATTTGAATTTTATTTTCATTCCTACTCCTTGTTCTAAAAATAATTAATTAAAGTTTTTATTGAAATTGCTTAGATATCAACACCACAATATAATTTCTACATCATCAGTGGACCAAATATGAGTGGAAAAACAATCTATATAAAAATGATTGCAATAATTCAAATCATGGCACAAATTGGTTGTTTTGTTCCGGCATCAAGTGCAATGCTTAGAATGACTGACAAACTTTTCTCACGAATTGGCTTTCAAGATAGCATTGAGCAAGGTGCTTCGAGTTTTACTGTGGAACTGAGAGAAATGGATTACATTTACAGTAATTTAACACCAAACAGTCTTGTGATAATGGATGAATTGTGTCGATCAACAAATCCACAAGAAGGTGAATTGATTTGCTGGAATTATTGCGAGAAACTTTTGAAGTTCATCGGTGTTTCCAATGAAAGTTATTTTAAGCCAAAACAAGACATTGAAATTGAAAAACCTGACGAAGCATCAACTTCAAAAAGAAACTCTACAGTTGAGTTTCGTGGTTGTGATGTTAAACTTCGAGATGTTGCACGTCCATTTATCTTCTTAACTACACATTTTAAGAATCTCACGAAACTTCCCGAACAATTCAACAACGCAATTAATCTTCATATGTTAGTTGAACAAAGAATCATTGAAGAACGGCTCCGATTAGATTTTAAATACAAAATTCAATCGGGTCCATCATCTATTAGCAATTATGGACTCGCTTTAGCAAGATGTTTAAGATTTCCTTCATCACTCTTAGATCGAGCTGATGAGTTGATTGATCAAATTGAAGATGAAACATTAGTAAGTATACAGAAACAAAAGAATGATCTTGGAACTGATCATGGAGATCATCCAATGGATACAACAGAGATTAATGAAGAAACGTCTGAAATGGATAAAGAAGTTATTGATTTGTTCTCTTGCATTCTACTCTTAATGAGTACTGATGAAAACAATCAACCGTCCTGGTCAAACATCAATATTGTTAATCAAAAATTACACAAGTTAACTAACATGATGTCAAAAGAATTCCGCGAAATTATCGGAAATTGTTCATTGAATGAAATTATCAGCATTTTAAATGGAAGTAAATTATCTGATAATTCTAAAAATATTTCTGACAATTAAATAAACAACATTTTTAATTAAAGTTGTTGAATTTTTATTATTGTTTTGATGAAATGATTATATTTATCTTGTTTTTAATTTGAACCTGAATGATTTGATTCACTTCCACTTCGTGATCTTGATGATCCACTTTTAGCAGAACCAGAACGTCGAGAATTGTCAGAACGGCGAGAATGTTTGCTGCCTTGAGAGCTTCGCGAAGCTGGTGAGCCACTGCGACTTCGGCTTCTATTATGAGATAAAAATTATTAAACATTTTCCTTCAGTCAATCAAATTCATTACCTTGAACTTGATCGACGACTTCCCGAATGTTGTGAACCAGCTGATCCACTTCTGTTGCTACCTGAACGTCGTGATCCCTGAGAACCACTTCGACTTCTATTTTATTACATTAATTAAAGATTTTTTAATTAGTAAAAAGTTTTAAAAAAAAGAATTAAATTTACCTCGATCGACTTCGAGACTTTGAACTTCTCGATCCAGAACTGTGCGAACCTGAACGACTTCTTGATCTTGAATTGCGTGCTTTAAAAGATGAAAGAAATTAAATTAAGTTGATTAGTGAAAAAGAAATTTTATTACCTGATCCACTGCCAGAACGACTTCTACTTTTAGAACGAGATCTTGAACTTCTTGATCCGGAATGTGATCTCGACCGACGACCTTCTACAGTCATCTCAGTGTCCTGATCTTTCGGAGGTTCTTCTTCAGCTTCACTTTCTTCCATTTCTTCCTCTTCATCACCTTGGGGTTCAAGTTGCTTCTCACGCATCACTTGCATTTTGTGTTCAGGAGCATTCAAAGGTCGATGCTTAACGACAAGTTTCGTGTTATTCGCTTGATTACCCAATTTTTGTCGTCTTTTACTCAAACGAACACGAGTTTCAAGTTCATTATAGTAAACACCATCGTCACGAATGACAAGAAAGTAATTTTCTTCGTAACCTTTCGAAAGCTTACTCTTAACATTCCAATTGTATTCACGTGCCATTTTGTACTCGTATTCAGTGTCATCCTCGTAAGCTCTTTCCATTGAAAAGTCAATTCGTCTTTTCTCCAATGTTTCTTCTGTTGGAAGAAAGTAGGCAACGAACTGCTCGCCAGATTCATCCATCACACCTCGAATCATTGCTTGACTCATTTCTTCCATTTGATTCGGTAAGCTCTTCCCACCGACTGAAGGATCAGCATCGAATATGACTTGAGCGCAAGGATATTTCCAATTTTTGAAATCTGGATAAACGGGATATACTTCGACAGGCACAACATTAGGTTTACAGTAGTGAGTGCTGACAGCAATTTTACTGTCTTCGAAAGTCTTGTTGATGGAATTTATTTGTTGTTCACGATCCATGTACAAAGTTTCTTCACGCAAACTATTTTTAACATTATAACCGACTTTGGCTTCAGCTTTCTCCATATTCTGAGGTTGAAAGCGTGTCTGTTCTGTTGAGATATATTCTGAACGACGCAACCACGACACACTCTTTGCATGTTGCTTCGATCGCGTTGTGTCTTGCGGTGCATGTGAATCTTCTTCTAAAAGTTTCTCGTCTGCTGGATCGAGAACTGCATTTCTCTCAGGTTGATAAATATCTCGATTGATTAAATCAATTGAGACGCCAAGATCATGTTCAGTGAGAACCTCAAACTTGTAATTTCTTTCAAGTGATGTTGGATTATATTGAATAAATCGATCGCTTTCAAAAGGATAAGTAAGAAACTTGAGATCGAATGGGATATCGGGAAGCGTGTTGCTGTATTTGACGCGGCATATAATATCAGATCTAAATAAGAGCAAATGCGATTAAATAATTTGCAACATTTTAAATATTTTGAAACTTACTTTCGATCTTGAGGACGTATTGAACGTTCATTTTGATTCCCATTTTGAATTGTTGGTACTGGAGCCATGTTAATTATGGTTTCCGGTATGATTTCTTACGTAAGCTATGAGATATTTATGTTATTTTAGTAATTATGGAGAAAATATTTCAAATTTAAAAAAAGAAACAATTTCACTCACACATTCACACATTTTACTTGCGGCATTTTTACGAATCGCAAGGGCTGATTATTTGACGCGTGTCGAATCGCATTTCCAAAAGTATAAACAACGCGTGAAAATCATAAAAATAGTTATTTTCAGTAAAATCTTAGATATAAGAAATAAAATAAGATGTCTGGACTAAATCCAGTAGATGTAGTTGAGGAAGATGCTGCAGATTTGCTATTTCCGAAAGGTATTGCTTTGTGTTTCAACAGAATACTTAAAATTTATTATTTTACTGTACTTAATAAAAATTAATCAAGAGAAGACAATTATGTTTTGTTTTCTACATTCTTCATCGTGTTTATTTCGTGATATTAAAAACGAAAAGAATATCTAAGTAAATCTCTCCGTATAAAACACACAAGAGGAATGTTGTGATAATTTAAAATCTATTTCTGATTATAATTTCAATAATTCGATAAGATCCGAAATAATCTAATGATTAAAATTTCTTACGAAACGTGCGCTTTTCTTATCTTTTCCAATAAAACTGGTTTGAGACTCCACGTGACGGCGATCAAATATTTTTATCAGATCCACAGCTCGGATAGCATTTATAATTAATGCAAAATTGATAAAATTTCTTAATGCAATGATGAAGAAAAATTTATTTATAAATTATACTGCGCTATTTTCATTATCATTTCAGTAGAATAAAAAAAGTTAAATATCTATTTAGATAAAATTTTAATCGGTCTTTGACTTTCTTTTCAATGTTAATTTGTTGCTCTTTGTCCCTTAATAAATAACAAAACTTGAACTCAATTTGTTTGTAGAATTTGAAAATGCTGAAACCTTGTTGATAAGCGAAGTTCATATGCTACTGGAACATCGGAAGAAACAAAATGAATCATCAGAAGAGGAGCAAGAGTTCACTGAAGTGTTCCAAAAGACCTACAATTACACTGAGAACTTTCGGAAATTCAAGAACAAAGAAACAATTGCAAGTGTCCGAAGTCTTTTAACACAGAAAAAGTTGCACAAGTTTGAACTTGCTGCTTTAGGAAATCTCTGCCCAGAAGCGCCTGAAGAAGCCAAAGCATTGATTCCGTCACTTGAAGGAAGATTTGAAGATGAGGAATTGAGACAAACTCTTGAGGATATTGGAACAAAGCGCAGTTTACAATATTAATTAAGCATTCCTCATTTCTATTTCTTTTTTTACGTCTACCTATTTTAATAAAAAACTTAAACAATTTAACGGATTTTATTTGAATTTTTAGCGAATCGCAAGAGAAATTTTTCGCGATCTGTTAGGTTGGATAAGATTTCAGTTCTCATTTATTACTAATTTAGCTGAGGTTTGAATAAGAACTCGTAAAACTATGGCAAGTTTACGATTGAGAAGTGTTGTAAGCACAGTAAATCGTGTAAGAAATGGAGTATTCTTGTCAAAGAAATGTAAGAAATTAAAAATTATGCACTTTTGATTGGTGTTGAACTTTGGACTTTTCTGGATTACCAAAGTGTTAAATAATATTTAATTTTCTAGCGACGTTTTTATCATTTAATCGCTATCTTGCAACGGCTGAGACACCTCGAAAGCATATCAAAACGTCTGTGGTCGATGATGTTTTGGTAATTAAATTAGATTCGCCGAATGTAAAGGTGAACTCATTAGGAAAAGAGATCACGACAGAGTTCGACAGTATCTTGAAAGAATTCGAATCGAATCCCAATGTCAAGTCTGCAGTACTTATCTCGGGCAAACCAGGATGTTTTGTTGCTGGTGCCGACATCACAATGTTAGAGCAATGCAAAACAGCTGAAGAAGCACAAAAAATTAGTCACGATGCACAGTTAATGTTCAATCGTATGGAGAAAAGTCCAAAACCAATTGTCTGTGCTATTAACGGTATTTGTCTTGGAGGCGGCTTTGAATTAGCTCTCGCTTGTCACTACAGAATCGCAACAAAAGACAAAAAAACTGGTCTCGGTCTTCCTGAAGGTAAACTCATCAAATTTCATCAAATTTTCTATTGTTTTCTATAATTTAAGAAACTTTTATTTCCAGTGATGCTTGGATTACTTCCTGGAGCTGGTGGAACTCACCGTGTCCGTAGACTTTCGTCAATTCCCACGACATTAGATCTTGCTCTCACAGGAAAAACGATCAAAGCTGATCGAGCTAAGAAATTAGGTCTTGTTGATTTACTTGTCGATCCCCTTGGACCAGGTCTTGAAGACGCCAGCATGAATACAATTAATTATCTTGAGAAAGTCGCAATTGACATTGCAAAAGATATTTCAAGTGGAAAAATAAAAGTCAACAGAGAAAAAACTGGAATCGTCAATAAAGCCACAGAATTCGTCATGGGAATTGATTTTGTCAAAGATCAAATATTCAAACGAGCAAGACAACAAGTTATGAAGATGTCAGCTGGTTTATATCCAGCTCCTTTGAAGATTCTCGACATTGTTCGTGTTGGATGTGACAAGGGAATGGATGCTGGCTTAGAAGCTGAAAGAATTGCTTTCGGACAATTGTCACAAACACCAGAATCGAAAGGTTTAATTAGCTTGTTTAGGGGACAAACTGAATGTAAGAAGAATCGATTTGGTGCACCACAACGCAAGACAAAGAACGTGAGTATCATTAACGAACAAATTTTTGCATCAAAAAGTTTAATTGAAACATCCAAATTAGCTTGCAATTGTTGGAAGTGGCTTAATGGGAGCTGGAATTGCCCAAGTCTCAATTGATAAAGGATTTAAAGTTGTTATGAAGGATGCAAGTGAAAATGGATTATCGAGAGGTATTGGACAAGTTCAGAAAGGATTGGAAAACAGTCTCAAGCGAAAGAAGATCACAACACTTGATCGTGACAAGATTTTAACAAATCTTCATCCAACATTGTCTTACGAAACATTCCGTGACGCTGACATGATCATCGAAGCAGTGTTTGAAGACATTGGAATTAAACATCGTGTGATTAAAGAAACTGAAGCGATTATACCTGAACATTGCATCTTTGCAACAAACACAAGTGCAATTCCCATTGCGAAGATTGCCGCTGGTTCAAAACGGCCTGAAAATGTCATTGGAATGCATTACTTTAGTCCAGTTGATAAAATGCAATTGTTGGAAATTATCACACATCCAGGAACATCGAAAGAAGCGATGGCAGCAGCAGTTGATGTTGGATTGAAGCAAGGAAAAGTTGTCATTATTGTTGGTGACGGGCCAGGATTCTACACAACGCGACTTGTATGCACAATGTCGTCAGAAGCTTGTCGATTAATACAAGAAGGTGTGGGTCCAAAGGAACTTGATCACATTAGTAAATCTTTTGGTTTCCCTGTTGGTTCAGCGACATTAGCTGATGAAGTTGGACTTGATGTTTGCACTCACATCTCTTATGATTTAATCAAAAGCTTCGGACCGAGAATGGCTGGCGGAAAGATTGAAGTTATGAGTGACATTGTCAAAGCTGGTTTCTTGGGACGAAAGTCAGGAAAGGGCTTCTTCATATATGATGGCCCAGCAAAAGGATCTCGTGATGTGAATCTGGAAGCGATGGAAATCATCAAGCAAAGATATTCAATCAAACCCGTCGGTGCAAACTCACATGAAGACATGCAATTGCGAATGGTGACACGCTTCGTTAATGAAGCTGTTTTATGTCTTGAAGAAGGAATTCTTGACAGTCCACTTGAAGGAGATGTTGGAGCAGTGTTTGGACTTGGATTCCCTCCATTTACTGGTGGACCATTCCGCTTCACAGATCACTACACTGCTGGCAAATTAGTCGACAAAATGAAAACATTTGCTGACTTGTTCGGAGCTCCATTCCAACCATGTCAAACTTTACTCGATATGGCTAAGGATCCATCGAAGAAGTTTTATAAACAAAACTAAATTAAAATAACATTTAGAGATCAATTGATGCATTAAGCGAAACATTTCTCAGATCGCAGGAAAAAAAAACTCTCAAAGTTAAAAATTTTATTTTTTAATCACATCTGAGATGATAAACAATTTAAATGCAATTCAAAGTTTATAAACAATCATTAAATTATTTTTTCAAGATGCTTTTGATGGTCACAATCTTGATCCAGTGGTTAAACATAATAAAGAAGGAAAAGTTTGAATTTTATAAGAAAATAAATTTTGTTGTTTGTTTTATTGTTTATTAATGGTTTATGAAGGTGGAAGGTGTGACAATATTTTCGAATCTTTATAAAGAACAAAAAGCTTAGAGAGATGTGACGAAAAGATTTTGTCTGGCTCGTGATGAGAAATTAAATCAAAGTAGGATAATTACGTCGATAAGTTTTCTTTATCTGATATCAAAGTTCAATGTACGCTTTGCTTGAGACTTTCAGCCTTGACAAATTTGAAATTTCACGGTCTTATAAATATTCTCATATCTTTAACGTTTAACGCTGTGTAATTTTTTTTGACACATATTTTGAGTCATTAATAGATTAGAAATGTAATGAACGTAAAAGTTGTGGACAAAATGCAAGGTTTCCATACGAAATTAAAAAGCTTTTTGCAGATCCTTTCAACAGTTCACGATTAATATTCAGAGCTAACATTTTGTCTGAAATAAAAGCTCAAATTGAAGCTCGTTTTATTAAAAGCTTCAAAATTTTTTAAAACATTAACTTCAATTTTTACGGCAACTGAATTAATGACAATGAAGTTGTTTGCCATCAAACATTGAAGTAATAATTCTGAAATTCAGAAATAATGAGATTAAACTTGCGATACCAAACACCAAATATATTTATTAAAACATTTTAAATTAAAGTAAAAAAAATAAAAAAATTACATATTAATGGAGAAAATCCTCGAGATTGCGAGCCTTTGCTCCATCGTGAAAGCATTTCTCAAAGGCCACAGCCAAATCACAACGATCTGTAATAGAATTAAGAGTCTGTTCGCATTCAGAGAAGATTTCTGCTCCTTTCGCTACATGATTTGCTTCACTGGTTACAATCTTTGCTGCTTCCAAGAATCCATTTTTATTAAGTTTTCCATCCTTAATCTAATGAAGTTTATAATGCAATTTCAAATAAAATCTTTTTCACTCTTCCTTATTTCTTACCAATCCAATTTTCTCATTAGCACAAGCAACCATGCAATGACCTGATCTGGTGCCTGGATCTGAGTCAGAGATTAATTTCTCCAAGTCGCTGTCTGAACCGCCTTCTGTAGCTTTGCATTCTGTCAACAATGCTTTAGCCATTTCCATATGCTTATCATTTGGCTTAGCGTCTACGCCACAAGCAATTAATGGCAAGGCAATAAACAAACAGAAAACTCCAAAATTATTCATTTTATTTGACAAATTCTAAAATGCGACTGATTGAAATTCTCATCAAGCAGCCGTTTATATCACAAAAATTAATCATTTAAAATCAATGACATTCAAAACTTCAACATTGAAACATTTTGTTAATTTAACACAAAAGACCGACACGACTGTTAACCAGTCTAATATTAGAAATTTTATGATTAATTGAAGTTTTCATTAATAATTGTCATCATTAAAAGTGGATGAAACTAAAATTCTTGTCAACGTTTGATCCAATCTTTTATTCATCAACGCTTAGTTTTATTCTTACAAAAAAAATAGACACAACTAACTTTTACGGAAAATATTCTTTTAATCTTCTTTTTTACAGCGGAAATGTCATCAGTTTCCTATCCTCTCTTCAATTATTAATTTGAAAATTACATCAGGTCATGATGAATTGAAATTTTTGCTTATTAATATGGCAGATTTGTTGCTTCATATTTTTGTTTCAATTATTCCACATTTCTTCGCGTTGTTTTGCAGCTAACAGTTTACGTTCTGCAAGAAGGTCAAGAATAAGAAATTTATTAAATAAAAGAAAAAAGAATTTTCACCTTTAGCTTCTCGTAAAACTCTTCTTTCGTTTTCTCGTTCTTCGGATGTCGCTTTGACTCGAACACCTAGAGCCCCTGTAAAGTATATTAGAAGTTTTAGTTACATTCTATCAGTCAACAAATAAATAATTTATCAATTAAAAACTTACCGCTGACTAGTCGTTTAGCAAGAGCTGCACAAGTCTCGGGTCTCTGTTTATATGGTTGAAGTGAATGTGCGCATTTTCTGTTACAGAATTAGATTGATTTTAAATTAGGAAAAGATGAAAAAAAGATTAGTTTATTAAACTTACTTGGCTTTTGAACGCGACTCTACCGTAGCTTGATTTAATGGTTTTAATTTAACAAATGAGTGACTTGTCGTAAGAACATCGGCAGCTGCGATAAAGAAAATTAATTTTTAATTCAAAGATTTGACTTCTATTCAAAAATTTTATTTTCCAGTTGGAAAGTTCCCCGGAAGCATAAATTAACTTTTAAATAAAAGATGAAAGTAAGCAACTTACCAATTTTTGAACTGCTAAATATCACAAGGCAATGTGTATCATCGACCCATTTGATATCGAAACCCGATTCTTTGTACTGTGAGAACAAAAGCATTAAATCTTGGGTACGAAATTCGGCTGGAAAATTTGAACACTCAAGAACATGCGGAAATTCTTCTAAGCTCAGGAGATCCACATTTGCTTGGTATATTTTATAATTTGACTTTGGCTTCTCAATGTTCACTTTTCCAACAGCAGTGGTAAGTTCTTCAAGCATTTTTGGATCAAGACAATCACCGTTGTCATCAAATCTGAAAGGTTTAAGAAGTTTTAATTAGGAAAAGGTTGCTAAAGTTGAGGAAAATGGAAAACATAGAAATGTGAAGACGGCTGAAATTTTAGTACATTTTCCATGAAAATGGCTTTTATGCTATATTAAGTCAGGAAATAACATCACTTACAATGTGTCCCAGTCATCCTCATCTTTATTCACAGCCTTTTCATGAGTTTTTGTTTCAACTTCACCACCGCATGCTTCAATTTCCAACACATTGGAATTGAATGTTTGTTTAATAAGTTTTCGATTACTTCTGTTGATTTCTTGCGATGCTTTTATTAACTCCTTTTCGTCTTTGTCAACTTTATCAGTTGTTCCTGGGTCCATTTCAGCAGCAGTTTCAATAATAAGTTCTTTTGTCGCTTGTTCGCTCATCGTACAGAAATTATTTAAATTCTTTTGATTTTTTTCACTGTCAGTAATTATATTTTGATCAAAATCGTTCTGATTGATGATATCACCATTCGATATTGTGTTCGAGGTAAAATTTTCACACGTCACAGCACAGTTTGAATATGAATTGCAAGGATTTTCAATATGATTTTCATCAACTGATTTTGATTTCGATTTATCTGACTTTCTTGTTAGATGAGATTTCGTTGAAGAGATTTGATTACTTGTTGATGCGGGCGGAGTTGTCTGACTGCGCTTTGCACGAGGCACATAAACAGCACGATCAGGTCGTCGGGTTCGTGAGGATAAATTTCTATCGATGAACATAAATTATTAAACATAAAATGATGTAATTAAAAAAATTCTTCTTACTTTTTTGCACTCAGATTTAACGGATCATCTGATGAAGAATTACCGTTCAATACACTTTGATCCAATTCAATATCTGTTACGGTTGTTTGTGAATGTGGAGCTAAAACAGAAACACAATTTTTTTTCCGGTAAATATTATGTAATGAAGTAGTTTGTGATTAATTTCGATCTGATTTAATAAGCAAAAATAAAAAAAGAATATTTTATAACATCAAATGCATGAAAATCTCACTAAAAATTCACAAAATATTCGAAGCACACGCTGGATGACCTTAAAACACAATTTACGTGTGAATGTTTGCATTTATGCAACTTTCTTCTTCTTTTTTGTCTACTTGTTACATGGAATGTTTTTTTCTTCTCTTTCATTTACTTCATTTGGTCATTAAAAGGCATAACAAAAATAAATTTTATTCACTTCACTGAGAAGCTGCTTGCGAATATTTGGCATTCCGTTTGCTTTCTCTGTACGATGAAAGATCGTGAAAGGAAAGAAAGGAGGATAAAAAACACTAAAAAGTCACTCCGATCAGCTGAGTTAAACACGCTGTTAGCTCATTGATTACATAAACGTGTTTCATTATTATGTTCATGCATTTTTCTTGTACGACTTTTTGCTTGTAGGCTTTTTGGTGACTACTTTTCATCTGATTATCTGACAACAAACTTAATATTCCCGTTATGATCACTTCAATAACTTTTTAACTTCTCTTCAGTTAACAATTGAGTCATAAATATTATAAAAGTAGGTCAACGAATTTTTTTAGTATTTTTTCAATCTCTGTTACTTTTATTTCTTTTCTCTTCATATGATTAAAGTCACCCACGCATTTTAATTAAAATATGATTAAATCTTCAATAAGTATGAAATTATTTTTCTCTTTGTCAATTATCTTTTCAGCTCTAACAACTAACTCACGTTTATTTAATCTTTTGAGAATTTAGAAATCATTTCGGTAAAGTTTAATGAACAACTTTTCTAACAACATAAACGTGTTGCTTTTCCTATAGTTGACGTTATACTGAATCATTGATTCTCTCTCATTTCATTTTAACGAAAAGCGTAATGTTGAAAGACTTTGTAATAACAACAATTTAAAGTTAAAGTCAGTGGTAAATATTTCGTAATAGGTACTATGAATGGAACGAATGAAGTGAACATTGTTGCTCTTATGGAATAAGTGGGAGTGAAAGTAAATGACGAGAGAACATTAGAATGTTATAATTATTTAAATAGATTTACCATCAGCAACTTGAGCGTTCTCTACTCCCATGGATGTTTGTATACCCAAACAATTCGTGGACTTTGGCACCGAGTTGCGGTTGACGTAACGCCAAGTGAATTCTGTTTCCTCTGTTCTGTTACAAGAAATAGAGCAAAATTATTTATTTTTAATTATGACTTGCAATACTCATTAAACTTAGAAATCATTTGACTAAAATAAAATAGAAACGATAATGAAAATGAAAGCAATAAATATTATAGATATGAGATTATAATTAATTTTCATGTTTTTCTAATAATAACATAAAAATGTGTTAATTAAAGAATTCACGCTTTTTAATGAAAGATTACAAGGCATAAAGAAGAATCACGAACGAACCTCTTTAATGAAATGTTTTTCAGATCAACAATTAACTGATAACGGTGGCAAATAACAGTCCTTCGTTGTACGCCAACGCCAATAGAAAATGTTGATAATGCTTGTGATTGATTAGCAGTGATTGACTCGCACACTTTATGGATTAAGAAGCGACGATAACTATTAACTGGTGGGAACAGCAAGACACTGTAATGATGTCATGGAATTAAATTAAATGAATATGATAGCTTTTAATACATTTCAATGAACTTTGGACACTATGAGGAGTTAGGAAAGGTTTTTTGCTTCAAAGAAATAAAATTTCTTTCTACGAGTTCACATTTACAGTTATTTTCATTCCTTGTTCTTGAATTTTTTTCTCAAGTCACTCATACACTTTTCTCATTCTTTTGCTTTCTTTATATAGCCAAAAATGAATGAATCATTCTTTAAATCACTTATTAAAATAATAAAATGAGCACTCAATTATCTTTACGTGTTGCAGTTTATGCAATGAAAGAAAATGTGACCTTCAATGGAATCAACGTAGAAAAAAAGAATTAAGTCTATTCACCTATTTTTGGGATGATTCTCTATGTAACCTCTAATATCTGTATCGACTTTTAAAACAAACTCGTCATCTTCACAGCTTAACAAACGATCGTTGAATGAATTGTAAGACATTAGAATAATCCATTTAATTTTTTTCGAAGCAAAGCTTCGTTTCACTGTCTTGTTGATTTTATTACCACCAAATTTCACTTCTAATCAATGTTTCGTCATCAATAAAATTCCAAAACAGGTAGATGAGAGTTTCAAGTCTTATTTCAGAGGCTAAAATCACAAATTCTTAATAAAAATTCTTGAAAATTTTTTCTTAAGTCACAACTGCGATTCGTCTTATAAATTGCGAATCGCAACAAATTGTAAACAAACAAATAAAAACAAAGTTTGCAGCTACTAAATTTAAAATTCCTTCCAACATGAGTGGAGAATGGCTTAAATCGTCAATATCTGAACTTATCCAAGCGTATAAGTTACAGGAGAACATTTACAACCAAAAGCATCATTTGTATTACAATAAAAAAGCGAGATTTAATTCTATGAAAAAAATTTTAGATGCTGTCAAGGTAAAAGAATAATTGAAACATTAATTAAGCATAAAATTAACATTTTCTTTTCATTTTTTATATGAAGTGTAATCGACCAGAAACTACCCTCAACGAAATCACCAAAAAGATTCAAACACTTCGTACACAGTTTGGACAAGAAGTGAGTAAAATCGAGAAAAGTAAAAGTCTTGGAGATGATTTAGTTTATAAGCCAAAAATATGGTGGTTCACTCATTTGGAATGGATTGGAGATTTCATGAAAACAAGATCCGATCCTACACCACTCTCTGCAAAAACAAAAATCAGAAATACTGAGAAATTGGATGAAACTTCCGATCTCTTTGAGTTCAGTGATGCCATTGATGATTCCGCAGCGTATTCTGTGGAATTTGGGGAAGCTGAAATGAGAGATGAAAGCGAACCATCACCGAAGAAACCTAAAACTTACCAATCTACAAAAATAAAAGGAATAAAACCTGAAAATCCTGTTGTAACAACCATCGAATACACTTTAATTAACGACGAAACAAATGAAGTTGTACCAGTCCCAACTGAAGAAGCTTCCCAGTTCACTATTAATCAAGATACTGAAGAATCATCACAAGTTACAGAAAAATGTAAAAGGCGAAGTAAAGCTTTCGGAAAGTACATCGCATCACTTTTGACTGAAATTACTGACGATAAAACTTTCTTTGAATTGCAAGGTAACATCACAAATTCCATTTTCGAAGCAAGCAAGAACCAGAAACTTATTCGAAAAAGTTCAAATTCTTAACTTTTTATTGAACTTTCTTTGTTCATCAATACAAATTTTAATTGTAATGTAAATGAAAATAAAAGAAAAAAATTATTTTGCATTAATTCTTGAGTTGTAAGCTTCCCATAAGCGATCACGATATGTCTTTGCAACTGCTTCAGGGTTCTTGTTCAATATAATTCCACGTCCAACGACAGCAATGTCAGCACCTTTCTCCTTTACTACATATTCAGGAGAATTATACTTTTGACCCAAACTGTCTTCACCTTCTTCGAGTTTAACACCAGGTGTCAATTGAATCATTCCAGGATCTTTAATTAGATCAGCACTTTGTCCTACAATTCCAGCAACAAAGTCTGGATAAGTCTCAGCAATTTTCATCGTCTTTTCTTTGAATTCAGATGTGATTAAATTTCCTTCAGATGACATTTCTGCTAGTAAGAAAACACCTCGTTCAGATGAACTTGCCGCAACTTCCATTAAACCTTTGACAACTCCATCACCAGGCAAAGAATGTGCTGTCACTAAATCAGCCCATTCATTTATACGAAAAACTCCTTTCGAATACTGAAGTGACACTGTGTTGCCAATGTCAGCAAATTTTCGATCTTCCATGATGAGAAAATTATGTTTTGTCGCTAATCCTTGTAAAGATTTAACAAAGTTTTCATTAAAATCTTCAATAATGTCTGCATGAGTTTTCAATATACAAATAAATGGCCCAACTGCTTGAGCCAGATTTAAGATTGTTTCTGATTTAGTGACATCAGCAGCTAAGCATAAATTTGTCTTTTTCATGTCCATAATTTTTAGGAGTTTCTTGGAAACTTCTGACTTGGCCACTTCTGCTCTTTCAGCGAAACTCATCAACAGTCTCTTAGATTTTTGTGCAGAAGGGGGAAGTTTCACTTTAGATTTGGATATATATTCATGCACGTCTTTCACCATCAATTCATCAATTTTTCCAGCATCTCGAAGTGTTTCTAGCAAATAAGTGAGGCTAAAAATTGAATGCATTTTCATTCCATTCGTTTCAATATTTTCAACACCGCCTTGTTCACGATTAACAACAACAATCGCATCTTCAATTGTAAGTCCTTCTTCCTTAAGATCATTTGCAGTTTCAATAATACTGGAACCTGTGGTGACAACATCTTCGATAATTAAACAATTTTCACCTGGCTGAAATTTCCCTTCAATTAATTTCTTCGTGCCGTAAGATTTCGCTTCTTTACGTCGAATCAACATCGGTTGCTTCATTTTCACCGACAAAAGAGTTGCAAGTGGAAGTGCTGTAATAAAATATTTGTAATGTGATAATTTTTATTATAAATTTTCTTACCTGTGTATGGAACACCACAAAGTTGATCACATTGAACTTCTTTTTCTTGTATGAACTCGTGTATTAAATCGGCAAGAGCATCCATTACATCGTAGTGACTTACCATCACTCTAAGATCGAAATAAACTGGACTCTTTTCACCAGATTTCAATGTGAATTCTCCAAATTTAAAAGCTATGAAAGAATTGTTGTTAGTCAAAAGTTAAGACCTGACGATTTGTTTCTTTACCTGAGATTTCAAAAAGCTTTAAAGCAAGAGATTTTTTTTTATCTTCCATCGATGCGACCATGTTAAATTGCTTTCAGCAAGATTTATTTCTTTAAATGTTTAATTTGAGTCGTAATTTGATGTCTTTTCTCACTGCAAACTTTACAAAAACTAAATAAATGACAAGTTTGCCTGTACGTGTTTTAATGATTAACTGTCAACGAGAAATTGTTAGAAAGACTGTCAGACTAATTAAACTACAAATTATGCCTGTCTCACTGATAACATCAAAGCTTAATGGTTAAAACACCGCGTGTTGCCTGATTTATTAAACTTGTTGTTGGCATGTTGCTAATGGGCATGCTTCAAATATCAGAAAAACGTTAAAAGGTTTGTAAGAAAAAGCAGAAATAATTATTTCTTTTTTATTTCAATTCACTTCGTTTGTATAAAAAATACCTTTAAATATATATGGTTGATTAAATTTATAATTAAAATATTCTGTTCTCAAGTACAGTAAGGTAAATGACTAGACGGTTAATTAAGTTTTCATCTTGTACATCAAGAATAAATAAATGGTTAAAAGGGAATTAGAAACTTATAATTCTTTCACATTTAAATGGATGAAGACATGAAGTTATTGCGTATACAAAGGAAAAGTCATGCATAAAGGATTAATTTTCTCCCATTTCCACCCACACAACATTTTTCATTATGTTAATATTAAATCGATTTCTATTCAGCGATTTTATTCTTTTACATTTCTATGTTTTTCAAGAATTTTCATTCTAATTGGGTGGAAATTTTAATCCATTTAAAAAATTTGATAAATTAGAAACATTAAAAGGAAGAAATAAAATATGTTGTATGTTGGTTTATCTGATTAAATATTCAATAACAAGCAGGTATGAGCTTCATTTGTATACGAGTTTTCTCTTTTTTGTTTGTAGTTTCTTTGGATCGAAGGGAATAAATTTAATTATAATTCTTATCGTTCAAATAGATTCTATATTAAATACGAGACCGTGAAAAAGTTAATTTCGAGCTTTTGAAATGTTTAACTCGAAATTATTATTTTTGTGTGTATAAAGATTTGTACTGTCGGAATGAACCAGCTCAGTTTCATCAATTATTTTGTTTCGTTTTCTTCTGTTTGTTTCTCTTTTTTTAAATATTAAATCATTAATCATTTTTCTTTACTTTACTTTTCCTGACATGATTAAATTGTTATTGTTCCTCCTGAGATCTTCTAACTTAAGCGGCGGATAATGACTAGTTGTCCACTTAATACTACAAACTCTTATAATTAGTCGTCAAAATTATGAGAAAATAAATAAATTGCACATTGGCGACAGTTTTATGATAATAACCACATAAAAAATACCTCCGGCTTTTGTATTTATCCGTAAAGTGTTCGGTTAATATCGTAAATCTAAGCAAAGTATATTCATTCCTTAATTAATCATTACAATATAATTTAGGTATATTATTTTTAAAGTTTCGGCAATGAAAAGCATAAACAATAAAACTTTTTTTTTCACTGTCACTTCTAAGCAGCGCAGTTCATTGATTCACATTAAAATTTAATCAAAACATAAAATAAAATTAATATCACAAATTGAAATTAAATCATACAAATTAATTAAATTTCATCTTGTTTTCTTATCGTTTGACGCACATACGTGTAAATGTTTAAATTAATTTTCCTACATTTGATTATATTCAAGAAATTATTCCACCCACGCATCAGATGGAGAATAGTTTCAAATGCATGTAGATATTGCTAATAAAATAAACATCAGACGTATGTAAGACTCAAGACACAAATATTTCAAGTTTTGTTAGTCAAAATATATGCAACGGCTGATTGATGATTGCAATTCTCATTAATAAATTGAAATTAACATTGAAACATAAATAAAGGAAAAACATAAAAACAGATAAATAAATTATGTTTGTCATAAAATGTTGACTGTTAATAAAGACGCTTAAATCCATCACCAAAACCATGTGTCAAACCTTACGATCTAGAAAAATCCACTGTGTCATGTTGAAAATTTACCAAAAGTCCTTGTAAGGATGTCCTCAGGAGTTGGGATGCATTGCAAGACCCTGTTGGGGATGTGCAGTGTTGCCACCATTGCTTGCGTTTTGTGCTGTCATTTCCGATTTGACACGGCGTGCAATGTGCGAACGTGTATGCTTTCTCAGGTGATCTTTACGGTAAAAGCCTAGAAATATTTTATAAGATTCATTAAACAATTTCTTAATAATCGTAGAATTTCTTACCTTTTCCACACTCGTTACAAACATGCTTCTTTTCGCCAGAATGAATAACATAATGCAATGTCAATTGTTCCTTTCGTTTGAAAGTCTTCATGCAAATCTAATTGAAAAAATAAAAATTCATCAAATATTTATAAATTAAAAATAAATTAAATTTTACATTGCAGGCATGAGGACGATCTGGAATATGCGAGAGCTTATGTCTAGTGAGATGATCTTTTCTTTTTAGTGCAGCATTACAAATGTCACAAATAAATCTTCGTTCAACAGCGTGTTGGATGACATGTTGTTCAACTAAGTCTCGCTCAGGAAGTGCCATTTGACATTCAGGGCAGCAATAACTGAAAATGATTGAATAATATTTTATTAAATATTCAAATTTATCAAATAAATAAACTTACAGGAGAGTTCCATCAAGTGCTGTTTTCTCACGAATTTCTCCCGGCTGTGGAAAATCAAAAAAATCTTTTTATTTAAATATAAAATAAAATAAAATAAGGAAATGAAATTTACCTTTGGCCTTGGTTTACGCTCCTTGGGTGGCTTTTTCTTTTTCGGACGTTTTTCCATGTTCGGCTGTTTGACAGACTTTTTTCGTTCTTTCTTAACTTTAGTTGGTACAATATTATTACCAATCGGCACCATTGTTGGGCTTTTCATATTGATATTGTTTCCATTTTGATGCTGATTTAACAGCATTGGATTATGAGTTGGAATGTTAATCGTAGACGAATGATGATGGTCCATGTTATTGTCACTTCCGTTCATGAAATTTGGATGTTGATGATGATTCAAATGATGTTGATTAACCATAGATGCAACGTTTCCCAATAAATTCGATCCCACACCATTTTTCAGGCCCAATAAGTCGCTTCCTGTTAACATGCTGTTTCCGGCATTACTTCCTGCTGATTCCTTTTTGATAGATTCAGAATATTTAAGAATATGTTGGATGGAAATGGGAAGAGTAGCCGATAATAAATGTGAAGAATAATCAGTGCCATTTGGAGGATTCCACGTTTGATTCATGCTATGGAATGGTAACACTTCATCGCGTTCACTTTTTGTTATGTGCGATTTTGACTTCGCATCGCGATCGTAATCATGCGACTGATGTTGATATAAATTCTGACCGTAATGAATTGTTGAACTCGACACTAAGAATTAAATTAAATTAAAAATAATTAATTAAAAATTTTGTGACTCATTAGTAAAGCAAAGAAAAACATGAGAAAATCGATAAATCGCCATTTTCCCAACCCGGCTATGAATTTTCTTTTCAATAAATTTTCCGAATTTTCTATCATGAAATCCTTCCTATTTCGAGACTATTTACCTGACTGAGATGATGGTGCTGAGGTAGATTGTGTATTTATAAGATTCTGATTAGAATAACGAAGCTGATGGTTATCATTGAAATTTGTGGAAAATTGATGATTCTCATTTTGATGGTTGAATTTATGTAGATGAAAATTTCCACTTGAGAATGAGAAATTCATTGTTTAATTAAACTGTGACACTTTGAAAGTCGAATAAAGCTCTAAATGATGACTTAATAACTTATTTAAACCATTTTAAAATAATAATTTTCGTCCGAGTTTTCCTCCGTATCCTTCTTATTGCGACGTTGCCACACTTTACTATTAATTCAAATTATGAAAAGCCGTTAACTACATAAAGAAACAATTTTTAGTTTTTTCTTTCTATTTGAGCATAAATAAAATATTTTATTCTATTGACTTAAATCCTTTGCCTAATATGTATTTTTCAGCAGAATCAATTCTGCTAGCTGTTGGCTTAACTATTTTGTATGTTTCATATAATTCTCGTACTTTCTTCTCAAATTCAGGCATGAGTCCGTTTTCCCAAACTTTTATTAAAATTATTGCATTAGGAGCGCTTACTTGTATGGCAAAATTGAGAACTGAATTAGCTAGCTCCATAATACTTTCTTGATCTAATGATTTTATTCCTGTAGCATTTGGAGCCATGTCAGACAGTACGCAATCAACTTTTTTTCCTTGCAAAATATTTTTTATTTTCTCTTGTGCAATGGTTGTGGAGAAATCTGTGTTGCCTAGAAATATTGCTCCTTCGATTGGGTATATTTGTAGTTTATCAATGCCAATCACAGTACCAACTGGCTGACCCTTCTTGGCTCCATTCGAATTAACTTCAGTTACACAAATTTGTGACCAACTTCCTGGTGCAGCGCCAACATCAACTACAACTTTGCCAGGTTTTAAAAATTTATGATTCTCGTTAATTGCAAGAAGTTTAAAACAAGATCTGCATCGATAATTCATCATCTGAAAAGAAATAAATTATTTTAATGAAAATGAAAACTCGGACAAACCACAATTTATTGTACTTTTGCCTTTTCTACAAAAGGATCTGAATATTGTCTAAGTAACCATTCCTGAGATGATTTTTTCATTCCTTTTAATTTTAATGGAGCCATTGCCGAATAGAACCTTATACATTTAATAAAATTCATTTTTGATTGAAGATTAGCGAAAGCCGCAATGTTTACAAATTCGAATTATAAACATGGAATGCGTTTAAGAATATCTTTCACCCACATTCACACAACTCAAAGAGTGTGACCAGAAGCTCAACAGTAAACATAAGAAGATGTGATATCTGATAAATATTTAAATGAACTGAACAAGTGTTGTCAAGGTCTAGTTATTTGCAAGATAAAAGAAAAAAGATTAAGAAATGTCGACTACTCCAAGTTCTAGTGGAGATACAAAGAAACAAAAGACGGTTAGTTAAAACTGAGTGCAATTTTTATTTTTTCCTGTTGAGTTGGAAAGAAAAAAATTTACTGTCTAATTGTTTTGTAATGATTGACGATTTGTTGTTTATAGACTTAAAACAGTTATATTTTATGACAGCTAATCGTTTATGCAATATTTTCTAAAGAAATTTATCATAGGGATTAAGTTAATAAGTTATAAAATTAAGATTCTTTAGACTTCAATTCATTCCAGTCAAAATAAAAAGCTTTATCTTATCAAAAGTCAATTGATATGAACCTTCCTAAAAAGTTTACATTCTGCGAACTGACTTATCTTCATTGAAATATTTGGCAACACGGCAACGGCATATAAAAACTTGAGCATATGTTTCGTTTACATTTCTAACATTTTGAGGATAGAAAAACTTTCATTTACTATTTCTTCTCACTCTCTTTCCTAAAAGCCAACATTACATTACGAGCATGCATAGAGACTTTCTTCATGATGGTCTGTCGAGATCTTAGTCCAAGTTAATTCTCGTTATTGTCAAGACGTGTCAACTCATTATTTTAAAAATAGTTTTAAAAATATTCCAATATGTTTGTAAAGCGACGTAAAATCGTGAATGTTAATAACAATTATCTTAACCATAATGAAAATAAAAATTGTTCTCTGAAAGAGAATGTGTTAACTACACTAAATTCACAAAAGGGAAATGGTTTAAATGGAATTGCAGAAGAGGTAAAGTTTTTTTTCAAGTGTTTATGAAACTTCAGTTAAATTTGATTGTCAGTTTAACCCAATTATTATCGAAATGAGAATTGCAACTTTTTTCTTTTATTAAAATGGCAATTTCATTCAATGACCAGGGAAAATTAATACATTGATACTTCATGGTGAGTTCATTGGACTTTTGCATAATACATTTCTTCGACATCAGCTTCCAAGAGTGTTCTCTACAATTTGCTGATTGTCAACAAAAAAAGTGAAATTTTTTTGTCCCGTTTTCAACTATCAGCTATCTATACTATTAAAAAAAATACATAAACTTCAGTTAAAAATCATGTTCCGCTTCCACGATACGATTTGATCACGTTAAACATTAAATTATATTATTTTTTATATTTCAATAATCGCGTAGCTTAAAAAATCGTGAAGTGGCTTACTCATCAAATTGATTTCGTGTTTAACAAGTTTTAGTACGCCAGTGTCATAAAATTTGCATTCTGATCAAATGCAAGATAATTGAAGTTAAATTTGCATTTATGCAATTCACGATTTTTTTTTATTTTTTGTGTTAAACTTTAAGTAGAAAAGTTATTGTTTAATTAAAAATCTCGTTATCACCACTTAGTACTCCAATTAGAAAATAAATAATATTGTTATCTACACACATTCTGTATGTCAGAAAACTCGTCAAGCTTGAATATCGTAATCAGTGCTTAGCTGAAATTGGTAGAAGTACAACGCGCATTTTAGAAGAAATTCTAATTATTTAGAGTAAAAGAAAAGTCATGTCAAAAGACAACGATCAAGAAGTCAGAAAAGTTACTAATGAGTATTTAACCTCGCACTAATTTTTTTCTTTTTATTCACCAACAGTGCCTCCAAGTTGCTACAAATGTAACCGAACAAAAGCATCATGTGAGTAGAGAACTTCGCGGTCAAAATTTGGGATTATGTCGAGGATTTCGTGGATGCACGGTTTGGTTGACTGGATTATCTGGTGCTGGTAAAACATCGATTGCATTTGAGCTTGAAGCATTCCTAGTGTCGAAAGGAATTCCAGCTTATGGTCTTGATGGCGATAACATTCGAACTGGATTAAACAAGAATCTCGGCTTCTCTCAAGTAGATCGAGAAGAAAATATTCGACGAGTAGCGGAAGTTGCTAAGCTCTTCGCTGATTCGGGCGTTGTGTCAATTTGTAGCTTCGTTTCACCTTTCAGCGAAGATCGTGACATGGCTCGAAAAATCCACAAAGATGCTGATTTAAAATTCTACGAAATATTCGTTAACACACCCTTGGCAGTCTGTGAATTACGTGACGTTAAAGGTTTATACAAGAAAGCACGTGAAGGATCAATTCAGGGATTCACTGGTGTCACTCAAGCTTATGAAGCGCCAGAACATCCTGACTTAGTTGTCACAACTGAAAAAGTGTCAGTGAAGGAATCAACAGAACAATTAGTTAATCTCTTGATAGCTGAGAATATCATTCCGAATTATATTCGTGATAATGGCGATGTAAGTTTTATTCGCTTTTAAGTGCTTTGCCAAATCAGCATTCTTCATATTTCTTCAGTTAGCAATTCTAAAAATTGCTTGTAAATAGCCGAAATTTTTAATATTTCATAAATTAAATTCGCAAGGGAAATTTTCTTTATTCAAAATAAATTTTTGTCAATTTTTCTTTGAACAATTTTTTATTTTCAATATATGATTAAATACTTTTTTTATGGATTCTTGCAATAAATGAATGATTAATTTTAAATTTTATTATTTTCTTACAGCAAATCAAGGAACTTTTAGTTCCAGAACATCGTCGTGCGATAATCACTGCTGAAGCGAAAACACTTCAAACCCTTAAAATCAGTGAAGTTGAATTGCAATGGCTTCAAGTTCTATCAGAAGGTTGGGCTTCACCTTTGAACGGCTTCATGAACGAAAATGAATATCTTCAAACATTACATTTTAATTGCTTATTGTCGGAAGATGCTACAGCGAGAAATAATCACTCCATCCCGATTGTGTTATCGTTAACTGATCAAGACAAAAAGCGTCTGGAAGATGTAAGTGCAATGACCTTAATCTACGGCAACAAGCCCGTCGCTATTCTTCGTAATCCTGAGTTTTATTATCAAAGAAAAGAAGAAAGATGCAGTCGACAGTTTGGTACAACGAACAAAGATCATCCATACGTTAAAATGATTTATGAATCTGGTGACTATTTAGTTGGTGGAAGCTTAGAAGTACTCGAAAGGATTAAATGGAATGATGGATTAGATCAATACCGATTAACGCCAAGAGAAATTCGTAAGAAAATGAATGACATTGGCGCTGATGCTGTGTTTGCATTTCAACTTAGAAATCCAATTCACAATGGGCATGCATTGTTGATGAAGGATTGTCGAAGACAATTATTGGAAAGGGGATTCAAGAAGCCGGTTCTCTTATTGCATCCGCTTGGAGGTTGGACGAAGGATGATGACGTTCCATTGCCAGTTCGAATGGCACAACATCAAGCGGTCATGGATGCGGGAATTTTAGATAGGGAAAATACAATTCTCGCAATCTTCCCATCGCCAATGATGTATGCGGGACCAACAGAAGTTCAATGGCATGCAAAATCACGAATGAATGCTGGAGCTACGTTTTACATCGTTGGAAGAGATCCTGCTGGAATGCCACATCCTGATAAGGAAATGTATCCTGATGGGAATCTTTATGACGATACGCATGGAAGTCGCGTGCTTAAAATGGCTCCTGGATTAGATAGCATTGAAATTCTCCCATTCCGAGTTGCTGCTTATGACACAACAATCAAACAAATGGCGTTCTTTGATCCAAAACGCAAGGAAGATTTTCTTTTCATTTCTGGAACGAAAATGAGAACTTTTGCGAAAACCGGTGAACTGCCACCAGATGGTTTCATGGAACCGAAAGCATGGAATATTCTGGCTAATTATTATCGATCATTAAGCAAAAATTGAAAATGTTTTGAATAATATTTTTACGAATTTTTATTGTTTTTGAACTTTAACTTGCAATTTCTTGGAAAAAGATCAAATCTTATCCCTTAAATTACATCGTTTAATTAATTTTATCAATTTTATTATCCTTTTTTGGTGGTAGATAAAGTAAAAACTGTAAAATATTAAAAGGAATGAAAACCAGACAATGCAATTTTAATATAAATTTCAATACGATTGACTTCACTTTTAGTGGGGTTTCGTATTTAATGTTGACACGTACGTTACTTATTATCTACCTGCATCATGTTTTTAGCAAACATTTATTATTATTACAATTAAAGCATTTATGATTTAAAACAATTTTTATTTAAGAACAATTTATTTTATTTTATTTTTTGTTTATTTCATTTCCATAAATTTTTAACGCTGGTGACGCAAAATGATCAAACAAATTTGTTATCAATCAAAATGCCTTATGGCATTTGATTGTTATCAATTGATGAGAAACGTGCATAACTACGCAAATCACGTTCATGACACGAAGTCTGAAGATTTTTGAAAAGTGTTTCATGGATATTTATTTTGAGTGGCTATGATTAGATTTGAAATATCTAATAAATAATGTTAGCCTCAAATGCAAATAATATTTGGAGCAAAAATTATTTACTATTTCGAATCTAATCGTAGCCACTCAAATATCCTTGAAACACTTTCTATTGGTTCCGTTTCCTACTTTCTGTAACATTTCCTTACAATCTTATGGATAAATATTTGAGAAATAATTTTATATTAAGTACAGAAATTTAAAAGTATTCATTCTATAAATAATAAATCATCAGATATTTAAATATAGAAAGAGAACAAAGGAATTAAATTAAGTTAATTTGTTGTGTGAAGAATGTTCTAAGAAAATTTATTATCGGTTTAGTTGTAAAAATGCACAACAGAAGTAAGTAAAGTCAAATAAAGAAATTTAAATTAAATAACTGAAAATTTTGATTATTTCTTTATCAAATATTAACGTTATTGTAAGACTGAAGTGGTTGGACTTTTGCAGGAAGCTTTTTAACTTTTTATCAGTTACAAATTACTCAAAGTCATCAGATGACTTTACTGTTTTATGACGGAAAAATATTTCGCAGATGTAAGTCTTGATGACGACATTCTCTGGTGCAACACTCGAGTAGATTTTACAGAAGTGATGAGTGACAGCTCTTGCCATCTCTTTGAAGAGTGCTTTCGGATTATCTGATTCAAATTTTTTCTTTTTATAAAATGGATTCAACTCGCTCACAACCATTTTAGAAATTAAAGTTTTGACTTGTGATTTTGCGGAGTTGGATGAACTTGATGAGTGTTCAGTGCGAGGTTTTTTAGCTGACGGTGGCTCAATATCTTGAGGATCCTTTTCAAGCTTATGCTTCATGGATTCCAAAGCAAACCCATCACCTTTATCAATTGAACTTTCATCAATAACCAATCCCGTCCCTTCATCAGAATCATCAGCAGAATTTTCTTTATCAACGATTGAAACAACTTCAACCGATGATTTTTCAATTTCAATTTGTTGATGTGCATTTTGTTGACTTTTTATGCTTTCCAACTCCTCCTGAAGTTGTTTCTTCTTAAGTTTTAATTCTTCTAATTCCAAATCGCTGCTTGAACTTGTTGCTTCAACCAAATCAACAGTTTCAATCTTAATCTCAGCTGGTTTGATATTTTCTTCTTCTTCTGATGATGATTCGTCTGGTACGTTGAAAGAATTTTTAGAGAAATACGAGTTGATCTTTGTCTGACTCTTCCCATCACGATTCGACTGTTTAAATTTATCTTTTGCAACACGTTCATGTTTCTTAACTTTTTCACTTTCAATTTCTTCGACAACATCTTCACCATATCGTTCCTTCATTTCATTCAGAATTGTTTTATGATCGCCACCAAATGATTGTCTTTTAGTTGGATTGTGATTCTTTAATTTTGGATGTAAACCGACGGTTTTCTTAATGTTCATGATCTCCAACCCAATTTTGCGTCGGTAAATGCTTATAGCTTTTGAGTTTGTGAAACATTCATATTCAATTTCTTTTGCAACATCTTCCAAGTCTTTATACACAAGTTTGCGTTCTGGAATTTCTGGTGGTTTCATTTTCTCACACTTTTCCATGCTCATTTTAAGATTGTCAGCAATATGTGTCAAATTTGTTTCACGTCCTTTGATTGTTAGTCCAATAACTTTGTTCTCGGTACTTTGTGCAGCTTTAACTCGAGTCATTGCTGTTGATGGAAGCATCTCCATAGCTTCAGCTGCTTTTGCTTTACGCAATGCAAATTGTTTTTCGATGAAAGTTCTTTCTGCTTTCTTGTCATATTCGCTGGCTTTACGAAATGACGAAGCAAAGCCACCACCTTCGTTTTCATCGTAAGACTCAAAAGATTCTTTCGTTGCATTCGCTCGACCACCTTCATAAAGGTCTTCCGAATCTTGATCTGGCATTTTGGTAAAACCACCCAAAGTCACTTGACTTGCAAGTTGTTGAAACTTTTCCAAATTCTTTTCACTCTTTTTCTTATTCTTGCAAGCATCACACATATTCACACATTTGGGTGGATCATCGCCAAAGAAGTTCGTAAAAAGTTTATGTCGACATGAAACTGATTCGCAATGCTCTGAAATCCGTTGGAATTCTTTCACTGTTTGTTTTGCAATTTCTAATTGTGTGTTTGTTTTATTTTTTGCATTACTGACTTCCATTTGTAGAAGGTAATGAATACTTCGCACTTCATCACGATCGTAATAAACCTAAATGGAGCATAAAATGGATTAATAAAGATTAAGAAGATTTAAATGAAACAAAATCTTACACGACAGAATGAATATTTTCCATCTCTTCCAGCTCTACCAGATTCCTGATACCATTCTAAAAATTTAATCAAAATTTTATCAAATGCAATTTCAAATTAAATTAAGCATACCTGATATGGATTGAGGGACATCCCAATGTATAACAAATCGAACAGGTCCTTTATCAATGCCCATGCCAAAGCTTACAGTAGCAGCGATGACAGGAACTTTACCATTCATCCAATCATTTTGAACTTGATCTTTTTCGTGTTTCTTTAAACCTGAATGGAAAGCAGCACAACACAAACCTAGTTTGCGTAAGGATTTAGCAACACTTTCTGTCGTGTCTTTTTTACGGCAGTATATAATTCCACATGGCTTCTGATCTGGCTTTAATTCTTCTGCTGTTGGATCGTGCGAAAGACATTCTTCAATGTAACTTTTCAATTGAATGAAATCATCAGTTAAAATATTTTTGTATGCAATGTCATAAAATAAATTGGAACGGAAGCAGGAGATTTGATGACATGATGGTTTTCTAAGTTCAAGATTTTTGATGAGTTCTTCTCTGACCTTCTTTGGAGCTGTTGCTGTCAAAGCGATCCATGGAATCTCTGGAAAAGCTTTTCTTAAATCACCAAGCTTTAAGTAATCTCTTCGAAAATCATGACCCCACTGACTGAAAACCAAATAAATATTAAATGTGAATTTGTTTAAGCGAAATGAATTTTTTTACCTGACGCAATGAGCTTCATCTACTGCAACAAAAGCAATTTTCTTGAACTTTACAAGAAGTGCCATTAATTCTCGGAAGAATGAAGTCGCAGCTTGTTCCGGTGTAATGTAAAGAAATCTTGTGTCGGTCTTTTTAGCTTTGAGATCTCCAAGTATTCTATTACGATCAGAACTAGATGTCTGTGAGTTTATTGTCTCAGCTGAGATACGCAGTGATCTTAAATAATCCAACTGATTTTTCATTAAACTCAGCAGAGGTTCGAAAACTATCGTAATTTTGTTTTCTTGCATTGCTCCAGGAAGATGATAACAAAGCGACTTGCCTGATCCAGTAGGCATACTTATGTATGTGTCATTCTTTTCTGGATGATTAAAGTTGAGTTTGAGATAAACTTATTTCTTGAAATTTTATAAACTTACTCGAAAGAATATTTTTGATTGCATTTTTTTGCGTTTCTGATTTAAATTTGGTGTGATTGAAATATTTCTTTAAATTTTGCAAAAGATCTTCATCACTTATTTCATTCATTTTAATATAGTCACCACCGAATAGTTCAGAATTAAAAAGGAACAGAAAATATGGTAAAGTCGCTTTTTTGGCACTTCTTATGAAAAAACATAAACAATAACGAAATTTTGGCGCCAAGTTCAAAAATCTTCTGAACACATTCACAAAACGGTTAAATTATGTATTAAAGAATTTTATTTTAATTTTAATAAACATCTAATCCACTGGCAGAAGGAAACAAAGTAGATAATAATTGTTAACTAAGTTAAGCGAAAACTAAACTATAAACATCTGAATATTGACTAACGAAATGAACCTCAAGCCCTTCAGTTATGAATTTCGGTAAATCGTCGTAATCTTTTTTGTTCTCATCAGGAAGAATAATAATCTTAACATTACTTCGCTTTGCAGCAATGGTCTTTTCTTTTATGCCACCTACAGGAAGAACTTTTCCAGTTAAAGATACTTCACCCGTCATAGCAACATTTTCTTTAACTGGCTTGTTTTGTGCAAGCGATATGAGTGCAGTTACAATTGTAATTCCAGCTGATGGGCCATCTTTTGGTGTCGCTCCTTCGGGAACATGAAGATGAAGATGTGAAGATTCGAGGAAATTATTTGATTCATCCTTATTTTTAATGAAATTTCTTGCGACTGTTAAAGCAATTCGTGCGGATTCTTTCATGACATCACCAAGATGTCCTGTAATTTCTAAGGATCCATCAGCTGGTGTTTGATCTTTCTTCACCGATTCAATCAATTTTCGTTTCGCTGTTTCAATATAAAGTGTTGAACCTCCCATTGCTGTCCAAGCAAGTCCCATCACTACTCCAGGTGGTGTAGTGTCATACATTCGTTCATGTGTGAAAATTGGCTTACCAACCAACTGTTGCAGGTTCTCATCAGTGACATCAAATTTCTCACATTCTTTCTTCACAAGTTTAAAAGCTACTTTTCTAACAAGCTTTTCTATATGTTTTTGAAGATTTCTAACACCCGACTCTCTACAATAACTTTTAATTAAAGCATTGAGTGCATCATCTTCAATGAGAATATTATCATCGGTCACTCCGCTGTCCTTTTTCGCTTGTGGAATTAAATATTGTTTTGCAATTGCCATTTTTTCTTCTGCCACATATCCTGACATTTCAATCAATTCCATTCGATCACGCAGCGGCTCGGGAATCGTGTCTATTACATTTGCAGTACAAATGAAAAGAACTTTTGATAAATCTACGGGAACATCAAGATAATGATCCAAGAAATTAACATTTTGTTCTGGATCAAGTAATTCTAACAATGCACTTGATGGGTCACCTTGATAGCCTTTTCCAATCTTATCAACTTCATCAATTAACACGAGAGGATTCTCAGTTTTTGTTTTCTTTAAACATTGAATTAATTTTCCTGGCATTGCACCAACGTAAGTTCTTCGATGTCCTTTAATTTCAGCAACATCAGTCATGCCACCGACACTAAATCGGAAATATTCTCTGTTCAATGCTCTCGCTATAGATCGTGCAATTGACGTCTTTCCTACACCTGGAGGTCCATGGAAGCACAGAATTTTTCCTTGTGTTGATCCTTTCAAAGCACTTACAGCAATGAATTCGAGAATACGTTTCTTGATGTCTTCCATTCCATAATGATCATTATCCAAAATCTCTGACGCTCTATCAATATCAAGATTCTCTTCACTCATCGTTCCCCACGGGATTTGTGTCAACCAATCAAGGTAATTCCTCGTGACATTAAACTCCGAGCTGCTGTTTTCAAGAAAACTCAACTTAGTCAATTCTTCTTCAATGACTTCCATAACATGTTTTGGAATATTTCGATCCTTGAGACGTTCACGATATTTTTCGCCAATGGCATCTTTGTCATCTTTCTCAATGCCAAGTTCTTTCTTAATGACTTTTAATTGTTCTTGCAGAATGTACTTTCTATGCTGTTGCTTGACTTTCTCTTCAACTTCTTTACCAATCTTTGCTTGAAGCTTTGAAAGTTCCAATTCTTTCTTAAGCAATGACAAAGCAAGCATAAGCCGTTTAGGGACATCCATTTCTTCCATGATAGCTTGTAACTCTGGAGGATCGGCAGCGGATAAGGAAGCTCCCAAGTCACATAAATAAACTGGATTGTCCACAACACGTTGATTTTGATGCAGCATTTGTTGAAGACTTTCTCTGTTAATCATTTCATGTTTAAAAGTAAAATCATTTTATGAAATAATTATTGAAATTTTACCTGTAAAGTGGATTCATTGTGATGATATCTCGAATTGTTTTGATGACTTCTTGAGTTAATGCTTTAACTTCTTGTGTTTGTTTGAACTCTTCATGTTGAATATTTTCCACTTCAACCATCAACAGTGGTTGTATTTCACTATCTTCAGTAACAACTTTCGGCTTTTTTGGCTCTTCTGTGGAGTCTGCTGCTGCTACTTCTGTTTCACCATTATTCACAGGTTTTTTATGATTTAAGATACGATTTATTCGATGTTTCCTTCGTCTCTTTTCAGCATCAGACTCATCTGGTGAGACGGAGATTTGGGTTTTGAACAATGGAAATTTAATTGATGTTGCTACATGTTTTTAAATCACATTAACAATAAAAAGGAGAAATGTTAAGGATAAGGAATATGATCTTACGTTTTTCTGGAACATCTTCAAGTTCTTCTATCATTTGACCTTTTATTTTTACTCTCCGATGAGCGGTGACAACCAACCTAAGTTTATCACCTAAATCTTGCATTTCTTGTATTTGAGCAAAGCTGCCAATCGAAAAGACGTCAGATAACTTTTGAACAACTTCACTTTTGTTTTCTTCGTCCTTTTTTAAGAAAATTCCTACATACGGTTGATTTAATCTTACTTTCCTTCTTATTAAGTCTATCAACACTGGATCTGAAAACTTTGAAACAAAAACATAAATATTTCAAATGAAATTCGTAATTTCAATGTAAGCTTACTTCTAATATTTTCATAAATCGTGGAAAAACAGGATTCCTTGAAGTCGCTATACAAGGCAAGTAAGGCCAAACCTCAGGTATTGCTACTGTCGCTGGTAGATGCGTATGAATGAAGTCAGCTTGTGGTTCAGGTTCCGGTTCAGCTGACAAAACTTCAGGTTCTTCATCATTTTTCCCTTTCGATGAATAGAAATGTTTTTGAATGGATGTTAATGTATTTGGAACAGTTTTAAAATTGTGTAATCCAAACGACTGATATCCATGCAAATGATGTCTTTGCGAATTATTAAAATTAATAGCACTTGAAGAAATAAACTTTGGAGAATTTCTTAAATGACTTCCCGAATATTTCAACAATGTTCTGATATTCCTTGATGCTTTGTGCAAATGCAACATTGCTAATTTATTTAAATCCTTTGATGTTTTCACCAGCAACAAATTTTATTTCATCAGATAAGTTACACTCTCGAAATTTCTGGATTTTGTTAATGTTGGTATGAATTAACATGCTGTAAACAAGATTTAGAAGTGTTAGTGTGATTAACATAACCTTAAAAATTCAAATTGAAAATAACATAAACAAAGCATTAACGGTTTTACTTATTCAAGTCATGTGTTGACTGCAAGACGATAGATTTAGTAGCTGAAGAAGTAAATCTGATATTTTTCATTGATTGACAAAATTAATCTAGATTTTTTATAAATATTTTGATTTCCGTTTCACTAATTAAAAACATTTTTTTGTGAATTTAAATGATTAAGTTTATTTTTATTGATAAAATTTTACATGTGTTAATTAAGTAGATTTATCATCACGATAACATACGTTAAGCTTTTGAGAATATTTTTTTTTAAGATTTCTACTTGCATGTCAGCATAGTTTTATATGCTATAATATTGATATTTATTAAATAAAGAATATGTTGCAATATGAGAATTAAACTACGAATATCTGTGTGATTATATGTATTATAATATGTGAATATAAAATAATAACAATTTCTTCAGTGTATCTTGATTTAAGAAATAAAAATCTAGATAACATTAAGTCTACATGAATAAGTGATAAATCATCATGGCCACATTAGTTGTCAACTACCAAGAACTAGGTAATTTTTATTGTTAGTGGAAATGATTTGATTGGAATTAAAGAGAGATCATAGAGGTGAATAAAAGGAAAGTATGAGAGTTCTGCACTTTAAAGTGAATCACATTAGAGGCTTTAGAAAAGGTGGAAAGTTTCGAACGATGGGATTTATCAATTCTAAGTAAATTAATGAGTCAATAGAATTTTGAAAGATGCATCTCAATTAAGTTCCACTCTTTTAATTCAAGTGATATTACTGACTTCCAAAATATCAGCCATGTTATGTGACTCAGTTTCGGTTTCCAATAACATTTTATTAAGCCAACACTGAATCATTGGTGGATGATCAGTTATCAACTTATCAGCTACCATCGTTTTTGTAGTAATTTCTTCAATCGATGGATCAACAGACATTTTTTCTTTTTGATTCTTTTCTGTCACGAAACCATCTTCAATTCCTTCTGTCATGGACGAAGTTGTTGTATCGTTAACGGTGGAGTTAATCGAATAAGTACAATCATCATATTCACTTTTGTTCTGTGATGTAGATGTTGGCGGACACATGCAAGCAGCTGAAATTGGATCAGGATATGTTGTACACAAACTCTGATTAACTATTGAACGTTTCAAAACTTCATTTTCTGAAATAAGCCTCTCATAAAAATCACATTGATAAAATGATCCTTCACAGCTCTTGGATGTTGAACACTGCTTTGGTAAAGTTGGAGAATTGGCAATCTCCTTTGATCCTGTAATCTTTGGTTGCTTACAAGTATTTATAGTTACGTTTGAAATGTTCTTCAAAACAATGCTCCCGTTTGAATTATTCAACGTCAAGTTACTAATGTTTTTTAATGATTTTTTCTTTGACGAAGTTGTTGTGTCATTACGTTTCAACTTGCCGTCGTCAGGTTCGTTTTTGACCTTCGCATCAATTTTTGGTTTGATCGATTTCACGTTCCCGTTACCATGTTGATCAATGGATTTATCGATAACCTTGACTTGATCCAGTGAACTTTTGGGTGGATCCATTTTCAATTTATCGCAAACAAATGTGACCAGATTTGAACTTTTAGAAATGAGATTCTGTGATTCTTGAAGTGTTAAGTTGATTATCGATTCAGATACTCTCTTATTATCGAGAGACTTCTCGAACAAGTTTGACATGTCTTCATTTTCATTTTCCAAGTATGGCAAATAACAATCGATGTTAAGATATGATCCATAGTTTCTTAACAGCTCTAATATTTTCTCTTCAGATGGCTCAACCTGGAAACTCACATCCGCAAAGTCAATTTTATTGTTTCCCTTTAAAACATCAATTTGTCTTAATAAAAGTTTTTCGCGCAAATCCAAAGCATGTCGAAGCTTTGTAAATGAATTACGAACTTGAGATTTCAGCTGAAATTGTGATGATAGAATGATAAGTAAAAAATATTTTATGAATGCAACAAAAACTTACCTGATCCATTGATGATTTCTCGAAAATTAAAACATATGAGAGAAAAATAAAGAAAAATTTCCGTCTTGGAGCTTAACTGAAACGCCCTCTGACAGCTGAAATGTGAAGTATTTGATGAATCTGCCCTGACTCTGTGAAAAGTTTTGTCACATGTATAATTTATTTGTGTTATCTTAAAAAATGTTAATTTACTTGATTATTACTTAAAGTATATCTATTTGTTGTTTTGAAAATATAATAATATCTTAATATTTCACATCATCAAGAACTCTAAAAGGAAAATTAACCAAAATATTCGTTGCAAATTTCAAAGGTACGCAGCTTTTCAATAGATCCACACAATATTTCTTAGAAACAAAATTTCAACAAGATCAAATAAAACTTTTTCATTCAAGTTTTTTATCGCATTTAAACAAGTGAATTATTCGTTGACAAGTGTAATGTTAAGAAGAGGTAAGAAAAACTTTAAAAGATATGGAGTTCAGTTGAATTGGTTGAGGAAACGTCAGAATTTCTTTGAAATAGAAAAATGTTATCAAAATTCTTAGGAAAATTACATTCGCGTAGGAAAGGATCTAAAGTTACGAAATCTACAATGAATCATAAGTTTTTGTAAATCTTCAAAGTTAAGCTAACCTCACATAACTATTAATGAGTAAACAAATGTAGCATATCGTATACAAAATATTTTTCACACGTATTACTGCAATAAAAAAATTGTTTGCTCATACCTGGCTTCATATGAACTCTTGAACGCTGTTTATAGATAAATTTACTTTGAAAGTGTTATATATTCTGAAAGTCTCATATTACAATTTAATCGAAACATACATTTTAGTGAATTAACAAGCATGTAAATACATTCAGATATTGGCATAGTTACATCTCAATTATCAGTTTCAACCTCACTTCTTAACCATTTCACAAACACATCGGCAGGTAGAAAAAAAAAAATTTATGACTGCATTACGTTTCTTCACTTTTGAATCGTTGCAAGACCAATAATTTACGTTGTCATTTTTTAATTTTCTTTCTATGACATCTACTGAATAATATTTTCCTGCTATCTTTAAATAGTTGCTATCGGAATTATATAAATATCTCATCCCTCAAAATTTCATGAATTAAAATATTTTATTATTTAATATTTAATCATCATTATCCTAATAGAAATTTTTTTTCGTACAAATAAAATCAAATAGAAAAGCTGTTGACGGCTAAAACTTTTCTTCTCATTTTTTGTCTTCATCTTGTTCTCTGTTCGTCGCTCATAGTAACGATAAAAGAAATTCAATATTAAGTAGTCACATTTAACACTCTCCTTTCATAACTTTATTACAGAATAGCGTAAATTGAAATTGTATTGAAGAGGAAAAGTCAAAGAAAATAATAAACATGGCTTTGTGGAACAAACTATTACAATCTCGTCCTGAAGTTATGGAGCAAATTCGCGTCTCTTATGGTAACCATTTTCCAATGGAAGTACGTCATTATTTGTGTGATTGGCTTGAAACGAGATTGCTGTAAGTTATTTTTAATTATTTTTAAAAAATGTTTCTTCTGTAAACAAATAAGAGTTAAGTTGTTTTGAGCTTTTGAGAGGAAAAAAAAAACGTAATTTCCCCGTGGTAACGAAGTTTGTTTTTGTTTGTGTCCCTTGAGAAAAAGAATTGAACATCTAACCTGTTGATTATTTATGTTTTTTTGATGAACAGAAGCGGTCCATTATTTATGGATCATGATCCTCAATATGAAATAGAAGCAGCGCGATTTCTTAACGAACTCATTCATGAATTGGAACGAAAAGCAAGTGAAATGTCAGCTGATGATCTTATAACAGCAAAGTTACGTCTTTTGGAATCATCAAGAAATTTTCGTCAACTTTTCTCGCATAATCCGAGTCAGTTATATTCGCACTTGCGCAACTGCTTAATGTTCGAAAAGCAAATGCTTTGTTATCCTGAAGAATGTGCCATGACGCAAAACAGTGATTTTACTCAAATTTTTGAAGCTATTGAAGAGCTTATGTCTCGAGTAAGATCAAATGAAATTGAAAATCGTAACTTGAAGAAGAAGTACGAACTCTTCTGTTGTGAACTACATGAAGTGAGCAAAAACAATGCTCAATATGATGTGATTGAAGGACAGAATCCAGAACGTCGTGAGCAAATTGCAACAATGAAACAAGAACAACAAACACGCTTACAAGCATCACTTAATCAACTGACAGGAATGCGCTTAAGTCTTGTTGATAAATTTAAAGGAACAATCGAATTAACCGAAACAGTTCAACAAAAAGTTGTTGATAAATATTTGAATCAATGGCGTATGAATCAAGGGCTAGCTGGAAATGGGGCACCGCCATCCAACGCCAACAATCTTGACATCATTCAAGGATGGTGTGAACATTTAGCCGAAATCTTATGGAACACACGCGAGCAAATTAAAATGGTTTCAAAATATCGTAAGCAGTTGAATGTTGATGAACAAAACTTGCCCGACTTTCTTCCCGAGCTCTTCGCTAAAAGCACAAATTTGCTGGAACATCTTATCACACGTTCCTTTATCATTGAAAAACAACCACCACAAGTGATGAAAACAAACACCAGGTAAGAAGTTCGTGAGTTGTTTCAATGACAACCGTCACTTCAAATTATTTTTTATTCTAGATTTGCTTCAACTGTTCGTTTGCTCATTGGAAATACATTGAACATTAAAATGAACAGTCCATTGGTTAAAGTGACAATTGTATCAGAAGTGCAAGCTCAACACACACAACAAACAAACAAATGTTCAGAACATTCGTGTGGTGAGATTCTCAACAGCACTGGTAACATGGAATACAACGAAACAACAAAGCAACTCTCTGTAAGCTTTCGTAACATGCAATTGAAGAAAATTAAGCGTGCTGAAAAGAAAGGAACTGAAAGTGTAATGGATGAGAAATTTGCTTTGTTATTTCAATCGAGTTTTGCTATCGGACATGGTGATTTGGTGTTTAGTGTTTGGGCTTTGTCGTTGCCAGTTGTCGTGATTGTTCATGGCAATCAAGAGCCGCAATCATGGGCTACGATAACATGGGACAATGCATTTGCTGAAATTAATCGCACGCCATTTGTCGTTCCTGATAAAGTGCCATGGAATCGACTTGCAGAAGCTTTGAATATGAAATTTCGCGCTTCAACTGGACGAAATTTAACACCCGAGAATTTACATTTCTTGTGTGAAAAAGTTTTTAAAGTTCAAGTCCCGATGCCACCAACTGACGACTATCAAATAACATGGTCACAATTCTGTAAAGAACCTTTGCCAGATCGTACGTTTACATTTTGGGAATGGTTTTATGCTGCAATGAAACTAACACGTGAACATTTACGTGGACCATGGAACGATGGATCGATCGTTGGTTTCATTCATAAACGAACAGCTGAAGATCAGTTGCTGAAATGTCAACGTGGAACGTTCTTATTAAGATTCTCTGATAGTGAATTAGGTGAATGAGAAAATATTTGTTAATTAATTTTGTTAGTAATCATGAAATTTCATTTAACAGGAGGAATCACCATTGCTTGGATGAATGAAGGAAACGATGGCAACCCTTGTGTTCTTCATATTCAGCCATTTACTGCGAAAGATTTCTCAACACGCTCTTTATCCGATCGAATTCGTGACTTTGATGATTTGACTATCTTATTTCCGAACAAAGCAAAGAACGAGGCATTTGACAAGTATACAACACCATCAGGACAACCGAAAAATAAAGATTATATTCCGTCTGAAATTCGAGCGATTTTACCAACATCAAATACAAATAACTCATCAATAAGTTACGCTAATACACCGGCTTCATTCATGCAATCACCTGACCCATCTCGTGACACGCCTTCGGTTCAAAGCGGGTGAGTATCGTGTTTCTAATTCAATGCTATTCAATTATCTCGTAATCTTCTTGCCGCTACTAACAAAAGTTAAACTAAATCATTATCTGAAAAGTAATTTTTATTTTTTATCGCCTTTTCTTCAAAACATTTTTTTAATTTGTAAATAAAGTTGGCATTAATCACCCAACGCATTTTTATGATCAGCAATTAATTAAATAAAAAGATTAACGCTCGTTTATCTTTAGACATAATAAGAATATTTATATAAATAGCGTGAGTTATTATGTAGCAGAAGTTCTGCTTATTAAAACAATCAACAATTCGATACTTCAGTGAAGTGATGGGCACAGTCAAAAACGACTGCCAGGCTTAAGTATAATCTTTAAAAATAATGGTGTTGATAAAACATAAAACCCTTTAATTTTTTCTACATATACCTACATTCAGGCTCGTACTTATGAACCTAATATTTGTATTTACACAATGTTTCAATAAGCATTAATTTCAATAGAGAATGAGTTTACATTCTGTTTTCCATAATTATATTTCAATTAGATACCATGAGATTCTTAGAAGACGAATATTCTATGTTTTCTATGAAGAATGTCATTTTTGGTTATTCCCTAAAGTATAAGCGATTTTACCAATTATTTAGTGGGTGATTTAAAAATTGCAAGCTGAAGGGTTACTTAGATTGAAATCATCTCAGGCCTTTGAAGACCGTCATGTAGGTTTTTCAATTCATACATTTTTGCAAGTTTAAAAATTCAACATTTTTTTCTTAAATGTGTAAATATTTTACTTGCAAGATGTGGTGGAAATAAAAAAATACTACATTCAAGTAAAAAGCTCACAAGAAAAGCTCGCACTAGAATAAATAATTAAAAATTTTGATCTTTTATTAATCAATTTGAAAATGAAAATAGCCTTAAAATCAAGCATTTTGATGAATTCTGTTCCAAAATATTCTTTCAACATTACTTTGCCTATTAGTGGAATCTTATTTAGTATTACGAAAGATATTTAAGGAAATGACACACAAATGTTATCATTTATCCTCATTACTTCCCAAGAATTCCAATCAATATCAATTTTCTTAATTTTAGTTTTCGCATGAACTGATATCATTAGAATATTAATTAGTTCATTTGTATCACTTTACACAATGAAAAACTGAATTAGAAAGATATAAGCCTAGAGAGGTATGTTATCATTTATCCTCATTTCTTTCCAAGAATTCCAATCAATATCAAATTTAGTAACTTAATCTGATTTTTCACAAGAACTGATATCATTAAAATACTGATTAGATATTTTATTTGTATCACTTTACGCAATGCAAAATTGAATTATAATTTAACTTTTAATAATTATGCATTGTGTAAAATGATACAAATAATATAATTGATATTCTTATGATTTTATAGTTCTTGTGAAAAATCAAATCAAGTAATTTGATACTGATTGGAATTCTTAGAAGTCATTAGAATTTTGAAAGAATCTTTAAGATTTTTTTTTTGGAAGAAATTAAATATTTCAAGAAAACATCCGTAGTGTGGAGGATATTACAGAAGCTTGATAATATTTCACTTTCCTCCAACTAATCCTCCTTCGATAATTATCGAAAATGTTTACAGCTCAAAGCTAATGCAGTAATTAATTTTTTAATATTAAAGGTTCCGATTCTCTTTATTCTGTTTCATCGTCCTTAATAAATTTTAAATCCATGCAGAATAAAAAAAATGATTTAAATTCTAGGCGATTAGAAAAATTTAAAACTCGTTAATTTTTTTGAACGATTTTGCAACACGAATTGTTTTGCTTTTGAAGATTGTACTAAAGGGCTGGTAGTTGCGGATTACCACTCCAGATAGGTTAGGGAGTTTTGACTGCCAGAAAGTGCCCACCACTGACTTCTTCTTCATTGTATGATTTCAAAGAAAATTTATGTTTAATGGAATTTCCTATTTGTTTTCTTTCGAAGAACTTCAAGAAACATTTTTCATCATTTTATGTATTGTTGCTACGAAGAATTTCTCACTTCACCTACATTCAAATATATGTTGCAAATTTCTTTCTGTTTTCATTAAGAATAAAATTGGGAAAAATCGAGAAAAATTTTCAAATGAAGCTTCATGAGAAAATCTTTGTTGAAGAAACAAATCGATGAGTATAAATAAAAAATGAGAAATAAAAATTATTTCTCATTAAAAAGAAACGAGCTGTTTGTTAAGATAACAAACTGAAATATATTTGACATCTGTTAACAAAATTGTCTTTTTTTTTATAAAAAAATCAGGTGACAATCATTTAGCTTCCTTCAAGAAGTTTCAAAATTTTTTTTTGTCTTCTCCATGTTTTGTCGCACAGCATTTCTTCTGATTTATTAATTCTTTCATTTTTCCATTGGCGTAAATCAAACAAAAACAAATTCCTTGTATATAATTCACAGTTATCAGAATAGCACCATAATGCACCTTTAAGATTCATTGAACCTTTGGCGTCTTCATTGCGGTTATGTGGCTTTTCCAAAGGACGTAATGGAATAGGACTAAACTTCAACTCAATGTTTAAAATCTTCCTTTAATTGTTCTAAATATTCTCGAGTTTAATTAAAAACTTAAATATGATCGGAAAGTATTTATGGAATCTAACAATAAAAACTATCCGTTTGCTTTCAATTAATTTATGTGATATGTGAAATGGAATGATTGTGATTTTGATGACTGTCAACAGATGAAACTAACTTTTTTTTTATTGAAGACTTGTAACATCTTATTATGAGTCAATTAGTCAAAAAAAAAACTGTGAAATATCTGCTATCATAAAAAACAATGAATTTTCATTCATTTAGAGCAAAGCTCAAGAAATACACAATTTTAAAATTTAATATTACAAAAATTGATGAAATATAAAAAAATTGAATAAATAATGAAAGAACATAATTTATAAAAACATTGTTGCTTTCAATTTAAATTAATCATGAGACTTAAAACAAATTACGACGAGTCCAGGATAATTTTTTTCATTATCCTGGAAATAAAAGAAAATATAAATGTTGGTCGATTATTAAATAAAATAAATAATTGATTCATTCCATCAACCTTAATCATGATTACTTATCTCATAGATCTCATAGATGTGCTGATTGTGTTGAAATGAGTTCACACATATATCTGTCCTAATAAATGTCAATATTTGATGTTAGATTTATATCATATTTATTTGCACCACATTTTTCTAAATACTTATTTATTCACCTTAATTGCAAGCTAAATACTTAATTTAATTTATGCAAGTTAGATATGTTAAACTAATATTAGTAGAATTAATTTTTAATTGTTAAATTATTGAGTTTTGATTTTGTTTCTCCTTTTAATTTCACACACGCATTGTTTTCTCTCCTATCAATGTTTATAACATTTGCTGCAGTTACGGTATGGACGATGGACAATTAAATCACATGGGCACAATCAGTGGAATGCAGTTGAACGAAAACATCGACTTCAATCTTGATAACATTGACATGTATACATCGTCGTTCAACTGAATTAAAGAAAGAGCATCGCATACAAGATAAAGGAAAGTAAAGTTGAACCTAAGAAAAGATAAAATGAAAAAAATTTCATTGATAAGAAAACAGAAAATCAAAACAAAATTTTGCTAGTTTAACTTTTTTATATGAACACACACACACATACTTTGCCTTACATAATAGTTAGCAACTACTTAAATATTCAATTCTTCCGATCTACTCTATTTTTTACAATTTCGATGATTTGCAATACTTTAGTTTTAAACTTAAACTTTAACTTTAAATATAAGAAAAGAACATGAATGGCAGCATAAAAAGGAAGAAAATCTTATAATATCTTACTTACTTATTCGAAAAAGATGATTTATAAATATTTTTGAATTGTTGATAGCAATTACCTCTGTTCCTATTTGATCAATCTTTCTGTTTCTTCAGTTTCTTTGTCTTCCTTCAAAAAATGAATGAAAAATCTTATTTACTGATTTAAAATTTTAAGAAAATAAAAGTTGGAAAAAGTTTCGTTTTTAATTATTCATTAATTCTTGAAAAGCAAACATTTCTTAAATATTTCCTTTTATTGAATTTTTATGCTTGTTAGTCTTGAGTTTCATTGGAATTGATGTTTGTGTAGTTATGTGATCGTTAATCGTTCAATTTTAAATGGAAATATCTGCATTATCTACACGTAGTTAAGTATGACAGAAAAAAAAGAACAATGAATTCGAATTAATTTTACAACATACATCTAATTAAGGTATGGATTATTGAAACTTGAAGTTTGAAACGAATTTTGAATGTACAAATAAATAAAAAATGATAGAAATTCAAAGCTCTAAAAAAATGTAGACAAAAAATAAGGAAATGAAAAACTTTTGATTGCTTTTGTTCTGAAAGATAAAATAATTCTCAAGTTTTCGAGCTTAGCTTAACCTTAGGTTCACCGCCAAAATCCCCGAAATTTAGAAACTTGCTAATCTTCGAAGGAAAATTGTAATCCGAGTGCCTGTTGGAAATTATTATGATTTGATCATCAAATGACACATTTTAATGATTTAATTTCGAGGATATATTTTTATTGAAAAGAATAAAAAAAATTGTGTCTTCATATTGAGTGCCATATCAATGAAGTCAACTCGACTAGATATTTTCATTAGAAAGAAAAAAGATAAAAAAATCTTTGGAAAATGCTTGGCTCGATTTCATTGCCGTATGTTTATTTTTTAATCAAATGAGAAAGAAACTTAAGAAATAAAAAGCGCAACTCGTGTATCTGGTTAAAAAATAATTATGAAGATAAAGAAATTATTCATCGAAAGTTATTAAACTTTTACTTACTTTTATTGTCATTAAAAATAAAAGAGAATGAAATTCAAAAGTGAAATTAAATAATTGAGACACATAAGAAAACAAAATAAATGATTTTTGCACTTTGCTGTAGGATTTTTAAGCATTTAGCTATTTACTGAAAATACAAATGAGGATCGCACATTGCCATCCGAATGTGTTTATGATCATCTTTAAAATCTTCACAAATGGTCCATAAATTTTACTTAAAATAGTTTTCTTCCGATGATAATAAATGTATTTTCTTATCTCTATTAAGCTGTTCAACAAATTTAGTGTAACATCAATTTTCATGATGAGAAATCGTAAATAAAAAAGAAAAGGAAATAAATGGTCACTGTTACTGAGTGTAATTGAAATCTTTAAAGAAAATTGTTTCATCTTGCTTACTTTTTTATTTTTCAGGAGAATTTCTCGTGTTCAGATTCTGAAAGAAATAAAATTGTTGACGAATTTAGAATGTAGGCAGTGAAAAACAAGCAAATATTCATCTCTCTTGAAATTTGATGCTTATCAACATAGTTACGAGATGATGATATCTAATTTATCAGATGAAATGAAATAATTATATACAAATTCTTCAGTTTTTTGAAATTTTCTTCGCATTACGACATATTATGTTAAATATTTAGATATTTGTTTCAAAATGTTTCGATGGAGATGATTGCTATTCGCTACTTCAAGATTTTCACATTTCATGAATCACTGCCATAATTTTAAAAACATACTTTGGAAAATGTTATCGTAGTATAATTGACGCAGAAACAATTATGCTTCCCTCAAAGCCACTCGTGTTGTTGTTTTCTAATGTAAATATTTAAATTACTTAGCAACTCTCAGTAGACTTGGATTGTAGCAATTCTCATCTTACGTTTTAAAGATTATTTCGAAAAGCATTTGTTTTTATTCTTTTAAAACATTTATTTTATTTCTTGACTTTAAATCTTAAGTACAACATGACCTGATAAGTTTTTTTAAGCTTTTTAATTGTAAATGAAAGATTTTCTATGAAGACTTCTTCTCTTCCATTTAGTTATTAATTAATTATACATAAAGTTTCATTGACTACATTTTCAGTTATTAATTATTTATTTAATGGAATGTTTGTTTTCTTTTCTTCAGTTTTCTCGTAGAGAGTTTTCATTGAAAACAAAATGAAACTTTAAAAAGAAATTGAAGTAAAAAGGAAATTTAATTACTCATCTACAACTCAGTTGAAAATTCATTTGGATCTCTCGGCAATCGTCTCCAATTATAAAGTTCACGTTGTCCATTTGTCGTTGCAGTGTTTGTTGTTTTAGTGCTTCCACTACCTTCACTACAATCATTTATCATAATGTTATGAACTAATTGTGTGTCGCCATTTCCAATTTGAATTCTTCCATTCTCGATGTCATTATTTTGCATTTGATTGTGTCGAAAGTTGTCGTGAAATGCGCCAGTGAAATCTTCATCATGCTCATGATATGTCAAAGGATTTTTTGGCATGAATGTTGATTGTATTGTGTGCGTTGTCGGTGGAATAACTTCAATCGTTGATAAATAATTGTTTTGTCTTTGAACTGGATTTGATATACGAATTGGAATCTTTTGACAATGATAATTATTTGTAATATCAGATTCATCTTCAGGTTCAAACTCATATTGTTGCTGATGATACATAAAAGATTGTTGACTTGCATTTGAAGATCTTTGTGTCGAAGACTTTCTTGACTCATGACTTGCAAAAGCCCCCAAATGATTCGAAGCATATCTTTCACTGTTCATGTCTTCTTCAATCGCTGAATCACCAAAAACCGATCCACTATAATTGGGAGAGTTCGAACCACCAGTGATTGTCGTTGGTTCAACCTTTCCATTCACAACATATTTATTTTTATTACTGGCATGTGAATATTGTCCTTTCTTAATTGAGTTTGTCCAGTCTTTAGTTCCACGTCGTTTTAGAGTAAAGTCTCGTTGTCCGGTGTCATCACAAACTGACTTCCATTGTTTCCATGCATGACGAACTAAAGGATCTGCTGGCCCCCAATCTTTACTTGCTCTCGTCGACTCTAAAATCATATTGCAAGTATTATAATCAACTTGTTTTGAAGCTTCATGTCCAGCAAATAAAAGGATTATCACGAAGCTAACAATAAGAAGAATCCATCGTGGCATCATATCAATGATTGGATCGTAAGATAAAGTTGATGGCATTGCTATCCACCAAGCAATGATTCCAACAAGCATGAGTGGAATTAAAATCCATAAAAGCAACCAAACCTTCATAATTCGTCGTCCAACGGAAAATTCCAAATCAACTGCCAAATCTTTTATTCCATACACCCACACAATGCTGATAAGATCGAAGACAAGTGCACAAATAATTAAAACGCCAACCCATCGCATATCAAGCATTCGACTGATGATATAATTTGGACACAATAGACAAGCAATTGCATTGAACATAGCAACCAAACACATGACGAAATTTGGATGACGTTTTAACAAACGAGACGATGTGTAGATAGCAATTGAGATTGAGGTAAGACCAGCACATATAATCATTAAATATGCAAGACTTGGAATAAGACTTCTTAAATATGTGTGTTCTTCTTCAATAAACGCACGGTCGTAGATTGATGTGATTGTAGTGAGATCAGGAAATGGCATTTTATGATGTGATGAACTGTTATGTTGTCCAAATGTTGTCATGTAATAAGCTGTCGCTACGATTGTTACAAGAAAGTTAAAGCACATGTAAACGGCGCATGTTCTTATGGCGTCGCCTTTGTAAAGAAACTTTCCAGTCATGACTGGTATAGCGCCTACACCAATCTGCGTAGAAAACATGACTTGGATTAACGCGTAGAACCATGTTGAGCTCTGAATTAACATATCAGATCTAAATGGCCAGATTTTTGGTAAGAGTCCACTTTGAATAGTGTTTGTCACGTGCCACCCTGTTTGAAAGATCAAAACTCCCATCGTTACAAATCCAAACATTAGAAGTGATCGTCGATTGATTCGACTACTGTGAGTACTGTGAAAGAGAGACAAATTAAAAGAAATTTCTTAGGAAGAAAGAAAAGTTCAACTTACCACATCATGATGATCACCCAAAGCAACACTAAGCCAATCGCCAATAACCCAAAGCTTAAAGAATATTCCCAGACAGGTCGAAGAAATGTTTTCTCCAAACACAATTGCCCAGTCGTTGGAAGTTCTTCGTATTTATTTTCTTTGAGATTCTGGTAGACTTTCGATGGACATTGCTTAAACGGAACGGAACTGAATGACATTTGTCCAATGTAGAGCAAGGCGAGTGACATTTGCATTGATATCCATATTGTTCCCAGCCATGAAGCAAAACGTCCTAACATTGACGCTCCTTTGAAGAAAGGTGAAGCCTTCCAACTGTGCGCTGATCCTTGGCCTAGAAATTGACCCAAAGCCATCTCAAGTAAAACTACTGGCACACCAATTATGAACATCAATGTCAGATATGGCACCAGAAAAGCGAACCCATGTCGCTCAAGCTCTCTTGGAAATCGAACAATGTTGGCATAGGTCAGATTCATACACAAGCACAAGATTGTTCCTCGAAATATCGAACATCGTGACTGTAAATGAGTAAAGAAAGAAAATCATTTTGATTAGCGTCAAATTATGAACAAAGAGAAAGAAAAATAGAAGTTTTTATAATTTATTTAGATAGATCATCTTTGTTATGTTGCATGTTGCATGATGAATTACTTTCTGCCCTCAAGAAAGGATCCAAAAAACGCATTAAAATTTATTCTATTCTTTTATAATTCTCGTCATGCCCATTGGCCATGATAGTTTCAATTTATGTTCTCTATCTGCGGTCAATGTCTGATTCATAAACATTACGCAATTGAGAAGAATGATGAAACTTAATCATCTTAGTTGTGGTAAAGTTAACCACGATCATTGCGAAGAGAATATTGAATTTCCTTCTTCCTATATGTTTTTATATTAATTTCATTCCAATAAATTATCTCCGTCTATGTTCATCCGTCTACGTTGATTTTAAAACACATTAAATAAAAGTTTGTTAGTGAATTAAGACATAAAAAACGTTCTTAATGTGCTGATAGACCTGCCTACAGTTACTTTTAATTGCGATCAAAAGTAATTCTTCGAGAATGAGAAAGCTTAATTTCTTCGATGAACAGCATCTTGCACAGATTCCCTATTCATGTTATCAGTTATAGTTCTTTTAATACGGCAATAAAAAAGCAGAAACTCATGTTCATCTTATTCACAGTAGACATTAAAATATCAACATCCACATTCTACTTGTTGTGCTTCATCATCACCGAATCAAGTCAACATTAACTCTTTCTTCTCTTTTATGCATCGAATGCATTAAAGTGTACAAAATTCTTGTTTGAAGGCAGTTTTAACGAGAATTTACTAATAACAATTCAACAGCATGCGATAATCTCCAACTAAGGAATCTTTTTTGATTCAATCATAATAATAACACGAATCATCACTTGCTTGGCATCTTTCGGCAAGATTGTAACACCGCAGGAAAGAAATTTCAAGCTGTTCATGCCGTCGTTTGACTTTCCTTCTTCTTATTAAAATGTTTTTGACATTTCTTGTCAACTCGCAATTTACCAAAACAAATTCGACTTCAAAAGCACTGAAGCTTAAATACTTTATTAATAAATGAAATGTCTTTGATCTCTAAGCTTTATGATATAATCGAAATGATTTTAACTTATCAGCTTTATGAGAAACAAAGTTAAATAAGTTTCTAACGGCCTTGTTCACATGGAAATCTTTCATCAGCATTACATCTTCTTCAAAAATTGTTTGCTTCACCATTCCATAATCATGACAAGACAAGACAAGACAAGCTTCTGCTTACGAACATAATTCAAGGTTTTCATGACTTGAAAGACTTTCTGCCTTTCCTAAAGTGATCATAAAAAATGATTGTAGGCTTTGGCTCTCTCATCACGGGTGCTACATCATTTTCTGTACAATTTACTTTAATTAGTGCAAAAGTGTGATTGGCCATGAAATCACCGAAATTAAAAATATTCTCAATGATATTTTCAGGTCAATTGTCAAAAACACAAATCATCGAAATGTCAATTCATAATCTCATTTACTGCCTTTCTTATCATCTTTCATTAATAAACTTTATTAATTTCAAAATTAGATTTTCATAATATTTCCTAAAATAATTCAAGATAACAAAATCCATTAATCTTATCAGTTGTCTGTGATTGATATTACACAATACCATCCGACATTAAACATTAAATTTCAATTTTAGTTTTTATTTACGGTTCATCGAACTTTAATTCCTTCGGTCAAAAGATTTTCTGGAAATTGTGGAATTTTTGATACTTAATCATTATGAAAATGAGAATGACGTAAGAAGGTAAACGACTTGACATGTCTTCTAAAAGAATTTCTTTACCGTCATCTTCGCTAGATTTCTAAACAAGTATTTATAAAATCTTTACATTTTGTACAAACCAATTCAAGAAAAGTTGGATAATTACCACAAAAGATATAAAAGTTATAAAGACGATTATTTATCTGACCAAACATGGGTGTAGATGTGAAGGGAAGTGAACTTTTAACCTTGAATTTTAAACAAAGATTGTCTCGACTCATAAGTTTCTTCAAATCCCGTTAGACTCTTTCCAAAGAACGCTGAAAGAATTACATGTGGAAGTAATTTGTCGTGTATTTATACTCACTTTTTTATAAAATCGGAATTGGTCATCGTTACGAGTGAAGTGAACGAAATCTAGTAAATATTTGGCGGTTGTTGGTTCGATAATTGTGGTTGATGCATGACGATGGTTCTTATAGTTTATTGCAGTCATTTCTTCAATTTCACACGAAACTTTCATCACAATATTTATTGCATTTTTTTTTCTTTCTTTCTTTCAATCGATTCTTGAAGCAGTCAAGTCAACGACTGAAACTTTGCTGCTGCAATATTACTCACAATAAATTGGAAACTCTCGTGCAATAAAACTTACAAGTAAATCATATTTTTGTTTTTGAAATTCATAGCTCGATTTCAAACTTAGATCATCATTAGCATTGATGCCGAAATAAAAACAAGAAAGAGAAAAGCTGACACAAGCTCCGCTCTAATGATTCCATATTATCAATTTATTTAGTGCAAGATTCATGCGAAATTAAATAGAAAAGTTTTCTTTCTCGAAATGCATCGCATGAGGTGCTAAAGAAAAGCTTCTTCATCGATTTATTATGAAGAGCTTTGAAGTATAAAATGATTATTGTCTAATGTAACTTAATCATCTTACCAAGCGAGAAACTTAACTTACTGAAAGCAAATATTTATTTGATGAAAAAGAAATCGAAACCAACTAAAGCATGTCAGCAACGACATAAATATATAAATAAATATATCAAATGTAATTGTGCAAGTTGAATCTGATTTCAATGGTCATCAAATTTATGTGGTTATAATACGAATAAATTGCTGGTCTGATTTGCACATTTAACCATGAATATGCTGCCCACACAAGAATAGGATTTAAATATATTTAAAACTTTTAAAAGCTGAACTCAAGTGGAATCGGTTTTGAGTTGATTAAGCACAAACTGATGCTTTAGTTGCATTTTATTGAATATTCAACAAATTAAGTTGAACCTATAGGGAAGCTCGCTTTTATCATTCAAAAGTAATTATGGCATGTCACCGTTAGAATGCAAATCTAATCAAAAATAAATTTCATTGACAATCTAAAATGGAAATTGTTATGTCAACGTTGAAGTTGGAGTGTTAAATTAGGAAAAGGTTTTACGGTTCTTTTGTTGCCATCGACCATATTAAGCATCGAGTTTATTATTCTCACTCTTGTGTCTCAGTTTTAAGGTTTTATGATCTTTCAGAGTTGAAGGTATCTGAGTTTGATATCAAAGAGAAAAGAAATGAAGAAGCTAATAAACGTTAAACTTAGAGTTCGTGTCTTTAAAGTAGAAAGAAAGCACAGATGTTTGATAGTTTAATTACAATGGTTGGAAACGTTCAAACTTTATATTGAAGTGCAAGAAATGTTGTTAACAAATGTTCTTTTTAATTCCTTTGTCATGACTTCTTTATAGTTTGTTTTGAATTGGCATTTACATATTGATGATCCTATTCAAAACATAAACATTGACTCTAACTGGTCAACTATATTGTGATTTTCATGTCACACGGAAATCTATATTACCAATGATTGAAAAAGAGTTCAAAGCACTTCACAACGAGACTCGATAAACGAGTTTTTCACAAACATGCGTGAAATCTAACACCATTGTTTAAACTTTGAAGTCAAATTACACAATTTTCTGACAATTTCTTATCAACAAAAACTAAACTTTCGCTTAACAAGTAGAAACACATTGAGATTAATTTCAGTTTTTTAAACAATTCACTTAAGTTTATTTTTTGTCATCCAACCACGGAAATAATCAACGAAGCAACAAAAAAATTAAATGGTAGACTTCATATGAATAGCCCATCAATAAAGCAGCCGAAATCGAAATTAATGAAGAAGACTCGAGCACGAAACTAAAACTGAAGAAGTGAACAGCAAGAAACTATGAGAAACAAAAAAGAAAGAGAAAATTGTATGAGCTTAACGAGGGACTCTCGTGAGAGCTTACGTAAAGGGTCAGTTGGCTTCATGTAGAGAAAAAACTAAAGAACATAAAAACATAAATAATCAACATGACTTCTTAGTATTGTGTGCATCTTTGTATTCTTTTTTTTACGCTTGGAATCATCGTGTTATGAAATACAAAGATGCATATGATTGAAACATATGATTAAAAGTGTTGAGAACTACACCGGAAGAATATACAAACCCTCAAAGTTTTGTTCTGACTCATGATCTTGCGTCACTTTCACAGAATTCTCAGATTTCCTTACATGTAATTATGCATAACTTCAAATTTGTTCTGCTTGAGAGATGTCTTAAAGTACCATGCAGGTGCACACAATCTAACACATGACGAATTCTAAAATGTTTTCTTGATATATTTTTGAATGTTACATGTCAATGACAAAAAATAATTTGAAGTGCAAGGTGTTTTTCATAATAAAAAAGAGAAACAAAGTTATTAATGTTTACAAGATTCCATACATAAAAAATGTCATAAAATGTGTCGTTATCATTGATTCAATGTTTTTTTTGAAAAGAACCTTTCAAAGGTTTTCTTAGACTGTTGAATTGTTTTAAGATGTTTGAATGTTCAACGATCAAGACTTAAGCAAGCAAATGAAAACATTCACGAAACTTAAGTTATAAAGTCAGGTTTCAATTTGCTGTTGCCTGTAACTATCTCAATTATTTATTCATCGAGTTGTTGCTTCAATTAAAGCTCAAACACTGTAATATGAGTTTTTCTACGAACGTGAAATGTTAAAAGTATTTGCACTTCTATTTGCAATGTAGATACAACTTGTTTGATGAATATATTTTTATCGTTTCGGATGATAACAACTCGTCATCACCATCTTACGCAAAAAAAAACCAGCGTGACTTCTTTTTATTATTCAAAGTTATTAGCATTCTATCGTCTGGGATGGAATCAATGTTTGCGACTCTTTCAGTTTTGTCAAACATCTTTCAAGGCGTGAATAATTTTTATTTATTTCGATTCATGCAAAAACTTTTTTTCTTGTCTCGTGCCTTGTGTTGCGATGTCAAAGTGCTCGACAAATGACTTTGTAAGTATTCGCAGAATGTATCGAAGCATATGATAATCATTGTAAAAGCTTTCGGATGTCACCTTTTAAAATTATAGCGATACAATGGCTGTTTTTGCTTAAATAAGTAATTCACAAAAGTGTGGAAAGATCTTTTATAAAAACTTTTTAAATATACAGTGATTCACTTTAAAGAATATAAATTTTCTCGACTCGTCTTTAAACATTTTTAGATATCTCATAGACCTTCGTACAATGGGCGTCTGTTGGAGGTGTTCAAGCTTAATGAAAACAACTCATTGAGTTACTGAAACTAAAGATTCAAGCTTGAAACTTGAAATAAATATAATTTCAATAAAAGAATCCTACATATGACATGAACCATCCCAGATTTGTTTACTCGTCATCACGCAAATTTATGCTAGAAATGTTCGGATTTAAATACCTCGACTTGTTTTGTTATTAAATAAATGAAATACAATGACATAAAAATTATTTATTTGGATTCAACATGATTAAGTGTTTGCTTTTAAGGTAGAATAGAAATTTTTTGCACACACAACCCGGATGATTCATAATTTATGATTGAGCTTTTTTAAAAGTCGATTTCCGATAGCTCTTAAGGGTTTCGTGTCGGCATAGTTTCTAACAGCAGCGAAAAGGAAGAAAACAAAGAAACGCGCATGAACCAAACGTTATTTACAGCTTTGAGTTTTATTGAATTTAATTTTGGATGAAATGAAAATTTATTGCATATCTAGATGGTTTGAACTCTTAAAGAACAATTAACAACCCCGTCAAAAGTCATTAACATTCAGTTAAAGAACCAAGCAATCAGAAACAGATTTTCGGGTCTTAAGAGCTTATTTTAAAAAAAGACATCAGAAACCTTTTTAGTAACAGACAGTCGAGTGATTATTAATCATTAACTTGACATTAGAATTCTTTTTTTATCAAATATAATTTACATTCACCCATTCGTCGCAAATGAAGGTTACACAGCAGTTCTCGTAATTGTTTACGTGATAATGATGCGCAATCAGACATCAAAGCAGTGTTTAGTTGGAACATAAAAAAATAGAATTGCAAAAAATAACAATACATCAGTAAAACGTGACACATAGTCGTCTACTCAGTAGTCGTCGTGATGATGATCCCGCAAAAAAAATGAAGAAAATTTGACTCATGAAGTTGCTGAGCTGTGTTGAGTAGAAGTCGGTGATAAAAGAAACATAACATTTGATTCAAGCTGAAACCGGACTTTGTGTTGTTCATGTTTCACAGTAAATTCTTTCGAAGTGAGATGATGTAATTTAATGACGTACCTTATCTCATTATTGATTCTCATCAAATTGATGACTTGGCAGTACAATAGAACAATGTCGATTAGAGAAGATTTTCCGACACAAAAATATACTTGTTTGAGATTTTTAAATCGTGCTTCGAGCTGGGTCTTTAGCATTTTTGCTGCTAAATGTCTCCAGGCGTTTACTTGTGTAATTGAATTTTAATGGATTCATTAACAAGAGGTTTGGAAATTTACGTGGAAGTTAAAAACTTTTTTCTTCTTTTCTATAATTTTCTCCAAGGAAAAGAAGTTCACGAATTTACCGGTAGACAAAATTTAATCAAACTCTCTGACACTTTTAATTATATCAACGAAAGTTTTCCAGCATTTTTGTCATCAAACAGGGGAAAATCAGAAGAAAAAAAAACTTCTGAATAGAAATGAAAAATTGAGTTGTTTTCAAGGTTGCAACTCTTCAATTTCCGTTTCGTCGCGATAAGCGTGACGATCTAAATTAGCTTGAAAGTCACGAGTTTAAATTTGCAATTTCAATTTATCACGAATTCAGTTACAAAGTTGCTTATTTATTTTTTCTTTACTTCTCGAAATTTTCTCAGAAAAGATTTCTTGAATTCCAATTGAATGTCTCACCTGTTTGCTGTCACTTGAATCATCCTTCTGGACTTGTATAAGTTTCATGGTAGATCCGTTATGTGTCGTATGAGGGAGCGTTCCAACAGTTGAGTTATTACAATTTGATGAATAAACTGAATATCTTTTGCTCGTTGCATCGTCTTCTGGTGTTTCGTACGTTGTCGACAGAATATTCGTTGTTGATTTTTCATTTTCGTTTATCGGTATGCTTAAGTTTGCTTTACCGTAGTCCATACTGGCATTTGTTGTCCACAAAGCTCCATCAACAGATCCTTCACGTGTCATTTTCTTGCCATCATTTGAAATCGTCCCATCAGAAAAACGATGAAATGTGAGATTCGGATTCGTGAGAAAGGATATCGACGTCACACTTGAGATCTATGTAAGAAGGAAAATAAAGATAAATTAAATCATATTACATCAGACGAGTTACATTATATTTTTCTTAGGAATTTTAAGCCGATTATCAACTGAAAAAGAGAAATGAAATGCTTGTAACAAAAGAAGCAAAACCTTAGTTTATGTCATTATCTTCATTGTTGCTTGTAAGTGAGTTAAAGCAGAACGAATACCTGAATTTATTTCTTCTACTGATAATAATTTACTTTGTCTTTATTATTTAGGAAATTCATCCATCAATGCTCCAATGGTCAGAAATATTGTGGAATTAAACTTGAAACTAATTTGTGGATTGTAATCTAGAATAACTTTAAAGGAATTTTGACGATAAGAAAATTTCAATGCTGAATGAAGCTAAATTAAAATTCTTTAACAAAAGCCAAGGTTCTAAAATTTTAAGCCATGGATAAAGAAGATAATTAAACGAACAAAGTAAAGTTATAATCATAAAAACAGTCAAATGGATTTAATCACATCATATTCAACGAAAACTCTTTCAAGGTTCTTCGTGCTCTTCCCGACATCGTTTTCAAACAGCAAAAAGTTTTAATAATCATCATCATCATGTCGTCGTCGTCACAATCGTAAGTGTGTTTGTAAATATTCAAACATTTGATCAGCTTGTTTGATGAACAAAAAGAGAAACATCGATTCAGGTACGACTGCCATTGACATTTTGTCAGAATGAGAAGCTGACCTGTCATTCAAGCTGCTTCTGACTTAATAGCTTAATATCGTATCGTATCAATTGTTTATTGTCTCTTGAGTCTTGTTGTTATTTATTAATTCTTTTGTCAAGAATCAACATCAACAAGGTCACAAGTTCAACTTGGCACTTGATTCGATTGAAATGAAATTGAAAAGGTATCAAAAGTCGACCCCGACATTATAAAAAAAAAATCATTGAAGATAAACAATCACACAATGGAAGTCGGAAAATATTTTCAATTCCCATAACTGATTTTCCAATCTAATACTTATTAAAACGCGCAATGTAAAAATAATTATTTATTCAAGTTGAAATTATGCGTTAAAAAGAAATCATTTAAGCGTTGAAATTATTAAAAATTTACATCAAATAATGTTGAACTTCTTAAGTTACAAAGTAAAGTTTATTTTTGTTTATGTTATCGCATCTGGATTATCTTAATAGTTATTTAAGTTTCTGCTGTCTGTAATTTGAAATAACAAAGTTCAACACAATTTAATTGCTCTGCCATTGACCGACATTTGTCAACTTTCTGTTGTCTGTAATTTATTTCAATCCTTTTAATACCCTCAAGAGTCATAAAGTGTTTGCTTTTTTGTAACAAACAATCGTTCTTGAAGCGTTTACAAGTTCTTCCAACAAAAACATTTAAGCTTTATCGTGTTAGTAAATAAATGTTATGAACCTTGAGGGCTACGAAAGTTCTTGCGCTTGCGAAAGTTTGTTTGAAGTTTTAACCTTCGAGTGAGAATAAAGAAAAATGTTCTTGAAATATTGTTGGAAAAGTTTTGAGTGCAAACCGCAATGTTTAATGATTATTCGTGTGTGATTAATTCCTACGCGAAATACTTTGAGTTTGAAGCCATGACGTAAGAAATAAGAAGAAAAAAATATTTGAAACAAAAACAAATTCCACGCACATAAATTATGAATTAAGTTTAAATATTGAAACAAAAGAGACGAATTGCGCTCAATTACTGAATAAAATTCTTCCCGCAGTTTCATATTCAATTTGTTAAACAAGCACAAGCTCAAGAAAGTGAAAACTTGATTTACTCATTCATCGAAGAATGAGTGAATGAAATAAAAAATAGGAAAATAGTTCAACAACTTTTGATTTCTTATAATAGCGAACGTGTTTGTTAATTGCGCAATATTTGGGTCGTTTCCTTCCTTTATCATACATCAGCTGTAATCTCTTCAATATCCAGCCTGAAGGAATGCAATTTCCGGATCGGAAACAAAAAGAATTTTATCCGATAAACTCAACATTCTGTTAGTATAAACACGCTGTTATTTATTTATAAAATAAAAAATGACATATTTAAAACGATGCCACAAGTATGATCATTTGCCAACCCATCTAATTAACTTTAATAACTTTAATAAGATTCAAAGAGTTTGTGTGAGTCATGATCTGGTGCTATAAAGTTTCCAAACCCATTGAAAGAGAAACAATGAAGTAATTAAACGTCTCTCCTGCATTAAACTTAACTTAACTCTGAACGTATTATTTGTCACTAAGATAATTGCAACATGATTCCAAGCACTTCAGAGGTTTCAAAATAATATCTTTGTGGTTTTTCGAGTAACCAAGAAGCAATTTATGGGAAGTTTTATTAAAAGAGGGTAATAAATCTATTGGTAAGTATATTAAAGAGTAGAAGACTTGTGGTTGAACATGGACATTGATAAGACCAGCAAATGATTAGTGGTGATCTTAAACCACTTAATGACCTTGTTCTACTTTACTAATTTACAGAATATGACTGACTAATAATCATGCAGGTGATGTTCCTACTTCGTTGCAACTAATACTCAATTCAAGCGAAAGTAACACAAAATGAAAATCAACATGAAAGTTTCTTAATGAAAAAGATAAAAGAAAAAAGAAATACATAAACGGAACATAAAATGCATCAGAAATATTTTTGTGTTGATGTTTAGGAAATTTCACAATTCCAAATGAGAATAAAATCGAGATCAACAGACCATTACAGGATGGGAATAAGTAAGTGAATTGTGGTGAATAAGAACCTCGGAGAAACTGGTGTCAGTCACCGAAAGGAAGAAAAAAAGGCAACCGATGAGAATAACAATGAAGATAGCAAATCAAATTACAAAACCCTGGCATTGACCTTCGTTTCATTGAATATAAAAAGAATAAAAAAGTTTATACGTTTTTGTTTCGAGTTAACAACATTTTCGTCTTGCAAGTTCAGAAAAAGATTCAGACATGAATCGAAGTATTCTCTTATCGCTTGGAATGTTCGCTTCTTCTTTCAGACTTGTGTCTGACTTGTTTGAGTTATTCTTAGAAAATAAAAGTAACGAAAGGAAATTCCCAAGCAAATCAAATGGAAATTTCAAAAGCTTTTGAACGTTTCCAAAGCAACTGAATTTGTTATTTACTTTATGAAAATTAACGATTCAGGGACATTCATAAAAATCGATTGGCTTCAATCTCAACTCAGTCATAAATGGTTAAATGTGGCAAATCAATTAATAGACGAATTATTATTTATTTGCAATATAAATGTCTACTTGTGAATCTAGATTGAAACAATCGTCGTCAATAAAACGAAACTAGGCTACTTTTAAATATCTTTTGAAATTGAAACAGAAGTCAATTAGGAAAATGAGAATTTTCTTACCGATTGTTTGGGTCGACGCTCCTTTTTCCACCCCATGATATCGAATTATGAAATTTAAAAGGGTTTTCGGCTTCTTTCTTTGAAAAATTATCTTATTCAACAAGCATCACTTTCAAGTGTTATTAATTTCAAAATCGTCTTTGCACACTTAATTTAATTCGACATTTTTCTTAAGCACTATGCCACCGTTCAAGTAAGTGCTTTTGCTCTCAATGATGCAAATGAGTTTGTTGAACTTTTCACTTTTTCACTCGAACAATTTACGATGACAATACACTTTAGTTAACTAACATCTTTCGGTTGAAAAATGCCTTTTAAATCTGAGGAAAATCTTTCTGCATCATTGAGAAAAACCTCTTTTCATCTACTTAATCACTTTAAACTGATTTTCGCACAAATATCATGCGATTTTTCCGGTCTCTGATTAACAATGGTCGTGTTTATAAATGTTGTCAGATGATTTCACTTCCACCACTTGACGAAGCAAACTGTATTGTTTATCGAACTATCTATAAATGAAAGTAAAATCATGAAAATGAAGAAGATAACAAACTTCGACTATGATTTATTATTATCAAAAGTTGTACCATTCGAACAAGCAATTGAAGGCAACGAATCATGAAATTACAAAACCAACAAAAACACGCAAAAAACTAACCAAAAAGTAGCAAAAAACGCGTTTCGTTAGACTGTCAACGTTAAAATTAAAACTTAGTTACGTTAATTTTTCAAACAAATACTTTATCCGGAAATAGGTTTTAAAGAAGCGAATGTCTAACTTAAATCTTATAGTGTTAAATGAAGTATTTCTATATTTATTAATAGTCGATATAATGAAGTCATGTCTTATTTATCAAATTGCACGACATGTTTTATCGATTTAATTTGTTTCCATCGTGGTTTTTTCTAAATTCTAAATCAAGCCTTAAAGGAATTGCATGTTAGGATATTTTTATAGGAAATGAAACGTTTTATACCTAGCTATCCAGTAAGGAAAAGGCATTTTCGAATATAAAAATTATTATAAATCCAGTTGACTAAAGAAATAAAAAAGTAACGATTCACATGACGCAAACAACTGAATTTCTCACAGAAAGAGAAATAAAGAATTGAAACTCTGAACAACGTCAGACAGGTAACAAAACAAACGAAACAAACAACCTTCAGGTGGAATGAATTTCAATTTTCAGATGATAACTTACATTTTGTGTAGGAATTCTAATCCTTCGAAATCAATCTTCGCTTGATTTTCTGTTTTCCTGTGGTTAGAGATCTTTTTTTGATCTTCTGTTATATCTTTCTTGCTATACACAAACACGAAATGCAGAATTTTATTTAATAAACAAAAACGTGAGCAATTATGAAGAATTGCACAAACTTTTTACGTATTTATCAACAAATTTTTATGTAAAATATCTTTAAACTATTTTCTAAATATTTTTCTTGAGGTTTTTTTCTTTTCTAAGTATAAATTTGCTATTAACAAAACACAAGCTATAAAATACTATGAAATCCTTCTAAATTATTTATAATATTAATAATCACTTGATTGAACAATTGATGGGACCACAAACGATGGTTTTACTTTGCAGGTCTAACATGAACTGCTCTTGCTCTCGCATTGTTGTTTTCATCAAACTCTCAATGTTGTCACAAAACATTCAAAATTGTTCACAACATTCACCAGATAACGAAAAACATTCATTGATATTCGCACAAAACTGCTAAACAACATTGAAACACTGAAAAACTTATACTCCCTGTCACCAGATGGCGTTAAGATAAGTTTCTGTATTGTTTTCTAAAAATAAAATGTTGCGATGTTGCGACTAAACAATCCAGAAATTTCAAACGCAGAAAACTACTAATTCTTTCCTAAAACAAAGCTTTCTTAATTGTTTAAATTTTTACTATAAATGTTTACTATAAACCATCGAAACTAGTCCATTTAGAATGATTTATTGAGAAATAAAGTTTCCTGCTTGTTTGGAAAGGTCAAAAATTGAATCAATCCTTAATAAATATTTATCAGATGAATATCATGTTTAAATACTTCTATTAAATAACATTTGAATTAATTCAAACAAGAAGTTTTTCAATTCAAATGAATTCAAACCAATAATATGAGTTTTTATTATTTAAAAGACTTCTTAGAGTTTGGACTTATGTAGCTCTTGGAAGGAATATTATTACAATTTTATATAAATAGGTATCATAGAACAGTTCTTATGAAAAATTAGAAAGATATCACACATTGTTCTTGCTAAAAATAACATCAGGTTCAATATTAAGATCCTTTTTTTCTTTCCTAGTGACTTTCTTCCCGAGCATTTTTCCATCTTCAATGGTTTCAGGGAGCGGAAATCCACGAGTTTCTTAAAATATCTTAATTAATATTTATAAATTCAAATAAATTACATGTGATACATACCAGGTAAGAAGAATACTAAACATCCACCAATAATTGGAACAATACCAAATATCACAGGTGGCAACAAAGGATAAACTTCTGCAAGATTTGTTGCAACAAAAGGTGCAATCATTGATCCGATGCGAGAACACACTGAGGCCAGACCGATTCCTACATTTCTAATGACTGTAGGATAAATTTCTCCTCCATAGAGATAAACAGTCGGAAAAGATATGTATCTAAAGTAAAGATCATGACATAAAAACTTTTTTATAAAATTAAATAAAAACTTACAATCCGGTTAATGCAATTGTTGTCAATGTAACAGTAACATTTGTGTTATTGGGGTCAGTAAATGTTAATGCAAGCATTGAAATACCCACAAGGAAGTTGGAGGTAATTAAAGTTTTTTTTCTTCCCCAATATTTTAATAAAATAATACAAATGACAGTACCTGAAATTAAATTTTTATATAATAAATATTTCTATTAAAAAAAACTCAAATTTTTGACATACCAGGAAGCGAAAAGCAAGCTGACAAAGCAACGTTTAAGAAAATATTTCCTCCTGACTCGCCAACATATTGTGACACTCCAAACAAGCATAACCCACAAACAAACCAGTTGAAATTCATACAAATTGTCTTAAGACGCATACTTTTTGATCTAAACAAATCGAGAAAGTTTCCATTAGCTTTTTGCTCAGATTCTGATTTCGATCTATGAATAGTTTCAAGGTTGCCTTTAATGTTGTCCGTAGGAAGTTTATTATATTTTGCGGCTTTCTCAAGTACCTTAACTGACTTATCAACTTTTCCCATCGTAAAATACCAGCGTGGTGATTCGGGAACGAGACAATAAAATGATAATAGTATTACAGACGGTATTGAAAGGGCAAATTGAAGTCGATGCCAGTCACGTATGTAGTAAGCAAATAATCTGAATTTTATATTAAAAAGTACTAAGTAGAGACTGATATCTAATTCAATATAATGAAAAATATTTACGGAAGTGTGATATGGCCCAAATTAAATGGAACTTGATAAAGTACCGAAAATAATTCACGCCATTTAGTTCCAATTATCTCCATTACAAGCACAAATCTACGTGAATGAAGATATCAATTAAACTTTAATTATCTTATCTTTAAGTAGATTGCCAATAAACGTGAATTTGTCTAATCATAACTTACGACGTCACCATTGTTCCACCTGTTGCTGCAGCTGTTACGAACCGACAAGCTACAAAGAACCAATAATTAGTTGCAAAACTTGTTAAAACGCCAGAGATAAGTTGAACAGTGACAGCGATTAAGAGCGGGACTCTTCTACCAAAGTTGTCGGCTAAAGCCCCAAACACTATATTTCCAATGAGAATTCCAAACATAAATATTGTTTGAGATAAGCTCGTGAGACTTTGTCGATCGCAAACTAAATCAAATTCCATTTGAATTGTATTTGTAAAAATACTTTTGTTGAATTCTCGTTCCACGCAACTTTCACTACATTTGGATATTGATGGATCTTTGCAGTGGAATTCTGTCTTTGGTGCTAAGAAAATTATTCCCATTTGATGCCAGGCCACAGGAAATTTTAGTAAGCAAATTAATGCACACACTCCTATCTGAAATCGTCCCAATTCTCCCATAGCATTCTGGACGGGATCTTTTTTAGCATCTTCTACAAATTTTAATAAAATGAGTATCAATTAATGTTTTTAGTTTATAGTTTAATTTAAAAATATGTATGCTTATGTGCATGTGGAAATGTGTAAGCATTCCAAGATCACATGTAAGTAGACACATGCGTAAATATCGTCAGTTATCTCAGGTTTCAAGGTGATAAACTAAATTTTTATACAACTTTGTCTTCAAAAATGTTTGCGAATATAGCAATATCAAGCACATATCATCACATTCATAGAAAAAATTTAAACGTAGAATCAAGAAACCGCAATAAGGAAGCTTTCAAAAATATCTTCTACCACGAGTTTTGACTGCATCAAAATACTCGATAAGAATTTGAGTTTTGAATCGAAATTTTATGCATTGAATCAAGAATTAAGTGACACTTGAAAAAAATTAGACGAAGCATCAATAAACCGCGATAAGAAAGCATTCCAAATTATCTCCTACTACTACGAGTTTTGACTGCATTAAAAAATACTCGATTAGAATTTGAGTTAGGAAGCGAAATTTGATGCATTAAATCTGGAATTAGGTGAAACTTGAAATGAAATTGGCTTTATCACTTATTTGTTTCAATTGAAAGGTTCGGTTTATAAAAATTTAAATTTCTTTTTACAAGATTAAGACTGAGGGCCACACATGAATTGAATTCATGACTCTTTTTTTATTATGATTGATTTATGAATGAAAATCAGTTGATTGGAGTAAATTTCTGACGACTACTGATAAAATCACCTTGATGGTTCATTAACAGATTTAAATCTTCACTTTTCGTTGATCTTTTAATTAAATTCAGTTGAATTTTTTTTCACGTCTTTAGAACACCAAAACTCAGCGCAAATTGTCAAACAATTGTCAATAATTTACTTTTCGTATGAGGCAAAAAGTTGTTTTATTTGCTCGACTTTTATTAGTAGATAATTATTTTTTTTGGTGTTAGCAAAACAGACAAAACAAACTTTTTAATTTATTTAAAAAACTCTTAAGCTTCTAATAGCTGTTATCTAATTCTCTAATGTGAAGTTTAAATCCGCAATAAGTTGAAAAATGATTATCTGAATGCATATGGAATTTTTCTGGTGTACACTGAATATTTTTTATTCACCTGATACTCCTTTTTGTATTGTCATTGTTGATGCGGTTTTAATATTAATATTGAAATCTATTTATATCCTTCGAATTGACTTTATAACGTTACTGTCCGCTGTCTCGATTACAACTGACTTTATAAACGATGAATGAGTATTTGACTTGAAGCACTATCGCTCATCCCTCTCTTCTTAAAATTTTCAAATTTTAAAATAAGAAACAAAATTTATAAACGTTATCTCAATTTCGTTTTAGATTGGAACATCATCAATATTTATGAAAACACAAAGTAAGAAAAACTTCAGACAACGATATGTATGTGGATAAAGAAATCTATTTTTAACCTTTTTTCTTATATCAGTTTAGGGTAAATTTAGGGAAGAAAGAAAACATCAATAAAAGCTTTTGAATGAAAGCTTTTCCTAATTCCAAAAGCTTTTATATTTAATAAATCAAGGTAAATTTTATCTAGGTAGCTTTGATGTTACCTGTCGTCTTAATATTGAAAGAAAACTGATGACAACTTTGTAACTGGTTATCTATATATTGACATTAAACTACATTATCTGTAGTCAATTATCTTCTCTGTCCACTTTAGAAGCATGATAAATTTAGAAGTTTTTTATAAGTGTGAAGATCAATGTTTTGATTTCAATGTTTGATGTTTTGATTTCAATGTTTTTATTGTTTGTTCATTATAAATTAAAACATTGACTTTAACGATATTCGCTGCAACGCAAAACAAATGGAAGAAGTTAATTTCGAGCGTGGTGGCAATTTGCCTGTAAAAAAGACTAGAAAAAGAGTAAGCTAAAGTTAAAACTACGTAGAAATCGTTTATAATAAAATATCTTCAATTTCCAACAGGAAAATGAATTTGGAGCGAAAAATGTTGAAAAGGAAAAACATAAACAAACTTCAAAACGAGATCGTATTAAGGAAGCGAAAGCTATCGCTTCAGAAAATAGTAAAAGTCAAGAAGTTTATTCAGCTAAACAATTAACATTACATGTAAGTAAATAGTAAAAACAACTTAATTGTTTTAATTTAGTTTCATATTTCGTTATAACCTAAAATTTATTAATTTTTTTAGTCACTTGTTCCTGACATGAATGTCATGGGGATTGTCAAAGCGGCTTATCCAACTTATCTCAGTATAGCATTGCCAGGAAGACTTGTCGGTAAAGTTCCAATTACCAACATTTCTAAATCGTATTCCAATCATCTTCGAACATTTCTTGATAATCCAGATTTATTGACGGTAAATAACAAATTTATTGAAAGGTATTAAATGAAATAAATTCATGAATTGATTGTTATAGAAACCAAAAACATTAAAGGAAATGTTCACACCTGGACAAATCCTGTACACTAAAGTGATGGATAAATGTCATGGCGAGAAGGAAGAAATTCTTCTTTCACTTATTCCTGAAGATATCAATTCAGAACCTTCGAATGGAGCGTGGGGAGAAGGAAACATTCTTCTTTGTGCAGTTGAAGAAGAGGAAGATCATGGATACATTATGGAGAGTGGTGTTAAAGGTTTCAAAGCCTTCCTGCCGAAAAAGAACGTCAAGGAAGCTCCAACAATCGGTGAAGTTTTGTTCTGCAAAATTAAGAAAATCTCCCAAAGTGCAGTGACATTGTCAGCTTTTAAACACAATGAAATGCTGAAGATTGACACAGCTGATGTTCCAAATTTGAAGACACTATTGCCAGGATGTGTAATTAATTTTAGCATTGTTCGAACACTTAAAGATGGACTTGAAGGATTAATTTTCGATGGATCGATCTCAGCATATGTTAATGAAATTTATTTGCCATCAAAGATATCGATAAATGATAATGAAATCATTGGAAAAAAATTCAAAGCGAGAATTTTGTACATAATGCCAATGTCAAATCAAATCTTTGTGACACTTAATGTCGATGAACCAGGAAAAGCAACACAGAAACTCGAATTTGGAGAACTTATCGAAAATGCAAAAGTCATCAAACAAACATCGAGTGGAGTTTTATTGAAATTAAATTCAAATGATCGAGGTTTTCTTCCTCGTCGTGTGATTGTGAAAAATCTTAAGAATAATTTCGATATTGATTCAGTGTTGATTAAATATTCTCCGAATTCAACTCATGTTGTTCGTGTGATGGACTTTAGTTCCTTTGAGAATTGTTATCTTTGTACCAACGACGGGAAATTTCTTCATGAAAAACATTTTGGTGTCAATGACATTGAAATTGGCGATTTAGTTCAAGGAAGGATCGAGGAAAAAGTGAAAGAAGGATTTCGATTAAAAATTGGAAATCTTCGAGCTTATTTGCAAGGAAATTTCTTAAATAAATCATCAAAGTTGAGTGTTGGAAATGAAATTCGTGTTCGTGTTGCTGAAGTCGATAACGAAGCGAAATTTCTTCAAGTCACAAACTTGCCAGGATTTCTTAAAGATTCAGCAAGAATTCTTCGAGTCAAGAATCAAATTAAAGTTGGAGAATCATTTGCAGGTCTTGTGATGCATGAAAATGAGAAATCTTATGGAATTTTGTTCTTTAATCACATCAAAGGATTCCTCCCACGCACACCTGAGAACGAATCGGATATTGTGAGTCTTGGTGGATTAAAAGTAGGCGCAATCAAACATTTTGAAATAAAATATGTTAAAAACGAACGAATTACTTTGTCGCTACCGAAAAAAGTTGACACAGCGAATTTGGGAAAGATTTTTGAATGCAAAGTCACGGCAGTTCTCCCCACAGGACTTCAAATCTTTATCGACAATTTGAAAGTTTATGGAAAAGTTCCAATAAACTTTTTATCAGAATTTTCTGTTCTTGCTCCGCTCATTCACAGTAAAATGAAGGAAAATGACAAATTTGAAGTTGTGGCTATGGGAAATAACATTTACAGTCGTCGTGATGTTGAATATTATCGAACGAATCCTGTCACCGACTTTAAAGATGTTAATCCTGGCGATATTCTCAGATGTTTCGTTAAATCATCTGATGCTGAAAACATCGAACTTGACTGTCCATTAAAGAACTTTAATCAAACAATACAATTGAATCGAAATGCTTTCGATGACCCAGAAAATGTGGACGACGTTAAAGTCGATGACATTGTTTATGTCAGTGTAATAGCAAAGAACGAAAGTCATCGAAATTCTCTTTACGTTTCACCATCCTTGATCAAAGTCTGGAACAATGACGTTGAATCTTCGCTAGATATTGTGAAGAGTTACTTAAACGACACGAAATATTTGCTGGAAAAATTTAAAAACTCTGAAAAATCGATTGGAAAATTCAAGATTGGAGAAAGAATTGGGGGAAAGATTAAAAACATTATCGCAAATAATTTGGTGATTGAAGTTGATGACGAAGTGTTTGCACAAGGACCAGTTGACAATATTCAATCTTACAAGATTGGTGGATCAGTTAAAGACGCTGTCATTGTGTGGATTGATCCTGTTCAGATGATTATTCATGTGACACTCAAAGATAAACATCGAGATGACATAAGTGTTGATCAAAAAGCTGATGTGAGTTTAGTGAACGAAAAGAAACACAAATCGACGATTGTTTACTTTAACAACTACATCACCGTTTGTACAATGAGAAAAGCAGGAATGCCGTTGATTTATACACCTTCGAAGCTTCATTACAACGATTTTCAAGCGACAAATAATCGTGTGCTTGGTAATGCTACAAGCAAATTAATCATCAAGAAAATGTTTGATGGAAAACTTCTCGGTGGTTTCGTTCAACATCACAAAGTTTTTCAGAAACTGGAAAGATTCAAAACTAAACTCAAACGAAAGATTGATGACAATAATGTTTCTTCAACATCATTTTCAACAACATCAGAGAATAAGAAACCAAAAGTCATTCTAGACGCCTCTGAGAGCGAGGAAGAAAACGAAGAAGAAAGAAAAACTGAAACAGAGTCTGAAGATGAAAAGCCAAAAGTTTCTCAAGCATTTCAAAGGTTCAATGAATCTTTCTCAATGAGAGGAAGAAAATTGAGTAAATCTTTCAAAGGAACATTAACGAAAACGAAATTAAAGCTGACGTCTGTCAACAAGCGAAATCTTCAAAACAAAGATTCAATTTTGAATGAAAATTTAGTTAATTTGGTTTCTTACAAGTCAATCAAAGAGGGAGAAACTTCGGATGTCATCAAAAAACCGACAAAACCGATGATGAAGAAGTCAACAATAGGCAAAAAATCAAAACCCAAGCGACTCTTGAAAAGAAAATAAATTCAAATTCTTTTATTATTAATTTTTTATTCTTTTAAAATACAAATTGTATTTACTTCAACTTCATTTGTGTAATAAATTTTGATAAAGAAAAAGTTTTCAAAAGACTTCATTTTAGAATCGATGATAAAAAATTTCCANATAATTTTTTTATTATAAATTTTCATTCTTTGAATTTGAATTCTTTAAATTTCTTACGTCTTGAAGTATTTGATTGTGTTCCATCACCAAAATAATCAGCCGATGAGATTGACGATGATCCTTGGAATTTTGATAAGTTTGCAGACTTTTCGAATGACGATTGTTCATTACCAAAGAATTGATCCGAAGATATTCCTTTTGCGCCAGCAAATTTCTTTTGAATAGAATCAGTGTCATAATTGTTTGACGGCGTTGTCACTGATGATTTCGTTTCTCGATTATTTCTTGTGAATGACGATGATGATGGTTGACGATCATTAACATTTTTATTTGATGATTCCTTTTTCTCAACCGGTGAGAACATCGTGTGAATGTCTTGTTTCGAATCAATTGGTTCAAAACCCATCATCATGGCGTCACGGAAATCTTGTTTACTGTTGCTACTGCTTGAATTGTTGCTATACATTGAAGTTGAATAATCATCAAAGAAGTCTGATGACTTTGAGTTATTGTCATTCTTAGATGAAGATTTCATACTCAAAGGAGCCTGATCTTGATTGATTGTCTGCATATCAGTTAACATTGAATGTGACACTCCACCACGATTTCCAAAGCCCATTCCAAGACGTTCCATTTGTTTTGCTTTATTTGGATCAACATTCTTTAATCGCTCTTCCTCTTTTTGCTTTTGTAAAGACAGATCTTGATAAGCAAGACGAACGCTAGTAATAGCTTCAGCTTCCTCTTCTTCTGTGAGCTTTTTCTCTATAATTGGCTCCTTCATTTGGTCAGCTAAAGTGGCACGTTGTTCAATATCAGCGAAATTTGTTTTTACTTTTGTTGCGCCTAAACCTTTCTTAGCACCAATTCCACCTTTTTTTGGTTGAATTTTTCGCACTCCAATGTTTGACTTAGGAGCTTCAATAGGAACATTCGAGTGCAAGAAATCCACACTTGGTTCAGCGCCATCATTATCCAAAAATGAACCTAATGAGACTTGAGGCTTTGTTGTAGGCAATTCAATCTGAAAAAATTAAATTTAAAATATCAAATCAAAGATATTTCGACAAATCGTCATCACAATAAACCTTCATGCTAATTAACTATCATAAAAACTTTACTTACGTTATTAGTTGATGTCTCAACATTTTCTTCGGAATTGAAATTTGCATTCTCGCAATCGGCAAAGAAATCGCTCTCCACCTTCGTTTCTTCATGGTGGTAATGCGGCTCATTGATGATAAGCTGCAATAGCCACACTCAGAATATCACACAATAAAACACATTTAAACGCAACTTTTAACTTACCGTTGACCCGTGCAATTTACACGCTTGTTGAGCTAAATTCGATAGCTTATCTCTATAGAGTTGGGCAGCCCGTGAAGTGTACTTCTGTTGGGCGTCACTGGTGTTACAATTATGTTGACGGAAGAACGAACTTGCATTAGCATTTCCACCAACCTGTGCGAAACAAAAACGTCAGTAATTAATTTAATGTATATAAGCACACCTGTATATAAAAAGTAAGTACCTGCATACTTCGAAGCTGAAGCCAATTCCAATTCGTATCTAAATTAGTGGAACGAACAAATGTTAAATGCACACCAAGTGATCGATGAACAGCTGAACAATCGATACAAATAAAGACTCCATATGTAACTGAAGCCCATGTTGGGTTCTTAGAATTACAATCGAAGCAAACCTAATGACGATTATTAATAAAAGATGTGAGAATTATGAATAAGAGTTTTTTTTTCTATAAACCTACTTTGTTATATTGATGCGCTCGTAAACGATTGAAAATCGTATCAATATCACTCTTCGGAGGGCAATCCATCACAATGTAATGTAATGTTATTTAAATGCTTAACTTTGAATTCGATCAACTATATAACTTTCAAAAGAAACTTAAAAGAAATTAGATTGTGAATTTATTCCACGTCTTGATGGGTTTTATTTTCAGATGACGTATGCTAACTTAATGTAGACATAAAAATGATTACGTAAAATTTAAAACAAAAAGTCGTTACAGATTGTATCCATAATTTCTTATTTGTCTTATTTTATTTTTTTTAAGAATAGGTAGGTAGATACATTTAAAAATTTATTTGATAATGATTCTTTCTCATAATTTATAAGTCTCTTTTCCATGAATAATATAAAAGTGAAATCAAAAGTTTAAATATTTTGAGCTGCCATCACAAGAGTGTCATGCACGTCTTTAGCGTAGGAAATTTGAGTATTGACGAGATCCCGGAACTGCATATAGGAAAGCGCATTCTCTTGAGCTGTTGTAACAACGGGAACGGGAAGATAAACTTGAGCATTACTACTCTGTTGGATGCATTTTTTTGCTGTTATTAAGTTTTGTTCGATTTGATCACAAATTGAAAAGAATACTTCCAAATATTTGTCAAATCGAGGAGTTTGTTTGCTAGGAATAAAAAAATCTATGTTTACATCTAATTGATTACCATTTTCCATCTAATTCTTACTCATTTGGCAGATTGTTTTGATTTAATAAATGTGCTGCCGCAGTAAAAACGTTTTTAAGTGCTTCCCTCAAAGGCTGCAGTAAACTCTTTACTTTTGATATATTATCCATTGGTTGTTGTTGTTGTTGAGGTGGTACCATAGCCATCTTGGGATATTTCTGTGTATTTCTTCGTAAAAATGATTTAAATTAAAAAACGAGTAACAATTTGTTTTGATACGTTACGTAAAACAAAAATTCTTCACGTTTCTTACGTTACGACAAATCAAAGCTTTTTACCCCAAACGGGGCTTGCAATCTTTCTTTTTTTCGTGAGCTACAAACCGAGCCACACGTTTTGAAATAAAATGAATCAAGCAAATTCGAAAAAACGCAAGGTATAAACCAATTTACCATTCTTTTCAAAGTAATTTCACAAAATGAATACATTACAAATTCGAAAATATTAAATTAAAAGCTTAAATAATCAGTTTTCAATAAAAAAAATAATAAAAATAAATTGAGAAAATATTTAGTATTCAACAAAAATAAATTTTACAACAATTCCTGCAATTATGAAGTGCTCGCTTGTTTTCAGTGCATAGAATTTATATTATGATATTTTCTAATTTGATATTGATTCAAATATAAGATTGCATTCATCTTCAGGAGCTTATTTACAATATTTCTGCAATGTTTTCATTTTTACAAACTAACCTCATAATTTACATTAGAAAACAGCAAATATTTTAAATACCTAATTTCTTTCTATTTTGTAGTTCGTCGCCGCTGGCGTTTTCAAAGCTGAATTAAATGAGTTTTTAACTCGCGAACTTGCTGAAGATGGTTACTCTGGTGTAGAAGTTCGTGTGACTCCATCACGAACAGAAATTATTATCATGGCCACCAGAACACAAAATGTTTTGGGTGAAAAAGGGCGCCGCATTCGTGAACTGACTGCTGTTGTCCAAAAAAGGTAAATATATGACATATGAAACCAAAAGGGTAAATAATTAATTTTCAATTTATTTTAGATTCAACTTCGCTCCTGGTGCAGTCGAATTATATGCTGAAAAGGTCGCTACTCGAGGTCTTTGCGCTATTGCACAAGCTGAATCACTCCGTTACAAACTTATTGGAGGTTTAGCTGTTCGTCGTGCTTGCTATGGTGTTCTTCGTTTCATCATGGAGTCAGGCGCTAAAGGTTGCGAAGTTGTTGTGTCTGGAAAACTTCGTGGTCAGCGTGCAAAGTCGATGAAGTTCGTCGATGGTTTGATGATCCATTCCGGTGATCCTTGCAACGATTATGTCGACACAGCAACACGTCACGTTCTTTTGCGCCAAGGTGTGCTGGGAATTAAAGTGAAAATCATGCTCCCATGGGATCCAACTGGAAAGATCGGACCAAAACGCCCATTGCCTGACAATGTTTCTGTGGTTGAACCTAAAGAAGAGACCATCTATCTAACACCAGACACAGAATATAAACTTAAGCCTACTCTCCCAGGAATGCCAGAGGAAGCTCATGTTGAAATCAAGTAAATTTGCTGCATTTTCGTATTGTAAAATGTAAGGGAGAAATAAAAGATCCATAAATTCCAGAATTAAATCTTGTTCATTTATTTTATTGCTAAAAAATCTTACAAAAAAACAGTACATACAACCCTTGTCCTATATAATTAAAAAAATTTATTTAAAAAATACTTTGGAAATACTTTCGTCTGACTTTAAAGTTTGGATGGCTTTTTAACATCAAAATAATTGTATTCGAATGGAAGCTTCGAATTTAAATTGTCGAGAATTTCAACGAAGCTTGACAAATTATCAAAGTTGATGGTATAATGATTGACACAATCCCTGTGAAAAAATATAAAAATTAGTAACTTAAATGAGAAATTAAAATGAAATTCTTACTTTTTCTGCTTCAATAAGAATCCAGCATTGCAGAGTGAAAAAATTAGCAAAGAAATGGAATCCAAGCAGAGTGAATAAGGATGAACATTTCCAAGACCTTTTAAGATTTCTTCCTCTAGATACGTTTGCGCTGCGATGAAAACATCTTTCTCGACAAATGTTTTATCCTGAAGATTCTTGAAAATAACACGAGATGTATTGAGATAGCTGTTGATGAAAGGTGCGATTGCACTTAGCAAGAGATTTATGTATTTGGAATTTGAATTTAGTTCAATTGTTTCGTGATTTGTTTTATGGAGAATCTCAAGTGAGATCATGTTGTCGAGTGTTTGGTTGAAATCGTCATCGGAAAATCCAGGATAGAGAACAAATTCATGAATGAAAATTTGACGAAGTTTTCCAACATTTTCCTTCAAATCCTTGATACTGATTTCGTTTTCTTCGAGCAATGAAAGAATGATAAAAGATGGTTCGACAAGCCAAAAAAGTGTGGGATTGCAATAAAGTTGCAAGGAAACGACAGGAATTGCAACATTCATCACTTCATCACACAAAGCAATTCCTTTAAGCTTCGAAGCGTTTATATTGCTCAAATCAACATTTGATCGAATCATTTTAAGATTTGAGTTACTTCCTTTAACTTGAAGAATGTTTTGATGAATTAAAATTGTTTCCTTGATATCTTTTTCTAAGTTTTTAGTATCGACTGCAACAATTGCTCCGAGACCTTCAAAAAGATGAATAAGTTCAAGAACTTTTCTCTCAAGTTCCCAAAATGTGAGATTTTTCACGTTTCCCGTGAACGTTGCTTCATTGTAAATCAACGCAATCAAATTAAAACTCATAATGACAATCTTTTCTTGTTGTTTACGGACGACATCGTGACCTAATTCCGTTATCAAATTTAACTCATATGGATCCAATGTCTGAACAAATGAAGGTTCACTTGCATGCGCAAATCTATTCAGTTTCGACTTTTCACCATAATATTCATTCAACGTTATCGGCTCACAAAAATCGAAGTAAATTTTCCCCAAATTTTGATTCTTAAGATTCGTGATTGCTTTGAAGAATCCTAAAGTAGATTCTTTTGGTTTTGGAATGCCGAGAAGTTCATAAACAAATAATTGTTCTTCAAGTGGTTTCTCATAACTTATAGAGATCGGCACAATCTTCAAATTATGAATTTCACCCATAAAATAAGGTTCCAATGCCATTGAAAGTAAACCTGTCTTTGGTGTCAATGCTTTACAACTTCGACTTCTTGTCCCTTCAATAAAAAACTCCAAGCCTTGATCATTAAACGTGATGACTTCATGCATGTATTCCCTGAACAATCTCCAATAGAAATCATTTTCACCGAATTTTCGGCGCATGAAAAATGCTCCAGTTTTCCTTAAAGCTTCACCAATGCCCATCATGCCATGAAAATCCATTCCAGCAGCAATCGCCGGTATTTCTACGTTGTAACAAAAACAAACAACTGACATCAACATGAAATCAGCATATGAACGATGACTTGGAAGATAAATCACTTGTTGATTTCCAAAAGAAGCTTTCAAGCTGTTTATGCTTCTTTCATTGATGAGAACTGAAGTGTAAAGTTGATTCAAGAGTTTGCTTAAAACAGATCCCAATGTTCTAATCACAAGAATTTTCCTTTGAAATGCAATTTCCGTAAGTATTTGAAGCATCTCGAAAACTTTCTTCTGTCGATCTTCTTTATTCTTCGAAACATCATCCAAATATCGATTTAATTTCTGACTTTGCAAAACACGAAGCTTAACTTCTGCTGGAGTCGGTCGACGACCTTTTTTTATTGGAACAATGGGATTATAAGGTTGAAGCATAAAATTGATATTTTTATCAAGAAGATTTTTGTAGTCTTTGAGATATTCCTGACTTTTTTCCGACATGTTTGATGGATAACTGAAAAGACATAAAAATATAGAAAAAAAATTACATTATAATCGACAAAACTTCCTGTGCCTGTTTGTGTGAGATTTGAATTATCTTAATAATTAAGAGTACATTAACTGATAACGATGAGTAATCGTAAATGTCTTTGTTGTGCAATTTATCGCTCTTTCACCAAGATTTCTATTTGTAGTTGCGAAGGAAGATTTTATCGAAATAAAAAAAGTTTAAATGCGATAAAAAAGTAAAGAAATGTCTTTGACTGATTTAGTTCCTTACAAGTCGTTACCTAGTCTAGTTGGTTGTGATTATTTCATTAAAAATATTCTTATCTTCCTTAAATTTTAAAGAAAATGACTGGTGAGTAATTCAATCAATTCTTTTCTTTCTCGAATCGAATTTTCGTGAAGAATAGAAAACAAAAGATTTCAATGATTAAAATTTAAAAAAAGACAAACAATTGTCATTTGGATTTCGTCCCGAATTTCTTCCAACAAGCCACGAATCTAACACTTCAACTTCAGACAGCAGTTCTTCGTCTGCTGAAGAGTTTGTGAAGCATGAAAAAAGTCGAAGTTACATAACCGAATCTTATTTTGAATTTGGTAAGCTCAACGTGTGTGACTTTTTTTCATTTTTCGATTCAACTGATATCAACTTAAAACCTGTTGGAATGGAATGTTTTATCTTATGAAATCATTGGTTGACAGTGACTAAAATTATTTGTGACTAAACCATGTCATCTTTATGTTTGTCTTTATCTTATCATTACTGGCTTAATTTTTTTGATAAATTATTTTTAATTTTTTTCTTCTTTTTTTAGGATGCAGTTGGCAATTTTGCAATGTGGCTGGGCCATTTCCGTCTAACATGGTAAGAGGTGGAATTGACACCGATGGAACTGTAATTTATATTGGACGAGCTTTTCATGAGGGCGACATGATACCGGCTAAAGTTATGCCTGATAAAAATGCTTGTTACATATGTTACGGTGGTGAAGAAATAGCAAAGGAAGATTTTGAAGTTCTACGCTCGGGTGATTTTGTATGGGAATTTGCTTCAGGTGGATCAATTCCAGAAGGTGCTGTTCAAAGTGGACAAACAGCTGATGGTGAAATCTTATATATTGGACGTGCTTTATATCAAGGCAGTCAAACGCCCGGTAAAATCCAAATAACTCACGGTTGTCTTTACATACCTTTTGGAGGTGAAGAGGTTCCGATTACTGAATATGAAGTTTTATGCTTAAAATAAGCAAGCCTCAACAAATTCTAATAAATGATGAGGATGTGAAAACAAAAGCAATTTTTTTTTGATTATTCCACTCGTTATTTTGTTAACTCATGTGTGGTGATGATTAATATTCAGATAAGAATATTTAACAATAGATACAGGAATGAAACTTGAAATCATAATTATTTATTATGATGATCATCACACTGAAGAGTTACAGTAAAATTGTAAGCTTTTAAATATTTTTAAAGCAATTATTTCAAAATACTTGCAACTTAATGACCCGACGAGATTTGTTTTAATTCCATTTACTACTGAACATTTTTACTTTTTTTCAATTTTGTAACTGTTAACAAAAGAAGTCAAACTATTCATTATTGCAAAACCTTGAAACTAGCTCACCTCTAAATGTCTTGAAGGAAAAATCGATATTTGGTGTTTGGCACGTTTTAAAACTTGACTCGTTGTTATTAACGTAAAATTACATTCTATAATAACTGATGCTGTTTTATATGATAAATGTTACAACATATCATTCGTATGTTAGTTTTTTAAAGATTGTGTCTTTAAAATCCAATGAATAATGGATTTTTGTTTACACCTCTTTGAAACGTTCTTTTACATCAAATTTTAACTTCGGCACCTTTGAAAATAAAGTTCACTTCAGCACAATTTCAACATTCAAAAGCCCTAAAAAAACTTCGACACTTTCAAAGGTTTCAATTTTAAAAATCCTGTTTAACATCGAGTTATTTCTAAAATTCTTAAAACGTAGTTAAGTAAGTTTAATAAGAGCAAAATCATGGACAATGAACAGCCATGGCAGCCACCTGAACAACAGAAAGTCAATCAATTCCCTCAAACTTTGCCAGAAGTGCCTGAAGTCACAATATTTTCACCAACGAACAAAATTCCATCAGTTAAGCCACAAGCAAGCAATTTTATTCAAAGAGCGATGGCAAATGCTGTTGTAAATAATAAAAATTCCAAGTCTCAACCAATAAAAAGACCAACAAATTACATGCCCAGCGTTATCAGCCATGAAATTTTAAATAGTGTAAAGCCTCAAGTGCCAGATTTAAGTTTATTGGATACACAGACGCAATCGAAGGTTCAGACAAATATTAGAATTTCGAACCAGCCATCAACAAGTTCTCAGCATATGAACAAAAATAATTCGAAAGAAAACTTCATGAACATGATGTCAATGCCTTTAGTTCCAGACGTGACGATCCTTGAAGAAGAACCGAAAAAACAGCAAAATCTTCCTAAGCGTCAAGTTTTAAGTGAATCTTATCAGAAAATGTTGATCAACTCACATGAACAATTTATGAAGCAAATCCAACACGACAAAGAAGATTTTTGTGTTAATAGTTCAGCTCCACAAACAAAACCTGGATTTATCACCTCACAGTTAAATAACTTTCAAGACAATCCTCTCAGAAAATACGCTCCAAAACCTCAACCGAAGAATCAACGATGTCAAGCTGACACTTCATCAATTTTGATAGATGTTGACGACATTCCTGAAGCAAATAACGATAAAGTTGAAGATGAAATGACTTTTAAGAAAGTCGCTGAAATGCTTCATGAGATTCAAAGACTTGTAGTCCCAGGAAAGGACGTAAATGACCCCAACAACATAATTGAGACTCCCCCAACACAAAACCAAATTCTCTTGAAATTGGCAAAAACCTATCTTACTCCCGAAGAAATTGAATTTTATGATATTGAAAATGAGTTGAAAGGAACAGAAAGTGATGAATCTTCATGATAAATTTTTAATTTTATTTATCATATTTTTTGTATTTATTAAATCTCAAGAAGCTTCTTGCAATGAATAAAAATGAAAAAAGAACAAAATTTATTTTTTAACGACTTGAATCACATCTTCGTCAGCCATTATATGATTGATTCCAACTCTTTGTGGCGAAAACTTTGCTGATTGTCCCCAAACAAGAGCATATTTGAAAGTCGCTGCAAGTGTCCGATGAATAGCATGACAAACATGTTCAACAGTCACACCTCTTCTCAAGATAAGGCAATCGTCGAAATCTGGTGGTTGACCAGGTTTCTTGGTGTATACTCGAATTAATGATAAATATTCCCAAAGTGTTTCAAGTAAATAATCAAGATTGAGCATCATATTACAACTGACAACAACTGAGTATGGTTGACGTGCCAGTCGGCTAACTTCTTCAATCGAGATTTGATCGATTTTGTTATAAACATAAATGCATGGAAGGTAGACACGATTTGCGACAACGACATCAATGAATTCTTCAGTCGTTGCATCTTCACGGAATAACACCTCAGCATTGAATATTTTAAATGAATGTAGAATTGTTTGAACCATTTTTTCATTACATTTCGTCAATGCACATGTACTGTTGAAGCTCAGTCCACCTCCTTTCTTTTGTTTAAAATATATGTTTGGCCTTCTTTTATTTAGTCGGATTCCAACAGATTCCAATTCAGCTGTTAATAAATCTCGATGAACATTAGGCTTTGTTGCGTCAAGCATCTGAAAAGGTTTTTTTTATTGTTATGAATGCTTTCTTTTTGTATTTCTTTCCACTCACCATAAGAACCAGATCAGCAGTACGTGCAACAGCAATAACTTGTCGTCCGCGACCTTTACCTTGAGAAGCGCCTTCAATAATACCCGGTAAGTCAAGTAACTGAATATTTGCTCCTTTGTATTCAATAACACCAGGAATACATGTCAATGTTGTGAACTCATATCCAGCAGCTTCACTTTCAGTTTTTGTTAACGTTGACAGTAATGTCGATTTACCGACGGATGGGAATCCAATTAAGCTGACTCGTGCATCACCAGATTTTAAAACATCAAAGCCATCACCTTTCTCACCTTTTTTCGTTGGCTCTAAGAGTTCAGACTGCAAAAATTTGGCATTAACCAAAATATAAAAAATAGAAAATTTTTCATGAAACTCACACGAAATTTCGCTAGTTTAGCTTTCAATAATCCTAAATGGTACTCTGTTGCTTTATTCTTTTGTGTTCTTGCGATTTCTCGCTCTATTTCTTGAATTTTTTCTAATATTCCCATATCGAAATAATTTTTCTGTGCAGATCACTTGGAATTTTAGAAATCTCTTGGAATTTCTGCCTTTTTGGTACGCTTTGTATGAAAACTGGTTTTTCCGGTCCGCGGAAAAACTACCAGAGCTGGGTAGTCCGACGTCGATAAGAAATTAATGTTGAAACTTCTTTCACCTTGTGCTGAAGGCGAAGTGAGCAACAAGAGACGTTATTAAAGTCAAGCAAATAATCAAGATTGAACATTAGGTATAGTACAACTAGGTAGGTATGGATGAAAGTGATACTTCAACACATCTCAATGAAGGAGATTTCCTTAAATATTTGTGGGAACTTTTCTCCGAAGATGTTAGATTTTAAAATTAGGTAGATAATTTATTGGACCACAGAGAGTGAAAGTTACCTATTTGATCCCAAACAGTTTCCATCTTTGGGTGAATAGTCATTAGATTTTAAATAAATTTGTTATTATTTGCTGATGTGTAGTTTAGATTAGAATCTATAAATTTAATTTGATTAACGAGCTAGAAATGTTTGAAGAGTCATAAGATAAAGCAAGCAACATCATCGTTAGTCTCACTAAAGAACTTCTAGTTATCAACGCTTTTTTTCACTAAAGTAGAGCAAGAAATTGTTTTTGTGTTTTAATGTTTTTCTTTTGCTTGCTCACCACTCAGCTCACCACTTTTTTTTCGGCTCATCTGACTCAGCTCAGCTCATTTCTTGTTCTCTGCTTGCTTGATCAGCTCACCTGTCTAGATATTTGTCGGCTCAGTTCTTGGCTCACCTGGATATACACTGAATTTCAGGTTCATGTTGTCTGTGGTAGTCTTAGTTAATCATTTCATACCCCTTGTTTTGGAGAGTTAATTGTAGAGAAGCGTGCAAAGAAGTTAGATTAAATAAACTAATAAATATTGTAATTAGATCGATTAAATAAAGAGTTTTATTTATATTAGTTTGAGATCACCACATTGTCCTTTTTAAAAAAACAATTATGCAGTTTCATAGCTTATTTATAAAGGCATTACATGACCATTGATTTCTACTTCGAGATGATTTTAATTTAATGTAAAATCATCTCGAAGTAGATTTAGGTATAGGTATATAGATTTGAGCTTAGTTTGACTCATGAAGATGATTTAACTTTACATTGTCACTTGTTAGCACTGGATGACTATATTGGTTTCTACTATATTTCCAACATAATGAATATGCATATTGAAAGAGTCTCGACACATTTTAATATAAAATTGATTCATTCATAACACTTCATTTGCTAATGGAAATTTACTGAAGACATCATTTGCAATGAATTAAATTTTTAACGTCTGTTGTTGATCCTATATTGAAATTGTTTTAGTAGCTTAATTTTTGCAATGGAAATTGACTCAAAATCGATGCTTTAAAAGGAAAAAAAATTCCATTGTCGTCCTGAAACTTTGAGAAATTCACGTAGGTATTTACTATTTTCTCATCTTATTATTATTATTATTATTATTATTTTATTTCAATATTTTGGTGTACAATTAAGAGCTTCGCTCTTTTTAAGTTTTCTCAAAGTTGAGAAAATTTCTTTTGTACACTGTTGTTTTCATATGTTTTGTAAATTTGATTTGTTTAAAGAGAAAAGAAAAAAAATTTTTAGTGGAAATTTAATATTTAATTATAAATTTTTCATTATTCTAGTATATCACGTTGAAATCCACACGAAACGATTAAAAGGTGATCATGATACATGAGAGCGTGTTGAACTTTTTACCCTGCTTCAAAGTTTATTTTCGAATTTCGAAAAATTGTTTATAAACAAAAAACTAAAAACAATCAACATCATTAAAGTTAAAACATGCTAAATCCGATGAAGACATCAAGGAATTTCTAAAATTGTGCTACCAAAACATAAAGTAAATTCCCAACGATGTCTCTGAATAAAATCAGAATAATACAAGTCACCAAGAAAAACAATCTTAATCAAAAAGAAGAAAAACTAAAAATTATGAAATGGAAGTCTTTCAAGAGTTTGTGAGTGTTAAGATTGAACCAGAGGATGAATTTACCATCCAAAGCAGTAATTATTGTCGATGTTGCTTCAAAATGTTGGAAGTTGTTGACATTTCTTATTCAACTAATCTTCAAATGTTGAATGCACTGACTGAAATAACTCAACTAAATCTTCAGCCTTCGGATTTTGCCTCAAATTTTTGTAATGAATGTGTTAATGATGTTCAACATTTCAACAGTTTTCGGAAGTTGACAATCGCTAAACAGAAGAAATTCTTAAAGATCATTCAGAATGAAAGCTACGAAGAGTTGAAAGAACTTCACACTTTTACTCTCACGAACATTGCAAATGATCATCTGCAGCCAGTAGTGAAACTTGAAAGAATAAATATTCCTTCAAAATTGGAGGAAGAATTAAAATTAGACGAGTTGGAACTAACTACTCCAATTTCAAAGCAACCTAAAATTAAACGAAAGGTAAAAGGAAAATTAGAAGTTTGTCCTGTTTGTTCAACAGAAGTAACTAAATTGACTACACACATGCTACGTTATCATCCCTTTTTTTGTGAATATTGTGACTTTAGAGGACCAAATCAATTGAGATTGGAAAAACATATTAGGACCAAACATAAAAATACATTCAAACCAGTTTGTCCGATTTGTTGTAAAGTGTTAAAAAATAACGTAGAACGTCACATTAAAATCGTTCACGAAAACGTCAAGAATTATTATTGTGACTTATGTAATTATGGAGTTTTTAATAAAACTGGACTTTTACGGCATATGCAATATCAACATTTACCGAAAAATCTACAATGCACTGAATGTGATTATATGACTGGAGTAAAGCGACAGTTAAAGAAACATTTTAAGAAGAATCACAATCAGGAAGAAATTAAAAAGCATTTGGTGACTTGTCCATTATGTGGAAACATTTATAAAAATCAACATTCTCTCGATGGGCACATCAAACGAGTTCATCAAAACATAAGAAACTTTACTTGTGATATGTGTGATTATAGAACTTGCACAAAAGCTGAACTGAATATACATAAGAATAACAAGCACAGTTCAAAAGCAGATTTCACATGCGAAGTTTGTGGAAAAGTTTTTTTCTCACAACACTCGCTAAATATTCACAGGAAAATTCATGGAGAAAAGTCCTTCATATGCGATATGTGTGATTACAAAACCTCTACAAAAGCTAGTTTGTCCACACATAATCTCAACGTACACAAATCTCAGCGAGATCATGTTTGTGAGATTTGCGCTAAAGGCTTTTTTACAAAGCACAGACTCGATGATCATATAAAAATTCACGGAAATAAACGTTTCAAATGTAATAGGTGTGAAAAACGTTTCCTGGTCAAAAGTAGGATGAGAGAACATGTAGAAAGAGTTCATCTTAAAATGAGGCATTACGTTTGTGGTGAATGCGGTAAACGTTTTTCATCTTCTTATAAACTAAACATTCATAAACTGGAACATGCAGGAATTCGCTTTCCTTGCTTCGTTCCTGATTGTAAATCGACATTTTCCAATAAAGATGGTTCAGTGTTTCATTTGAGACATAGTCATAAATTAAATAAAGATGAACATAAAATTTACAAAGAAAAATTGGACGAGTTCAACGAATCACTCAAAAAGTTTAAATAGAAAATAAAAATATTTCAATTTTAATTTAAGATCAATCGTTTCTCACTTTCCACAGTAGTCATATTTCATTGAATTCTTATCATATTTAATAGCTGATTTATTAACCTTTCTTATATTTCTTTGACGTAACATATGATGCTTGATAAACCAACCTTCAATTTAGTTCATTTTATGTCACTTTAAGTTTCAAGCTTTCAATAATTTCGTCAACTTTCTTAGCAAATTTATAACTAAACACATCTCTTAACAAAATTTCTTAAGTTATGATTCTAAGAACTGGAAAATTAAAATTAAAATAATAATAAACAAACAATTATGATAAAGCAAAGTTTTACATTTTTTTATTCAAGTTTTAAATGTTTACAATTAACTTAAAAAAAAATTCAACTTTAGAAATTATGATCAAAAAAATTAAAATGTCAAAGTTCATGCTGTCATTGTTCGTTTGTAACGTTGGGAATGAATTTCGTTTTAATGGCATCATTGCGATGTTTACAGAAGAATTTCTCGTGATTATCCAAGAAATGTTGTGTTGCGAATGTTAAGCCACATCTTTCACAAGAGAAATTGTCAATGTTGCTTGCAATTTCTGGGACATCATCAGTTTCTGACTCAGATTCTGACTCTTTATGAAGATTCTCTCTATTCTCAAATGAACATCTTTCGTATGTGCTTCTAACTCGTGTGGTTTGATGAAAGCTTCAGAACAGAATTTACAACGTAACAATTTTAAGTTTAATTCGCTCTTTGATGATCCTTTTTTCTCCTTTTGTTCCATCATCGTAAGATGTTTGTTAGGATTTCCCTCACCATGCCAAATGCTGTTATGACGATTTAAAATGATTGTCAACTTAAATGTCATTTTACAAATTTCACATTTAATTTGATCATCAAACTCATCGTTGCTGTCAACTTTCGGAGATGACAATTCTTGGAATTTTGGATGTTCATCGACATTAACAATTTTAACAACTTCTTGTTCTTTCGAGACGACTTCTTCATTCACATTCTCATCTTCTTCAACATTTTCTCCATTTTCACTGTGATGGTTCCTCACATGTCGATCAAATTTCTTTTTGAACACAAACTTTGCTGAACACTGACTGCATTTGTATGTTGGAATTTCTTTGTGATGCTTCAAATGACGAAGCATATAACGTCGAGTTTTTGATATTTTTGGACAAAGACCACAACGGAACAATCCATTCTTACATTGAAGATGATTTAAATATTCAACTCGATCATTGTCATTCGCAATTGAACGCCGTCGTGGTGGAATTGGCAAGCGTTTTTCCTCTAAATCTTCATCAATTTTCATCTTTTTCGTCGCAGGCTCGTCATTTTCATTGTCATTTGGAATTTGAACAACATTTTTAAGCATGCAGAAAAACGGATCAAGAATTTCATTTCCTTCGTCAGTTTCAATTTTGTCATTCTCAGTCGCCTCATCGATTGGTTCACTTTTAATAATTGGTGGCGTTGCTTTCACTTCAAGTACATTTGTGATGAAATGTTCCAGTTCTTTATGATGATGATTTTCAAAATGCATTTGTAATTTGATGGAATTGGGGTAAATAACACCACAAACTTGACAGCGATGATCAATTTTCACTCCGTTTAAATGTTTACTTTCACGATGCTTTTCCATGCTATCAAGTTTCGAGAATCGCTTATGACATTCAGTGCATTGAAACAAATTTTCATCCTTGTAATCATTCATGCCATGAAGATTGTGAATATGCATTCGGAAACTGTTATAGGAACTGCAAATTTTAGAACAGTAGCAACAAGCAAATTCTGGTTTGTGCTCCAATTTCACATGAGTTTCAACTTTATCTCGACGTTCAGAAGTGAAATCGCAAATATCACATTCGACTTCAGATTTCTTTGAATTTCCTTCTTTCTCGTCTGGATCAATTCCAAAGCCATGAACATGTTTCATGTGTAAATTTAATGCAAACAGTGAACCGAATGTTAGAGAACAAACTTCACATTTAACAGTTGTAGAAATTGGAAGTCGAGAAATTTCTTCTAACAGCTTTGGTGGTTTTTTTTGTGGTTCCTTTGAAGGTCCATTCGAAGGTCCACCAATGTTTGTGTGATTTCTCAAATGAAATCGTAAGCTTCTCGATGAATCAAAAGTTTCTTCGCATATGCTGCATTTGAGATTCTCCATTTCAAGGAAGTGGAATGGCATTTCATCGATTGACGCATTGTTTTCATCGACAACTTCCGGCTCCTTTTTAACATCTTTCTTTCTTAGCAAGTTCTTCATGTAACGAATTTTAGCAGTTGGAATATCATAGACCTCATTGTCAAAATATGGAACATCAACAATAAGATTATGAGTTCCCTTCATATGGTCTGCGTATTTGTAGGCTCGATCATATTGAATATCACATTCATTGCAACGATAATCGTTTGGATGAGATCGACTCATATGAAGAAAACGTTTTCTCAAACGGAAATATTTCTTTGGGCAAAGTTCACATGAGAATGGTGCACGTATTGCGTGATTACTTATGGCATGACATAGTCGAGATTTTGTAGAAAATGATTTTCCACAAGCAAAACATTTCGTTTGTCCGTCAATAAACTTTTTACCGTCGACTCTTCGATAGAATTTTCCGTAGAACTCTTCACGTGTAAATTCGATGTCATCAGGAAGATCAGAGAACAAGTTCTTGTTCTTAATAAACGCAACTTTTCTGATGCCTTCTGACTTTGCTGGTTGCAGTACAGGCTGCTAATTTAGAAAGAAAATTTTGTTAATTTCCATTTGAAATGTTTTCCTATATGTACAATTATTAGTTAAACTTACTTGGGATGGTGTTAAGTCTGAACGTTTCTTTGGAATGAATCGAAGATTGTTCAATGGAATATCAATCTCATCTATTGGTTTACTGAACGTCGCTCTCAGTCTTATTCCATGTTCATTCAACATATGATCAGTAAACCTTGACGAACAATAAAATTGTTCTTTACAGTAAGAGCATCTGAAACTTTCCTTATGTTTGTTACTCATATGCTTCATACGCTCATCTGCTGAGTCGAAACTGTCATTACATAACTCACAGAAGAATCCTTTACTAGCTGCATGTTCTCTCTTCGAATGTTTTTCCATCCAAGATTTTGAAAACTTTTTGTTACAAATTTTACATTTGAAAAAGTCATCATTAAGTAGCTCGTAATAAAGATCAACAAAGTTTCTGTAAGTCAATGATTTATCTGGTGCTATAACTTCATGCTTCGATGTTGAACAACGGCTGCTCACTTTTACAAGATCGTTTTCTTTAAACTGTAGACAAAAATAAAAAAAAAACATGTAGACAAATTAATTATTACAGTTTTAAAATTTTATAACAGTTAAAATGTATTAATAAAATTAAAATTTAGGTAGTTAGGTATTTTGTAATGCAAAACCTACCCTTATGTCAACATGTTCAGCATATTTAAGATTTGGCAATGGCACGCAAAGTACTTCAAAAGGTTTTCTTTCTAGAATTCTTTTCATCACCTTATGTTGACCACTCATGTGAATGTTGTATGATCTTGCGCAAAGAAATTGTTCATTGCAATGTGAACAATAAAAATTATTTGGATGAGTTGTTTGCAAATGTCGCTTCATATAATCACTTCGACGAAAGCCAGCATCACAAAGCTCGCAATTGTAAGACATTGTTTTAGCATGCCAGTATCTCAAATGTGCATGTATTTGATTTCTCATCACCAGACGTTTACAAGGAATGCATTTAAATTGTGAATTTGTTCCATGAATTAAAAATTTCTCTTTAAAAGTGGTGAAATCGAATTCTTTCTTGCTTTCAACTGATGAACGGACTGTCAACTGCTTTTCAATTGGCTCTTTTTTAACTTTTGGTATGAGAAATCCTTCAGACACTTTATATGGACTTTTAACTGTTGATGTTGTCGACGATGTTTCACTATTTTGAAGATCTTCATCTTGCATGTCATCTCTACGATCTTTAACATATTTGATTTCAAACGAACTTAAATCCTTCTCTTCGCCAGCTGATTTTGGTTGAATCTTTCTCGTGTTATGCTCAATAAGCATATGTTCCGCATAAGTAGCATGTTTATAGTATTGAAGTCCACAATTCGTACATTTGTAGTCGTTGGGATGGAAAATTTGAATATGACGAATTCGAGTATGATTTTGTAATAATCGGAGATCACAAAACGGGCATTTATATGGAAGAATAGTAGCATGATAAGACATTAAATGATTGAAAATTGATGATGAAAGTATGGTTTTATCACATGGGTGACATTTTCTTGTTGTTCTATTGACTGTTGTTATATAACGTTCAAGAAACTCTTCGCGAGTTAACATCTCTCGTTGTTCATCTCTTGACAATTCGTCTTCATTTTGTTCCTCATCTTCATGAATTATTGATGGCACAGCAATTGCATCTTCATCTCGAAAATTTTGATTCTTTGCTTGGTATTGCAATTCATTTAAGTTCAAATCAACTTTATAATTGTCACTAGGATCAATCTCAATGTCATGTTGATCTCGCATATGTAGTGAAAATCTTGAATTAACATAAAATTGTATGTTACATGTTGAACAAAAGAACATTCCTGGATGTGACTTTGACATGTGTTGCATTCGATGTTCTGGTCGAAAGAAATTGTTAGGACAAACTGCACACTTAAAAGCGCCACTTACAGCATGACGACACTTTAAATGACATCCAAAATTTTTCTTTCTCATCGTTAAACTACAAACATTACATCTGATGTCAGTTGAATTCAAAGCTGTCGTGAAAGTATCACAAAACTCAAAATAATTGAATGAAACTTTCGATTCTTCTTTATGCTTATGCGATTTATGAATGAGTAGATTTTTAGGTGATGTAAATATCCGATCACAAAGTTCACATTCGTATTCAACATCAACTTGTGTTTCATTCTCTTCATCATTGTTGACAACAGTTGGGATTACGTCAGCCTCTTCAATTGGTTCCATTTCGTCTTTCACAGCGACAAATCTAATTTCGCTCCAATTCAAGTCATCTTCTTCCCCACTTGATGGTTTCGATGTTACAACTTTTCCATGTTCTTCTTTCATATGATTGACATAGAATTCATGTCTAACAAACTGTTCTTCACACATTTTGCAATGATATTCATCTGGATGACAACGTGCCATGTGATTGAGTCTTGCGTTGTTTTTCACCATTCGATCATTACAAAAAGCACATTTTAGTGGTCGCTTAACTGCATGCTTCCAAAGTAAATGACTTATGATACTATTTCGATGCATTTTCTGTTGACAAACATTGCAATGCGTGTTCTTCTCTGATAAAGTTTCAATGTGCTTCTCAATGAATTCATCTTTCGTCATTGGAACTTCAGTCTGTTGTGAATTGCTTGTACTTAACACGCTATTCCGTCTTACAATTTCACTTGAATAATCGTAAGTCGATGTGTCTTCAATATATTTGAGTTCGATATCGTTTAAGTCATAATTGTCTGTTCCCTCTTCAGGTTTCAAATGTTTTGCTGGAATTCCATGTTGTTCTTCCATATGCCCATCGTATTTGTAATTGCGATCAAATTGAACATTACATTTATCACATCTGAAGTTTTCGGGATGAGTGAGGTGCATGTGTCTCATTCGATAATCAGTTCGTACAAATGACACGGGACATAACTCACAAATGTACCTTTTAAATGATGCATGCTTGTTCTTCAAATGTAAATTTACACTCTTACGATGAATATCTTTTTCGCAAATGACGCAACGATGAAATAAAGCTGACTTTTGAACAATAAACTTGTCAATGAATTCCTCACGTGAATATTTTTGAACAGCCGATGGCAACTTTTTAGATTGATTCGCTTTGCTATGCTTCTGATTGATGTGATTAGTAAGACCACGTTTGAAAGGAAAACTGGCATCACATACTTCGCATTGAAATGCTGTTGAATCATTACTTATACTTTCACATTCTTCACTTATCGATTCAGCGATTGATTCATTATCTTTATCATCAGGATGATTGCTCTGGATATGATTATTAAGAACTTTTTCAGAATTGAATGATCCAACACAACCAAACGGACATTCAAGCGATTCTGTAATTTTGATTCCATGGTCACGATCCAAATGAAGGAAATAAAAATCTTTGCGATTAAATTTCATTTCACATTTGATGCAAATTTTGTCGCAATTTGCATGATGACGATAAAGTGAAGTCATGTCAGGGAAGTTATGATCGCATGAGTTGCACTGCGGGATGTTTAATAATGGTTCGAGGACAACAACCGCATTGCCTTTCTTTCCCAATCTATACTCGTTGTATTTAGTGGGATGTCGGTAACGGATATGAAGATTCATTGTTGCTTGATTGAATGACTTTCGTTTGCAATAAGGACATCGACTTTCATTGGCATTGTGAAAATTTCTTTTATGACGTGAAAGACTTTTCAAGCTGAACATTTGTTTGAAACAAATATCACATTCAAAATCTTTGGCGTCACAACGTTGAGATTCAAGAATTTGATTTTCATTGAAATTTGTATTCAAAATTCTGTTTGCGTCGTCACTGATACCACTATCTGGTGATTTTGAACTTTTGCTTGATGATGGTTGCATCTCGCCAATAGATGTTCTTGGACATGAATTATCTTCAAATGGAGCTTGTTCATGATCAGAAAAATTTTCTTGAGCTTCTTCTTCATCAAAAGGTTCATAATCAGCAAATTCTTCATTATCCTCCGACTCATCATCATTAAGTTGTTGTGAGATTATTGGCTCTTGGATTTTTGGTCTGGGAAAGAAATTTAAACATTAATCTATAAAAATTATCTTACTGATTAGTCTTACGGTTCGATTTCAACCAGCAAATCTTGAAAACCATCTTGATGATTAAGATCAACAGGATGAGGCGTTACTTCGATCCTCTCGTTTGTGTTCTGTGTGCATTCTTGAGCTGATGATTCTTTCTTAATTAGTTCAGGAGATATTACAGGAGTGATTCCTAATTGAGTCATTAATGTTTGATAGGATTCCTCCGCTTGCAATTTGAAGTAAAATGCACTTCGAGTTTGTTGTAAGCAAAACACACAAATTCTTTTTGGAAGCAAATCATCTTCGAAGACCTGTATAAAATAGATTTTGTGCTATCCTCATGTATAAATTTGAGAATTTTTAACTATAATAACCTGATGTTTTACAACTTCTTTGAGCATTTCAGAATATTTTATTTTGGTTGTTGAGTAAGTTTGATCATAATCAAATAGACAAATCAGTTCTTTTTTTGACTTGAAAATTCTTAAACAAGTCCTACATGTTGTTCGAATATTTTTTTGGATACTTAAATCCATTATGGCTTTATTGTTATAACTTTAAACATAAATTTTTCTTTCTTAAAAAATGTTTTATTGAAAATTTTCACTTTCTTACACTTTTACTTTAAACGCACTCTTAAATGCATTTCTAAACGCAAAATTACTAAACATATTCATTCATAAATGAAAGATAAATTTGATTACTATTATTTTACAAGTTAAATAAGTGATGGAGAGAAAAACCAGATCGGGAAAGGTGACAATTGCACCTCCTGTTGCAACTGTAGGAAAGGTGAGTAATTAATTCATGTTTTAATGTTGCATTTGATGAAAAAATTTATTTTAGAAAAAAGGTCGAAAGAAAAAATCAGAAACTTCCGAAATTCAACCAACAATTGAAATCTGCGAAGAATTTACACCAACAACACGCACTAGAAGAAGTTGCCGAGGGAAAAGTGAGTAGAAAAACATTTGTAATATGTTTTTTAATACACATTTTTAATTATTTATTTATTCAGATGTAGATCTCTTATCAATTGGAGTCAATAGTGATGCATCCATCATTGATACTGCAGAGGACAGTAATTTGAGTATATTAACTTCAGATTCATCAATTTTAAACGACACCACAACAACTTTGCCAGTGTCAATGCCTTCTTTTTCTGAAACGGATTGTTCAGTCACTGATGATGTTGATAAAACTGAAAAAACTCTTCAAATTGTTTTGGAAAGAGTAGATGATGCTAAATTTATTAAAAAAGAAGAAGAAAAGCAGCTGCCAGTCATTATTAAAGAGGAAATTGAAGTTTTGAAAGAAGATGATGCATTGGAAAATCTCGAACAAAAATTCAATGAAGTCGTTTTAAAAGAAGAATCGTCAGAAGTTCCACAAACAATCAAAATCGAAGAGAATTTGAAAGATAAAAGAAATGTTGAGGAGATTGAAGATGTTGAAATGAAAGAGGAGAAAATTGAAGACATTGCTGTTGCTGCTTTATTGAATCTCAGTGAAATTGAAGAAGTTAAAATTCCAATAGCAGAAGAAAAACTTCCAAATGAAGAGTCAGACAAAAACTTGAAATTAATTCCTGCAGAAGATGAAATTAAAAAAGAGGAAACATTCGATTATATGGAAATTGACGATGTTCCATTTGTAAGACGATCACGACGATTACAATGCAATTATATGGAAGCTCAACAGATAAAAATCGATGATTCGACGTCACAGCCAACTCCTTCAGTTTCAGTTGAGTCGCAAGAAGAATTGAGTTCATCGTCAGTTGCTTTGATGAATCCAGTAACAACTAACGAACAAATCACAGCGGAAGTCACAGCCCCAGAGAAAGATGAAGTGCCTAAGGAAAAGATTCCACAGATTCAAGTTTCACAAGAAGTTAGAAAAGAAGTTCATCACATGGATGAACGATTGAAACGTTACGAGACAATTCGTGACAATATTTACTCAAAAAAATCGGATAAGAAAGTCTGTAAAGTAAATAAAACAATGAAATGTGATTGCACGATTACTGAAGAAGAAGTAAAGAATGGAGAGTTGGGCTGTCAATTTAATTGCATTAATCGAATCTTATACATCGAATGTGGAGCAAAATGTCGTTGTGGAGAATATTGCGATAATCAACAATTTCAACGCTATAATTATTCAGCTTGCAGTGTCTTCGATACAACAACAAAGGGATTTGGCATCAGAGCTGATCAAGACATTCCCGCTGAAACTTTCATCATTGAATATGTTGGAGAAGTTCTCGACAATAAACAATTTGAAAAGCGAGCTAAAAAGTATTCAGAAAATAAAAATATTCATTATTACTTCATGGCATTGAAGAGTAATGCGATCATTGATGCAACAAAGAAAGGAAACATTTCAAGATTCATTAATCATAGTTGCGATCCGAATGCTGAAACACAAAAATGGACTGTGAATGGCGAACTTCGTGTTGGATTCTTCAGTCGAAAAGACATTAAACAAGGTGAAGAAATAACTTTTGATTATCAATATCAACGGTATGGAAAAGAAGCACAGAAATGTTATTGTGAAGCCACAAATTGTCGTGGATGGATTGGTGAGAATCCACTTGATGAAGCTGAAGAAGAAGAATGTATTGAAAGTCCGGAAATTGACGAAACAAAAGCAAAGAAAACGAAAGGACGTAAAGGACGACAACCAAAAGCAACTCAACCTGAACAAGAACTTAAAGATGATTCTGAATCTGAAGTTGATGACAAAGCAGTGAACAATGTCAAGCCAATCGTAAAGAAACGAGAAGCAAGTAAAAAGCTTGCAGATAAGATGAAGAAGCGTCAAGAAATGTATGAAGATTTGGAAATTAAAGAAGAAATTAACGATTTGACAAAGTCTGGCCTTAAGAATCGTGGCCATACCATCAGACTTGCTCGTTTAGTTGTTCGCGCTAAGAATGTCGATGCAAGAAGTCGAATATTGAAGATTCTCATCAATGGAGATTTGCCATGTCGACGACTTTTCCTCGACTACAATGGGTTGAAACTTCTTCACAGTTGGATGATTGAATTGAAAATGATTTTCATTCCTGATCTTGAACTTTGCATTGAAATTATGAATGTTTTAGAGACATTGCCAATAACAAACAAAACAGTTTTGAAAACGTCAAAAGTTCTTGATCGTGTCGAGAAATGGAAGAATTTAAATCTTGAATCGAGACTTGAGAAGAAGCAAGCAAAAGCTGAAAAGAAGAAAAATAAGAAACATGAAATGATTGTTGATGAAAATCAACCGAAAGATGAGAATGTTGTTGATGATTTATCACAAAAGCCGGACGAGAAAGATAAACTCACAACGTTAATGTTACAAGTGAAAGAAGTTGCATCAGAATTACTCGAAAAATGGGAAGCATTGAAGGAAGATTTTAAAATTCCAAAGAAACAGAAACAAGAAATTATGATTGTTCATGAACGTGAAGCTGACAATGATAGTTGGGATGAAGATTCCCAACGAAACGACATTCTGAGTCAAGATCGATTCAAAAATCGTTTCGGTGACGATCCAAATCAAAGTGGAATTAACAAAACTGTGAACGTTAATTCATACAAGAAGCAAATCGATCCGATTGTATCAAAACAACAACGTCGTCATATGTTTGAAATGAAAATGGCACAAATTGATACTGAAAAGCGTATGATGATGTTGCATGAGAATAATTGTGCGATTTTTGGATTAAATCCACAAACAACAAATCCTTTGGATGTTCCAGTTCGAGTTAATCGAGTAACAGGTGAATATAACACAATTGATGGACGAATTGCTCCACCGCCACCAAATCATTATCAATTCAAATATGAACCATTAACATTGTCAACAAATCCTGATGATTATTTCTTGCCACCAATTGATTTACCCGAACAATGGCGATTTGCGATCGATGTTTATGGAAGAATTTATTATTATCATGAGAAAATTCGTCAATCACAATGGGAAGCGCCAATTAAAATTCTTCCATTGCGTGTTAATGTTGAAGGTGAAAACGAATCACCAGATTCTGATGAATCGACAACAGAAACAGAAGATTCGGAGGAAGAAGAGTTGAGAGAGCTGCTTGAGATGTTGAAAAGAAAGAAGCAACTTCCACAAGAACAACAACCAAACGTCAATCCTTCAACACTGCAAACAGGCGATACAGATGAAGATGATTTGGAGAAGAAGATCATGAGTAATATGATGAAGAATCCAGTTGATCAACCTTTAAAATTATCACAAAGTCCTCAAAAACGATTGACAAAGAAACGAAGTGGATTAACGACAATGCAATTTATTCGTCCACGAACAGAAGCTGATAAAATTTATGGCCGTGCTGAATCGAAACGATATAAAGAATTGAAAGAGAAACTTCGTCAAAGAAAGCGTCGCATATTGAAAGGTGAACCTGGAAATGAATCATCAGAAGATGAAGATGTGCCATTGGACGATTCAGTTGTTTCAGGAAAGTTTGTTGACGAACTTGACATTCTCGAGAAATCCGAACTTGAAGCGCTTCGTAACAAAAAAGAAATGGAAAAGAAAGCAAAGAAAACCAAACCTGTTGTTCTTGATCAAGCAGAAATTCGACGACAATTTAGAGATGAAATGTTGAAAGAAATCGCGAAATTTTTGCAACCATATCGCGATGAGTCATGCGAGAATGGAAGAATTTTGAATGATTCCGATTTCAATAGTTTAGTTTCAAAGGTAAGTTTTATAATTGTGATGATTAAGTTGAAATATTTAAATTCTATTCATTTTCACAGCTCACATATTCAGTTCTCACTAAGGAATCAAAACATTGTCATGGAACGAACAGCATGTTGAAAGCAACTGAATCTGTAAAAGGGAAGACAAAGGAATATATTAAGAAATATATGGGAAAGTTTGAAGGGCCATATCAACGCAAGGAAGACGAACAAGATTATGCAAATATTTTGAACAAGTTTTAAATTTTTCTTTCTCATCTTTTTTATTATTAATGCTTGTCAATGTTTTCTGTAAAATTCTAAAAGATAAATAACATGACCACCCATTAAATCTTTCATATCAACACCAGTTTCTTTTCCGATTGATTCCAGATCAATATTACGACATGCTAAATTCCATTTCTTCAAAAGATTCTCAATCGACCAGTCAGAGCTTCTCGATTGATATGAACAGATGAAAGTTGCTTTTAGATTGTGTTCGAGTAAGAATGCGACACTTGATATAACTTCTTCGAATATTCCAATGTCATATAAACAATCTGATCCAATGATGAGGTCGAGATCATTTCCAAGATCATAAAAATCATTTCCCAACATTCCTAAAGCATAAAAAATAAAGAAATAAAAAATTCACAAATTTCTTAACAATTACAAACCCCAAGTGAGTCCAACAACTTGCACATCTTTACCCGGCTTTAGTTTATTCAAGTTACAAATTCTGTCGATATGAGCTAATGATTTTGGTAACAATGCCGAGTCACTGAGTGTTACATTTGATCCTATTTTTGCAGCTAGAATTCCAGGTAAACTTGTGCCGGCGCCAATTTCGAGAATATTTTTCCCCACTAAGCATTGTCTCATGTAGAAAATAAATTGTGCAAGAATCTTTGCTGCTGGCCATGTATAGAAGCTAAAATTTATATGTTACATAATTAGTTTGTTGGAAAATTTAAAGATTTGTCGTATCTCACCTGTAAGCACCAACCATAAGTTCAGCGATCAAAATCTCGTAAGATTCCTTGCGATCTTTTGACACAAAATTAAATTTCTTTATGGTCTCTTTATCGTGATGATTATCGTGGTTCATTTTTCTTTTTTTTCAATTTAAAGGACGGATTATTTTAATAAGTAAACGTTGAAGGAATATTAAAAATCAATCTAGGTATTTCATATTAACGAGCTAAAATTTGTTTACTTTCTCATAAAAACTTTGAACGTATTCCAAACAAATTTGCGTACAAAACTCTAAACGTATTCAAAATTTGTTTACACATATTGTAGAAATGAAACGACAACTTTGGGGGGAAATTTCTGAAAGTCCAGATGAAGCTACAATAGCAAAACAACTTGAAATAGATCAAGAAATTATGATGGATAAAAGAGGCAAGTTGAAATAATTCTAATATTTTCGCTAAATATTTTGACTGAAACTTTTTTTATTTTCAGGAGAATTAAAAATTTTACATTCATCAGTATTTTTTGAACCAAAAGAAACTCACATTAAGCTTCCATCAAAAAACCAGACAGTCAATCAAATAATCGGACTAAAACAAAAACAGGAAATGATTCAAGAGCTCATTGACACATCAATTTCTGATCAATATAATTTTCAACAACTGGTGCCGACATTAAAGGAAAGTCTTGATGCGATTCCAAAACAAATATCAACTCCAAAATACAATGATAAATTCAACAAATTATGTTTCATTCCTCCAATTCCGTCAAATTTTACAAGTGGAAAACGAAAGGAAATTCATAAAGTCAACAAAACTTGTGTTCAGCTCGCTTTGAAGAAATCCATTTGTGGACTAACAAGACTGACAGATTATACGGATATAAGTGAATCGTCGTTAACAATGTTTGCTGATTCTGTTGATCATTTCTTTAAGTCTCTTATGGAATCAATAGTCACAATTCTTTCAAACGATGATCGTGAAACTGAGACTGATGTTGATCTGATGACATTTGAACGAGCATACTTTGCTTTGACTGGAGAATCTTCAACCTGCTTCTTCAATTATTTCAAAAAAGAAATTTTCGACAAACATCAACAAACTGTTGGAAATTTTACACAAAAAGTATCCGAACTAAGGAATATCGTTGAAAGTCATCAATCGATGATGAATGAAATTCACCAACCTGATTTCTATCAAGGATTCTTCGTCAAAGAAGAAGTGAAACAAGAATTTGATGATTATGAAACATAAAATGAATAAAAGTTTATTTTCTTTTACATATAAACGACCTTCAAAATTTATTTCATCTCATTCGTTAAATAAATTCACATGCACATTTTTTGTTAATTTTCTTTTATGTTAGTGATTAAAATATTCAATCTGATAAATTCTTAATTACTATAAGTTCCATCAAGCTGATTTCCCATGTATTCCGTCCATTTTTGCTGTTTAATATTTTTGAAAGATGAACAAACTTCTTTTTGTGGATTTAAATCGTTGCATGTGCATGAAATTGATAAACGTATGATGGTAATTTGTGTTTCATATGCTGGTCTAGATTGCATGCTTTCAGTCTGCTGTTGTGCGTTCATTAAACGATTCTTTAAACATTCTTTAAGGAAGTTTTTCTGCCATTCAATTTCTGATTCTTGTGGATATTGGCCAAGTGATGACATTTTATTATCCACACATTGTATATCTGACTGAAGAAGCAATGGAGGAAATAATTCAGATTCGCGGACGTTTAAAACAAAGACGAAGTCAATTGTGTTATTTGTTTTGTTAAGTGATTCGATTAGAACGCCAGATGATGATATGGATGGTAAAACATTTTGATTTAAAAGTTGTGAAGATCGACGCTTGCGATTTCCATTTTTATGATTTTCTACATTTTCCTTTTCTATTTCGATATCCCAAAGTGTTTCAGCTCGTGGTTCCATCATTGGTTGTGAAGACTTCTTCACTTCACTGTCATCCAAGACCTTTAAAAAAGAAGCAAAGAAAATCAATAAAAAGATTTATTCGATAAATGTTCACTCACTTTTTTAACAGTTTGTGAGTTTGCGTCTTGTTGCTTGTTGCTTTCTTTTTCCACATCATGAAGTGTTTGATATGACAAAGGTTCTGACAAAAAATATTTAAATAACATTAACTCACAGTCAGAAGTGTGCATTAATTAACTTACTTCCATAATCAGCTTCACTTCTTATGCCACGATTATTAGAATTCCAATTTCGTCTCATTGATTGCATGTAGCGTTGACCAGGATTGACTTGAGTGTCATAATAATCATAATCATTGGGCTTGTCATTAACTCTTACATCTCCATTAGGTTCAAGCTGAGTTGATAAGAAGATTTTAAGATAATTCATTGGTAAAAGTTAAAATAATTTTACTCACAACTTGATTCGGGTTCATTTTGTACTGGCGTGGTAAATCCATCATGGAAATTTTATTCATAATCTCATTAAAATTTCCAGTGTTATCAGCGTCTTCAAATCCTTCCATAACTGGTGCTTCACTTTCTCTCATCTTTTCACGTCGTGCTGCTACATCTAAACTTAATTGTTCCTCACGATATTTTAAAGCTTTTTGTTTTTCACCTTCACTGACAACCACCTGTGGAGGTTCTTTTCGCATTTTAGGAATAACTTCTTGTGACTTTTGAATGAGTTGACTTTGTTGGTGTTGCGAATTCAAATTACTTTGCTTTTTATTCACTTCAATTGGTGGCTGAGGTTGATAGCGATTCTGAGGTGTTTTAATTCTCATTTTGGGATGTTTCAACGGCTGCTTTATGTTGACATTTTGTGAAGAAGTTTGCTTTGGATTATCCGATTGATTTAATTGAAGGGAAATGTCATCTGTGGATGAGAATGTTTAAATAAAATTCTAAACATTTATTTGAATAGAAAATCAATCATACCTGATGTGAATATAACAGCACCTGGTGGTTCAACATGTCTACTTACAGCATTTAGTTTAACAACAGTCGACGTGTTGTAACGTAACATGCAAATGTCAGCTCTTGATTGTTGAATTATGTCACTATCAGGAACAAACTTATAAGGATCTCTTGCATTTTCGAATTTATCACGACAATGACTTTGAAAATGAAGGAAAAAATCACCGCCGGTAGTTTGTGCAATTGAAATTCCACCAAGAAGTGAATGTGGCCCACCAGAATCGGTAACTTTTGCATCCAAAAACGATTCGCCATTCTTTCCGTTTAAGACTGTTGTCTGTGAATAGTAGTAGATTGGGAATCCTGGTCCCGTACTGTATTTCACCATGAAGTCAGTCACATTGTCATGATCATAATGACCTGGAACTATAGAACTGACACTTTCGGATGAAGGGAATGAGTAGGTCCAAAGAAGTGCATTTGTTAATCCATTAAAAGCATAAATTGTTGAATTAAAAGACGACACTACAAAGTCATCAATCCAATCGCCAGTCAAATCTGTGAGAATCGCTGGCACAAGGAAACCTGATGACGATCTTTGAATTGTCGTGTAGTCGTTGTCATCTTGGAAGTTTTTCAAGGAATCTAAACGAATCTTGTAGACACCTCCGGCTGTATTTTGTCCACCAGTCAAAACAAGAAGAAATTCAGTTCCATCTTTCATTGAAAGCGTTTGAATTGGAACGAAGATTTCTTCCTTGAATGGTGCCGGAATGCTTCGGAAAATCTTCCCAGATTTTCCTGAAATTAGTCGAATGTGACCTTCTCGAATGCCAAAGCGATCATCAGTGTGTGCTCCAATAATATCAGGAATTCCATCTGAGTCAAGATCTCTCATTAAATTCACCGTGTAAAGATCAACGGAATTTACATCAATTTCATCTGGCGATTGCATATTAAATTCTTTTAGTTGCCACAAAATTCTTCCTGACTTCCCATCAACTGCTGCTAAAAGACCGCCAGGTCCCGAAACAATGCAATCGTTGGTATGGTCGTTGTTGATGTCGAATTTACAGAAAAGTGAAAATATTGCGTAGGTTGCATAAAACTTCCACAACACATCACCAGTAGCGCCGTTTAATGCGATAATTCCACCTTCGCAAAGTCCAATCTGACCACCTGAAGACGTGCATTGGGGAATGTCATCGGAATTTTCCATTTCAATTGAATCGTCAACTCCAAAGCCCACAATTAAGTCTTCAATTCCATCACCATCTAAATCAGTCTTTCGAACAGGTGCTTCTGAATTAAGCTTCGCAAATGTTCGACTCCACACTTTTGTTACAGCCATGTTTTGACATGGAACTTGTTCAATTGTTGGTACTTTTACAATTACTTGTGAATCAATATTGTTCTCTATCAGAGCTTGATAAAGATTTGGCGAAGCATTTTGGAACATAATTTTCAATTTTTGAACTGGAAAAAGTGTCAGTACGATAGCGGAAAGAATAAGAATGATCAAGAGAACCAATAAAGCATAGCAGAACGGTTCAAGACATCTCGAGCATCGCGATCTTTTGTACTGTTTCTTAAGGATTTTCAATTGTTGCGTAGTTTTTGAATTTTTATGTTGATGTTTTTTCCGTGATGGCATCAAAGGTTTGTTTTCAATTTCACGTGATTTTCCATTTTTACCATCACGAATGAAGACTTCTTCGACATCTGATAAATCATCGTCAAGATCCTGTGATGAACCCACAACAAGTTCAGCGGGACTTGACTTCATCATTCGCATATTGAATCGAACCTGATGATGATGAAAAATATTGAGAAAAATTATTCTAAAAACATATTTTCATTGTTTTTCACCTTTTTCTTATTCAGCTTTGAAAAACTTTCAATTCACTGCTAAAGAAAGTTAGAAAAATCGCACAATTAAATTATTCTCAACATTAAAATGTTAAAATTTACCAGAGAAACTCGAAAATAATAATTTTTCTGCAGAGAAATTTCTTTCATGAAATTTTCACTTTTCTTCGTTGCGCATGTGTCAACGAAACTTTGGGGTGTGAGGGTGGATTGGAAGTTAATTCTATGACCATCTGTTGCTTTCTTGTTTATATTTCGTATAGAAATTTCACGTGTTGTGAGTGGAAATTTATTGGAAATTTTGTTTTCTGAAAAGAATGTTCAATGATAAGTTGAGAATGTTGTTGAATGGAAATATTTTATTTATTTATTATCATCGTCATTTATTAATAAGAAAACATTTTGTGCTTATGTAAAATTCATTGCACAAATCATGAAATGAAAAATTAAAATATAGAATAAAAAATAGTTATTTTATTAGACAGAAATAAATGAAGAAAGGAATTTTTATGCACATATTTATAGTTAAGAAATGAAGTAAAACTTATGCTAATCTTTTTATGATGCAAATTCTATCTCAAAATCTCGCAAATTGTATTCCGGCTGATGAAGTTCAAGACCTTTGTCATTGCATAAATGAAGTGTAGCATAAAAAGCAAGTGAAGTGCTCATATTTTCTGCCATATTTCGACTCAAAACTTTCGGTAATTCTTTCACTGTTTCTGAGAACTTTGGATTATGTGTTGGATCTAAATTATGTTTGTTGTTCAGCAACGACCAAGTGCAGGCTTTCAACTGCTTCATATCAATAACTTTCGCTCGTCTTGCAAAAGCAATATCGATTTTATCGATTTTTTGTGGTGCACCAACGAAAACATCTGAAATCTCATCAACTGGCGCTGTTGGTGGTGGCATGTCAACATTATCGAACTCCAAATTATTATCCATTTGTCCCATGTCAGTGTTGGTCTCAGTTTCAGTATCCGATTGAATATCAGCAAGACGACTGCAATAGTTACGATCATTCTCATTATTGTAATCATAATGTGGCGAACCATCGTCGTTTCCAGTGAATGTAACGTCACGATTTGAATTGATCTGAAGTGATGTCGCGTGGTTGAGCTTATCAAAAATATCAAATGGAATTTTGTAATCCAAAGGTAATTTAAATTTCTTGGGATCAAATTTCTTGATAAGTGCTGCTGTGGTTAATTGGCTTTTCTTCATTTTAGATTTGATTTCTATTAATTCGTTAGTGACATCATTGAAATTTCGGATATCTTCAAATGTCACTTCCATCGTTTTAACAATTTTTCGTTTTCTTGTCACTTTCTTTTGTTGTGCATCTGTCACACATTGCTCAGTATTTCGTCCTTTAAAACAACTTGCACGAATTCCCATGCTCATTTGTGTTCGTCGACTTTGTCTCACCTTCCAATGAGAAGGTCCAGCCCAAAACTGATCAAACATGTCAAGTGGTCGATAGGAATATTCAAGACTTGTGGCGGTTTCTGGTTGCATGTCTTCAATCACGATTGGCTGTCTTTTAAGTCCTTTACATCGATCAACAGCCACCATATCCATCTCGTTTAAATCTTCGAAGTCGCCTTGATCCATGTCACCATAATCCATCACAACCGACCGTTCGAGAGAAACTGGCTCCACAGCTGCATTGATGTCAAATGCCAACTCCATATGCGTTGAATGATTATGAGTTGTGCTGTTAAGCATGTCATTATAACGAGATTGACTCAAATCACTGTCTTCGTTATTTTCCAGCGGAAGATTTGAAATTTGATAATTTGAAAGACCTGAGCGAATGACTAAAGGTGCAACATTTTCAATGCGATAGTTTGGCAAACAAACATCGATAATTGGACGTAAAGGATCTGAAGTTGAAAAACGAATGGGCTGTTCAAAGTCAATATTGGGTTGATCTTTCGAGTTCCAAAAAGGAATATTTTGTCGTAATTTCAGTTTAGCATCTTCTGTTGGAATTATGTTCTGCATGAGACGCTTTGAGCTGGTTGTGTCGCCGATGACAGAGTTCAGCTTTGCGAAGAATGGATCTGTTAATGGAATTGTGTCAAGACGAGCATTGAGGCATTCCGGATTCTTTGTAATTGTGCTGACGTTTTTCTTTTTGCGAGTTTTTTTAATTTTCGGTTGTTCTTTTGGCTGATTTGAAGCATTGAGATTTTCTTTTTCGGCAGTGTTATTTTCGAAATCCTCTTCTTCATCATCGTCTCGTTTCTTCTTTGTTAAAGCTTTTGCAGCTGTGAAAAAAATATGAAAAATAATTAAATGCTGAATTTATAAGAGTTTCAAAATAAAATTTGTACTTTGTCTCGCTAAATCCTGACTCATTCTACAAACATCGTTATAAACCGAGTCAACTCGCAAACCATAAACTTTCGCTGAAGCTTCAAGCGTTGTACCAGCCACTTGGAAATTTGAAAGTAAATTATGATGCTTTGTGATGAGCTTGGCAAAGGAATCAATAATATTGAGGCTCCAAGCATTATCCTTGTTGATTTTCTATAAAACAAAATGGATTGGATTAACAAATTTTGTTTCAAGATTAAATATTTTAAAACTTACATTTTCGGCGAAAAGTTTCAAACAATTATTTAAGGAATCAGCAGCTTCATTGAGATTTGTTGAAGTATCACTTTCAGTAATACTTGTATTGAAAGTTCTCGACCTTCTTCTTTCATCTTCATCATCGTTTTGCTAGAAATATAAAGAAAATATTTATGATAAATCAAAAGTTTAAGATGTAAACAAACATTTCTTACCGCTTGTATTCGACTTAAATTTGGATTGGTTACATTTATCGTATTTGATGAATTTGGTGTATTAAGAACCGATCTTCGCAATAATGGTGATTCATGACCACTTCTTGTTGTAGCTAGAATACTGAGTCGTGGATGTTTCGGAGTATTCATTATGATTTTATTTAATTAGAAATATATCAACTCTTAAAATGACCGTTACTAGCTTTGAGTTTAATAATGTTCCTTGTTGCTCACTTTGCCTTCAGCACAAGGTAAAAGAAATTCCAAATTTATTTGCATGCTATGTCCCTCGTTTACTTTCAAAAAGTTCGGCGGACGCCACCGACGTCGGACTACCCAGCTTTGGTAGTTTTTCCGCGGACCGGAAAAAACTGTTTCAAATACAAAAGGAAATCCAGTAAATATAGCGAGAAATCGCAAGAACACAAAAGAATTGATTAATAAAAATTAAAACTAGATTTAATGTGTCTTCAGATTTATGAAATTTTATTATCCCGGTATACAGAAACAAAAGTTAATAATCATATCTGCTTCTCCTACTACCTACTTAGAATTATCCTTAGAACTGCTTTGCGCTGAGTCAGCATTGGATGTTTGTTCTTTGTTTGAAATTTGCTTAGCACTTTCAGGAGCAATTGCTTGAGGTGGAGGACGATATGAATACTCGAACCTACCTTTAAACAACTTGAAACAATTTACAAACAGCTTGATGTTGTGACTTCCACGCCCTGATTCATGTTTGCCTGTAATTTCTTCATCTTCGGAGTCTTCTTGGGTAGTTAATGCTTCAAGAAACTTTTTTTCCACATTGATGCTGCCTTCAAACTTTCTCAATTCCAAGAGGAATTCATTTTTGAAATCGTCATGTATGTCAATTGAATTCTTGAGATTTTCGACGATTTTCTCGAAAAGACGATCAAGTTTTTGTAAATCACCCATTTTTTTAATTTATTGTGATGTACACTTTGCTAGCTGAAAATATTCTGCGATGAGCGGCTATTCTTCCGCTATCTAAATACATTGAAACATAAAGGAAAGGTTTTACTACTCTCGTTATCAGTTGCGATTAAGGAGTTGAACTAATAAGTTTGAAATATTTCAGAGCTCTTGTGAAACATAAGAAAAAAAAGAAAATGTTTCAAATCGAAAAAAAGTTTGTGAGAGAGTTTGATTATTCAAATAGTTTTCAAGAAACACGTGATTTATTTGACGATAATTTTTCTGTCTTAAAACTTACATGCTTCGATTATGCTAATTTAAAAGAATCTTTTGACGATCATCAATTTAATTTAATTCTAAATTCTTCACACTGCTTTATTATCGTTATCGAGGTAAAAAACACTGATAACGTACTAAATTCTGGTGAAATCGTTAGCACACTTGAAACCTCATTGTGTGGGAATAAAAAATATTTTATGATAAACTTATGCAACGCAAAATTGAGAGAAACATTTTTATACTACCAAGGAGAAGTGAAACACATTGACAGTAAAATTAGAGAACGCGATAAAGATGATGATTCAGAGAGAGATAAATATATTCAAAATTTTATTCGTGGTTCATTGATGAATCAGTCAATTCTTGACTGTACGTTAAGTCTTTTGACTATTAAGAAAAATATTGAACATGCAATCTCAGATGACGATCCATTATTTTTGAGATTGTTGTTGGCTTTCAATGTGAAGCATGAGAAAGAATTCTTGAGAAACACGCTACAAACATTAATCAAACATTGTAGCGTGCACACACTTGCATCTTTTCTCGATCTACCAATCGTTGATCTTGGATGTTCCTATCCACCAACGCAGTTGATTGAAGAGGCTGTGCAATATACATTTACAAATGGTGAACAAATTTTAAGTGTGGCAGCTCTTGAAAATGATTCAGATGTAGTTTCGATGTTACTTCGAGTGGGAGCTGAAGTTGAACATCTTGACAATAAAGGTAAAAATGCTTGCGACTATGCTTTAGAAGGAAAAAGAGATGAGAACTTGAAGCTTTTGATTGAGAATGATGCTAGATTTCCTTTAGCATTTGAAGGGAAAATGCCTGCAGATTTCGAGACATCTCAGTCAAACGTGAAAAAGGAGATTTTTGAAATTTATCAACAAAGAGTGAATTTTCATGAATCGATAATTAATTCAATTAATGAAGAAAACGATACTGAGACCGTTATTAAAGAATACCGTTCAACAAATCCAAGCACAAAGTTTGCATTTACCCTGTCCGAAAAGTATCCTTATTCTAAAAGTATTATCGCTACGGCATTGGAACACAAACATTATGCTGTTTACGCTTCGTTGGTGCTCCATGATTTCGCTCAAAGCAATAATGATAAAGAAATTATTGGAAATCTCAGAGAACAAGAAAATGAAACCATTAACGCTCTCTTACAAGAAAAATTTACGAGATGCAATCTTTGGGAAATTCGTTATTTGATATCAAATACAAGGATTGGGTTTGGAGTAGAACACAACGAGTATTCGAAATATTGGGAGATAATAAAAAGTGTGTATAAATATTTGAATTCAATTGAAGATATTTGTGGTATTTTAAAAATTGTTGAACATTCGAAAGCGCTCTCAATCGTTGTTGACTTCAAGAACAAAAGTGTTAACATGGTAGATCACACAACCAATGAAGGCCCTGATGGGATAACGCACAACTTCAGTGGTCGCATATTCGTTAGTGCTGTTGGTAAATCGAAAGAAGAACTTTCGGGCGTAGTTATTCACGAATTATGTCACTTAGCTTTGCATATCATTTATCGGAATGACAGCAAACCATATTTTAAAACGGATGAGAAATTATCGAACGAATTTCAAAAACGTGTCAATGAAATTGAAAAAGTTGAAGATAATCATAAATACGTTCAAGCTGTATATAAAGATTATTCAAAAAGTAAATGGCCCTGTGAATTAATCGTTCGTGTTCCACAGTTAATTGCTTCCAAAGAAAGACATATTTTGGAAACTAAATATGCGAAATTATTGGAGTACTTTTATGAAAATGTTACATCCATTGTAGAAAAACTAATGGAAAATTCCGAAAGGTTTCGAGTACTTAGAGAAATTCAACAGTTAAATGATGATCTTGGACATATTGAAGAAATCATTCAGCGTAATGTTTGGCCTCACAAGAGTCAATTGAAAGAATCATTCATCAATGAAAACTCGGGACGAATGATATTTTGTATTACTCCTGATCTTGTTCTTTCTAATTTCTACAAGACTTATGTGCAACCAACCCTTACAAATTCATTCTTGCAATCACGGGACAGTTTACGTCGTCATTTTATTTTTGCATCAATTAACGACTTTCAAAATGCTTCAAAGAAAAATACAATTCGACAAGTGTGGCGTTTGAATACAGAAATCACATTAATAATTAGATGCAATGATGTAGAAGATCTTCAAAAGCATTGTAAATTCCTTAAGTTAAAAACCGAACCTGAAAATTTCATCTTTGTTGGAAGCAATCGCAAAGAAATGGAATCGATTGTTAATATAATAAATAAAACAGTGAACAAATTAGAGATGAGTTATCAATGGGAAGACCTTGACGAAAATTCAATAGGTTTGCTAATGAAATCAAAACTCGATTTTCAAGATCATGAAATAACATTTGACGAGTTGTTGAAAGATCTTAAATTTCCACCCGATAAACTTCCATTTGAGCAGCTTGTGAACCGGGAGAAAATTATTATTGAAACCTCAAAGGTAGAAAATGAAAATTATGTTGCTGAAGAGTTCACAGACAGAGAATTTACGAATCATGAAGACTTTAGCGACTTCTTGTCATTTTTGAAAACCCAAAAATGTGTTTTACTGCAAGGCGATGCAGGCATTGGAAAATCTATAATAACCACTCACGTTTCTCTCAAGTTTAAAGAAATTGCAAAGGATTTCTGGGTCGTACGAGTCAATATGCATGAACATATTGAAGCATTCCGTAAAGAGTGGAATAATGAGAGAAATATCAATTGCTTCATTTATGAGAATTTCATTCTCAAGGGAAATGAAAGAAATCAAGAAATAAAAATGTTTGAAGAAGAACTTTTCAATCAGCTTTACAGCAGGAAAAGAATAATTTTGATGCTAGATGGTGTGGATGAAATTGCGTCACAATTGATTAAAGAATGCCTCAGCTTTATCGAAGAATTATACAATCAAGGGAAGACGATTATTTGGATTACGACGAGACCTCATGTGGCTAGTGATTTGGAAGAAGTTTTACCTGACCACGTTCCTTTACAACTGAAATTATTCTCAACAGCTAATCAAAAAGAGTGCATTTTAAAATATTGGCACAGTAAATTGAAACTCACTGAAGTCTCAAACAATCTTATAGAATACGCTGACATTCTCTTAAATCAATTTGCTGATTCTTTAGATGAATTTGTCTTGACCTCATTATTTGGTTTGCCACTTCACACAAGAATGTTCGCTGAAACCTTTATCGATCAAATTGAGGAATATTTAAAAAGTGGCAAAATTATAAAACTACCAACGAATAAAACAAATATTTTCTGGTTGTTTAAAGAATTTGTTTCATATAAAATTAGAATTGTCGCAAAGGAGAAAGGGCAGATAATTGAGAAGGAAAGATATGAAAATGAAATATTAAGTCGCGATATTATTGCTATTCATGAACGACTTGCTATTCAATATCTGTTCAGTGATAATTCAGAATATAGTAAGGCTTATGTTTATCATCCTTCTCACTTTCAATCATTTCATTACTACTATGATAAAGTGAGTGTTAAACACTATGGTATGTTGAGCTTCTACCAAAATGGAGAGCCTTACTTCTTACACAGAAAATATGCTGAATTCTTCGTTGGATCCTTCATAATAAAGTCATTAATGAATGTCGGTGACTCGCCAATTCTGCCGCCTTCTACAAAACTTGCAATGAAAATTCTTTGCAAAAATGTCATATCAATTTATCAAGAATATTATACGCTTATAAAGTTTGTTGATGGTGGAATTAGATACTGTTGGACTGACGACACTTTCGATGATACTGTTTATGCAACATATGAAATTCTAAAAGATCATGTCAAAGCTATTGCCGATGAACAAAGCGGACATCACTATTTTCTTAGCTATGTAATATCTGAGGACGCGATTTTCCTGGCAAATTTTCTGTTGACATGTGTGGAAAGATTCATTATTAAAATAAAATCTAGAGAGGAAAACGCTGAAAGTATTGAATTAATTAAACGTCTCTTTTCGAACGATTCAGACACTTGGAGACAGGCATCAAAAAAACGACTGCATTTTATGATAGATAAATTGTTTACTTTGGCTAATTACATATATGTGGAAGAAGACTTGAAAGATTTTTACCTAAATGGGTCCGATTTGTCAAATGCTGGATTTATGCTTTCGTTTCTCGAATTTCCAAAAGATGGAATTGATATCGCGAAAGATATTTGTAAAACCTTCCGCGACTATAAAGAAACATTGTCAGATAATGAAAAGCTAGAAAGCCTTACAGAAATGTCTGCTGATGAAATGTATTCAAGTTCTTGTCTCGATTTACATTTTCGAATTATTGAATATTTATTTGACAATGTTGATTTGAAACAAAGCTTAATGAAACGAACTTCAGATCAGTTTCTCAATTATGATTTTACGATATCAAATGAATTGATCATAAAATCACTTGACGTTAAATGGATATTTATGGAAAAATTGAATCCTGAGCATGATCAAAGTTGGAAATTTATCTTGGAAGAAACAAACTTTATAAATATCATCTACGCAATTTTTCATGAATTTAATGTTAGCAATATTATTAGTTTTTATCAGTGGGCAGAAGAGAAACGTTTCGAGGATACAAAGTTTCTCTTCCAGAGAACTTTTCTCATTTTCTATGAAAATTTCTTCGGTAGAGAACTCCAATCTTACAAAAGAGTTGAAGAGTTTTTGAGTTGTGTAAGAAATAAAATTGACTTGCCTGCATTGATTGAAGAGAACATAGACGAGATGATAGAAATTATAACAGAAAATGACTTTCCTTATCATGAAGATTTAAATGACTTATTTGAATCTTTAAAAACTGAAGAGTTATCCAAATTAATATTTCATCCCAACAAAGAAGATAAGAATCTCATCGCAAAACTATCTGAAAATGATGACAGAAATAAAGTTTTCCTGAATTCCCTTTTAAAAATCATCGTAGCAGATCCAAAGTTTGAAGAATTGATTCCGGTTCTCCAAGATTCATGCAAACCTCAGACATTGTCAAATTTAATCATAAATTTCTATGAAAACAAAGATTTGCTTGTAAACATTGGGAACGCTTTTGAGAGATCACAACTTAAAACAGCTCTGTTTGATTCAAGAAAAGTTCTCCCTAACGCAGCGAAGTCACGTAATTTTGAAGTTATACAAAATGTTTGGAAATTTGCAAGAAATATTCTTGACGATGACGACCTAGAGAGTCTGATGAACCAACCAGATCTAAAATTTGAAATAATGTAGGCGTCAATAATTTAATTAATTTGTTAAGGAGAAGTTTATTTTACTGAATTCTTATTCACAGGGTTCAAAATGTACAATCGAAAGGATTTCTAATACATCCCCCTTCAATTGAAAACACTTTCTGTAGGAAGGCTTCTTTTGATTTCATATCATACTCAAAAGAATGTTCGTTAGCCCACGCAATAAAGGCGAGACATGACAATGATGAACCGGTTTACATTGGTTCGGTATTAGATCCAGAAATGTTCCCGCGTCAATGTAGAGATCTATGCGAAGTTTTCCTGGATAGTATGGAAATTAGAAGACTTCCTGAGTCGAATCTTGTAAACTACAAAAAGCAGAAAATTCCTGAATCTCTCAAGGTACTAATAGATTGTCGATAAATTTCTGCTTATGTTTTAATTATTCAAATCTTTATTAATTAGATTCTCACTGGAAAGCATATGGAGTGGAAACATTGTACTGATGATGACAGAGATTCCATCTTTGAATTTTCTAATGCATATGTTGCCAAGAAACCTGATGGAATTCTTATTTTAGCTTATGAAATTGAAGACGATTTGAAATATTTGACATTCAACGATTCAATTTCTGACATATCTACAGAGAATTGTTTTTACTCTTTTAATTAAACTCTAAATTAACAAAACTATTGTAATGGCAGTGAAAACATTTGATGCAATTTACACAAGTTCGTTGATGCTTATGTAATGTCAAAATAGTTCTTGCTAATAAATTTGAAATTCTGCTGTAGTATCTAAATAGTTACAAACTAGTTTAATTTCTTTCTTTTATTCCTTTCTAATGTAATAAAAAACTAAAATGATCATCATGGACAAGCAATAATCATACTGTTGTGTCAACACAGAAACGAACGATTTTGTCAAACAACACGAACAATTGTGTTGGTAAAATTGTCAACACAACAGTGTGGTAATAATTAACACAAAAAAAAATTATCTAGTAGAATTCCCGCAAAATTTTATTTTTGAAAATTATCATTCAAGTCTTGTGTTTGAATAACAATTTTTTATCCTCCAATTTAAGTTATATGACTTATGGTTATTATGATTTCATTTTCCTTTTCTTGTTCCTTTTGTTGATTTTCCAAAAAATCTTCAAGTTCTTTGTACGCGAGATATATTAAACCGGAGACGATACATAAGCAAACTGAAACGTTTTGTAGACACATTAAAATTATGCTTTAATTAATATTGTTAAAAGTTACCATAAATTGCTAAAAATCCCATTTTGACACGTGATTTTCCTTTTTTATTTGGCTTTTCCATTGTATAAGAAATTTTCGGTGGGGGTGGCAAATGTGAAAGTTGAATCTCTAAATAAAAATCCAACGAAATTAAAATAACGAAAGTTGTTATCGAAAAGAAAACTATCGGGAAGATCACTTTTCGTGATGTTGGTTTAGCGATAACGAGGTGGATGAAAGTTATGAAGAGCCCGACAGTGTTTAAAACTGATAAAATTATGAATAACTTCAAAGAATCTAAAATGGAATCAAATAATTTCAAACGTTTAATTGACAAATAATTCAACCTCACTTAAATTGCTTTTAAATTTATCATTTAAAAATTTGTTAACATCATCAGAATTAATCCAAATCATCACGAGACTAGTTATGAAGAAGACAAATCCCAATAATGCTAAAAGTATGAAAGCACACAATGGACCAAATCCAAATCTTCTAACACGTTTCCTTAAAAAAATAAATGAAAAACTAGAATAAAAATCTTCAGAACTTTTTCACTTACATTGTTGTTTGTCAACTGTCATAGCCAACACTGTCATTCTTTATCATACCGCAGTCGATAAAGTGAAATGGAAATTAAATACAAACAAATATTTAATACAAAGGGCTGAGTTAAATTAATGTCTCAGTTTGTCTTTTGTTTGTTATGATAAATGCAGGAAGCTTCGCCCACAAATTCAAAAACATCACTTCGTAACATTCCCTTAATCAGGCGACTTTCAATTCAAAGTTTTTTCCTTCATGCTATTTACATGCCAATTACGGGAGTCTCTTAACGGGGCACTCCTTAATTTTCCCTGTCGTCGGTCTAGTGACGGTTGTTAAGCACAATGTATCAGCTTCGACGACACGCAATTTTTTACATGAAAATTATTTGGGAAATGTGTTTAGTAAGCAAAAATAAACGAATTAATTTTAGTTTAATTAAATTTACTTTTATTTTTATCTTTAAACTTAGAATTTAAAAAAAATTTAATCATTTTCTTCGTCGTCATTTTCGGAAGAACTTGAACCAGACTCTGAATCTTCATCTTCGTTTTGACTTGAATTACTTTCAACTGCTTTTGGGTCATCAACGCGAACTTTCTTCCAGTTTTTAGCAGCAGCAAGAAGTTTAAGATTCGGTTTGGCCAATTCGTCTTCTGGGAAAATGTAATCGAAAACTTCTTCCCAACCTTCGGTTTCGCCTGTTTCTGAGACAATCTTTTGACGCTTCTTAACTCGTCGTGGCATTTTTTCAATAACTTTTTTGATTGAATCTTCATCTCCGTTTGACTTTTCAAAGTCACGCCAAGCTTCAAGAATCAACACTCGAGCTTCACGATCGTTTAAATTTCGTTGACATTCATTGCCACGCTCGTAAACTCTTCTAGCAAGTGACACATTCATCCCTTCTTCCTGTGCTTCTGATGTCAACTCAAACTTTGCATAAGAAATCCAAACTTTCACATGTCCAGTTCGTTCTAAAAGACGTTCGTAGAGTTGTCGCCCAAGTTCAATCTCACCTTGCGACACTTCAAAATCGATGAAACCTTTCCACAAAAGTTCCGGCATATCCAATCGTGGTTGTGCTACAGCAAGTTCATAAATAGCTCTTGCTCTCTCAACATCACCAAGAAGTGTCTCAAGTTCAGCAAATTTCATCCAAGTTATGCAATTTTCAGGATTGAATTCCAAGAATTTCTCATATAAAATGCGACAACGATCGAACTCTCTTAACTGAATCTCAAGCTCGATATATCCACGATAAATTTTATCTCGTGGACACATTCCAATCGCCATTCCGAGACTTTTTCTTGCAACTTGAAGATTCTTTTGTCGAATTTCAAATTGAGCATAGAGAAGCCAAATTTTGCTAAATGTAAACACTTTATGTGGAATAAGTTCTAGAAGTGTTTTGTAGATTTGTCGTGTTCGTTCAATGTCTTCAGTTTCAAGTTCTTCGTAGAGTGCATAATTAATCCATAAATAAATGTAACGACGCCAAAAGTTTTTATCATTTGCAGGCGGAACATTTGCAATAGCTCGTTCATATGTTTCTCTTGTTGCTTCTAAATCGCCTTCATTTTCAATCAATCGAAGATAATCAAACCAAGCATCATAATTTGTTGGATTTTCAGAAATTTCCTGTTCGTATTTGAACTTTCTTTTCGATGTTATCACATTTTCAATGCCAGCTTTGTCACCAAATTTCTTCTCATGGATACTGTAAGCTTTGTAGATCTCATTCGATTTGTCTTTTGGAAGATGATCTAAAGCATATTTGTAAATGACTCTTGCTCGATCATGTTCACGTTGATTTTCTTCGAACTTGGCAAAAGCTGTGTAAAGTCGTTCATCAATGTAATCATCACCAAAGAACTCGATAGCTCTTTCATACACACTTCTGCCTCCATTAATAAATCCATGAGCTTCTTCAAATCGTGCATATTTTATCCAATTTTTAACTTCAGGATGAACCATTACGAATCGTTCGTAAATGTTTCGTGCTCTATCGAGTTCCTTGTATCTCAGTTCGAAGTTAATGTAAGTTTGCCAAGCTTGTTCTTCAGGTTGCCATTCAATCCAACGTTCAAATACTTGACGAGCTCCAGCAACATTTTCCAGCATCTCCTCCATATAAGTATATTTGTACCAGAATTGATTGGTTCGTGGCATGATGGTTATTGCTCGATCCCAAAGATTTCGTGCATGATTAATTTGTTTATTCTTCATTTCCATTTCAGCATATTTCAGCCATATTGTTATGTTGCGATGGTCATTGTCAAGAGCACGCTCCCAGATTGAGCGAGCTCGTTTGATTTCTTTTTGAGATTCTTCCCATTGTGCATACTTGATCCAGTTGCTCACAACCTAAAATTATTTTAAACGTTTAAAGATAATTTTATGGTGTCTAATATAAATTACTTACGCTTCGATTCTTTCTCAAGTTATCTTCGAATGTTTTTCTTTTCCTCTGCTGATAGTCTGCTAACTCTGCTTCATCAGAAATTTTTTGTTTTGGCGGTGGTGGTAAAATTTCTAAATCTCTTTCTTTGGCTTCACGAAGAAGCTGCTCTGCAGTAATTTGAATCTCTGCTGGTGCTTTGTTCTTTACTTTCGCCACTTTCGGCATTTTTTGTGGTTTCTCCATGATTTTAAAAGTATTTTCAATTATTTGATAAAATTATAATTTTTGGTTTTTTGTAAACAAATAATCTGAAGCGTCGCTTCAAGTTAGGGGTGCGAAGATTTAAGCGCGATGTAAACTTGTTTAAATGAATTCTCACTGAAAATTTTTGCTTTTCTGTAATTAACTTCGAAGCAATATTTGCTTTTAATTTCACTATTGTTTTAGGGTGACAGAGATATTTCAAAATGACTACAGAAAAAACTTCGAAACTGTCGGATATAGAAAAAGAAATTGTCGATAGAAACAATTTGAAAAGAACTTGTCATTCAAAGGAACAAAATAAACAGTCGGATCTGGACGAACTTTCAGACCAGGAAGATTCCCCTGAGGTTGACGATTCTTCCGATGAAGATTTTACATTGAACAAACCGAAAAAGAAATCGAAGAAAAAGAGAAAGATTTCAAATGCAAAAATGTCCCAAAGTGGAAGAAAATCGTTAAAAAAGAAAAATATTATTCCAAGTTTTGATGATGTTATGCATGCCCAAATCCAACATGCTCAAAGATTTATTGACTATGATGAATATGATAGCACGGACTCTAATTCAGATCATAGCGAGACAGAATTGCAAGAAATTGTGAAAGAAGAAATTTCAATGAAAAATCAACCACAAGCACAAACATTTGAACCCAAGGAAAAGCGCAAAAAGATTGTAATTTATCCTTGGCGACCTATTGGAATTACTGGTGGTAGACCCATGGATGAAGTCAACAAATGAACATCGACAAATATTGTTTAAAAATTTGTGTAAAAATTCCTGAATAAAATTAAGATCAAAGAAAATTTATGTTTAAAACTTAAATTTAAAAATTTCTCATAAACTCTTTTCTATTCTTTCTTGTTTTAATTCATAATGAATTAGGTAACTATAAAGGACTTGGAAAGTGATTAAACTTTTTAAGAAAAGTTCGTTATTCTCTACTTTGTTTAAATTCATGTGAAGGTAGAACTTTATGAGTTTTTAATAGCTTCATAAACCCTAAATTTAAATGTTTTGCCCGCTTGATTTTGTTCAATTTTCTTAAATTTATACGTGTTTTGGAACCATTTCACTTTAATCAATCATTAAACAATTAAAGTTATACCCAATAATGTTTACAAACAAGGATGAGCAGGAGATGAAAAATCTCCACATCAAGGAAATAAAAAAATTCAAAGATAATTGTTTGAAATTAGAAATTTTGAAACGGATATCTATCAAAGATTTTCCCAGTGATCTATCTGAAAACTCAAGAAAAAATATTGAAAAGGCACTGCAAATTATCAAGATCAAAGATTATATTAATTTGGGGAATGAGCAAAAACTGTTAGGTAAATATTTCAGCATTAATTGTTTTCCTATTGCAACTTTACTTGTGTTATAGGATTGAATGAACTTGATCTAGACAAGATTAATTTGAGTTATTCAGACAAGAAGCTTATAAGAGAGCGTGTTGAATATTACTTGGATATTGAAAGAACAAAATGTGAAGCACTCGCTAAAAAACACCATGAAATTGATGAGGAACTTCAACGAAATCAAGATCAGTTCATTGAAATTGCGCAAGAAAATATTTCAATGGGACAAACGCTTGTTGAATTGAAAAACCAGGAAAAAGATCTGTTGATAAAGGTTGCCCAAGAAATGTCAAGTCCATTACAATTGAAACAAGTTGAGATTATTCACGATGAAGCAAAATCTCTCGAACTCCAAATAAAAGCTTGGAATGTTGCCATTCAAAAGAATGAATTGGAGAGGACCCAATCAGCAAAAGAGGCAATCCTGGAAGTGTCGGCTAACATCGACGAACTCATAAAACGAAAAGAAGAAAGAGAGGCGAAAAAAGTTAAATAATTTTCATTTCGAAGCATTTGCTTTATTTTTATTTCACCTTTTTCATTTCCTCATTGAATTAGTTACAATTTTCATTTGATTCTTAATTATTTTTCCATTTTACAAACAGTTGTTGGAAATCTTTTTTGGAAATATTATTGGTACATTGATTAAGTTCTCTTTTACTTCTTTTTATAAACCAGCAACTTCTTTATGCAATGGTAGATTTAATCTAAATGCCGCTGAAGCGGAGGTGGAATAAAAGGTTTGCACAATTGAAATATTGAAGCAATTCTTTATTTAACATCTTTGATCTTGAGTTAGATTTCAATAGAGCTCAATTAGTTTTGACTATTCTCATGATTATGCAGCATCTAGCGAAGAGCTACATTCATGCTAGATTTAAAATTATGCAATTTTATTGAGTATATTTTTAATACCATGTTATAAATTGTTATATTTATATTGTTTGAATACGGTAAGGATGATGACCTCCGTTATTAGTTAGAGACGAGAAAGCTTTCTCTTTATCGAATGAATCAAAATGACAATCATCCTACTCAACATTCCTTTTCTAGACTTTATTTAATTTTACTTTCAAAGGTGCATGCAGCGAAGAAACTTTTTTATGCAACTGGTATAAAAAAATAAAACGAAGCTCTTGAATTATTTTGAAGATTATTTAAAATGTAATGCAGCAGAGATTAACTGACTCCTTTCAATCATCATTATTATTATTTTGATGCACTTGAAGGACATTGTGATGAGAAGTAAATTTTCTCCTACGCATAAATAGCAATTTTCAGTAATATTCAAACAGAAGATTAACATCCAATTACTGTCTAAAGCAGATATTTAAAGTTGCCATGAATGTACAACTAACATTGATTACACTTTATCTGTTTGTCAAGTTTTTACTAAAATTTACACTAAAGCTAAACAAACAGTTGCTTTATGAGGGTTGAGATTTGAGAATTGTGTCGTTAACATGAATGGGATGAAAAAAGGAAAAAAAAGCTCTTGAAATGCGAATGCTAATCAATGAAATCATTAAATGTTATTTACATACATAATCATACTTATAATTTTTTTGTTTTGTTTCGTTTATAACTTAATTAACTAAAAATATTTTATTATGGCACGACTATCAGAACATGTTTTAAACGTGTTCCAAGTCGAAGATTTTTTTTTATTTTTGTGAATTGTTTTTGAACATTTTAAGTGTTCAATTTCCATCAATATTTTGATGGTCGTTTCAATCATTTTAATCACTTTTAAGATCGATTCTCTCTTACAAAATAAGAAATTAATTATTAATTAAAATTAAAATATCACACATTTCGAAATTAAAAGATACAAAAATTTAATTTTTCTGTTCGTTCTTTTGGATATTTTTTTCTTGCTATCAAAATTGAAAAAGAAAATTAGGAAAGTGGGAGGTAAAACCAGAACTGAGCAAATTCATTTCGCGTGGTTAGAGAGGGTTAAAGAGGCTGAACATGCTTACTTAAGAATATTTAGAAAGCGACATTGCATTCGTCATTAAATGCTTCTCTTCTTTCACTTTCATCATTGTGAATAATAAAATTCATTTGTTGAACAAGGAAACAGATTTCTAAATAGAATTACAAAGAACATTAAAGTGAAATCAGAAGAGAAAGTGTTTTTAGGTCAGTGTAAGTTCTCTTAATTGTGTTCACGTTGGACAAAGAACTTTCAGGATGTAATCGGTCAAGAGGGTTGGAACTGTAGGCGAATCCTCGTTAATCGCTCTTAAAACTAAAAGGAAAATAAAAATTTATTAACCATCGACATTGAAAGAGAAAAATAAATTTCTTACTCTTTATGAGCACTTGAAGTGCTTGGTTGTCGGGAGGGCCAGCATCTAAATGATATGGAATGACTGTGGTAAGATATTTAGGATCCATTGACGATGTGCTGAGACCATTTGGTCTTGTGGCGCCATTTTGACCATTCAGCGATTGAGTTGACGATGTCATCGATGATTGCATTTTTCCTTTTTTCTTCTCGACATGAAATTGGCGCCGCTTGTTCTGAACGCCCAATAAAAGTGAAATAAAAGTGTTCTTCAGCTCCTTCTCATACTCCAATTCATCGCGTAATGCGAGCTCATTTATTAATGTTTCAGAAAATTCACGAATGAGAATTTCCATTTCCATGAAGAGATCATTCAGTTGAGTTATCGTCATTTCCTTCAGTTCTAGAAGTTTATGAATAAAATTAGAATGTTTATGTATTTTCACATGCGCTTCTACTTACTATCTTCATAAAGTGGCGCTCCAAGAACTTCTTTAGCTTTTTCCATGACTTCATTCTCCAAGACGTCACCTTCAGATGGTGTTGTTTCATCCATAATGTCATCGATCTCTTTGATGACTTCTTCGGCAGTTTGAATTGGTCCATTATCATTATTTTGCATGCCGCTTAGTATCAATTGATGCAGATCCAAGTCATTAGCTACAGCTTCGTCTTCAGAGCTTAAATCTTGAATTTCATCATCAGGTGTTTCTGCTGGTCGCTCTCCCAACTTTAAAGCTGGAACATGTATTTGTCTTGCATATGATTTTGACCAATCGATTGGTAAAATGTTACCGAAGTTTCCAGTTATCGTCCACCACATTCTATAAAAAGAAAAGTAAATTGATAATACAAACAAGTTAATTAACGATGTGAACAGTGGAAACTACAATAACTAATTGAATTAATTTAATCTTTTGTCTTCAGCCACTCGCTAACGACTAAACACTACGAAGCATCGAAAAGTTTTCTGCTTGAAACGTTGTCTTGTCATCTCATTAAACTCATACAAATTGCTTTAATGCCCACGACCATTCCGTTTTGAATTTAATATTTACTCATGAATATTTCTCATTGCCACATTCGCGTTTGTCTTACGCAGCTTCGAGTGCTTCGTACTATGTAAATGCAAATCAAATCACCATTCATGGAAGTTCGGGATGAATTGTTCAAAATTCTCTCGGGAAAGATGTTTAAAAAACGGTGAACAATGTACGGGAGTAAATCTTATTATAACGAGAAGTTTTGACGTCACATTTGTGATCAAAATGTGCCCACGTTAATCACTATAAGAAATTCATTCATTACGAAAGACGGCGATTGAAATCAACGCATTCATTTAAAAATTATTCGATCGACGATTCAACAATGAAGCTTAACAGCAGTGGGTCAAATATCTCATTGAAGAATTTATTTATTTATCAATGTTACGACACAGAAAATGTCATATTTATCTACATCTCATAAACGCTACTTTCAGCAATAACTTAAGCTCACTCCAATGGTGCAAAATATTTTTTATTTGCTTATTAATAACTGTCAACTTGTTGAGCTAAAGTACAATACAAACGACTTCGTAACAGTTTGCAATTGTCCAGTTTACCTTTCTCATTGACAAAAATATTTTACGACAAGATTTTGATGTTTTATCCAAATAAGGAAGATTACACGATGAGAAAAACCTGAGTTTGAATGATAAAACTTTATGAAAAATGGGCTTCGTCTGATCAACCACGAAGAATTCATTGAGCTCATAAACAAACAAAAATCGTTTTTATTGAAATATCGAGCGCAGACTTGAAATCTTTTATGGTAATCTTATGTTATGAATACTTTTATTATTCCTCTAAATCCATTCTTAAGATGGTGTTTGCTTAAGACGATATTAAAACGATGTTTCTGAAGCCACAACAAAGAATAATTAATGATTGACGCGCGTGATTTCTTACTTGAGTTATTAATAGTTCAAACATCGTTCACCTTCAAATAAACCTGCACATAAGTCTGAAGTTCTGCTGCAAATATTTTTTTATGGTTTTTGAATCGCCTCAAATCACTCGTGAAATAAAATTCCTTTCAAATGCCGTTCAAGGAATCTTAGACATCTCGAAATGGAGACATTGAAGGTGATTGTAAGGTAAATGGAAATCATATCCGATAAGGTGTCACGTTAATGCTTCATTTGCATCATACGATGGCACTTGCTGTCGAAACTAAATGTAAGTTGAAACGTTGACTAACTTTCTAATTATTAACTCGCAACAACTAAAGTTTTATGTGAATGACCGCACGCATTGTTTAACGAATTTAAATTTATGTAAATTTGAATGATGGTCACAAATGTTTCTTTCTCAAAACAAGCAATTACGTGAGAAAGAAATTAGCTGCTCGTTAAATCTCTAAGATGAAGTAAGTTTTCAATATCTTCAGTTGAATTTATGTGAATATCAATTAAATTCAAAATGCTAAAACTTGAACATTTTTTCAAATAAATTCAGCGATAAAAATTTACATTTCCGTTCGTCAAGTTCTACAATGACTCGTTGCGATTCCGATTAATTCTTTTTCATTTTTGTCGTCATTCTAAATTTATTATTTATTTGAAATGCGAGGAAATAACCGCGATTTAGACAATTTGATAGAATTAGTCGCAATATCAACCGTTACACGCATTTGGCTTTGACCAACTTTGTCAATTGTCGTCTATTGACGTAGATCATAACATGACAAAGTAGGCTTTAACGAGCTTCTACGTTGAATATTAATTGAGTGATCAGCCAGAACATTTAACGCACTTTCACAGCTGTCATATAACAAAGGAGTGTCAGGTGTTTATTGCATTAAAACAACAGTCGAAAAGCTACTACAATTGTTTCACTAAATTACTCATTCTTATTCTACGCATTTAAACAAATTAATAAAAATATTCCTCCTACGTTCTTCATTTAAATATTTTCATGTTAAACTTTTTTTTACCCCCAGAATGTTATCAACATAAAATTTTGAGGTTTTTGTTCGCTGAAAACATGGAAATATGTTTGTGCCTGGGGAAATGTGTGTTTGGATAATTTTCATATCTTTTTTTATGAAGCTAGAACATGTTTGTCGTGCAGAAATTGAATAATGTGTTGGAAGATTTAAGCTAGTGGAAAATCAGACAAAGTAAAAACAAGAAGGAATTTGTCAGTTTTCTGAGTTTTGTGGCGCCTTTTAACCTCTTTATGACAAGCGATTCTTTAACCTTTTCTAGCCAAATGCACAAACTATCAAGATAAGTTAAACTGACTTCTCAATGAAAACATTCAAGTGCCACAGATGGAAAATTCGCTTAATTTTCCACTTGATTTCTTTCTATGTGTTTCAGAGTTAATCGCTCGCTACAGAGATGAAGCTAAACACATTCAATCTCTAACGTGAATTGAGATTTAACATTTGTCTAAATGATGAAAGACATTCGATTCTCTTACGATAAATTTTCATATTTAAAATGTTTTCTCGTGAGAAAATGTTTGTAGCTCATCATAAACGAGATGTTTGCTATTAAATCTGTTTGTTTGCATACACATATTGAAGTGTGAATATTTTTGATTTATGACAGATTTTGAATTGAACAGCTTTCGATTTTCATCGATTCAACTTTCGAATATTTCTTCAATTATAATCTCAAGCCCTTAGAATAAGAAAAACCACTTAATGTCTACTTTAATGTTACTTATCGTAACATCATGTAAATTTGAAGTGCTTTCGAATTCACTCACTTCAAAAGGTTTCTTCAGGAAATCATGAAAACTAACCGCACATCATCAATTGAATGTTTTTCTTTCATTACATTGTTTCTCGCTAATTTACCAGATTTGTAAACACTTTAAAATCAAAACATGCTTTAAAAATATTTCGCTCTGAAACTAAATTGGAACACAAAATTTTCCGATTTCCCATTAAGCGAAAATATTAATAGAAAAAAAATGTAAAAGAATTTTAAAACACAAAATTTTACGTCTTTGATATGTGCCGCTAATAAACTTTTCATCGCTGTAACATAAACAATATTTTCCGTTTTCCACTCTCAAGTGACGTCACTGACGCCGATGTTTCTAATTTATCGACAGAGATTGAGATTTGATGTACATTGAATATGTTAGAGGCCATGGCCGTTTATAAGATTTAAAGCTTAGACTCGTTGATTGATGTCCGAGCATTAGAGATTTGTCGAACCCTTGCGTTTATTGATTATCTGCTCGAAGTTAAAAATAGAAATTGCGATGAACGAATTTCACAGTCAAAGCAAATTCTAAAAGAAATGAAATTGACAACAATGCAAAGTCTTATCAATTATTATGCGAGAATGTCATGAAAAATGCATTCATCAACTTGTGGAATATTCCATTGCATTCAATTTCTCGCTATTGTATTTATTTTAATTTTTTTCATTCTTTGTATGACTTTTGCGTAACGAAAGACGTTAAAAAGTGACAATGATAACTGCCTGCTACTTCTTGTAGCCCTCAAGACCAGGCGGTAGCAAACAAGAGAACAAAAGTCATGAGCAAACACATGGACAAAGATGCGAGTATTAAGTTAGTCACTTTTCTCTCGCACTTTCAAACAACATTTCGTTGTCGTATCTCCATTCGGAAACGTGTCGTGAGAAGAATAATGGGCGACAGTGGCTTGTTTTCTCACTCTATGCGGTAATTAAAAGCAATGTTTATGGTTAACGTTGAGAAAGGCTTTCTTTCATTCAAATGTAAATGAAATGAAGACATTTTCCCTTCACCAAGTGAGTCTTAAAACAATTTCCGAGTGTGATTTAAATACATGAAATAGGAAAGAAAGATTTATCACAATTCATAGTTGGAGAAGGAGGAAATCAACATCGTATGCTCATTTAAGTCATAACATTTAAAACAAATTGAGTCATTCAATTCTCGTTCAGATATCTCCAAAGTCGAAGAAAAATTTCGTTGATTTAAGAGACTGAAGTGTGCCTGACGCTGCATGAAGATTTATTTTAATTTAAAAAGGTGTTTTGTTTAGAAAATAAAACACAAAATTGAGACGAGAGAAATTAATTCAATGGTATAAGTTTTCATACACCCACGCACAAGAATTTTGTAACAAAATAACTTTCAAGAGACATGAAATTTTGAAACCTGTCGGCATTAATTCACTCATGATTCGACGTAAGCTTCTTTTGCGGCTTTTTTTATTCTTTGGAGGTTTAATAAACCTTGTTGTGATAAAAATAAAAATAAGAACAAACTTGCCGTTTGTAGAACTCAACTATAAAAATCAATAAATTTTAATTATGCGCAAACATTGACTTAATTGAACTTATACGCCCCCATTGAGAATCAATCGCTATCTCTCCAACAACATATGAACTCAGTAGGATTGTTCGTTCGATAAAAGGTTTTTAATTGAATTGGAAAATGGACGAATGAAAATGTGAAGCTTGTCGTGGTCGAGGTTGAAACTGGTGTGAAGTAATTGAAGGTATTCGATAATGTAGCGATACTCATAAGTTACAGCAAATAGATTGAAACATTTTAAGCTATCTGACCTCTATTCATGTCATCAAAATCCAATTTATCATGAATTCAGTGTCTTTGTTATAAGTGTCGATCATAGTTGAAACTGTCGAATGAAACTTCATCTACATGTCTATGTAATAAAAGTACAATTTGATTCATCATTGAGTTTGATTAATTCCTTGTTCTCATTTGAGTGTGTTCCATGTAACTGTATCTTTATTTGATCGCATCATGATTACAAGATACTTTTGAAACATCATGTAAGGTCAAACAAAGTTGACAGAAAACTCAATTGAGACATTAAATATTCTATCAAAAGGGATGAAGAGACCTTTTACTTCAAAGTAACCTTTCACATTTCGTTATTCTCACAACTCATTCAATTACGCCTTAGACTGGAGTATGTTTTCGACTCTTTTTTTGCCGGAAGCTCGAAAAGTTCTTTTAAAGCTCATGCGCAAAATTTAACTCCGCTTTTTTGTAGTCAAGAACATGTTGTTGATGTTCTCATGCCAGCAAACTGGCACAAACAATGTTTTTATGAATTTTTATTCTTAACGATTACAAATTTTCATGTCAGCACACAATATTCTCCCACATACAAAATCCTGGCAATTTGCGCTAGTAAAATATACGATTTCGTGATTTCACGAGTGATATTTAAATGAAGATTTTAGTTTTAAATTGTATCACATGTGAGAATTGGAAGTTTGGCAACAGTGCACGAGTAGCTTACACTCTCGTTATCGTCGACTTCAATGTTGTTTTGTAATCAATCGGCGCTTAAATAAAATTCAAATATGAAGTCGATTTTTAAAGAAAGTAATTGAAACTGATAAGAACGTTTCAACCGTGTTAATGATTAGTGAAGTAATAAAACAAATTCTGACTAAAAATATTTGCTCATAACATCGCAATCAACTTTTCCTTCTTTATTTTGCAAAGTCGTAAAAGTTAATTAATTAAAAAGCAGAATAGAATGAAATTTTATATACACAGACAAAATGAAATGGAATAATCGCTACTTGGAAATAAACTTTGACTTAAACAAATGAAAGCAAGTGGATCTGTTGATTTAAAAGTTAATAAATTGTTATACATTATACTGGCAACGAACCTGCCTAAAGTTGTTTGCATATCAAGTCAAAGATTTATCATGAGGTGACCTTCCCGCATACAAATCCTACTTTCTTTTTTCATTCAACATTTTTCACTTTTAATGAGAAACACGAGACGAGTTTGTTATGAACGAGTCACAGAACTTTCCACATTGAAAAATGATGAAGAAAATTCAAATGAAAAGTAAAAAAAATCGTCTATCTCAATTTTCCAGTGATTTGAGAGTTAAAAATAGAAATGTTGAAATGTGTTCAGGTTGAAGACGTGTCATTAAGTCTTCTCGACAACAAGCAATGAAAAAAATAACTCAAAAAATTCTATATAAAAAGTTAAAGCTTCCAAATATATTTAGAAAAGTGGCAATGATGGACATATGCAAATGTTCAAGTGTTTGTTGATGCTACGAATCATTTCCATGACGTGCAGATGCATTAAGTTTATTTTTAAACTCTCAAGTTCTACGGAGTCATCATCAGCAGTGCAGCTCATTAAACTTGATTGCGGGACATTCTTTTTAAAGAGAAGCAAATTGAAGCTAAGTTAATGTTTCTCATGCTCTTCTTCAAAAAGCTTTTGATAAGCTAGAAAAGAGAATTTTAAACCAGTTGATGGTACTTGGAACAATTTCTCAATTCAATCTTCCCAGCTGGCTTGGAAACCCATAAACAAAGATATAAAGTTTGTTTTTCAACTCATGTGTCGACATAAAAACTTAATGTCGCTTATGTGTTTTAATTTGTGCTCATTAATTCATGACACAATCATTTGCTGCGTTTGTTTATGTTAAGAAAAGCTTTAATAAATTTTTTTTCATTGCATAATAAAAGTGATAAGAATAAATTTTAATTGGCTTTCGTTTCGGATGGTTCTTGGAATAAATCTTCTTGAATGTCAAGGGAAAAGATTGTACAAGTGGCCTCAAAAAAAAGTCTTTTGCTTCTTGAAAAGAAATTTATTCCATTAAATATCCGTTTCTTTGTTGATTCCCCAAACTTATCAATTTTATTAAAGCGCAGATAATGTTTCATCACTGTTATTATGACTGTTCCTAAGAGACAGCATTTGATGTCTTAAAGCTTCAATATGTGTGTCTGCTTTATGAATGTTGCCAGTAGAGATTAAATAACTAAGCTCGATAAGCTTCACGAAAACGGCACAATCGGAGATTGTAAACTGAGTCTTTCAGCACAATGTATCATTAGTATTTAACAAGAAATATTTTTTAAGGAATGATTTGAAAATAATATCTCAATGTTATCGATCATAAAAGTTTGATTAAAATTCTTCAAACATTGTTACAGAATTTAAAGTAAACTCCATCCGAATGTTTTCATTCAAAAGATTATTCATAAAGCATTCAAAAAGAATTGAATTAAATCCATAAAGATCTAAAGACGGTGATTATCATATGATTTCTTCCTTTAAAGTGAGAATATTATTCCAAAAGAAGAACGCACGAGATATTCATTAAAATGTATTAAGTGCGACCTAGAAGTTTTTTTTATTCTTTCAATTTTGCCAAGCCCCGAAAGAAGCGCGCGCAAAAGTAAATCATTTTCTCACTGCCCAATTACCACTCACGCCGAATGAGATAATTTAATCAACATTCATTAATCTTCATGAGGAAAAAGAGTATTTAATGTTGACTCATCATCTTAACGAGAGTTTTGCTTTCAATTCAAGTGTTGCGCTATTCTCAATGTTATTTAAAGCAAATTATAATTTACATAAAAGTGTTCATAATGATTCGTCAATTAATAAATGAAAGAAAATGTGGCATTGACATAACAGAAGAGAAAAATTTCGTTGCAATTATGAAGTCTAATCTTGTTTAATGGACCACAATCAAATTATTTTTTGATTGCTACGAGCATAATATGGAACATGAAACAGTTGATTTAATACTTTTCATTCTATATTGTTGTATAATTTATGAACTTGCTTCTTTTGACTTTGTTGTCTGGCGATGATGGTTTTCAACATTTGTTCTTTCACGCTTCTTCATTGTAGTGAATAAAAATTATGATTAATCGATTTGAGTGTCTGACATTGTCTGCTTTTCACATTGTGTCTGCTTACGCCCCTCATAATAGCAATAATGTTGCGACTAAACTTGCGAATTTTCATGCAAAAGTTCCAAATTTCTTTTAATGTTGTAATCAATCACTTGTCATGGGGAAATTCACATTCACATGGCTTCATGGAAGTGTAGAGAAGTTGAGATAAACAAAGCCATTTGTTTAAGAAATTCAATACAATTTTATGCGTTGAAAGGTTTCTCAATATCATAAACGAGGGAAAGAAAGAAAGAAATGAATGTTGCTGCTTGGTGTTTGTAACAGTTTCATATTTAATTAAAAATATGTAGCCGAATAATTTTTAATAAGAAAATTGCGTAATTCAAATATTTGATGAAGTAAGCTCTTCGTTTTTCATTTTCATTTAATTGCAGTACATTTGAAAATTAGACAATTACTTCAAGTCCATTTGTTGTTTGAAAACAATTTAAATTCTAGCCGCGCAGTTTGAAACTTTTGAATGTTGTTTGCTTTTATTCACTCCCTGATATGATCAAACGACAAAAAATAAAAATAAATATTTTCATACTTTTTAAACGAGTCCAAGTTCAATGTTTTTGTCAGCATTCACACTCGACCAGATGGAAATTCAATCGATTTTTTATGTCAGCTTCCAGATGCCAGCAACTTGTCAGTAAATTTATTTTCTGTTTGTCATTTTAAAATATCTCAAATGTGAGAATATTTTATTCAATTTAATTTGATTTCTCGCTACTGTTTCATTGTGATTGTGACGGGAAGATGTTTGATGAAAGCTTCCGAATGCGTCATTTTTATATTAGATCAGTCATCACATTTCATTAACAGAACGTATGAAGAAGACGACAGAAATAGCGCGTAAAAAATTCTCTATCTGATTATAAGGTTTAAATATTTAACTTTCATTATCACGCAAAATATCCCACACCTTAATGAATTATGTTTGCATGTAATTTGGTTGTCTGGCTATAAGTTTATGAATTGTCTTATAAATTCTTTTCAAGCTCAATTTAATCACAGGGTTATGCTGTTTAACCTTCAAACCTTACACAATGTGATAAAATTTTCACGCAAATCCTTCGACTTCTCTCTAATGAACAATTTTTATTAATCATCAAACATTGACTTGAAAATGTGCCTAAAACAAACGTGTCATAAACCGTCTTGGTCATAAAAGTCATTTAACATTTGTTTGATCAAACGAAATTTAGAAACATAAAATAACCGCATCAAAATGTTTGTCTCTTGACGTTCTTTGGGTCTTTTACGTAGTGATTTGTAGACTTCAGTATCGATTTTATGTAGAAATCCAACGGAATTTTGTGGACATCATCATTAACCTTTCTTCTTGTAATTTGACACTTTCGTGGTCATTCAGTCGTTGGAAAACTTCATGAAAATAAATATTTTTATATTTAACTTTAATTTCATCTCAATTAAAGATTTTTTCCCATCATTTGTTTAAAAACACTCAATCAAAACAAGTTTTCAATGCCTTTTAAATCATATCATTTGTAGAAGAAACCGCAAAATGATTATTAATTGAAAAGCCATCAATTTTTGATCGATTGCTTGGTTTCTATGCGCCTTGACATTATGAAATAGTCATCGTTAATTGGCTTAATGACAACATTTTGTTACCTAATTTTCCATATTATTTCTTATAAATAAATATCTATGTAAAGTTTCGTCGAGAAGAGTTTCATGTTTCTGATTTTTTTCTACTTGCTTAAAACAACTCGATACTTATTTCGAAATAGATTTCGTTGAGCTTGCAAGATTTACGAGCATTAAAGTCGCAGCTGATGCTACATTTCATGCAATATTCTAAGAAGATTTGAATATATCAAGTTATCAAGTTTCCCTTAAGTATTTTCACAGCTTAAGTGTTAACACTCGCGTGATTGTGTTTAAAATAATAAGTCAGGAATATCCAAGCTTTCAAAATTGTCAACGAAGCAAATAATTGTATAGAAATCACTCTTCAAGATTATTTCCATAAAGCACTTGAGCCAAGAACGAAAAGGTCATGAACATGATGTCGTGTTGAAAAACTATGTTAAGTATTAAATTTTGCAGATGATCAAACATTGAATTAGAATAAATTTTAAACTACTTCCAAATGTTTTTATTGTGTATAAAAAGTCACAACTTTTTAATTAAACGATAAGAAGAAGCTAAGCTAACTCAACGTAGTGAAATTTTAATTAGTTTTTATCATTCGGATATTATCAAAGCTTTAATACCTAAGCTGAGCTATGAAATATTCATTTAATGCTAGATATCGCTAAACTTTGTTATTTTCGTTGTGAGTGACAACCAACAGTTGATTATAAATTTGTAAAGAGTCAACCACAAGCTTACACAAAATGCTAATAAATAATGCAAACATTTTCCCGCAGCGACGGTCGATTGTGTGCAGTTACATGAGTAAGCACAAAACATCTAAAGCTGCTGCAAAAATTTATTTTATTGCCTTAATTGACGATTCTAAATTGTTTGAAATTAATTATTGCCGACTCAAAATCAACTGACATAAATATTTTGGTTTACTTTTAGTAAATAATTTTCCATTATAAATGATGTTACATTTCTCAACTTATTATTGATTTGTTTATACACAAATTTGACGTAATTTACGATCGATAATTTTTGTAAGCACTTGCACGAAGCTAAACTTGTCGATTTTCTATTTTTTATTCATAGATTTGTGATGCCCATAAATCCTACTCAGTTTTGCGCTTGATGATCGATTTTATGAAAGATTTTTGTGAAAAATGTAATAAAATCATTTTTTAAATCATATAAAGTCAACTTTTGTCTGAGTCACACAAACGAAAATCATCCAAAAAAAGAATTGTGACGGTTCGGGAACAATTCTCGTTTCATTTAATGAGTTTGAAAAGGCAAGTGACATCATCAAAGTGCTGACATAATTTTCCATATGTTCAAAATTGTAAAATATTTATAGAAGTAGATCTTCATGTTTTATGTGATGTAAACTAATAGATTTCAGCGCGTAAAGAATCATAAAATCACTGCGAAACACAACAACTGATTGAGCCAATAAAATTTCAATGTTAAAAACAAAAAAATGATAAAATATTTTAAGTCACATTCCGACCATCCATCGAATTCCCAAACATTTCATTCATTTTCCATAAATTTATTCAAGTGCCGATCAATTGAACATCTTACGACCATATGCCGTCAACTTAAAATCAATGAATCGAATCTTCATAAACCTTAACAATCATTTAACATACTCAGATCATAGTTTTGAACATCACTTGGTCAAATTGCCAACTATTAACTTATGAATGGCTTTTGAATTAATTGTAAAATGAATCTGCGATCGTTATTTATGTGGAAAAGAAGAGTAAGCCAATGGTATGCTTAATTTTATGTTGCGTAAAAATTCCGACGTTAAAGTGTGAAATAACTTCTTCACCACATCATTAATTTCACTTTTAAATCATAAAACAAAGTTTTTTTAAAAACATTCTGTCTCTGACCTATTTTTTAGCGTGGCCGTCATTGCTTCTTCATCACAATAATTATCCGGAATTCAGCATCATGCGTGTTTACATTTCTGTGTTAGACTTTAATGATTAATGTCGCTTTTCGAAGTTTTAACATCGAGTTTGACGAGTAAGAGAGAAAATCACAAATCTTTTATATTTAAACACATCAAAGGTTGAAGAGAAAACTGAAATTAATGATTCGACACGAATATTTTAAAACTTATTCCGATCTTCATCTGACGATCACGTTTAGTTTGACGATTGCATTTGAATCTCGTGACTCTCTAAGTTTCATATTTCTAGAGTTCAAGGAACCTACTTCAAGCGACACCGCAGTTCAATTTTTCACAGTAAATTACTCTAAGATACTTGTAGACAATGGGGAAATGTTTAGCATCAATTTGCAGTTATGAGTGTGACGTGGAAATTGTTGATTCCTCGAGATTATGCTAGCGAGAACTTCTTTCTTCTTCCACAAACCTTCATAAAGGTTGAATCACGAAAGCCTTTCGAATACTTCGAGTCAAAATATTTAACCTTTGGAAATCGTTAACTCATCATTTAATTCTTTCATGGACGTTTCATTTTACAGCTTTTTGCCTTTATGGTATAACAAATTGCACAAAATTGCATTTCGTTCAATTAAATTAAAACTCGAAGGTACGGACAGAAAATAAAAATCGATTTATCGGATGGCCAGATTTTTGTCAGCTTGCATAACTTTTTTTTCTTTATTTTGTGTTATGTTGGAACTAACGATGTTGCTAAATTAAATAAAAACAGAATTTATCTGCATTCAACAATCTCACTCATGCTTTAGTGAAGTCAAAACTCAACAGACCAAAACATAAAAATTGCAATTTTTTCGGATCTCTGCTTTGGTCTGAACATTCCACATGAGCGTTCGTTCTCCAAGAAGAAAGGCTGATTCTCCTGATTTCACATCCATATGGAGAAGCACGAAAGAGATAAAATATCTACAACAAATGTGCATTGAAAAACGTGTTTGCAATGCTTGCATTTTTTATGAAACGAGAGGAAGAAAGAAGCTCAACTAAACGACCGATACTCAAGCAAAGCAAAAGCATTGCCCATTAAAATCAAATCTCGTTTTGTAATATTTTTTTCTTCCGATTTATTTGAAATAATTGTGTAGGAAATGAAGAAGTTTTGAATGGAAGAAAGTTATCCAAGCTAAAAAAATAATTTGAAACGCTTTAAAAACAAATGAAGATGTGAAGATTGAGCTACTGTCGAAGTTATGGCGAGATCAAAATCCGTTTATTGATGATGATGCGTTTATTTCGGGAAATATTATTAATTGGATCATTTATTTAAAATTGAGTCATTCTTTCTTTAAAAAACGAAAATAAATTATTCAGAGAGATTCTTCATGAGTCAACAATTTATTTTCTCAGCAAGAATTTTCTCGGCACATTTTTTACATTCAATTGAAACATTTTATGCGTTTTTATGATTTTTTTCCCTCTGCTTTTAACAACTTCGCACACTGATTCATCACGAGTAAAATTTTAACTTACTTTTCTTCAATTTGATTCATAATAAATTCGTAAGTAGTTATTTAACTTGCAAAATCGCGATTGTTTCATTTTCTTGATCTAATTTCGTTCCTTGCAGTCGGTCATGTCGATGTAAAATGTCAAAGTCATCGTTTTGATCTTGACCATAGCTAAGCTTTTACTAGGTTCATTTGCATTTAATTTAGGACTTTTTGGACTGAGAAACAGCTGCTTAGCATTTTCGTGATTCACAAAATCGAAAGTTGTTGGCACACGAATATTTTTCCATTTTAACGAACTGTCGATCACTACTTTTGGTCTCGTTTGTTTCGCTACGAATTTATCTACTTTTGTTTATATTTTGCTTCAAAAAGCCGCACTATCGCTAATGTAGTTTTAATTAGCATTTCTCGGCTTAAGCTTTGCTGATTAGAAATCGCGATTATTCGTGCCGTCATGAGAAAGTTTCTTCAACAGACAACAACAAATAAAGTTCATTGAATCTGATCATGTTTTGAAGAAAATTTTACCGCTTTTTCAGTCTTCAGTAAACATTTTAATTAAACATCTTCAGTCAGTCGCTCAGTTAAGCTCTCAACCAATGCCAGCGACATTGAAATGAAGAGAAAAATCATAAACGAAACTTCACGAGCTCATAAAGCATCAGAAGCCATAAACTGCATCAAGTTTTATTATGTTTCATGTTTTATAATCATTATTTTTAAATCTGTTACAAGAAGACGCCCAGTGAATTTTGGGTCGCTTGCAGTAAGAATTAGGCGTTCAAATTACGTCATAAATCATGAAGAAGATATTCCAAGAAAACCTTTGAAAATTAAAAATTAATAAAGAGAAAGATGAGAAATGTTTAAATCGCTTCTATCATTGTAATAAATTCGGTTTTACGCATTTAAGAGTTGGATTCGAGACGAACCGACTGTCTCTGAAGTAGGAGAAAATTTCTCTAATCTCGTTAATGGAATTGGAATGTTTTTTGGTGAAAAGCAAGAAGACGAAAACATGGAAATAAGTTTAACATCTCATCGATTATCTTTCACTTCTTCTTTCTATTTTCTCTTTATTGCTTTACTTTGAGGGTTCTTGGCGATCAATAAGAATCTGAAGAATTTCAACAACAAAAAACCAGAAATTACCTTAAATGAACACATGGAAAGCGGTCGGTTAAATATTTTTAGTTAAAAAGGTTCGTTTACTTTGTTTATTTTTCGATTTTTAAGTCTTCCTTTTTTAAACACCTCAAAATGAAACAAGACGAGAAATAAGTTCAGCAGTGATCTTGAAATTGATGCATCAGTCAAGCAAAAGAAATCTTACAACTGATGAGTAATTTTCACAACTCATTCAACTTATAAATAGATCATTAGAGCACTTTAACTTCACTGATATTTATTCTTACAATTCAAAATTCTTTAGAAAATGTGGGTAAGGGAAATATTTACTGAAATAATTGACAGACGACGATTCAAGGTGGCGTCTTTAAATGTGCGAAAAGCTTGGATTGTGTCATAAAACTTTTCGAAGCAGACGCTTCATTACTTCACAGCAAATTTCTTTGACATTTTTAACATACTTAGTTAATCTTATTATCACATACTTTAAACTTGTGTATTACTCATGTTGAATACTTGAAGACTTTACTAAACAATAAACATTTCAAACACATCTAAAGATTTAGCAGTTTTAAAACCACGCATTTTTCTTCATATTTTTCTCGTCTCAACTTGAACTTAATTAACAATTTTCATCATTCGTAATCTGATCTCCATAATTTTGTTTAAGTCATACCATATAAAGCATACAAACTCGGCCAAAACAATCACCGCTTCAATGTCCTTTCGCGAAATCTTTTAAATTATTTTTCCATATTTGTCTATTCTGTTTTATTTTATTTTCGTTGTGTTGTGGGCAGCGATTTGCCAAAATTATATTATGATCAGTGGAAAGGCCATTACTACAGAATATGCCGTAAATAGCGGCTTAAACAAGGGTATCGAATTTAAAGAAAAAGATGAAGTGTGAAAAATCAAAAGTGCAGAAAATTTGACAACATCGCATTTGATAATCTTGCGTTCAAAGTGAATAATTCAATATCAGATGCTTTACACTTCAACCCTCTTATAAACATTTGTATGGGTTTGATTCTGTCTACTACCAGTCAACAACACACCGGGATATGAATCATAACAGTGCAAAGTGATTCCGAAGTTTCCCCGAAACATTAACTGCGAGTGAACTGCAAAATGGGAACAATGAGACGGGAAGAAATAAATAAAAAATAAGGAAGAATAAATTTATTCGCATTTTGAGAATTGTAAGTACCGATAGGAGGGTCGCGATGAGTCATCCTTACTTGGCACTTTACAATATTTTCTTTCATCCCTTTAGAACACGATTTTCCACACTCACACAAACATAATTTGATGAATTTTCCAAGTTGCACACATTTAAACGATGAGTATCATGAGCAAGATATTGATTTTCTTTTTTTCTCGACATTTTACGCCATTCGAGAGAACGTAAACTCGAGAAAAGGTTTTCCATTAAATCTTCTGTTTACATGCGATGTTTTCGTTCAAAGTATTTTCTTGATTTTGCGCAATTGCGTCATGAAAATTTCTTCTTTTTAAAAATATTATTTTTGAATGGCAAACTCAAATCATGCCGCATAATCTTTTATTGATTTAAATCTGATATTCTGTAATTAATGCTGTATTTGTTGCTTTATAAGTTGAAAATTGCAATAAACATGAAGGCTGTTATTATTCATGATCAGGTTTAATAACCCTGTTGAAGATGTTTTTTTTTTCTCTTTTCCCATGGCACGTCAGGTAATTTTAGAAACATTTTTTAAGAAAACATTCGAGACTCAAAGGGCGGAGAACTAACTGTCGATCTGTTACTTCTTTTCACATTCATTATTCACTAGAAAAGCATTCTATTGTTCTTGTTCCGCAATTTTCACTATTTACAATAAGTGACGAGAGACGACAGAAATCGATTTTCGAAGGTTGACTTGAAATGTATTTTTGGCAAGCATCAGAGTTAAGAAGAAATTTGTCCCAGAAACATTAGCAGTTTAATGTTTATTCAAAAAAAGCAATAATAATTTGCAAAAGTTTTCAAGCTATCATCTTTTGCCCTACATTTATATTTGTAGAGCAGCAGTCCAACTGTTAGTTTGCACAATGAAAACTTTTGAGGGAATTTTTATTTGCGGTCAAAACGAAAGAAAAAAAACAAGATTAAATGTAAAAAATTTGAGTTAACTGAAATGTCAGACAACTAAATAGCATTTAGCACTATTAAACATTTTCTCGTGCTCTCAGATATTTTGATTCTGTCGTCGAGAGAAACACATCGTGGGCGTATGAGACAAAGATTAATTAAAGTCGATTTACTACTTACTGGCATTCGTTCATGATCTCTTCTTGACTGCGGACCTGAACCGGTGCTAATTCTTCCACCGACTGCTCGTAATTACCGAAACATTTGGTAATTTTCTCATCGAATGTATTCACCAAATCTTCCAAGCTACCGGTGAATGCTTCATTGAAATTGTCAATGTTATCTTTCGTTAATAACTTGTTAATATTATTGTTGTTGATGCTATTTGTTGCATTCATCTTAAAATTATCAATTGTGTTGTTATTATCGATCACCAAGAGATTCTCTTTGAGATTATTCAAGTAGTTAAGTGAATCGATTTGGTTTGATTGTGTCTGAGGCGCTGATGGTTGATACGATTCAACGGGGCCCCATTCATCTGACTCCTCAAATTGTGCCAATGGTGCTTCAAACTTGAGCTCGGCCATTTTTGTATTGTTATTATTTGCAAGGCAGAAATCACGCATTGCAGGCTTAAACCGGAGTAAAATAGATTAATGAAGGTAGATAAACCAAGGCGAAATCCTTTTGTTAAAGACAATCACTGGAAGTTTTTATTTATGAACACAATTAATTTCCCTTCCTCTTTCAATTATTTTTTCTTCTTTTTTTTCAAAAAATATTGTAATTACTTTTTCTATAATATTTAGCTTGAATTTTAATATTCGAGCAGATAACCTGACGATATTTTTTTAACACAAATTTTGCACAAAAGTTCTTCTTCCTTTTCCTCTTTCTCCGATTCTTTCTTTCTTTCTAGATTCAAGGACTAACGAATACTATGTTATAGATTTATTGCACCACAAATGATTTCTCTCATCGACCGCAGACCGAATGTCGTTTTCGTGTGAACGGGTCTCAAGGCGCGATGCAACTGAACTGTTTCGCACACAGCATACATATTTTCTCTTTTGTTTTTCCGGATTATGCTGATTTCTCTCTCTGAGTTTGGATTACGTTGATTTCTCTCTCGGACTTTTCTGATAAACTTGGTTAATTATGTATGAAGCGAATGGTAGGAAATGGAATATGATTTCAATTCTTACAGAAGTGTGAAATGGCATATGAGTTAAAGAAGTCTCGAATGAAATTCTTTTCTTGAAATGTGTCCAAACAATCTGCACAACAAAAGAATTTTTTCCTTTCAAAATTTTTATTAATTTTCTTTCTTTTTTGGTTTCGTGTACAATTTGAATGCAGATGCAGTTAGCACTAGTGAAATAAATTTTGATATTTATTCAAACCACAATAGGGATCATAATTTGTATTATCAAAGTCTCACATAACTTTGGTATTATTTTTTGTTATAAAATTTGAATTAATTTAAACTTAAAATAAGATTGGATAAAATATAAAATTAATTTATGCATCAAGGACTTTGATTAATCTTCGAATATGTATAAAAATTGATTTTTTTATGTTTCATGCATGATTTTGAAATTATATTTCTTTTAATAAAATTTAAAATATCCTACAAATTTATTCATGCGATGTTATTAATCCATTTAAATATCATCCAATTATCCAAGTCCTTTCATTCTATTCGATATTTGGCAAATTAGCATAAGGAAACTAAATATTCTCTTTCAAATGATTAGATAAATTATGGCAACAAATGTTTCTGAAATTTTTGGGGCAGCTTCTTAAATAATATTTTAATTAAAAGAAGTTTTCATTAATTATTTCATGCAAAACTAATTGCAATCACTAAAAAAATTGAAACCTTGAACATTTCGAAACTACTTAGAAAGAATTTAAAAACGATTGAACTAATTTAGATTAGAAGTCTTAAAATTAATTTCTTCTAAAACTGATTAGAAAAGTTAAGAAAGATAAAATTTGAAGACTTTCAAATATCTATATGAAAATTTCCGAAAATTACACTCAAATCTTTTCCCATCAAGAGATATGTAAAATTTGTTTATTGTGAAAAGTGAAAAATTATGTGAAAAACTTCAAACTTTAATCAAAACTTCTCTTGCAAACTGGTGACTCGTGTGATGTGAAAAGTGTGGAAAGTGACGATCAGCTAGAAGGCAAGACGATTGGATTTATTCAATGAAAATCCAACAAGAAAGAAAAAGAAAATGCTGGAAAAATTTACGACTAGCGAATAATGAAATTTATGATAATTCTTAAATAATTTTTTTTTAATCAATGATCTCTGTTTGAGAACTTTTTAGTTTGATCACTGAGTCATGGCACTGCGCTGATTATATTCAGCAACAGTTCGATCAATTGTATCAATCGAGTAACGACATTTATCCGATTTACACAAACACTTGAAATATTTGTATTTGATCATCCAGAACTTCTCGCCGTAATCGAAGCTAAAGTGAGAAAGAAATTTTAATGTTTGTTATTTAAATATTTAATTGTCGACTTACGCAATTTCCTCGCCGATGTCAATATCTCGTGATGCAAAGAAAGCAATCTTAGGGAATCTCAAATCTTGATGTTCGAAATAAACACGAACTGGAACGATGTTTGATGAACATGAATGGTTGAAGAAGCGACTGATGTTTCCATAAAAGTTGGCATCAATGCAGTGCTGTTGATAAATAATTAAATTAATGTTTTTAATATTAAAAATGATGATTTAGAAATTACATCAGAAGCTCCTAAATCGAAGAAGTAACTGTCATCAGTTCTACGATCAGCTTCTTGATCAGTCAAAATCTCTCCCGTGTATTGTGCTACAAACGATCCTTTCCTTATCTTGGTCAAACACTTCACACCAAAACCTTTTGTTTTATCATCGCATTCGAAAACAACAAGTGGAAGTTTAATTCCATTTTGTACGACACGATTCTTGCACAATAAACGATTACATTGACAAACATCATTGCACTCGAAAAGCATTGGCGGATCGGCATAATTAAAGTTTGCAATTAAACGTCCATCAATGTTGTACCAATTTTGAAGAGAGATTTGAGCACATTGACAATTGTCTGAGATGCAACTAAAAAAGGAAGAAATTGTTATCAATTTTAAAACAAATATTCAATGTAACAAATTTACTTATCACTACACGAACAAACTCTCATTTGTGAAATTCGCTGATCAATTTGGATTGAATTTTGAAGCAGAATATTTTTCGTGATGTATTTGAAGTCTGGTAAAATAATTTCTTCATTATGTTGGATTTGAAGATTCTTTATGATTTGTATCGGATAAATCTCACGACCATTCGAAATGTCACTAAATAAAAATTAAAATTAAATAAAAAAGTAATAAAAAAGATTTTAACACTCACTTTGATAAAACTAATTTGTCTCCAATGTTTGATTTCCATCCACCAATTCCATGCTTTCTCAATTCCATGTTAAACTTCAATAATTTCCCGCAATCACTCTTCTCATCGCTCACATCCAAAGGCGTCTCATTCGCCATATTTTTAACACTTAAACTTGCACCATGAGCCATTAGAAGCATACAAATCTTCAATTTAGATTGTCGTGCTGCAATGTGAAGTGCCGTATCGCCATGAATATTTTGAATGTTAAGATCTGTGTTCGCAACGAGTGGATAAATCGACTCCAACTTCCCAGCAAGACATGCCCAATGAAGAACTGTGTTGTTTTCCGAATCACAAATATTTGGATCGGCACCAAGACTAATTAAATAATTGACAATCTCCCCATGACCGTTCTCAGCTGCCCACACCAAAGAAGTCCAATTTCCATCGTCAGTTGTGTTGATAAATCTCTGCAGCTTTGAAATTGTTGCAATTTGTCGATAATTTTCAACGATGATTTGAGTTGCTGGTAAATTTCCACTTTTAGCAGCTAAATGAAGAACTGTCATACCGTCAGGTCCTTTGATTGTTACATCAGCGCCACATTGACATAAAAGCTTAAGAATGTCGTTTTTCTTCCCTGCCACTGAATACATGATCGGCGTTCGCATTTCCTTATCCATAAGATTCACAAAGTCATGTGAATGTGCGCGACTTAATATCAAATATGCCATGGTCAATGACCCAAAATTTGATATCAAATGCAAGCACGTGCCATTATGAAAGTCTCTCAAAGGTGTCAAGAAATTAAATCCCGATGCAACAATTTCAGCGATACGATCGTCGCCATCCTTTCGATTCATTGCATTAAAAACATCTTTGGGTGCGAACATCTTTGACAAGTCATTGCTGGATGATGATTGTGACTTCAGTCGATCATTTGCTGCTTTCAAAATGTGTCCAACACTTTCTGGAATTAATTTATCAACATTTAATGACAAACTATTGAATTGTGTATGATTTTTTTGTTGTGTTGGATTTCTTAGCATATTTCCCATCTTTGCAGGTTTCCTAAGAGATCGTGAATAATTAAATAAAGAAGAATTTATGTTAAATATTTATAAGCATTTGGCATTGTGCCAGAATGAAACTTACGGTACGGTTGAACTCCGATGCTGTACAAAAACAGGTAAATTCTCACATCTCATAGTCACGCGATAATCATAATCGGGAGCGTCAATTCCACAATGTGGACATTTCAGTAAAAGTGTTGGTCCCGTGTAGTTGGGATTGTTGGGTTCATATGGCGTATTTAAAATGTATTTTGTAGCGCAATTGCGATGAAAAAAGTGTTTATTGTTGCATATTACAAATGTCCCTTGCGTGCAAAAAATTCCACATCCAGAACAACAATTATGCGAGACAAGACGCTTTTTATGACTGCTGCAAAGAGCCATGTAACTGACCTTCACACTTGGCCTGTATAAATTGATAAGCGAATCAACTAATTCATTTGTACAGCCAATCTTACGACTTTCAATCTCATCAATTGCACAACAAAACATTTTACCATTGACAGCAAATGGTTGACTTTGCATGTAACTGATCCAATATTTAGTGCTTTGATGACATGAACAGATGAGATTGACGTTTTTGTTCTCTTTATTTACACCGTAGACATTATTCTCATTGCGCGTCGTCATTATTTTGCTACTTTCAACGACAATACAATCATCTTCGTCGCTCATTTCAATTTCCATTTGTTGTGGTTGATCAGCATTCATCTTGAGTCGCTTCTCAGCATTTTCCTTCTTACGAATATTTAAAGTTCTTCTGTATGCAGCTTCAGCAGCTCGTTGATTTCTTAATCTTAAAGTGATTGCTGGACGATTTGAATTGCTTTTATTCATTTTCGTGGGTACGAAATCTTCAGATGTTGACGATTCTTCTTCTTCGGAAGTTTCTGAATGATCGACTTTCGGTCGTAAACCTAATAATCCTAAATGCTTCTCTTTAGCTTTTGTTAGTCGACGTTGTTGACTTTTCGTCAACTTTTTATCATCTGATGATCGACTGACACCAATTTTAAAGCTTTTTATTTCATTAATGAACTCTTGAGGATCACGACAGGTTTTCTTAACAGTTGCGTTGAGTATTACATTTGTATCAGCATCCTGGTTGGAATCAATGAAGGCTTTTGGAGATTTTTCTGGTGACGATGTGATCGGCGATTTATTGCTTGACGTTTCATTTCCACTGCTTCTCATTGTTGGACTTCGATCGAAATTTTCCATTAAATTTTCATTGCTTAAACTTAAACGTTTACAATTTGTAACTTCAAAACCTTGACGAAGTTCTTCATTTGCCAAAATTTTTGCTGTTGGTTTAATTCGACGTTGTGATCGTATTCGTCCAATTGGTGGTGCCAAGATCACCGGATCGGGCTTTTCTTTACGTATAATAATCTCTGAATTTCCTGCTTCAGAACCATCTTTTACAGATCGAAGCGATTTCTTTACTTGTATTGGTTTTGTTATTAAAGTTGCTTTAGGTCGACGACCGCGCTTCTTTATAATTTTCTCCTGTTCGTCTGCATTCGTTGCATTCGTACTTGGCTGCGCTGTAATAATTTTCGGTACTGCAGATTTATCAGTCCGTATCGTCATGAGTAAGCGCGGCTTTACATCGTCACTATTTTCAATCGATTTTGAAGTTTCACTTTTGTTATCTTCGACAGTTTCTGTTTCATTTGGTTTTTTATTAAATCGTCCACGCTTTCGTTTTGGTGAGTCACTTTGATCTTGAGATTTGTCATCATCATGCAATTCAGAATCTTTTTCTTCGGCTAACTTACGAGAACGTCCACGACGTTTGGGTGTTTCTTCATTTTCTGTTTCTTTCTTCACTTCAAATTCATCCACAACTATTGATGGATCTATTTTTTTATCATCAACTGTTTCAAGAGTTGATCGTGTTCTTCGACCACGTTTTACAATTCCTTCAACTTCACTCTCAATTAAATCATTACTTACAATTTTATTTTCAAGTTTTGGTCGTCCACGACCTTTTCTTATAGCTGAAGATTGAGAAGAATCTTCATTTGTAACTTCATTCTCATCCAAATCGCTCTTAATTGTTGTTTCATCATTTTTATTTTTATCATCCGACATAGTGCTGGCACTGCTCGAAGTCGACTTATGTGTTAGTGTTGTCGACGTTTGTGTAACGTTTCTGTTACTTCTTAAATTTCGTGGTGATGTTGTTTTATCAATAACTTTGCTCAAATTGCTGATGGAATTTGTTTTTCGGCTTGAGCCGGCCGTTCTCTTATCATCATCACCAAGAGCAACACTAACACATGCGACTTCATTCTTACTGCTTATTACATTATCATCATTCTTCTTATCAGTTGCTGTTGATGATTTTGTGGTTGTTACTTTGGTGCTTTCAATTGCTTGACTGTTTGTATTCAATTGAGGTAAATTAGTTGAAATATTTTTTTCATCGTCGCTCTCTTTACATGCGCTTGTATGTGTGCTGGTTGCTGCAGCACTTTTTTGTTCGGGTGTATGTAAATCATCGTCAATTACGATTTTTTTCTCTTTAACATTATTACCAAACTTCTCATCTATTATTAGCTGAGATTTTGAGCTTTCTGGATGATCCATAACTTTATCTTCACCAGTTTTGATATCACTTAACAAACCAGCACCAGCTGGCGAACTTAAATCACTTAAAGAACTTTCCGACGACAATGGTAACTGCTGTTGAACTGAAGTTTTATCGTCGGCTGAATCTTCACCATCTTTACTTTTTCTATTTTTATTTCTCTTCTCTTTTTTCGCGTATGTATTGTTAATCAATGTTTTCCACTTAAGTGTCTTGTCCTCTTGATAGTCCAAGTTTTTTACCAATTCAGAGTTTGTTTGCTCATTGAATTTGCTACTCATCTGAGAGAGAAGTCCCTTAATTAGATCAGTCATGATTTTTTTCAAGCGATTATAATTTTATTATTTTACATACACCAATTCACATTTTCAACATCAACCGACATAATATCATCAAGGAGAAGTCACTTATGTATTGTAATTCATTATTTCCAGCAATTTTGGAGATGATTTTATTGGTGAAAAATTGCAAAATAACACTTAACAGTGGAACTCTTTGAGAAAGAATTTCTGTCTGCTCGTAGTTTTACTCCCCGACTCACCTACCATTGGGGGCCAATATCAGATGGTGCTAACTGCTTTAAAGCACTGTTGCAAATATGGCAATAGTTGTTTAAAAATTGAACGAGTTTAATAAATTTACACTAAATTTTTTCATATTTTACTTTAAGAGTTAAAAGTAATAGTTTGTTCACTTCACAATTTCTGATTAAAATTGAGTTTACTTTGATAAATTAAGTAAATATAGGAATTTTAATCGTTTTTTGCTATTTCACATATATTTCCTTCGTGATCTACAACATAAAATCACATGTTAATTTACATACAAAATTATTTACTAAGAAATTAAAACTTTTTAGGATTAAATTTTAGAGTTAATCCATAGATTAATTCGAAGATTATTCTAATCCTTTAAAATAAGTCAGGGGTTAAAAACCCAAGTCACAATATCAAGGGGGTTAAAAACTTTTGCTGAGGAAGAATTTGTAAACATTGAAAAAGCATTTTTTTGTAAAATCATTTCCTAATTCAAACAAAATGCTGAAATTATGTAATCTTCGTGTTTTACCGAACTGTAAGTTTAACAATGTTCTCTCCAGTTGCTCGATGCTTTATCATTTTCTTTATTCTCAAGATGTAAATACAAAATTTATTCACACAAGTGGATCAAACTTTATTGATCATAAGTGGAGGGAAGCCAATCGCCTTTGCCGGAATCCAAACACAGAAGGACCGCTTACTGACTTACCTGATTTCACCTACATGGATGGCAGACCAACTCCTTTTGGTGTAAGAAATTAATATATAATTTGGATAAATTTAAATTTCTTTTTTTTATCAATAGCGAGCTCAAAAATTTCGGCTGATTAATCAACAAAGACTTGCAGAAAAAATTTACACTGGCACTAAAGAAATTGAGTTTGCAATCAACCGACATAAGAAATTAAAAGAAGATGAAATTAAAAATAAGCAAGACATATTGGATAGTAAATTTAAACGCAAGGGTCATCATTTGCTGCAAAAGAATGAATAATTTTTAAAATATTTTCACGTTCTTAGTCAGGAACAACAAATAAAATGCTTAGATAACAATGTCGTAAAAATCTTCTCTTTTCTATTTTCTTTGTCAAACATTTATCTTAATGCCAATTGAATTTCATCTGTGGTTTTCCCTTTTGTTTCGGGAATCACAAAAATTGTAAATAACAATCCTAACACACAAAATATTGCAAAAAACAAAAATGATGGACCCGTTCCCATTGCTTCTGTCATCATTGAAAAAGTCAATCCAATGACAAAAGTCAGAGAGAAATTCCAAACCTGGCCAAATGGTGCAACAAAAGCTTTGGCCTCTTGCAAGAAAAGTTCACCTAGCAATACATAAGAAACTGGTCCCATCCCCCCAGCGAACCCAATCATGAAGATGGACATGGATGTAACTGGTAACCATTGCAAGAAACTGACATCAAATTCCAAATCTTTCAATATGAAGAATGTACCAATTCCACTTAAACCAATGAGCATTAAGCTATAAGCCAATATCAGAATAAGTTTTCGGCCGAAACGATCTACAAAAGCAACAGAAAAGAAACTTGCAAGAACTTGTATTGATGCCACAATAATGCTTGCCATTCCAGGTTCGAAATCTATCCCAGATTCAATAAAGATCGTGGTTGAAAAAAATAGAAAAGCATTGATTCCCGACATTTGAAAGAAAGTCATTTGCAACATAATAATGATGAAAGCTTTCATTGTTGATTTTGTCTTAAAAATTTCGCTGATATTTTTCTTTTGTTCCTTAAATTCTTGGTTTTGTCTTTGTAAATCTTCAATTTCAATTGAAGTTTTATAATGCTTGCCTCTTAATTTTTTCAATGAATTATCAGCATCGTTTTCTCGATTTCTGCTGATTAAATAAGAAGCTGATTCCGGAAGAATCAAAAATCCTAAGGAATAAAATATAGGAATCGTTGCACATACAATGTTAAGTATAAAAAGATTAAAGAAATGTCCCACAATGTATGTGAACAAAATGCCAATGGTTAAGCAAACTTGGAAGAGACTGAGCATGCTTCCACGAATATCGTTTGATGAAACTTCTCCTACGTATATAGGAATGACGTAGCTATAGCAACCAGCTGAAATTCCACACAGAAATCTTCCAGCCATCAACTGAAATAAATTAAGAGTTAAATAGGACGTTTCAATTTCACTTTTCTTAATTACCATCGCAGGATTTAATGGGATCGTTATTAATATCCATCCAATAACAATCGGTATTCCAAACAGAAGAATTGTAAGTTTTGTTCCAATTTTACTTCTGATTATCCCTGAGAAAACGCAACTAAGCGCGCCTCCAAGAGCCATCAGTGCTACGATCCAAGCGAATTGATTGCTTGTCACAAAGAAACGAAAATTTTCTTGTTCGATAACTTGTGGACCAGCTGGTGCAGACCATGCCAGAAGAATTCCAAAGATGAATCCTCCTCCATTTGCTTGGACAATAAAAAAATTTAACTTCATTTACTTGTGAATAAAAATTTAATTATCAACCTAACGTTGATACAATGGTCTGTGGCAATTTTTTTGGTTTGCCACCTTTCCATTGATTTTCGTCCATATCAGTCTGATGAGTGACTGATGAACACCAAATATCGATTTCAAATAGGTTTTTATCTTCTTAAATGTCAAGCTGACGAACAGTAAATATCAATTTCAAACAACTTTTTATCTACTTAAATATTTTATTGAATTGATTATTTGACTACAGTCATTTGACTTCTCTTCTCAATGACTTTCAGACTTATGCTTTTGCTTCTTTTCTAATAAATAATTTTATCATAAAAAATCTTGTCTTGTCTTGTCTATAGTGAAATTTTAAATCATAAGATAAGATATCAGTGATCGATTTTGAAAGATTAAATCGCTACCTAGATAAAGATTTAAATTAAAAAAACTATTCTGAAGAATCTGTGTACACATTCAACACAAAGCTTATAGAATTTCATCAGAATATTTTCCTTTGGTTTCAGGAATATTAAATAATGTGACAAAGAGAGCAAACATCCACACAGATGAAAAGATATAAAATGTGGGACCAAAGCCAATCGTGTCTGCGAACATTGGGAAAACCAACACAATAATGAAATTTGAAAAGGAATTCCACACCTGACCTATTTGTGCTATAAAGACTTTTTTTTAATAAAAAGTATAAACCAAGTCCATTGACACCAGAAAACATGAAACTGCAACCTAACATCATGCATCAGAATGAATTTCCGTCAAAACATTTCACAAAAGCAACAGAGAAGAAAGTTGCGAACAATTGGATATCTTATGTATCAATGTTTATAAATCTATTATTTTAAGAACATTAAGATTTTATTATGAGATTAATATTTTCAGGAAACTTTTCTTTGCATGATTAACAACTTTGAATTTACTTTATAGCTAAAAATTTACTTTAAAAATAGTAAGAATTAACGGTTTTTAAAATTTTGAATATTTTTGGAGGGGTTTTAAATTTGGGGGACTTCGGTTCAATACTATAAACAAGCTGCTCTTGACCTGACATATTCACTTAAAAATACAGATTTTATTAAAAATACTAAACAGTTTGCATAACGAAAGAAATAGATCAAGATAAGTGAATTGAACACTTTTAATCTCAGTTTCAAAAGTTGATCGTGAAAAAATCTGAAGACTACAAAAGTTTCTAACAAATTATAAATCAAATCATCTAAAATTGAAGTCTAATTGAAAAGTATTTCAAGATTAAAACAAAATGAATAATCATTTTAATCAAATGTTTAACAGTGATTTCAATGGTTATTACAACCGGAATTCATTTCAAAATTCAAATTTTAATTCGTCTCCACAACAATTTCGTGGTTTAAAACGAAACAATAACATGAGTGTTGGTCAAGGAGTAAGTAACAACTTTAACGATAGCTTCTTACAACCACGTTTTCAAGTAGGATATTACTCTTTAAAACTTTCCTCATTCTAATGGAAAATTATTTTAGGAATCATTCAGAGAACAACAATACCAATCAAGAGAATTTATAAATTCGCCGCCACCCAAACGTCCTTTTCATTTTAAACATCAATATGATGCTCCACAAAGTCATGATCCCAATAACTTTCGTCGCAAAGTAACCAATAACAAAAATTCAAATACACGGAATAAACGAAAAGTATCAAATGTTGGCAATCAGGTCAACAACAACAACAATAACTTACAAGTTCAAGAAGTTTTCAGGGAAAATTTTTCAAGTATACAAGAGCAGAAGGATCGTGAGTGGACTGAAAGGTTTGATCATACAATGAAACTTTTGGAAAAATGTAATCCAGGGAATGAAATCGATTTAATTTCATCGTATCTTCAGCCTTCACGTGAAACCTTTTTCAGAATGAAGGAAGAAATTCAACACGATCTTTCAAGAATTTTATCTTCATTAGAACTTGAAGATATTTATGTTTTCGGTTCAACATTAACAGGACTTGATTTTACTGGAAGTGATTTGGACTTTTACATCAAACTTCGAAATCCACCTAGTAGTGAATTGGAGACCAAACAAATTCTCACAAGAACTGCAAAATTAATTTATTCGTCAAATGTAACTGAGAAAACATTTCGAGTTGTTTGCACAATACACAAAACAAGAGTGCCACTCGTAAGACTTCTACATACAGCAACAAATATCATGTGTGATATCAATTTCAGTTCCGTTTTTGGTTATTACAATTCACTGTTCATTAGTTATATCCTCAGTTATGACAATCGCATCAAGAATCTTGCCATAATATTAAAATTATGGTCGAAATGCCATCAAGTTGCTAAAAGAATGATTTTATCCAACTATTGTCTATTAAATTTAATGATATTTTACCTTCAAAATATCCCTTCACCAATACTTGATACAATTGCCAATAATCAAGATTCCAAAGCTCCCAAGATCATCAATCAAAAATGGAACTTTTTCTTCAATGATCAAATTTATATTGGACAAGGAAATGATAAAACTTTGCGTGATCTTCTTGTTGGTTTCTTTGATTTCTATTCAAACGTGGATTACGGAAATTTAGCTGTTTGCCTTCACAGCGGAAGATTGATTCAAAAATCTATAATTCTGTCAAGTTTACAAGATTTTTCACAACAGAATGATGCAAATCCACAAACGATGAGAACTGATCCGAGTCTTTGTTTCAAAAATGAAAAGAATGTTGAATTCTTCTTCAAACTTATTAAAACTTCACACAATAAATGTATACAACTGCAAGAGAAACCTTTTTCGGAACTTCTTCTAACACTTTTCAACGACTTTGAAGGAATAAGCAAGAAGAATGTTGCGAAACCTCAGAAGAAATTTCAAATGACGGTTCATGCTGTCGCTTCTCATTTGAAGGTAAATTTTGATTTATTTAACACGAAATAATTTAAAATTTGTTTGCAATAACCTTTTTATTTTCAGATTTGTGAAGCTATTCTTAGAGCAAAATGTGAAAGCGACCTTTGCAGTGATGAAGAACAGCGAAAATTATTCTTCAACAATGTCGTGAATTATACGAAAAAACTTCTTGCAGACTTTTATCTCTGCACAATTACTGATGACAAAAATCTTGCTCAAGACGAAATGAAGACAAATTATCGAGTGGTTTTGAAGGAAGATACTGTTAATGGACGGAAAAAGATGAACTTCAAAGACGACAAATCTGCAAACACTGAAATTGAGTTATCGAAGAAAATACGCGACAATAAAAACAAATTTGATTTAGACGCAGTTGTGGAAATTTCATCAGTAAATCAAGGACAATCTGTTGATATCAGTATGACTGAAAATCAGACGAAAAAATCATCAATCGCAAACTTTGGCAACTTTTTTTCCATTAATCTTACTGAAGCGATTAAATATTTTCTCAAAAAAGATTTGGAAGTTCTGACAGTTAAAAAAGAAGAAAAAGGAAACTCTTAAAACATTTGTTTTTGGTTCAATACAAAACATTTTTAATAAAATTTATTTAATTTAAAAACTTTTGTATTTGCTCATCATGAAATCAAATTTTTTCTTAGCTTCAACAAGTTCCTTTACAACTTCCGGTTGGTTCATCAATTCGTCTTTCAATGGCTCATCAAAAATTGACTGAATGACTTTAAATGCTGAAGTTTTCATCCCATCACAATTGAATCGACACGCAAGTTCGAGTATTTCAATCGTGTTGTTCAAGTTTAGATCATCTGTGATCATCTCCTCAACAATTGTCATTAGATTGTCGACTTTGAACTTTGCTGCGAGAGAGAAAAATTCGAACAAATTTGAATTTTCTTCCTTTTCGACCTCATCGGTATAGAAAAATTTCAAGAAAATTTTCACAACGTCTGAATTTATATTTTTCATTTGAATTTCATCAGATGGCCGATCTTTCATCTTATCTTCGAAAATTGAGGTGAAAACTGAACTCTGAATAGCTAAAATATTTTTATGTACTTTGAATTTCTCAGTGTCAGTAACAATCGTGATGTCCGAGAAACGGCCAGTCGTCCAAAGTTCTTTGAATCCTTCAATTTTCAAATCCTTCCGTTGTGTGCTTGTTTGCGTCTGTCCATCCTTCATTGGTTTATCACATTTGTCATCAATCATAGCCATCAACTGGGCTACAGAATCAACTTCCTTTCCACTGATTTTTATCGCATAATTTGAGTCAGAAAAACCAGCATCAATGGAACGATTTCGACTAAAATCTACGAATTTTAAACCATTTTTCAATATTGGCTTGAGAAGTTCTGGAGACATGAATTGCAAATCATTGAAGCAGAATGAAATATAAATAAGTTTGTTCATATTTTCGAACAGATTGTCTGGAAGTGAAGTGATTTTGTTATTATCACACCATAGCATCTGAATATTTTCTAGTCCATCCAAATCTCTTCGCGTTATTGATTTCAATCCACAAATATCAATTCCAACAGCTTTCAAATTAGGAAAATTTTTGTTCAATCCTTGAGGGAAGTAGTTTAATGTTGTATTCATAAAATAAATCGCTTCGACATCTTCGTCACTTTTTCCATTCAAATGATTTCCATTAGTTTTTTGAATGATCGTGTTTGGCTCTGTTATTGAACATGAATCAATAATACTCGTGTATTTGTTCCCAACTCCAAGCCAACTACAGTAATTAAATTTACAAACTAATTCCATAATGACAAAATCTAGGCAAATAAAAATTATTTTGAATTGTTCGATATCTGAAAATAAACTAAACAAGAATTGACAAATTTTATATCATGAAGGTGTAATCATCAACTGATAAGATATCAAAATATTATAAAAGTAAAAAGAATGACGAAATATTTCTCCGCAAATCGCTCTTTAAACTTCCTTTGACCAACTTTTCGAATGAATTACAACATTCGGATGATCAATCGACGGGGTGAACTTATATTGTAACAATCATTCAGCTCGCTTGACTAAAAAGCTTTTTAAAAACAATATTTCTGTTGATAATAACTTCGTTTATTGTCAATTTCTTTTTATTCTTTTCTTTCAAGTGATACAAATCGTATTTCTTTATTTTAAACTCTTCTGTTTGATCATGTTTAATAAAAAATATCCAAAACGAAGATGGAATTTCCATTAAAATGAAATTTCCTTTAAAGATTCTGTACATAAAATGCAACATCAAATAAAGAATGATTTAGGGGAAATTGAAAATTTATTTGTTTTTGGTAGCAATCGTCAAAGACTGGTTTCTAATTAACTCAAAATTTATTTAAAGTTGGAGAAGGAAATTAGAGCAAGTTTAGAAATTGTTAAAGTTGCTGCCAGTCCATGACTTTTGATATGACTTTGATAATAGACAAATATTGCGAGATTAAGAATTTTGAACGATGTCATAGCACCTCAACAAAAATTTAAACTTGTCAACGAAACGACGAATAAAAGTTTTAAATTAATGGCACTTTCTTAAGAAGAATTGAAAATATTTATTCGAGGCTTGAATGTCATAGAAATGAATATTTTAATTAAAAATTCAATAACAAGGGCTTGACCCGAAAAAGGAGACAAGCATAGAAATGCAAAAAAGGGAACTAAAGGCAGTGAAATTAAGATTCATTCTCTTCAAAAATATTTTTAAAAATCTTATGAACTACTTCAATGAGAATTTGGCACAAATTGACAAAAAAATTCTTCCTTCAAACAATTTCAATGACGGTAATTAGTATTTTGAATACATTTTTTATCTCTTTCACTTTAGTTTGAAAGTTTATCGGAAACTTTTGTTTTTAATTTTATTTTTTAAACTTAAACGACTGGAGGCTCTGTGCCAAAGAAATCGTCATCATCATCTTCTTCCTCGTTGTCGCTGGAATTGAAGGAAAATCAAATGATCAGTAACAATTTTTACAAATTATAAGTTATGAGTTTACAACACAAAGTTAATTGATTAGCTAATTGATATAAATATTTACATATTCGAAGTGTAAAACTTTACGTACATCGATCTCTTCTAATCGACATACATTTGTATTATCATATTTACATTTGCAGGTGAGAGTTCACATAGAACATCGTGTCAACGATCTACAAGTTTGATAAACTCTTCATTCTTAAATATTGCTTTGACAAAAGAAAAATCCACGTGGATAACAAAAGAAATTAAATATTTATTTGTTGAACAAATTGAGCTAGTTAATTTTGTTATTGGAAGGATATTTTTTTAATTCGTTGCCACATCTTCATCCTAATTGTGCATTACACAAAAACAATATTTATGAAAACTAAGACAACCCACCGCCACATTTAATCGCGATCGCTTCATAATATCACATCATGTTTCATAAAAACATGTGACTAATTGAGAAATAAATAAAAAGACTCGATGCTATCAACGTTGAATTTATCACTTGATTATAATTTCTACTGAGTTTGCTACATGCTTTATTATATGACGGACGTGGATAAAGAATGTGGACTGGAGGTGGCTCTTCGATCTCATCAAAACGCGTTGGATCGAAGCGTAAGTCGAAATCGTCGAAGTCATCATCATATAAAAGCGACGATGGAACCCACGACGTGTGACTTTATTTCAATAAGAGAAGAGAAGAAAAAGTAAAAGAAAAATCCAAGAAAAAGGAAAATGCAGCATGAATGGAAAAAATTTCATTATTAAAACATTTCCTACAATTTTGTTAATTAATTTTTGGATAAATCGTAAGAAAAAAGGTGAAGCAGGTAAAGAAACTTACGGTGCCGGTGAACAATCATCGACGTTCAAGGAGCTAATTGTATTCTCTCCTAATTGTATAGCTCCACCTAAAATCGGCTCTACAGTGTGAATGCATCCAATGAATCCATTACTGTAACGTTCACCAGTGAATCTCTTAAGATCAGGTGCTCCACCTTAAAAGGGAATTAAATTAATTGAAAATTTCTCTACTAATGTTTTTAACTTACCCAAGAAGACGTGACCAGCTAAGAACATTTCATTCTTCTCAGTCGGTCTCGCCGTCTCTCCATATTCTGTGAAGCCATCGAGTTCAAGACTGGCTTGATTTGCTGTACGCTTGAGAATTGCAATGTGACGTCGATTTGGTATGACTGGTACTGAATGATGTTTGATGACTGATTCTTCACCGTCAATTCGGAAGGTAAACTCTAAAATTCCATCATTAACAGCTAATGACAGGAAATCTTCTCCATTGAATCCTTTTCCTCTCTCTTGACCATACCAAAGGATCAAACCATTAGGCTCCTTTGTTGAGAAGAGAACAGCCAATCCACTTGATAATTGTGATGAACTGGTGGCGATTGTGCTGCGATTTAATTCAAGATATCCATCGCCCTTGAAACGAGCTTTAGTTTTAAGTGCGACCATGTGTTGGCAATTTTCTCCCGTGTATCCTAAAGTACAATCGCAGTGATAATTATTGTCTGGCATTGTTGTACAAATTCCTCCATGTTCGCAAGGTTCATTCGCGAGACAAATGTCACTTATGATGTCACAAGAACGTCCTGTGTAACCAGGTCGACAAATTGGTGCTGGGACATTTGTTGAAGTTTCAGCTTCCCCAGATTTTTTTTTTTGTAATTGAAACTTTCATAAAATATCAACAAAAGATTGAAAATTAAAAAACTCACCGATTCATCTTCGCCACCAACGATTTGATGTCCACAATTCTGAACATTAGCAGATTCAATCATGTCAGCAATCTTATCAACACCTCTATATATAATGATCAAATTTTTAATTTACATTTGCACAAGAAAATGATCAAACTTTGCGTGATCTTCTTGTTGGTTTCTTTGATTTCTATTCAAACGTGGATTACGGAAATTTAGCTGTTTGCCTTCACAGCGGAAGATTGATTCAAAAATCTATAATTCTGTCAAGTTTACAAGATTTCNCAAATTTGATTTAGACGCAGTTGTGGAAATTTCATCAGTAAATCAAGGACAATCTGTTGATATCAGTATGATTGAAAATCAGACGAAAAAATCATCAATCGCGAACTTTGGCAACTTTTTTTCCATTAATCTTACTGAAGCGATTAAATATTTTTTCAAAAAAGATTTGGAAGTTCTGACAGTTAAAAAAGAAGAAACAGGAAACTCATAAAACATTCGTTTTTCATTAACTACAATACATTTTTAATAAAATTTATCTAATTTAAAGACTTTTGTATTTGCTCATCATGAAATCAAATTTTCTTTTAGTTTCAACAAGTTCTCTTACAACTTCCGGTTGGTTCATCAATTCGTCTTTCAATGGTTCATCAAACATCGACTGAATGACTTCAAATGCGGAAGTTTTCATCCCATCACAATTGAATCGACATGCAAGTTTGAATACATCCATTGCATTGTCATCATTCAGATCATCTGTGATCATCTTCTCGACAACTGACATTAAATTCTCCACTTTGAACTTTGCTGCGAGAGCAAAAACTTCCAGCAAATTTGAAATTTCTGTTTCATCAACTTCATCTGTATAGAAGAATTTCAAGAATATTGTCACGATATTAACATTTATATTCTTTAAATGAATTTCATCAGATGGTCGATCTTTCATCTTATCTTCAAAAATTGAAGTGAAAACTGAACTCTGAATAGCTAAAATATTTTTATGTACTTTGAATTTCTCAGTGTCAGTGACAATCGTGATGTCCGAGAAACGGCCAGTCGTCCAAAGTTCCTTGAATCCATCAGATTTAAAATCTTTCAATTTTTTGTTCCTTTGTGGCAGTTTATTGTCCTTCAAATTTGTGTTTGAAAACGTCTGTTCATCCTTCATTGGTTTATCACATTTCTCATCAATCATGGCCATTAACTGGGCTACAGAATCAACTTTATTTCCATAAATTAGAAGAGTATAAGATGAGTCACGATAACCAGCATCAATGGAACGATTTTCACTAAAGTCTACGTATTTCAAATCATTTTTCAATATTGGTTTGAGAACTTCTGAAGACATGCAATGCAAATCATTGTCGTAGAATGAAATATAAATAAGTTTGTTCATATTTCTAAACAGATTGTCTGGAAGTGAAGCGATTTTGTTGTGACCACACCATAGCATCTGAATATTTTCTAGTCCAACCAAATCTCTTCGTGTTATTGATTTCAATCCACAATAATCAATTATAACAGTTTTCAAATTAGGAAATATTTTGTTCAATCCTTGAGGGAAGTAGTTGACTGTTGTACCATTAAACCAAATCTCTTCGATATCTTTGTCACTTTTTCCTTCTAAATGATTTCCATTAATTGTTTTAATGATGGTGTTTGGCTCTGTTATTGAAGATGAAGTAATAATACTCGTGTATTTACTCCCAATTGTATACCAATAACAGTAATTAAATTTACAAACTAATTCCATAATGACAAAATGTAGGCAAATGAAAACGATTTTGAATTGTTCGCTGTCTGAAAATAAACTAAACAAGAATTAACACATTGTATATCATGAAGGTGTAATCGTCAACTGATAAGATATCAAAACTCTATAAAAAGTAAAAAGAATGACGAAATATTTTTCCGCAAATCGCTCTTAAAACTTCCTTTGATAAGGTTTTCTATAAATTAACATCCGGATGATCAATCGACGGGGGTGGATTTATCTCATCAAGATTATTCAGTTTACTCGATCTAAACGCGTTACCAATCCTGAAAACTATTTTAACACAGCATTTCTTTTGATAATAACTTCATTTATTGTCAATTTCTTTTTATTCTTTTCTTTCAAGTGATACAAATCGTATTTCTTTATTTTAAACTCTTCTGTTTGATCATGTTTAATAAAAAATATTCAAAACGAAGACGAAATTTACATTAAAATGAAATTTCCTTTAAAGATTCTGTACATCTTCCGTGAACTTCTGTAAAAAGGCTTGTCTGTTGAAGTACTCGCGTTGAATTTTACTAACAGTCTTACAAATTGTTAAAAATATAAAGAAAAGAAATTCAATAAAATTCACACATTTTTT